CAAAGACAAAAGGGGGAATACATAGTATGAAGTAGGTAGGATCAGGGCCAGGGCCAGGATGCGTTGCCTCTTCTTCCTTTCTGCCAGGCATTGTGATCGCATACATACATATATCGACTAGGTGAATACTATATGTGGCCCCGCGTACAACTATATTTATCTGGGTTCAAATTATACTGCAGTGCAAGCACAGGCCAGACAGGGCACAGACGCTGTTTCATGAGAACTTTCTTGGATGCCCAGGGTCCACGAGACGGCATCGTCGCGATGCACACGTGTCGCGTCCTGCCTGGGCCGAGCAGCCCAGCGATGAGTTCATGCAGAGCTTGGGTTTTCTTCGACAAACGATGCCTGGACCATCTGGCCCGGTGCACGAGTGCTCGTTCAGTGTATTCCATCCACTCCAACTCAGCTTGCACGATCCCCGTGCGAGTGCGGATGGAAGCTCCAACGCGGAAGGGATCAACAGCCGTGTAATGACCTGTGTTTTTGTCGTCCCCGCCTCGGGGACCACTCAGCCTATGCATGGGTGGGAGAGAATACGACGTCGGGACTCCCCCTCATTCGCCATCTTCCCTCTTGTTTCTGACCAGGCTTTCCTTTTTCTGTGCTTGCCTTCCCCTTCTTGGTCGGATCGACGATGCCACATGGCTCAGAGCAGCAAGGCGTGACGACAGTGGCGAGCTGAAATTACCACAATGGATGGGAGCAGACGCGGACGTCAGCTCTGCAAGGGCACGAAGCCTCTCTGAGAGGGGAAAAAAGAGCAAATCAGCGGACAGACGCTTGCAGAGGGCGCGGCAGCTTGGGCGAGAGGCAGACGCCTGATGGCGGTGAGTGTGCCGCCGTGGGTCGCCAGCAGCTGCGCAAAAGACTTCTCCGATTTGCGGGACCGGACAGGTGTTGCGACGGATAGGTGACACGGCATAAGCGACGGGCCCTGTTGGCAGTTCCGTTGCTTTTCGTCATTTTACATATTTGGGGCAGGAGGCGCCGTCATGCTTCGTTCTGGTCAGGACCGGGAAGCCGGTTGGTCCAGGATACGCTTCCGGTCGCACTGCGGATGGGCAGCAGAGCGGTCGGGACAGGAAAAGCAAAGAAAGTCTGGAAATGTGACGGCACTAGGCCTGGGAATGAGAAGGGAAGCCAGGCTTCTGTCGCAGCAGACGACAGGCGTTTTGTGGCGTGTCGCAGTGCATGTTTGTAATTCATGCATCGCTGACTGGTCATGCAAGATATATAAGATGCTGTTCTTGTGCAGACAGCGAATTCTTTAACGAACAAGGCTGAGGTTTGGACACGGAGTCCTGGCAACGTATCTTACATAGTACAGCGACAGCTTCAGAGAGCCGCGTCTTGCGCATCTTGACAGCCCCTGTCCCTGTTGGGCGATCAAGCTCCCGATGCCTGACATGTCCCAGGGTTCTGGGTCCTCCGTGGTCGATAGCGAGGCTACAGGACCGTCATCCAGTCGGCGACATGTTGTCGTGTCAGTGCTTCGTAAGTACGTGAGTATGAGCACGTCTTTCACAATCGGATGTGCGCGTGCCGATGCTTGTCGCCGACGATTTATACAGCAATCCACCCCGAATGCGACGTGTACATAGTAGGAAAGCGAGATAGTCGAGAGTGGCAGGCTGCTAGCGAGTGGCGATCCGAATGCACAGACGACGCCGGCAAAAGCACAATTGGGACCAAGTCGGCACAAGATGCTGCTGCCCCGGCCAGACATGAGCAGTACGATGCCAATCCACCGCAATTAAAAGGGCAATACGCCACAACGCACAAAAGCGGGCTTACGGAGCAGTCGTATTTCGCCCAATCTGCTTCCCAGCGATACGAGTACGAGCGCGTGGGGGTGGGAGTGTGTGATCTGTGGTTTGCGGATTGTGGTTTGTGCGCTGTGTGTTTTGGGCCAAGGTCGCATTGTCACATGGGGACAGCAGATTTCGGAATTCGGCCAGCGTGAGGGCCGAGAGCAGGTGTTGGCAGACAGACAACTCCGTAGTAGATGGTCACATTGTCGCTGGAGAATCTGCAAGCCGTCTGCAGTGCAGAGCCTCTCCAGCTGCCTCACCCCCCCATCACGGCGGGCCACTTTCAGTGCTACATACCGACAGGGCGATCAGACTAGGAGTACCACGTCCAAGCCGGACGTCCCGACAGATTGGGTTTCTCAAGAAGCACTGAGAACAGAGCACCGAGCCGCTCCGTACATACACGGCCAGAGGACCGATGTACGATGTACTGCGTCGTATATCCTGTCTTTCCAAAGGCCCACAACCCTTTGTGTTATTGAGCTCTGCCACGGACTGACTTATTCTACGACATCGTACTGCCTTCCGTCGCGATCATACCCTACGCGGTTAAATCTTCCTAGGCTGGCTTAGGCGAGGATGTGTGCCCAGGCAGAGAGCGAGAAGCGTGAGGCAGAGCGAGGCGGAGGCCAGTCTCCGGAGCCAGGGACCACGCCTATAACTCTCTCTGTTATAGGCGGGTCTTGGGAGCTGGGTGCCGTGGCGTGCCTTTACGCCTCCCGAGAAAACGTGGGCAGTGGCCATCAGTCACTCTTCGCAGTCACATCGGTCTCTCCGCTCTTCGTCGGCTTCGCCCTTAATTTTGCCTCTTGCGCTCCAGCTATGCTGCAACGTCCGCCCTTTTCGAGGCCGTCATGACGCTGACCTCTACGGGTACGAGAGAGGGGGGGACCGGAAACGCAGAGACAGCAGGCCGTCAGCAAAGAGGAAAAAAGGTGCGGTGAGCGGCCGAGGATAGCGGCCCCGGGCCAGTCCAGATTCGTGGCGGCCAGTCGATCCCTACGAGTAGCCGCTTTGATTGACATTATAGACTACTCTGCACGTACTATGTAGTACGTCGTACTTTCGTTTCGATTGTTTTTTCGTTTATTTTTGTCTTATTTTTGTCTTTTTTTCATCTTTTTTTTTTCATCTTCTTTTTTCATCTTTTGCTCTTTGTGTCATTTTCCTGAGTACACAAGATGCCGCCTCAACCTCTCCTTGCCTCCTACTGGTTCATCAGTCTAGAAAGACCCCGCGAGGGAGGTCGGCGACCTGTGTGGTCGGCGATCTGTGTGCATGCAGAGCCTGGATCGGCAAGGTTGAACTGGGGGGGCGGGTCGCTCTACAAACTCCGTAGTACACAATCAGTAAGATACCTCCTTACCCCTGGTCCCCCTATACAAATTCAAACATTGCACAGGCCAGTAGCCACACTATGGTTGGCCGGGTCCGAGCAAGCGTAATTACCATTTTTAGAGGCCGCGCTCAATGTCTGAGAGCAGTGAGACACGAAGCACGAGCCTGCGACCGAGGTAATAAAAAGACAATAATACATACTCGTAGGGTGGGCTCTCTGTGGAGCGCTGTGCTCGTTTGCCATACTGGTATGTACTTGTACGCCGAAAAGACGATCCTGTCCGTCTGGCTGCCTGGCCGATCCCTGCTTCCTCGTCGTGTAAGTTGAACGTTGACACTTGCACGAATATGCACCCTGCACACATGCTGCAGCCAAGTGGCCGCAGCGCGTGGTCCAGACAATTATTGAGTCCGCTGCTTCGGTGTGCAGCCAGACGAAGCAACGATTGCGCGAGGGGGGTAAGGCCCCAGCAAGACCGCCTCCTCATCCCGGAGATGGTGCCTGGCGCTCGCCAAACTCGCCTGGCGAGGCTGCACATAGACCGGAGGCTGCCATCACGCTCAGCACTTGCCGCTACTGCCGCTGCTGCCACGGTCTTGACAGCAGCTGCCGTCTGTTGGCGCCGGCCGGAGGGCCTCGATCTTCTCGAGAGCGGGAAAAAGGAAAAAAAGGAAAAAAAAAGAAATATGACAGAAAGACAAAAAGACAAAAACAAAAACAAAAGAAACAAAAGAAACAACAGGAAAAACAGGGAAAACAGGGAAAACAGGAAATCGGGACATCGGGGAATCAAGCCGCCTTCTTCCATCCTCACCACACCACCCACGTCTGAATATGCGAGCACGGCATCAGGCTAAACTCGTTCCCAGAGTCCGAACACTTCACAGCCAGTAGTCTCTAGGTCCATCGCGGACGTCCTTCGCCCCCCCTCCCCCTCCCGACGGGCGCGTCCGTGGCGGTCCCTACTGGCTCTCACCTCCCACTGCTCTTCGGATGCAAAATCCTCTCTCGGCCAGAGGCGAGGCCGTATCTCCTATCCTCACACCCCATAGGAATACGCCACGCCGTTTGTGCTAGCTGGTCTGATGGAAATCATTTGCTTGCATGGCGTGAGTTCTCTGCGGAAATATTGGGGGAAAAGTCGGGCCGCTATGGCTGACCCCTTATTCTTCCTCTTTTCTCCAGTGCGCTTGTCTTTTTCCACATCTCTCCTGGACTACTCCTAAGGCTCTTCTGGCCTGCCAATTCTCCGTACAGTAGTCAATCGTGGCCCGGCAGACCCTCGTACGAGGCACGTTGGGGCATGGACCATGACCAAACCGTTGGAAGTAAGCCCGTTTCTCTCTCCTCTTGCCGCATGCCGTTGGGCAAAGTTGGGTCTCGACCATGTGCACCGACGCCCCTCTCCTGAACGTTGGGTGAGGACCCAGCTCAAATATCTCTCCATCGTCCCTGTCGAGCCCATTCTTTCCATGCAGGTGTTATCATTCACACCGGAAGCTGCTTGCAGAGCTGCATACCGCAACATGTCTCAGCATGCCATGTGGTTATTGTAGACCGACTGTTGGTCGTCTGATGTCTTAGCAACTGCAGCCAGGGTCGAAGCTTTCTATTTTCGCTGATCCCAATTCTAGCCCAGTCGGCATCATACGTCGTTGTCTCCCTGTCTCTTTCCTTTTTGTCCCCATGTTCATTCCCGAGTATCTTGGCAATATCAACCTGCGTTCTTGTATGCAAGATACTTGGATGTATGTATATTGCGCTTCGTACTGATTGATGCGGACCTTGAGATCCAGTACTGGCATCTATCCTATGCTCTTTTGTCCCTCTAGGATGCCGATGCCTCAAAGGCCGGAAACCGCACTGCGCCAGCCCCAGCTGCCCACGTCGTCGTCATTGAGCATCACCATGTCGGCGGCTTTGCAAATCTCAATGGCTACGTGCCGTACGGCCATGACCTCTGCCACTGTGGCGCCGCCATTGAGCGCACCTTTGAGATGACCCTTGAGCTGGGGATTGACCTGGTACAGATTGTTGTATCAGCCGAATCGTATTGATTTCCTTTGATCTTCTTCTAGGCACCGTCTCTGTCGTCCAGACATGCTTTCTTTTCCCAACTCACATCTTGGGGAATGAGACCGGCAATCATCACAAAGGATGTCTCGGCTGAGTTCAGAATGTCCGTGTTGCTCAACACGTACCCGTATGCAAGCTGTGCCGTCAAGCTTAGATCGGGCGTGCCACAGCGATCCATCTGTCCCATGACTCTCGTGGCCACCTTTCCGTAGATCCTGTTGAAGAAGGACTGGCCACGCTGCAGAATTTGCGCCGATGAGGTATAACAGAGGTCACCGGAACGAGACGCCGGCGAAAAGCCTATTGGCGCATCGACAAGGTCGTCTGGGGTCACCGTGGCCAGCTCCATCATGGCATTGATCGTCTGCTAGGCCGGTTTACAGACAGTCAGACAATCAGACACATTTTTGACAGAAATCAGACGGGCAATCTATCAGACTGCATCTGCATCATATACTGCACCTCTCAACTGTGACCAACCACAAAAGACTACTCAAAAACCCACACATCTTGAGATCAATTTACCTTGGGCATTCCACCGACTGCTGCTGTCTTTATAAGTGCGTCACGCATGCGTCGCGATACATGCAGCTGCTCCTCGTTCGATGCATGCTCGATGGCGTAAAGATACACTCTTTGAATTTCCTGTGGCCGATTTAGGACGCACAAGACTGTCGACGCTATAAAGTACCACGTGTACTTTGGCAGATCCCGCTGGCTTGCAATGGCTTCCAGAAATTCAGGCGTCATAATGGCCATCTTGGAGGAAGCCATTCGAAAATCTATTTGCAAAGAGGACTGATCCAGAAATCACACAACAGACAATCAGATATGAGGACCTCGGAAAGTTGTGACCCAAGAGAATCCAAGCCTGAGTCTCAAAAATTTACGAGCGCTGGCTCCAACAAACAAGCTCTAGAATATAAACTTTGATAACGGCAGATCTTGTACTCGATGATAGGGTTCTGAAGCACTGGAGCATCGCTGAAGATAGCCGGAACCGGTCGATCTTTGAACCGAAAGCCCCATTTTTACTATCATCACGTGACTGTAGCTCTTACCAGCCGCGTCATAAGACAGGCTTATGAACAGCCAAGGTGTCTTTATCGACGATATCGCCTTTAGCTGTCCATTTTGCCGAGGAGGGGGGCTGGATTCCAAACACAGCATCGCGCATCCGTGTTCCAGAAAGACGGCAACATACTGCTGCACCTTCTTCCAGGAGACTCGCAGACTTGCTGGCGGGTTTCTGCACCAGTTTCAATTGCGACATCAGAACCGGAAATTCGGCACCCATTCAACCACCGAGAAGACGAGCAGACATCGGCCACACAACGTTGAGAGCACTTCGGGATGCGCCTAGCGTGGTATGCTGGGGTAAGTGGATGGGAGGAGAACAGGCGCAGCTGGTCGGGACATAGCTAACGGTCTTCTTTCTCATGCCACAGGCCTCTACGGCTTTAGCGGCCGGCGTGATCGTCTCGGCCTTTCACCAGCGGGCCAACTTCTACTCGGCCACAGTCCATCTGTTCCAGAGCAACCTGAGTCTCATGGTACGTGACTCGTTCATCCCTCTGCTCCGTCCTTGTTGCGGCTGACCGGTGCTTCCGATGCGCACGCACAGGTACTCGTGAACCTCACCATCCTTCTGTACTCGTCCCTCGTATACGGGCTGCAACGAATATGCTACGGTCGGCTCCGCGCGGTCGAGGTCGAGCAGCTGTACGACAAGGCATGGTTTGCCGTGACGGAGACGTGCCTGGCCATGACCATCTTCCGCGACGAGATTGGTGGGTCGTTTATCGTGCTCTTCGTGGCCCTGCTCACCGGCAAGGTCTGGGGTTGGATTGGCGAGGGTCGCGTGGAGGCGCTCGAGCAACAGCCACCGGCGAATCCGCGGCTCTTCCACATGCGGCTCAGCGTGTCCCTCCTGCTCAGCCTAGGCTACGACCTGCTGCTGCTGCGCTTTGCGGTGCGCACAGTGATCCAGGCAGCACGAGCCGACATGATGGTCATGTTCCTGTTCGAGTTTGCCGTCCTCTTTATCGCGTCGCTGCACATGGCCTCGCGCTACATGATTGTGCTGATGGACATCAACATCATCCGGAAGCAGACGCGGGACCGGTTGCAGGCCCGTCGCCAGCAGGTGCGCGAGGAGCGGGAGGAGGTGCTGCGGCGCCGCGAGGCCGGCGAGGCCGGCGAGCCGGACGACGGGCTGCCGCTACCAGACGAAGACGACATTGACGAGATGGACATTGAGGTGCCCGGCTGGGAGGCCAAGGGCCAGTATGTCCTTGGACTGGACCTCTGGACAGGTGCGTACGAGAAAGCGAGAAAGCGAGAAAGCTGGTTGCTGACAAACGTCCAGACTTTGTCAAGCTGTGCCTCTACGCCACGTTTTTCTTTGTGCTGCTGACATTCTACGGACTGCCGCTGCACATCATTCGCGACCTCTTCATGACGGTGCGGTCGTTCATCAAGCGCCTGGGTGCACTCATGAAGTACCGGCAGGCGATGCGGGAGATGAACAGACACCCCGACGCGACGGAAGAGGAGCTGTCACGAGAGAACACGTGCATCATCTGTCGGGAAGATATGCATGTATGGGATGCCAACGACACGACGGCGGTCGAGCGGACGCGGCCGAAGAAGCTGCCCTGTGGCCATATTCTGCATCTGGGCTGTCTCAAGAGCTGGATGGAGCGGCAGCAGGTGTGTCCGACCTGTCGACGGCCAGTGACGGTCCACGAAGAGACGCAGAACCGGAATGGAGATGCGGTCCTCTTCCGGCTGGGGCTGAACGTGCGTGGCGATCAGGGAGGCGACGGAGGCGCGGCTGATGGTGTGAACGCGGCGGCACAGAACCAGGGAGCTGCCGGAGTTGCTGGGGTTGTTGGGGCTGCGGGCAGACTCCCTGCTCCAAACGGACAAGCGGGCGCCCACGTGAATGGCCAGCTGGCCGACGGTCAACGTGGCGCGGCTGCTGTCAGGATGTTCAACTTTGGGCCCTTGAGGCTGGGCATCGCCCAGGGAGGGATCCAGGACATACAGCAGATGGCTCAGCGTCTGGGCATCCCGGCGGCTGTGGCTGGAGCCGGAGCCGGAGAAGGGGCAGGAGCGGGTGTTGGTGCTGGTGCTGCACCCCTTCCAGAAGCTCCGTTGCCAGGTGTACTGCCAAATGTACTGCCAGGCGGACTTCCTGGCGGACATCCATTCCACGGAATGGCAGACCCGCTGTCGCCAGAAGCGATCCTGGCCGACATTCAGGCGATCGAGCAGCGCGTCGATATGGTTCTGCGGCTGATGCAAAATGCATCTCTAGAAGCCCAGAACATGCGACACGTGATGACAGAATACATTCGTCTCCGACAAGGCCAAGAACCCACCGGTCCAACCACAGCTGCTGCTCCCGCGACTGCAACGACGCCTGTCCGACTGGCAACAGACGCGACGGCACCCCCGATCCACGCAGGCAGCCCAGAGCTGCCAGCAGGCGTGCAGATCCCAACAGGCTGGTCGCTGATCCCGCTGCAGCGTGCGAGCGAGATGTCAACAGCAGCCGCAGAGACAGCAGTGCCTGCAGTCCCAACCGAACAGCAGGCTAGCGGGTCCTCTAATGGGGCCGAGACGGCAAACACAGATTCGTTGAGCGCAGGGCCTAGCTCACAGGGAAGCCAGACAACGTCTGCAGCCTGGAGGGAATCTGCACCGCTGCGGAGTCGAGTCAGCAGCGCCAGCAGTAATGCTAGCGAGAGCGGCAGCAGTAGCTCGGGCTCGGACGGCCAGGTGGCAGCAGCTGGCGCCGACATGAGCAGCTGAGAGAGAGAATGTACCATCACCCAGACGCTTGGTGTGCCTTCCGGAGTTGGAAGCCTTTGTAATCAACTATTTACTCTTCCTGCCATTGGCCACTAGTGACGTAATCAGCAACGCATGAAAATTTCTATATGATACGTTTGTCGTAAGCCCAGGTCACGTCACCCAGGCTCGCCTACTCCTCGACGTGCACGTCCTGGCCGAGCGGGACGCCTCGCCGCTGTTTTTCCTGGACGCGTCGCTGAATGCGGGCGGTAGCCTCGGCCACCCAGCGGTCGTAGGCGGCCGGGTCGTCCTGGCGCAGCTTGGCCTCGACGACGCCCTCGAGCACCTCGTGGGCGAAGCCGACAAAATTGTGGCGGCGCAGGGTGTTTTCGAACTGCCACGCGCGGCGCTTGCGGGTCTCGGCCGCGAGCAGGTCGGCGTCGCCGAAAGCGCGGGCTTGCAGCCGGCGGTCGCGCACAGCGGCGAGCAGATTGAAGTGAATTTCATCGGCGCCGTAGCGAGCGATACGGCGCTGAACGGCAGCGATGGCAGCTTCGGCAAAGGGGAGAGAAGAGCCGGAACCGGAACCACATGGCCCATGATCAATCGGCGCCGGCTGCAGGCCATCCAGCTCGTACAGACGGCCATCCACGGCCGTGTAGGCAATAAAATGGTAGACGTCGTCGGCATCGTCAGCCGATGTCGGCCGTTGCGTCTCGTCGACAAACGGACTGCTCTTGGCAAATGAGTTGTGCACGTCGCGGATCGGCTCGTCGTTGCTCAGCGCCTCGCCGCGCAGATCTGGCGGCAGCGCCATGGCAAACTCTCGGAATGCCCGCAGGTGTGGCCCCAGGTCCAGCCCATCCTCCTCGCTCGCTTTGTTCAGCAGCACCGATAGCAGCGCTTGCGTGCCGCACGCGTTCTGGATCGTCTGCTGTGCAAAGAACAGCCGGCCGTCCGAGCCGATCTCGTAGTCGAATTGGCCGTCGCGTGGTCCCCCGCCATCGCTCACATACGGCGTGTTCGTCGGGAACTTGAACAGGAAGATGATGCCGTAGACCGGGTGCAGTTCCGCCAGCGCCTGCGCGTCCAGCGACAGCAGCTCTTCGAACTGCACGCCTTTGACCCCTAGATTCTCCAATAGGTACGTAAAGACGCCCTGTTGCATCACGTCCGCCCAGCCCCGTCAGCCTCTCTCTCTCTCTCTCTTTCTCTCTCTCGTTCTTCGCATCGGCTGCATCCGCATTTCTTTTTTGTCTCCACTTTCACTAAAACTCACCGCATCGGACTCGACTGCCAGCCGGCATTCTCTTGTCAGCCCTCCATCTCCCTCAAGCTCTTCAGCCCCGGCCTCATGGCTGGTTCGCCTACCATAGAAGCTGCTTACTCGTATTCCACCCTCCGGTGCTCATCTTGACGATCTGGGAGAAGTGGACCTTCTACCAGCCGCTTTTCTCGATTAGAGGATCGTGCTGTCGCCAGAAGGAGTCCCCTTTAGCAACAAGACGAGTAAAGGGCGTATGCGAAGCTGACCACCAATATGTGCGTCCGTAGGCCGCGTTGTGCAAATGCTGCAATATCGTGTGTGCCTGAGAAAGCTCTAGCCGTTACGCAGCTGCTGCCAGGGCGCTGCCTACAAGATAGCTCCACTTGCGGGGGAGGCCACTCCGGTGGGGCCGTCTCAGGCCAGAAATTCAACTTGTCTCGGCCCTTCATTTATCCACTACGGCAGACCTCTCCGGCTTCCCTTTTGCTAAGCAATTCGTCACAATACATTGAAGAATAGCAATATCGCCTTCTCGCCCATACATCAGTCCCCATCCTCGTCGTCTTTCCATCTGTCTTCCGTCTTTAACTTCCTTCTTGTCTCCCCAACGTATTAGAAGCAATGTTTTTTGTTCGTATGTCTCTCTCTCGCTGACACAGCCGTCCACCGTCTATTAACCGGCATGGTTCGTAGCCATTAAAGCTGGCTTCGGAGCTGCCACAGAGCCGGCCACCCGATCACCAATTTCTGTTGATCCGCCGGCCGACGTACTGTGTATATCGTGCAATGATTCTTCGTTATCTCCCCCAGGAAACGCCGACTCGTTGTCTCCACGGATACTTTCCTTTCCGCCCCAATATGATCGTCGTGAGAAAAGACGGAAGGCAGTTGGCTTCTTCCCGGCCGGCTTCCAAGTCCAGTACTCCTTCAAGTCATACTCGCGAGGCTCAATCGCTCCTCCCGTTAGTCGAATAACCACCCAGATCAGACTGTTGAGGATAATGTATACAAATAGTCCCCTGTACAGCGTATTAGCAATCATCTTGATAGGGGCTGGATGGGGTACTGACGCCATTAGGCCGTACGCAACACTGTAGCTAAACGGCATAAAGACAATGGTGACGAACGACGGTATTGCATCGCCAATATAGTTCCAGTTGATAAACGTTACCTGTCGGATCATGAGACAGCCAACCTGTTCCAGAATGAGCATATACTAGCACTGGACGTCTCGAAAACCACTTACCACAATCAGTGTCGTGCCTGTCGCCCATGGTGGAACTGATGCAAAAATCGGAGAGAAAAATATAGAAATGATAAAGCAGAGCCCAGTCACCATGGCCGTCAGGCCTGTGCGGCCGCCTTCCGCGATGCCAGCACCGCTCTCGATAAAAGCCGTGGAAGGCGAGCACCCAAACACAGATCCAATGGAAATGAAAATGGCATCCGTGCAGTAGGCCGCAGTTGATCGTGGAAAGTCGCCGTCTGGGCCTGTTTTGCCGCTAAATCGTGCCATCGAATATAAAGTCGCCGTGCAGTCGACAATGTCAACGTATAAAAACGTGAACAGTGCAACAGCAAAGTGCGCGCCGCTCGCGCCGCTCAGATCCCATTGCTGAACACCAAGGATGTGCTTGATCGGTGCAAATGCGACCACCTGTCGGAAGAAATTCCATCGTGTATCGCCTTCATATGTGTGGGGGAAATACGTAACGGTCGTGTTGCGCCTGCAGCTAGTCAGCCTCGCTTTCTGCTTCCAGGCAGCATATCGCGAAAATATGCAAGCTTACGGCCACGATACGACAGTCGCGAATGCAATTCCGATAATTATTGCCGCTTTCACTCGAAATGCCATGAGCAAAGCCGTTAGAATGCCTCCAGCAATCCCGAGCCACATCTGTGCATTTCGACACATTGTCAGCTTGTGCTCTGTGCCCAAACCAAATATACGCCAAAGGTCGGATCTACCTTCGGATTTCGCATCACGTTGGCCATACAAGTACCGTCTATGTCAATGTCTTCCTCGGGGCAGCCGCTTATGGCAAGAGGCGTTGCCAACCCCCCTCCTGACACAATGCCTATGCCCGATGCATATGACATGCCCGCAAGAGCGAGAAACATCCCAATTCCAACCCCACTGGCTGTCTTGAGTGTTCCCGGGATGATTTTGATGAGCCATTGTCGCATCCCGGTTAGCGCAAGAAAGAGAAATATGAAGCCTTCAACAAAAACGGCTGTGAGAGCTAGTCGGTAGGGGACGGGGCCCTGGCCAGACACACCGACGACCTGGTATGTGAAGTATGCATTGAGTCCCATTCCAGGCCTGTATGTGTCAGCCGCAGAAGATTATGCGCCGTGCAGGACGGTGAAGGAAAGCACTGAACATACGCCAGGGAGACCGGAAGATTTGTTACAAAGCCGAAAACCATGGAAGCGAGGCCAGAGACAATCGCGGTGGCGGTGATAAAGTCCCGATGAAGCTCTTCACAAGTAGTCCTATTAGCAGGATATTTATCGTTAATTTCATATCGAAAGTTGGCTATCTTACCGTCCTTACAAGTCCTGAAGTTGGCGTTGTTACAGTCTCCATCAGACATACGATCACTGCAAACACAAGTTCCATCGGTAGAAGCAAGAATAGAAGCCTAGCCATAGCATCAGTTGACTCTATAAGGGCCATGAGTAGAGCCGATAAAGGACGCATTACTAACGTTGACGGCAATTATATATGCCATGGTTGCAAATGTCGTGAGGCCTGCGCGAATCTCTGTGGCAAAGTTTGCATGGCGAATCTCTTCAGACTAAAGATCGAGGAACGCAAACAATCAGCCTGGTCCCAATGACTGATCTGGAAGGACGTTTGCGAGGCCAAAATCAAAGGCAAAGAAGACGTACGTGAGCACAGCCTCGGAGCCTGAAGATACGGCCAAACTTGGACTTGTTAATTGCCTCATTGATATTGGCCAATCGGTCTCTGATGTTGCTGATCCGGTATCTTATGCCACCCTCGAGGAGTCCGCTGAAGATCATCTTGGATATGTGCTCAGATAAAGCCTCCCTGTCCTTCACAATCCAGATGGTGAATAAGGGAATGTGGTGACTATATATCCGAGCGCCTCGAATTGATTGTTGAAAGAGAGCTGCTAGGAAGCCAAGGGTGCATGCTAGCATGCGATCAGCTGTGGGAGGAGAGTGCTGGTGATATCAACTGATTGAATTGATGCAAAATCCACAGTTTTTGCTGTTACACGATATCTTAAGAGCAGAGCCGATAGACTTGAGATCAAAAAGGGAAGGCACGATGGTGATTGGATCATGTAAACTACCGCCAGGTGGTTGAAAGCTGAAGGTACGCGATGGGTTTTTAACAAGAATTCTGATAATAATGGCAAACAGAGTATTAACTCAGCGGTATTTCCACCAAAGATGAAAGCTTTCACCTTATAAAGCCGATGTACAAAGAGTTTGCTTAAGCTGCTGCCTGACCAATTCCATATACTCTTCTGTACTCTGCTCATTCCTCATGAAATTGCCGTCATCATAATCAGATCTGAACTACCAAACGGGGCCGAATTTCTAACACACATGCAGATGACCGCAGCAATTCTGTGCTAGTCTCACCTAGTCTTGAAGTTCCAGACAGGCTCTTTGGGTGTTTTGGGGGGAAGGGAAATGGCTATGGTGGCACGTCGCTTCTTGAAAAGAGAAGCGGAACGCCGAAGATGCTAGATACAGTGGCAACAGCCAACCAGCATGGTTTGTATTCACTAGTATTGCTGTAGTGAAACAACGCGAGAAAATAGTTCGCATGAGGCGAGAAAAAAGGCCCCGGTATGGCCGCAATAGGTCAACTACCTCCGCTGTACGAGCACAGGCTCATGCTGTACGATTGACACGAAATCGATAGCGCAACGAGCAATATCGTGCAGAGTTTGGCAGATTGGACAGGGTTTAGAAGAGTTTCAATGCACAGACGTGGACTATTTCGGCGAGATCTCCAGCTGTAGGCCACCTGGCCTCTCGTGGTAAGGCATCCCCTTGGAACAACAAGGAAACGAGAGTCTGGCCAAGCATGACCTAAATCTACTCTTCATCCCGGTGAGACCTAAGGCAAGCGGTGCTTTGGCGTTAACCTAAACATAAGCATCCTTTACGCCATGATCCTTTGCTATGCAGGCTGTTCCGAAGAATAAGCCAGTCACTCATACTCAAGCCCAGAGTATTCCTAAATCGAACAAGCTGACAGGATTTACGGAATACTGTCCGTGATATCCCCTACCGTTCCGCAAACAGGTTTCCAATGCTGGGAATCCAATCGTACGTTGTAGCTATAGATGACCTCTTATCTGCTTTCCGGATTTATGAATGCACGGAGTACAGAGATCTTGGAAGTTAGATATTCACGTTTATATACGGTAAATTGTGCTGGATTAAATATAGCTGTATTACTGAATCTCCCGAGACAAGTATTATTGTGGAACTTTCAGTGCCTCTGAAGAACTTCGAGGAACCGCAAGGAACTCGTTATGGATGGCACTCGATGCGATATATATTGTAGACTACGTTTCACCAAGCCCGACAACTTATACTAAGAGCAAAATCAGACGCACGAAGTCGATTTAAGCCATAAATTGATGTCCAGATTACTATGTTTATATATTACGGATCGTCTACATTATTAACAAATTGAATAGAAAGGGCACTCCGTCCTAGCAAGGAAACGTTTTTGTTACGCCGTACTGTTCTTGATTAGAGATCATAACTGATATCTATTGGCGACCAATTATGATCCTCTTCACAATACGCGCACATTGTCTCGCTCTTGTCCGAGGATGGGATCCGAGCGAGAGATGGGTAGCACGACTGTCAACCATGTTCCTTCGGCGTTTGCATCGTACAGAATCAGTAGATGCTAGATCCATATATTCCAGAGTAAGCTGATTGAGTTATATACTTTGGCTCGTCGGCTTTTCATATAGGGAAGACCGACGGACATCCTTCTTTTGCTGACTGCCGTGTTTCTCACAACTCGTTCTGCCAGTTGTTTATTCTAAACGTCTCTGTTGTTGTAGCTCTGTCTAAGTTGACTATTCTGGGTCCAGGCGATTTTTGACTTTAACTGCGATCTGATCGGCTCCTTAATCTCAGACCGTGTCACACTTTAGACTCCTTTTGTCGGCTATCACCTCCACCTCACATTTTTGTCACCTTACCATTTGATTCTAGACAGTCTTCAACTGACGATCATCTGACTCAATCTTGTTCAACACAAAAGGTCGATCGGCTGTTTTCTTTGGCTTAGTCCCCACCGTGGCTTGCAGCCTCTCTCCTGGTGCCTGCGATTCTGGGTACACTTATCAAAATATCTCTCGTCTTTATACGGAAACTTGCATTGCTTTCTTAGCGGTCCAGTGATATTATAATATTTCTCTCACGACTTTGACTTGAATGGAGCGGCCCGGTACGCCCACACGAAGTCGTCACACCCACAACACGCTCTTTCTCCTACTATCAAATTACAGTCTGCCGAACACAGCTGCTTTAACAAAATGAAAATCAATATACATTCGTACAGCAGATTCAACTTCAGCAATTAGTGGTTGACAGTTCTCAAAGACAGAATCGGTTCAAGTGAGCCCCGACTTAGACTTCGTGACAGATTATAGGGTCATACTATCGCATCATTCCCAATATACTCCAAACACTTTTGCAGGAGAAGGCAATTCATACTCTTTTACCAACGAACATTCTCGACGTCGTTCGCCGCATGCACTGACGCACTTTCTCTGCCAAGGCTAGCTACAGTACGACGACCACTTGTGCAGATAACTGCAAACAACCATGTTTGATGTTGTTTGGGCGGACCCCGAGCGGGAGCTTGTGGGGCAGAGGAAGGCACGGCGAGAATTGGAGAAGAAAAGTGAAGATGGCAGGAGTAGTGGGAGGCCCAGAGCATCAGTCAGAAGCGGATCCTCAACACAGAGCAGAAAATCCCATAGCTTCTTCTCAGCCATGCGCCTGAGGACAAAAACCAAACGCCAAACACAGTCTATTGCATCAAGCTCCCAGATTTCTGGCTGCAACATGGTAAACGGGGCTCAAAACGCAGATCCGTCATCACCTGGTCTGCTTCAGGGAGAGGAGTCGACCCAGGACTTCGTCGGCACCCATCACGACAACTACCTTGAGTCCTCTAGCAGCTCACAGGACAGATCATCGATAGACGGTAAGAGCACTGCATCTGTCCAGGGGACTGCAAATTGGATTATCTTCTGACTTTTGCATGGATTCTGTAGATTCAATTCTCTCCAAGTGGACGGTCCCGATTTCGCTGATGACCATATTGTCCCTCGATGAAGAGCCTACTTCAGAGGAAGAACAGAAAGCCTTTTCCTCTGACAACAGGACACAACTGACACATGATAGCGCAGAAGCATTATCAGCAGGGCTGGGGAATGAACTGTCGGCTGATACGAGAGCATTGTCTCCTTCCCAGTCACCTCCAACAACACCAGTGAAGCGGCGAAACAAAACGTGCGTAGCCTTTCTCTGTTCATGACTTTCGCCGAAAAGAGTGATGTAATTTAAATTCTCATTGATTTCATATCACAGATCTCAGTCACCGGTGACTTCGAATAGCCTTCCAGCCTCCCAGAAGAGGGTGCAGAACAGAGCCCTGTTTAGTCTGCCAATCGAAAGCCTGCCGGAAGCAACCTGCACGATACCACCACGTCCATTGTTGGTTAGGGAAGGGGTGGAAGAATTGCACCCTCCCGAGTCTTGGAAGTGCAGCAACCCTCCGGCCAGTGTGATGATCGGATCGGAATCGGAATCATTGCCATCGGCATCTTCCTACTATTCGGAAGAGTCAATTTCGGCCTCGCAAGACGAAAGATTAGTTTCCCTGTCTCTCGATCTCTCAGGCATGCAGAGGGAGGTTCTTCAGATGGCAGCTGCAAGCCACGAGACCTTCTTGAGGCGGCTGACGGAGGAATGGGGCAACTCATCGGACGCGGCTTTGTACAAAGAGCTAGAAATGGAGAAAAAACGCTGGATGCTGTCTGCTCTCCACAGAATCAACCCACCAGCAGATAGGGGGGTCGCACAGGTTCCTCGAGCTGACCGACGCATTCTGGCTTTTTTTGAAAGCCACGGTGGGTTCATCGTCTCGTCTGGTCCGTGGAGACCATCAACTAACGCATAGCTAGCAACGACATCGTATATTGCAGCTATGAATGTGGGAGTCCCGGTCCACCATATGTCGCCAAATCCTCTCTCTAGTCGACTGTTTCCGAACGTGTCGCCAATGGTGTTTTTGTCAGTGCCGTGCATGTCCATTTCAGTCGCACCGCAGATGTTTTCAGATATCTACGCGCAGACACTTCCGGTCCTCCTTTCTGCCGGAGAGATCCCGTCCTTGTTGCGCAGCATGCATTGTGTCCTCAAGCCGCTAGGCACGCTGCACCTAATTCTCATGGACCCCCTACCAGTGGAGGCAACGCTGGGACCACGGATGAGGGCTTGGCTGGAGGAACATCTGCTGATCAATTTAGAGCGACAGTTTCGGTGCGTAAACCCGACAACACAATTTCTGCCGTGGCTCCGGGACGCACATTTCCAGCTTGGAGAGGGTGACAAAGTGGTGAGCAGGTTTCCGGCTGCTTTGCCTGACGTGTCTGGTGACAGCAGCATTTCCAGAGAAGTGTCTTCAGTCAAATTGGGCAATGGAAAGGGCAAAGAGAAGGCCGATAAAAACGAACAAGGCACAAACGACAGGCAGCTCCGACTGCTTCACAATATTGTTGGACAGAAGCTGTGGCAGGATATATGGGGGTCATATGTGACGGCAGACCGGTGGTGGTGGGAGGATGCGTTGTGCCGCGAAGAATGCCTCAGACTGGAGACAGCGTGGGAGTATCACATCCTGGGTGCCGTCAAAAAGAGCATGGCGCCAGGGGGTGGAAGGAACTAGATGTGCTACTATATGTGCGAAGTAATAGATCAGATGACAAAGACAAGATGGGACGATTAGATCTGAAAGCAGGAGAGATCACTCGAGGCTAGTTCAAGGCACACAATCTTTGAAGCAGCATATCCCATGGACACGATGTCTTCCCAAACATACTTCAGCTGCCTAGCGATTTCGTGCGGACGACGGCGAATTCTTTCACGCTCTCGTTCTCGTAGCTCTGTTCCGACTGGCCGCGGCTGCTGGAACTGCCGTAGCCATCGCCATCACCATCACCATCACCATCACCATCACCATCACCATCACCATCGACTGCATAATGGCTACCGACCGTCCGGACGAGCATCTCGTCGCTATCTCTGCGGCTCCGGGCGCCTGGCATTTTGAGCTGGGTTGCCTTGGCGTCGACACGGACCAGGTGGATATCGGTGTGCAGCTGTTTCTGTTCACTTGGATGGAGCTGTTGTTGCTGCTGATTCGATCCTTGTGCTCCTCGCAGCCAGCGTTGCCTGCGGTTGCACTGGGCCTCAGCGGTGACGTCATCCCACAGCGTGCAGACAGCCTTCCACGACGTGACGACGTAGATGATGGCGTTCCAAAAGCCCTGCAGCGGCAGCACAAAGGCGCTCATGTACTCGAGCGGCACCGAGACCTGGTCTACATGGACGACAGAGAAGACGCGGTTTGCACTCGAGGGAATCCACGTGACCAACAGTGCCGTGAAGAATAGCAGTGCGCACTTGGCGTACGCCCAGGCCGCACTGTTGGCCTCGTAGGCGGCACGGCGACGCATGCGCTGGCTGGCTGGATTGCGGATGGTTGCCGTGGCCGTGGCCGTGATCGTGGCTGTGGTCGTGGCCTTGACAATGCCGCCAACAGCAGCAGCATCGTCAGCATCGTCAGCATCGGCCTCACTGCCCACGACTACGACGTCTGGCCACCTGTCGGATGAGATGGTGACGACACAGGCTGCTGCTTGACCGTCTAGATCTGCTCCCTTTGCACCTGCTGCCATGACATCGCTGGATTTTATGACCGAAGGGCGGCGGCCTAAAGGCGCTAGGTTAATGTCCTGTTGGCCCTGCGGGTGCCCGAAAATTTCGGTGGTAACGACAACTTCGGTCATCTTGGTGGTGCCGTACATATCGTCGGAAGGCGGAAGCGGCTCGACGTCCTGGTGGCTGCTGCTGTACTGAAAGTCACGCAGCTGCTTGTGCTTGTGGTAGATCTCGCGACCGGCGCGAATGTAGATGAAAAAGGTCACCAGGATGACGACCCAGACGGGGCCGTAAAAGGTGGCAATGCGCCAGGCATCCCAGCTCGAGCTGACCCAGCACCACAGCGTTGCGTTGCCGTACATTCGGCCATGTTGCCGGTCGTCGACAAAGACGTACGCGATCGCCACCACAAAGGGCACGCCGTAGCAGCAGGCAAGGTACGGTGTCTCCATGCGGCGCAGCTTTTGCGCGTCAAACTTGCAGTAAATGGTCAGATAGACGTTGATGGCCATGGCCAATGTCCAGAAGGCGTCTGCAGGCATAAACCTGGGATGGGAGGGTGACGTATCAGTTTTCTGTTCTTTCTTTTCTTCTTTCCCCCCAAGACCTGCTTACATCTGGATGAGAAAGGCTTGGAACTGACAGCCTGGCGACTGTGGACGGTCAATGTACGAGCGAGCCATCAGCGTGGCCACGTTGGTCATCATATTTCCAAACGAGGCGTAGAAGACGAGCCTGTTGATAGGCTTGTGAAAGGACTTTGACGCGCAGAACGTGCTGATGACGAGGATGCTGCCGAGAAGCGAGAACACAGAGCAGACCCGCTCTGTGACACTGAAGCCTCTCAACTGTGAGTCGGTCAGGGTCTGTGCATCCATGTTTGATTTTGTTGGACAGAAATGAAGAAGCCTGGTGTTTGATCAGAATGCCGCTACATCGTCTCTCATATAAGAGAAATCCTGAGAACAAAGAAGAGAGGAGATGCCAAGAACGCTCGTGCGAATAAGACGCTTGATAAAGAAATTGGGGGTTCGAAAGGTAGACAAGCAGGACAGGCAGTTTGGATGCCTTGCAGAGGCTGACAATCTTCCTGTATAGATTGCATTGTGCGCACAGGGAGCAGCAGAAGAAGAGGGGGGGGAAACAACACAAAGCAAGCATCTTACCAGACATAGTGCCGTACGGAGTAATCTTTGACGCTCCTCCCCCCCTTTCTCCTCCTCAGATCTGTTCCTCTGCCTCCTCTGCCTCCTCTGCCTCTCATAGGCCTCTCAACCTGACAGGGGCCACGTCGGGGGGTCCACTCGACCAAAGATAATGCCCTTGTCTCCAGCCGTTCAGCAGGGGGTGCATTCGGGCGAGAGGCAGTCTGGAAGACACTCTTTGTTCCAGAGAAAGGTAGCAAAATCCCAGTGACTGTAGATGCACAGCCGCCAGAAAGCATGGCCTCGCGGAAAGATCCAACATCTGATACAATCTGCAACAGCAAACATGACACATACCAGTCATCAGCGGATAGAAGACCAGGCGGATCTCCTCTTGCAAGCCCAGCTGAGAGATAGCGCCATCATCCGTGTCTCGTCCCCTTCTCCACAGCAATGCCCGCACATCCCGTCTCTGGTAATACGACGTCGCCGGTGGGACATGGGGCAGGCTTGGGGTAATCAGAGAAGAAATATGTCCTCACATGCACGAGAGCGCATCAGGACCCGGACAAAATCCGACCATTCCTGTATGACCTCCAAGCCAAACTCGACACATGAGAAGCGACCGTTGAGTGAGAAAGCCGGCCCGAGTCGTGTTGGTTCCTGAGCGAAGGCGTGACTGCTGCATCTTGCCTTCTACTGCCCATCCGCTGCAGGGATTCCAGAACACTGCAGAGAGTGTGCAGTGGTATGCTACCGTAGCAGCAGTAGCAAAGATGGTGTGCAGGAATCCTTCAGAACGACGCTCTCGGGCCACAGGAGATGGGATAGTGAGGAGCAAAGAGGTGCGTGCGCACTCCTTCCTTCCTTCCCCGCACTAAACCCGCCCCCAGTGGCTCTTTCCCCAACTTTGCTCGCAGACAACACATCGCAATTTCAAAACGGCTTGCTTAGCTTCAGCTGCTACTAACATGCAATATTGGCACTTTGATTGCTCCCATCGTATATACCCAACCAGACATCCGAACAATGCCTCGCAACATGTGAAATCCCAGGGCGTACGGCGTAGAACTACGTCGCTTAGTCATCGTACAATCCCTCCCAAAACGCCGGTCGTTTGTGAAAAAGAAACAAGAATACCCAAACCAAGAAAACGGTGCCTTTCCTCTGGCCCTCTTCTCACTTCTGCGTTCGCCTCCGCAATTCAGTCCAGTGATCGCCGTTGTTGCCCTTTGCCAACTCTGTGATCTTGCTCGTCTTGCTCGTCTTGCTGCCGCTATCCTTGTCGTCAGGCCCAAACGACCGCTCGATGCCGTTGTTGCCTAGCAGAAAGTCGCCAAAGTACTTGAACGCGCTGAAGATCTCCTCGCCCGTTGGCACGATATCCGACGACGGTAGCAGGAAGCCGTAGCTGCCCGTGTCGCGCAGCTTGATCTGGTAGCTATAGCGCGCGTGCATCTCGTGGTAGAACCAGTCGATGGCCGAGCCGCCGCCCGACTCGATACGACCCAGCGCCGGCTCACCCGACGACCAGTCGCCCATGCTCAGCACGCCCTCGCACGCCGACGAGATGCTGTACAGCTCGCCCGTCGACAGCCGAATGGCCTTGGCCAGCCCAGCCGCCAGCTCCTCCAGGTTCTCCAGGTTCGGCGGGTCAGCCTCGCATGAGTACGAGAACGGAAAAAGGATCTGCTGCGAGTATGAGTGCAGGTCCAGGAAGCCGACAAACTCGACGTCCCGCAGCAGCACTTCGCCACGCGCCCACGTCGCCAGCGTACGCGCCTCCACCGCCTGGAAGGCTGCCTCGCCGCCGTACGACTCAGAGCACGGCTCCACGTGCACGTTGTTGTCCCACGCGAAGCCAAAGGCGTGGTCCAGGTCCAGCCCGCGGCAGTACCGGAAGTTGGTGCCCTGCCGCGACTTGCGCCACAGTCGGTCCGTGTGCCACGTGTACTCGTAGCCGTCCGGATTGACCACCGGCACAAACACCACGTCAAAGTGGTCCAGCAGCTTCGTGATCAGACGTGCCTTGCCGTAGCCTGCAATCAGTGACCAGGCCACGTAGTTGACTGTGCTCGTCGTGATCCATTCCCGCGCGTGCAGCCCACCCGTCATCAGGATCGTCTTCCTCTTCGTCGACGGCCCCGGTTTCGGCTCCGGCTGTTCCGGGTCGTCGCCATCATTCACGTCGTCGGCACCGTCGTCGTCTCTCTTCGATGCGCCCACTCGCAGACCGAAAACCTCCCGACCCTCGGCCGATTGGCCAACGCTGATCATCTCCACAAAGGGAAACATGACGTCCATCAGCCTCATCCACTGCTCGATTACGGGCAGCGGCTGGTAGTCCTGAAAGAAAACATTGTCCAGTCCCGTACCAAGAACCGCACCCACGCCGGCGGCAGACGTGCTCCCGCCCGACGTGAACGCAGACAGCTGCGCCACCGCCGCACTCTTGGCCCCTGCTACCTTGGGGTAAGTGTCTTGCACGGCCACGGCCAGATCGGGGATCAGCGGCGAGAAGGCGTAGTGCAGCGACTCTGGCAGGAGCGTCAGCAGCGACGGCACATCTTCCTTGTTGAGACGGACGTCCACTGTGCCCGTGTGGTTGTTGAATACCCAGATATCCAGGAAGAGCCGACTAGTCGCCTCTGCGAGCGCAAATTCCTCGGCCGCCGTCGACACAATAAATCGGATGACCGTCTGTTTGGAGTAACGCGCAGGCTGGTAGTACGACGAGTAGTGCGATCCGCCGCTGCTTACACTGCCGCTGCTGCCACCGCCAGACGAGGATGGGTGCTTGCCAAAGACGAGCTCGATGGCCGAGTCGCGCAGCCAGGTGATCAGCGGAAATGCTGACGACGATCGGGAGCTGTCATGGCGCGGCGACGGCGCCGAGTTCCTGCGGCCCGCTTGTAAATCTGCGGATGATGCTGCTGCAAAGGCAGCCTGGGTGGTGAGGAGGAGGAAGAGGGCGACAACGATGGGACGTTTGAACATGGGGCCGTTCAAGCGCCCAGGCCTCATTTTGAAGTTATAGCCGAGGTGAGACGCTTTTCGCAGGGGTCTTCCGGTCGTCTTCTCCCTTCGCAATTTGGCGCTCTCGTTATGCGATCGGTGTGCGTCTCTGTCCACCTTGTCCAGTTGCCAATAGGTGTCGTGCCAGATTGTCGAGTTCGGACTCGCAAAGAAATCCGGAGGACTCTAGCTCAGGAACAAGGCCCCGAAGATGGACCTTCGGAGCGTGAGAAGCCCCACATGTGAGGCACAGCCACAATCGACACAGCTGTGGCTTGCCTCGACTAAAAGTTCACATTGACACCGGATCCGACCGGCGACGGTGACGATAACCGGTCAAATCCTTGCAGTTCAGGCCTAGGACGCGTTCGGCACATCATGGCATATAGGTGTCCAACATCGGTTTTGCGATTGTGTAGGGATGGGCTGTCTGCAGCCGCCTTTCGGCCGCTTCCCTCAACAATATCAAGGTCGTGGCTACCAAACAATGCCTTCACAAGGTCCATGTCCTCCTCGACCGCAGGACAAATTCCTGGGGCTGTCAAACTGTCCTATGATTTGCACTCTCCAGCCAAGCCGGTGACAAACCAGCATGTCCAGCCGATCATCTTTCTGCACGGTCTCTTCGGCTCTAAGAAGAACAACCGGAGCATAAGCAGGTAATTAGCAAGACATCCTCTTCCGATAAGACAACCGAGTTATGGTCTCTGATATCATGCAGGGCTCTCGCGCGTGATCTAGGCCGGTACGTCTATGCGCCGGTAAGCTTGTCTGAGACTCTCTCTAGATGCCCGTCCGTTCTCACATATGTTGCAGGATGCTCGGAATCATGGTGACTCTCCTCATAATCCACGCCATGACTACAATGCCATGGCCGACGATCTGGAGAACTTTATCCATGAGCACAAGCTTAAGGATGTCACCCTCATTGGACACTCCATGTAATCCGCGCCTTCCTCTCTCTCTGTGTGTGTCTATCTGCCTCTCTCGCTCCGTCTCTTACTCTACCCCAGGGGTGCCAAGACAGCCATGACTTTGGCTCTGCGCCGGCCTGAGCTATTACGCGACGTTATCCCCGTCGACAATGCTCCAATTGATGCCGGCTTGGTGAGCTATTTTGGCACTTACACCCGTGCCATGAAGGAGATCGATCGTGCCGGTGTATCGCGTCACTCCGATGCCGACAAGATCCTGGAAGCATACGAGCCATCGCTGCCGGTGCGGCAGTTTCTTCTGGGAAATCTGCATCGGGTGCACGTCAATGGTCACAATGTGCTGCGCTTCCGCGTCCCAATTGACATTCTGGGGAAGGCCCTCGACAACATGGGCGACTTTCCGTTCCAGGATCCGCAGACAGCGCGCTTTGAGAAGCCCGCGCTATTTGTCCGCGGGTCACACAGCAAGTACGTGCCTGATGAGGTGCTGCCAGTCATCGGCCAGTTTTTTCCGCTGTTTCAGCTCGTCGACGTGGACGCGGGCCACTGGCTGATCTCGGAGCAGCCAGAGCAGTTCCGGCAAGGTATGTTATTTCCAAGGTGCAGCAAGAAAGAGACATGGCCAGAGGAACGTCCTATATGCTGACTTGAAACAGCCGTTGTCCAATTCCTTGCACCCAAAGATTGAGCAAGTTAGTGCATCACATATTGTGGCAGAGACGATATACTTAGAATTGCACATAGAACATTCAACATAGAGTGATTACATTCAAAGAACGCCAACTTCTAGCCCAGAGACGCAAAAAACGGGATCAACAGTATCATCAGTCTATAGGAAGGAAAAAACAAATTACTCCGTTGCTGTGTTCACGATTATCTCACTCGTTCGGGCGCTCTCAACATGCGCAACCAGAGTTGTCCTCAGGGCCTGTCGAGCCTGCGTCTCCTAAAGACACGATCGCAGCTGGGGCTGCTGTCGACGTCGAGCCAGCCGCCATTCCGGATGTCACGATGCGGTCCACTAGCGCCAGAAAGGGACCACGCACGTTGTCGCCGGTGCGAGCACTTGTCTCGAAGAAGAGCGGCTCGGCTTCATCCGCCGTGGGGGGACTGTACTTGCGTGCCAAGGCCAGGCCTTCCTCGGTCGATACGACACGGCTGGTGTCGGCACGATCGGCCTTGGCTGCGACGAGGCAATACTGACATGGCGGCATATTTGGTCCCGCAGCTGCGATTGTGTTGGCCTCGGCCTCAGCGAACCAGGTGTCCATCTGGGCGAACGTGGGGCGGCTGGTGAGGTCGTAGACGAAGATGATGCCATGGGCGCCGCGGTAGTAGCTAGTAGACAGAGTCCGGAAGCGTTCCTGGCCAGCCTAGAATATGACAGAGGACGTAAGAACGAGGAAGAGAGGCAAAGGTCGCGCCAAATCGACAAGATTGACAAGACGGTCAGGCCCGGTGGGGACACAGGAGAGTCGCGCAGCTGCTCACCGTATCGAGTAGATTTACGCGGTATGTCTTTCCATGGACAGACAAACGCTTGATCTAAGAACCAGGCCCATGAAGAGTCAGCTATAAGGGATAGGGAGCAAGAGGAAAGAAGACGCAGAAAGCAATCAACAGCGCCTTGGACGCACGCGGAAGTCGATTCCGATGGTAGCTGCGGAATCGTTCGGATCGAAATCGTCATCGCAGTATCGCTTGAGCACTTCCATTTGGCCAGGTTAGCAGCGCGAAAAAAGAGGAGAGCCGGTGAAGACAAAGAGACCGAGGAAACAGGTCTATCTCAATCCTTAAGAAGGAGGCCATACATGCTGACTTGCCCACATTGGAGGGCCCGATGATGAGAATCTTAAGGAAGGGTTCAGTAGCTTTGGACATAATGGGCGAAAAAAAAGGCCGTATGATCAGCTACACAGCTCTGTTTCTTGGAGAATTGACATGTGAAGGATTTAAAACATGGGCTTATTGTGAGGACCATCTGTCGAGCGATTATCTGCCATTGGCTGGCCATATTGCGCGGGCCTCGCCACAGCAGGCTGCGATGAGCGCGCCTTCCCATTTCGGCCGAATGTCGTAACTAGCACAGGTTTCTCTATAATGATCAAGAACCTCCGATGCGCAATTTAAAATGCTTGGAAGAAGGGCAGTGATAGATATGCTACCACCGTGCAGAGGACTTTTGGAGATATTGTAAGGCAAGAGTTGTTTTTTCTCTCGATTAAAAAAAAGGAACACAAAAAGAGTAAACCGTTGCCCATGCTCCGTTTCCCTTTCCTCCTTTCTTTTTCTTCTTCTCTCCCTCCCCTTGGCGTTGACTCAGGACACGGATATCTTGCTCGTTCCTGTTCATGTTCATGTTCAAAACTTTTTTTTGGTTTCACATAGCAGACGCCCTACATACAAGCCTTCCGGACCGCTTCCACCATACATAAGCAGTCCCGTTCATACCTCTTCGAGGACGACCTCCTTGAACTCCCGGTCAACCTTCTCGCCAGACTCGCCACCGCCGGACTCGCCGTGCAGGGCCAGAAGGGCGCCCAGGTCGAACTTGGGCTGCTTCAGCAGCTTAACCTTGCGGATGTGGACCTGTGACGGGTTAGAGGACGGGTCAAGGGAGGAAGTGGAAGGGGGTCAGAGGGAGAGTGAGCTCACGTTCTGCAGGGGGTAGATGCCCTGGGTGGACTTCTCAATCTCGCGGCCGATGACCTCAGGGATCAGCTTAGCCGTCAGCTGCTGCAGAGTGCAGCTGCTGGCCTCGCGCTGGATGATCTCGGTCATCTTTCTCCGAATGGCGCGGATCTGCGAAGAAGCGGCATAGGTCGTCTTCTTGATCTGGTTGGGGCGGCGCTTGGTAAAAGCGATGGCGAACAGGCGCAGCAGGTAGTCGTCGGTGGTCTTGACGGTGACGTTGGCCTCGATCAGCGACTGCCACTTGCGCACGAGCGAGCGGAGCTTGTCGGACGTGAAGTCCAGGCCGTGGAAGTTGGTTAGGCAGTTCTTGCCCTGAACCTCGTCGACGCGGAGCTTAATCTTGCGGAAAGAGTGCTCCTCATCGTTCTGCAGGTCGGCGAGGGAGACCTCAACGACACGGCCCTTGAGGGCATCGTTGGCGTTCTTCAGACCGGTGGTCCGGTTGACGAGCGTCTTGCCGACACTGCAGGAAAAGAAAGACAGGGTTAGAACTGAGAACTGCTGAAGAGTTTCGATCGTCCTCAAGCGTGCATTGAAACTCCAAGTCGGCCAGCTTTCCATCTTCTCGCAACCTCATCTCGCAGGTAGGGGTTCTCTATGCTTACTCCCGGTGGGCGAAGGTGGTAGGGGCCTGTAATGACGTTGTTAATATTCCTCTTCTCCAGTCGTCTTTCTCTGCTCTCCCCATGGAGCGTATTAGACTGACCTTGATGCTGAACCAGTCCTTGCGGGTGAAGGGGTCGACGGTCTTCTTCTTCAGGCCCTTCTTGCCCTTCGACAATCTCTTGTTCCTGTAGATGCTTCGTTAGCATGTCTGCTGGTCGTCGGACTCGTCCTGTCGCTGTGTCGCTGCGCTATCCTCTGGTCATCTCGAGGCGAGGGTAGAAACGAAAACAGCGAGAGTTCGTCCATCCACGGCCGAGGGGGTTTGCACGTACTTTCCAACCGCCATATTTGCTGATTCGACTGTCCAAACTTTGAATGGACAATTGCAACGGGTGATGAAATTGAGAGATGTGTGGGAGTCTGAAAATAGGAAGGGCAGGAAAAAAATATTCGAGACCGACTATAGAGGGGAGGGCCTTGGCAGAATTGCAGATTTTGGTCAGCTACGGAATCTGTGGGCGGCGCAGAGGGCCTTTGTGGGTCCAAATTTGGGCGTATAATAAGCTTCTATTGGCTACATTTGAATTAGGGCTTTTCCGTTTTTTTTGAAAGGACGCCAGGGCCAGTAGATAAGGAGATCGGATAGCGTGTTATCGCACCATTTCGGTTAGTAATATACACGCCTATTTCCGGCTTGCTTATTGTGATAATGTAATCTCGGTATGCGTACTGTAATATCCTCAGCAGGTGCTCTGCAGTATGAGATCTATACCGGGCTTGTGAACGGGTTCTTCAAAGAGGATGGAGTATGATGTCTTATAATCTTTGCGGGAAACACAACTTTCTAGTCTCCCGGTTTTCATGGCGCGATGCATTTCTTTCGCGCTGCAGTGTTCCGTTGGTAAAAGTGTTGTGCTGTGGTGCCATGCTTTTCGCTCTGGACTGGTACTTCCTTTCAACCCAGACTTCCTGACACCGGTGGTGGCCTTCTGCAAAGCAAAGGCTACCTCTGCTTTGCGCAAATTCGATGGGCCGGAGTCAGACAGTCAAACACTTCCTGCTAACTCGGCAATCTTCCCCATCTTTCGTACATATCACAAACACGACAAAAGGAATGGCACGCAGCGCTATAATTTGGTAGAAGTAGTTTTTTCTATTTAATTTAATGATTTTTGTGATGTGGTATAGTATTGTGTGACGCTCAGACGAGCCATCCACTGTGACCCTAAATAGAGGGATGGGTGTCATGCTGCTCTAGCGAGTACATCTCCCCTCTGCTGTTTGGGTTCTATGTTCGTGGAACGAACTTGCCATAATGAGTAATCACACTCAAGACATACATATGTTTCAATGGTATGCATCGCCAGCGCCATATACGCCTTGCTCGCCCAACGCGGCAGCGATTTTGGGGGATGAATGATGGGAATGGTCGAGTGACCAAGGGTGAGGGTAAGAGACAGGGCTGAGGCGCGTTCCAGCGGTTTGCCTTATGCTCTAGGAGCTCTCTCTCGAATGGTGTTTTTTTTTTCGAAACACTTGATAAGAAAAGGAGAAGGAAAATGAATGGTAGGGGTAGAATGCCGGCCACTGTACTGAAGTGTTGCGTAAATGTTCACTCCAGCACGCGGCATTCTCCCGAATTTCTGTTGCTGTGAAAACGGTCGCACTAGCGACTCGCAGGTATTGTTTTTTGTGCGTTTTCATAAGTTGATGTTCGACTTTGATTGCCAGGCCAGGAGACTCTAAGGCATTTTGCCGTCCTCGTCCTCCTTATCCTGGCTATCCGGGTCCCAGGTGTCAAAGCTTGGAAAGCTGAAGTAGTTTACCGAGTCTGGAGATGGGGTTAGCATGGCGTTCGTCCTTCGATTGAATGATCTGTATTAAAGACTAGACTGGGGGAGGGACTGACATGGATGAGATGGTGAGTGAAGGTCGTCGTCTAGTGATGTGCCGGTGTTGGTTGATGCTGGTGATGAGCCGAAGACGTCTTCGGATGATCGCCGGCGGCTGCTGCGAATGTCCTCACCACTGCTGCGAGTGTTTACAGCAACGGCCGCACCTCGGCTTCCGGGGCCGTGGGAGACGCCGATAGCTTCAGAAGACGTTCCTGGGACGCTGCGAAGCGATGTAGGCCGTCGGGGACTGCTGGTGTAGGTAGCGTTGGGTGAGGAGGCGCATGCCGACATGTATGCGACACGGTTGAGCAGGTCTGTGGCACGTCGATACGCATTCGGACGGCCGCTCATGCTGCTGTCACTAGGGGACGCTGGGCTGTGGTTCGCGATCGAGGCGGTGATGATGGAAGATGGCTCGGTGGCGCAGGCACGCATGAGGCGGGGCCTCCTGTGGCTGGCCGAGCGAGAGGAGTCTCGCTGCATTGGTGTGTGTGGTGTTGTGTTTTGAGAGCACGAGAGCAGAGTATGCACAAGTGGCAGGTAGAAGGCCGGGAGGTCACCCTTATATCTTGAGTGAAAGGCCCGAGCAGTGAGTGTGACGATCGATGGCGACGACACGTTCAAGGCGGTGTTGCGTGTTGCGGTGAGCACGGTGTATATGCTGATGTTTAACCGGTGAGAGGATGCTTGATCGTTAAGTACTCGTGGTCGTTCCGGGATGGTGACTAAGTCGTATCGAGGGCGTGGATGAGAAGAGGCGGTGGTGGCCAGGCGCAGCAGGGATATATAAAGAGTAATTACCAGGGGGAGGAAATATAAAATAGGATTACGATGTGAATATGGAATAATAGATCGGCTCAGGGCGAACAAGGGCTCGAAGGAGGAGAGGAAGCCCACGGGTTAAGAAATAGAATTTAGGAAAAATAGTGAAAACGAGAACAATACACCATGCACGAGGGTACGGGTACGGTACATGTATCAGAGGAGTCTGGCCGTTTGGGCTGACAGGGCCCCCCATGGTCGTGCCAAAAGGGAAATGGGGAGACAGGAACCCGCCGACGTGCATGGCTCGGAACGACCAGGGGAGAGAGGGGAGGGAGAGAGAAGACGCCCTGAACAACAGACTTCTTGCCCGTCCATCCCGGATACGGTAATCACATCCTGTCGGGCGCTGCCACTTGGCCAAGTCAGTGGGTTGAGGCAAATTCTGGTATGTTATTGCGAGGGACGGAAACGAAATGGGGGTCATCTCGCGGTCATTTGGGGTTAATCCTTGGTCATTTCTGGTCATTTCTTTGGTCATTTCTGGTCATTTCTTTGGTCATTTCTGGCCATCTCTGAGGCCCTTTTCTGCTGGGCTCTTGCTTCGCCTTCTCATGGCTGTAAGAAAATGGACACTGCCATGGTATCTTAGAATGGAGTTTTTCGCGTCTCTGGCACCGACCGTTTCGCCTAACCGGATCGTGTGTCTCTCTCATTGGCTTTCAAGGGTCTCTTGGGGTTTCTTGGGTGCTAAGATCCGCGTTGGTCCTGTTGCTCGTCCTTCCTTCTACTCCGTACGATCTGTGATCTCGACCAGTCCCACATCCTACCGGTTCCCACCAGACATAGGCCTTCATTATGGAGACAGGAGTTTGGGCAGGCGACCCCTTGTTGGCTGTGTCGGCGCTGGTGTTGTGTTGTTTTGTGTACGCCACACACGACCCCGAGGCCAGGACCCAGCCGGTTAGGCAGGCATGACCGCCAGAAGAGAGGAGCAAGAGAAAAAAAACCTTTGGCAGGAGGAGGGTGGAGCACTGTGGATACCGGTCTGCACCGTGTCGGCCGCAAGACTGGAAACCGTTGGCTCAGAAGGTACAGGGCTGCGGTGTGTGTGGATTTGGCACGATGCATCCACAAAAATCCCGCCAGTCCGTCCAGTCCCAGCCGGCCAGCCATGGTATCCCCCACAGCAGCCTCTCTCGTGCTGCAGGGCCGTGGCTGCCACGCACAAGCACCTATTATGTAGTGCATATGTGCGATACATGTGTCGCAGTGGTGGTGTGCCAGAGTCGGTCTGTCGGCGCAAAAGTTCTCTGCCAGAACATGTTGGCTGTCCGGGTCCTGATGGCTTTATCTCTCATCCCCATGATCTCGTCGATTTCCCCGTGACAGGCACCCCGGAAATGAGAGTCGGGATTGCCGGTTCCAGAAGAGTAAGAACTCGTACTCATACGCATCAGATAACGCTTTGCCTCTCCATCCCTCTCCATCTCTCTTATTTATTTTTTAAATTATTTTTGCGGTGTAGGAGACCCCATAAATAGGAGACGTTCCCTTTTAGACTAAGTCAGTTGGGCACGGATGCATCCCGGCTGGTAGCGGCTTTCTTCCCTTCTTCAAGGGAAAAGGGGTCAGACCGAAAAGAGGTATGGAAGGGAAGAGTGGGTACATGAGAAATATAGCACCGCCGATGGGGGGTGAGGATCGAAGATGCGTTGGCCAAGAGTATCTTACAAGGTATTGTACAGCCGAGTTGCAGCGTATCGCAACCAGCCTCTCAACAAAACTGCCCGGCAAGCATTCTCCCGTCCTGTCCGCCCTTCCCATTGGAGCTCTTCGGTTCGCCTTTTGGCAGCTTTGCATTTACCAATCCCGGGCGAATGTTGGTCACCAGGTAGATCGGCGTTTTATTCCCTCTGCTGAGCAATTCTCATTGATTCTGCCCTGCGGTACACCATGGCTCGGGCTGCAGGGACACGTTCCACCTGCCAGAGATGTGAGATTCTCCGTTACTAAGTCGGAATTGTCCGGCCACGTCTTTTGGGCTGCGCTCTCTGCTCGTATTGTTGGCAACCTGGCCTTCTCACCCATGTCAGCTGTCCATCACGTGGTTGACTATTGACTAACCCATGGCAGGACGTTTGCCGAGGAAGACGAACAGGTTGCATCACCACTGACAGCTCCTCTTCTGCCGACTCGAACTCCCCTCTCTCTCTCTGACCGTACTCTGTGCGGGTACGGAGCGCGTCGTACTCGTACCACAGAGATCCTGCCGGAGCCTTTCCGGTGTGAGGGTTGCAGCTCGTACCTCACCGGGGCGACCCAGCGGTCGAGAATGACCGTGGACGGTGGGCCTGTAACCCGCACGATGTGCAGCATGCAAGTGGAACGAGCGGCATGAGGGGGATCAAAAGCAGGGAATGTGCAAAAGAAGGGGTGCAGCAATTATATTAATGCCGGATTTAATACAAAATAATGAAAAATATAAGCGGAAGGCGCGCCCCTCATGGCTCTTGCCCGACGGCGCAGCGAGAATGGATGGGGGGCTGGTCAATCTACGGAGTACGTCGTAGGCAGCAATCTTTTCATGGTGGTGATGCAGAAAGGCTTCTTGCTAGGATCGTTTAGGGCAACACAAACTTCGCGTTCTCTCCATACACGCGTTGCCAGCACACGAATGCCTCATTATGTCCGACGCGTCCCCCCAACTCTCCCGCGTGGAAGCGAAAGAGGCAGGCCGATCGATTGCAGACGCGAGCAATCGCATCGCGTGTGGCATCATGCAATCCACGGCAGACCGTTGTTAGTCACATTACGGAGTACGATATGATACAAGTCCTGGGCTGGTCGACGCGGAGGTAGAGATAATCAACGGCAATGATGGCAAGGCCGATGTAGGAACGAAGGATGCATTTCCCCCCCTTCACCAATTTCTGCTCGCCCTCTCGTGCTCTCTCTTCCCGTCCCTCTCTCACCGGAATGCTTGATCAAGAACAATCATGTCTCGGTCAAAGTTACAATCAAGAAGAGGGGCTTTGATTCAGCGAGATACATACATAACTATTGATAACCGGCCTAACAGCGCTTGTACGTACATATCTTCCCACACTCCACCACTCTCTTATCCCCCCTTCTTTCCGGAAATCACGTCTTCCCAAATAGGGTAACAGACAGAGCTGGCGAGTTGTTACCCTGACAAAGCGAGGGTCAGTCCAGTCTCCCTGCTTCCCGTCGTAGCTACAGCTCTGCCGGCCAGAATTGGACAGCTGCTCCTCTGTTTAGATAGGCGATTGGTACCGCAGCCACGCTCATCCGACATAGGGCCATTTCCGTACACCCTCTTCTTTCTAGCTGCTACCCCCGCTCCTCGTTCTCAGCTCGACCAAACAACAGAGGCCGGCTGGTGGTTCAATGGTCGACACTTTCATGCGGAGGCCATGTCAGCTGCCCCGATGTCGCTTACTAACGTATTCCCATAGAAAGCGGGCGGGGAGATAAGATGGGTGGTGGGTATCATGTGCTTACTCTTCCCAGGTTCTACCCTGCACGGCCTGCAGCTCATCGGCTGTCATTCTGTGTCCAGTTGTGAAATATCCTGCGGACAGCACTCGGCATTAGTGTCATGCCGCCCTCTATGAATTGCTCTCTCTCATTCGCAGAGGCAACAGAAAGAGGGGTGAGAGTGGGAACAGAAGGAGTGGGACATCAAGCTGTCTTACCGGCATTGATCTTTGCGTCAATCTCGACCCTAGAGTCGGCTGGAATCCATTCTTCGGGGAGCTCGACACGCTCAATAATAGGGATACTAGGGTGACCTGTCAGCCTGCACGTTACTGGAGAAAAAGACGTTCGGGGCCAGAGGGCAAAAAAAAAAAAGCCAAGAAGGCTCAAAATCAGCCGTATACTTGTCAAAGCCATCCGGTCATCTCTAACATGGCGGACTGCAGAGACACCAACATTCCAGGAAGTTGGTGTGAGAGCAACGGCCGACAGTGACAAACCTGCTTCTCGAGTAACAGGATACATACCCTTGACTAACGATGGCATCGTGTTTCATGCTGTAATTGTGTTAGCCAGACCGCCAGTAGAAAGCCTACGGAAGTGACAGGCGAGTGGAAAAAATAAAAGCAAGAAAATAAGAAAATAGACCAATCGTACTTGCTCATGCTGAGCATGCGGTCAATCTTGGTAATACCCAGCCAGTGGAGGATGTCAGGCATCAGGGCCTGAAACCGCATGTCCTTGACGCCGGCAACATTCTCTGTCCGCTTGAAGTAGTCCGATGCGCGGTCCTCGCCTCGCTTCCTGGCGTTGTACACCACTATGGAAAGAAATATTGTCAGTAGCCAGATAACGGTTCGATATCCAGGCGGATACCTGGAATACTGGCATGAGAATGAGTCTTGTCGTACGATACTGTAACATGTCAGCTTGTTGCGGCCTATTCATTTTACATACACCCCTCCCCAGGGGAGATAAAACACGTTGGTCTCTCACTCACTTTGGTGACCTCTCCGAGAGCGCGGCCTTCCTTCCGGAAGTAAATCACCACACCGCTGCCGCCGCGCTGGGCCTCCTTGACGGCCTCCTCAATGCCGAAGATGAGATAAGGTCTGCACGTGCAGATGTCTGAGCCAAAAACATCACTTCCATTGCACTGGCATGGCGTTAATACTCGGTGCGATACAGCGTAAAAAGTAATATGGTCAAGAATCACCTCGTCATGTACCCGCAGTGCCAATTTGGAGGCCGGATCGGACATCTTTTCCGGATCTCCGAAGCAGTAGACTGTCAGACCGCCTGGAGAGAATAATTGTGAGCGTTGCTGTTCTTCACTCTGAGCATGTTTCCCGGAGCACATACCGATTGGAGGCAAGAATACCTTGATGTCGCCGCGCGTGATGAGCTGCATAAAAGACAGATCAGCTTCGATGCGGCTGAAACATAGTCACCGGTGCCTTCGCCTATCACGAACCTCAGGATAGCTGCCCCCGGTATGTTCAAAAAGCGATCGACGGAGGAGACCTTCGTCTATGTCCAGAGCGTCAGAAAAAAAACCCTTGCAGACCCCGGGATCTTCATCAACGCCACCATGCATACCGATACCAAATCTCTCAGCCACGCCTGGAAGGTACCAAACCTGAGGAAAAGGAGTTGTCAAAAAAAGTGGCAAAGATGGACAACAATCAACACCCGAATATGAATTGAACATACCGGCTCTACCGCAAACTTCGTCACGGCCAATTCTCCCTTCTCGTTCAAGCACACCTTGCCATCGGGGACGCTAATATAGGGAAAAGATGTGTAAGTTCTGTGATAGTGTGCAGCCATCAAAAGAATGTGTGCACTCACAGTCTGCCTTTGCGGACGCTTTCCTCGAGTTCGGGGAGCTGCAATAGCCCTGGTTAGTTGATACGAATCGGTAGCAGCTGCAAAGAAACAGCAGCAGGGATACTAACAATCATGTGCGCTTTGGTGATAGCGATAGTCGGCCGTATGTCCACTGTTGCAGCGCCATCATCGGTTAGATGATAAAGGCAGAAAGCCGACTTAGATCTTCATCTGCGTGACACTGAGCATACCGTTTTGACTGTCGATCTCTTTCTTCCAAAGAAACGGGGCCAGATGACCCCATGGATCCATGGCGACAATTTTCTTCTTGTCGCCCCATTGAGGAAACGGCCCGAGGGCGGCGGCTGGCTCCGTGTTCGTAAAGTCGGGTCTAGAGCGGTGGTCAGAACACCTTTGAAACCCATATAGGTTGAAGGGGCTTCGAATGCCCACCTATGATCGGCCTTGAGTTCTTGGCTGGCTAGTGCAAGTGCATAGTATATCGAGTATGAGCCGCCGTGTGCTGCCAAGATGAACATGTTAGTTTTCTGAAGTGAGGACACTGGAACTGGATAAGCAATCAAGACAAACCTCCAATAGCTGACAGTAGACAACATCAGTCATGTTAGCACAGAGCCAGTTTCTCCCGCACGAAACCACCAGAAGGATTGGAAACGCCTGGCATAGTCACACCATTGCGTCGACGGATGGTCGATGACGACCTAGATACCACGATTGGGCCGCGTTCTTGGGGGTCCAACGCGCCCCAGTTCATCGTGAACGGATTGATGCCGATCTGCTTAGGATAGGTGCTTTGTTTTTGGGAGGTATAAGTTAGGTGCTATAGTCCTCGGCTTCCCAGGGGAGAATGCACATACGTGAGCACGATGCGTGACGTAAAGGGCGACTTTGGGCTGCTGGACGCTGCTGCGAGGGTGGTCGTCGAGGAGCCATCTGTCTCGTCAGTTGGCACGGCAGCAGACTGTTCGCCTGCTGTATCAGCTGGCGGAACTGCTAAAGAGGAGGGGATAAGTGCAGCGACAGCAGCAGCAGCTACATGTGGTGGGAGGAGAGCAGATCCTGTCGACGCCGATGTCGATGACTGCAGAGCGGTCAGAAGTTCGGCTTGAGACAGCTCAATGCGCTTCAGGATGTCCACGATCGTGGTCATGTCGACGGGCCCGGAGGCGGTGGCGGGGTTAGAAACGGTCGCCATGGAGCGGATGGCGGGGAGGTGAAAGGGAGTGCTGTTGTAGAGTGATTGAGAGGTGTAAAGACGGCAGGTGGGTTGTGTACTGTGATCTCTTTGGGAGAGGACACTCTCTTATAACTTAAGGAAGTGCAGACAAGGGGGAAAAGAGGCCAGTGGTGGAATCCTGCAGGAGACTGCAATGGTATGCGGAAACGGTGTAGCAGTACGAGAGAAGAAGCGGCAGCAGCAGCAGTGATAGTGGCCCTTGCAGCCCGAACGTGCAACCCGAGCAAGCAGTCTGGACGAATAGCAGGCTTGGTCGAACAGCTTGGTCAAAAGCAGCTGTTTCTAATCGGCCAGCTGGCGAAGTGGGAGATAACAGCGGGTAGGCTGACTAGGGAGCTTGCCGTAAGTTCCAAGGCAGAAGCAGCTGATAAGTATGCAGGGCCAGAAGGAGAGCAGATGGAGATATGATTTGGCGGCGGACGTTTTGTAAGTCAATGTTCCTAAGCTTCTCGACAGACATTTCTACCTGCACCACACGTCCGTTTCTTTGTGTGCAGTAAGCGAGGCCAACTGCTCTTGCCCCCAGCGCGTCCATCGTAACTGCCTCTTTACAGGGCCAGATGCAGTCGGTCAGGCCGACCCAGTGACCTATTTCACAATAAAACGGCCCTCCCCCTCATCAGACAGAGGTATTATCGGACACAGGCATATCGATAGCAAGGGGGGGGTTCTAGACATCAGCACTCACCGCTTTGGGGAGACTGAACAGTCATGAAGAACTTGAACCGGGCCCCACAAAAAACCTCAGCTGCAGACACGTTCTATTCGTACGAAGTACTCCGTACTCCGTATACTTTCTTTGTTCCCCATACAAACGCGTGCACCGACATCCACTCTTGCGCCAGCCAGGAGAGAACCACACCCCCCAAAAAACAGCAATCGGCCTCGCTTGTGCGCGGCACGCACGACTCCGAAGCCGTGCTGCCGCTACTTCCGTCACTCTCCCGGACCCCTCGTTCTCTACATTCTCGCCGAAATGGGGAAGCGCAAGAAGAGTTCGCGCAAGCCTAACGGCCCAAAGAGGGTATGTCTTGTCTGAGGGTGACTCGTCATGGCGACTGCCTCAGCCTTCTCGGCGGTTCCATCTGCGACCACTGCCACTTCTACATCCTGCTGACCTTGGACGTAAACTAGTCCGACCCTTTGCCGACCGCATTTACCTGCCTCTTTTGCAACCACGAGAAGAGTGTAGCCGTCAAGCTGGACAAGAAGGTCGGCATCGGCTATCTCGAGTGCAAGGTCTGCGGCCAGAAGTTCCAGTGCGATATCAACTGTACGTTACGACCGCTACGAGTCGTGAGTCACCTGTTGTGCAATCTCCTACTGACCAGATTTCAGACTTATCCGCACCCGTGGATGTGTACGGCGAGTGGGTGGATGCCGCCGGTTCGTTTCCCTTCCCTACCCCCCCCTCCCATCGCTTTTCCTTTCTTCAGTCCTTGTCTCCTCCGTCAAGTCGCTGACTCTGTATAGATTCCGTTGCCAAGGTCGAGGGTGATAGCAGGCATGAACGGTTGAGCTCGGGCCGGTTGTCAAGCAAGCCTTCACGAGGAGATGCCTACGATGACGACGACGGCGGCGACAGGCGCTATGACGGAGACGGCGTCGTGGGCGACGACGAGTATGACTGAGAATTGAAAAGGAGGAAAACAAGACAAAGGAGAGCACGTGTTCCAACGACGACGGTTCCAAAGCAACACGAAATCAACCACGATCGCTACCAAACTATACTACTTTTATGTATACGTGGTTTTGGAGGAACGCGGAGGATATGATCGCGAAAATTAAGGGAACCGAGTCCGGCCGATGCCTCACGAGGCGGACGGGATGTGTCTGTGTTTCCGGAAGCTGAGTTTGGGTAGCAAGAGCGGGGGGTGGGTAGATGGGGCGAAAGAGAGATCTCGATAGGGCACACCCTGATTCTGGCAGCTGGCAACCTGTACTATTAGACCGTGTAGTATCGATCGCCAAAGTCACCCAGACCCGGGACGATGTAGCTGTGAAACAAGCGTGTCAGTACGGCCGAGAGGAGAGCAGGGCAGAGCGGCGGTCACGATGCTTGAGGGCTGGAATACGCACTTTTTCCCGTCGAGGCCCTCGTCGACAAAGGCAGTCACCACGCGCACACGCGGGAACCGGAGTGCAAACTTGGCGATGCCCTCGGGGCTCGCAATCAGGTTGAGGAATAGGATGCGATCTTCGGGCACGCCGCGCGACATAAGCACCTCCACAGCCATGATGGCCGAACCGCCGGTGGCAAACATGGGGTCCAGCAGCAGCACCCAACGGTCGGCAATGTCCTCGGGCAACTTGTCGTAGAACAGCTTCGGCTGGGACGTCTCCTCGTCGCGCTGGATCAGGATCTTGCCGATGCGTACCGACCGGCAGCAGTCGCGCAGGCCCTGCTCCATGGCCTCGCCTGCCCGCATGATGGACACGCCGCAGATCTTGCCCTGGAACTGGAGGCCGGCGTATGGCCGTCCGACCGGCGTGGTCACCGTCCGCTCGACCGTCGGCAGGTGGTTGAGCCCCTCCTCGACGAGCAGTCGGATGATGCGGTTGGAGTAGAAGATGAAGTCGCCGCGATCGGTGCTCTTGTCACGGATAATTCTGTCGGAGCTGTTAGTTGACCGGCAGAACGCCCACGTGCGAGGAGAAGAAGGAGAAGGAAGAGCAAAAAAGCAAGGCAGAAAACCTACGACAAGAGGGCGATCAACTGAGGTGTCTGTGGCAGCACCGTGACCATGTCGAATTCAACGGGCGTCGAGACCGTTGCGGTCGGCTTCTCTGTCTTGTACGTGGGCCCCACGCACTGGGTGGTCGCAGGCTTGGACGCCATGTCGTCGAAAAGAGGGTAAGCTCGAAAGAGTTGATCTAGAGAGACGAGGGGCACGTGCAGAGCGAACGCGAAAGAATGACAGACGGGCAAAGCAAGCGGGATAGGGGTGTTGGCTCTCCTGTGTCGTAGTGCCGGTCGTTGTCGTCTGGACAGCTCTCGAAAAGTTCTTTCACGACGTACGACACAGGGAACTGTTTGCGAGAGTTTCTACAGTAATAGATATCTTGTTAACGGGAGGGGAATGTCCTATTTTTACACACTCAACGCTACGATACCAACGATAACGGTCGACTTGGTTACATAATTAGACTATTATCAGCTTTTGCTGAGCTCTATCAGCACGCCTTGCTGTTCGAGATTTTCATGTATCTATTATTTTTAACATACTATCTTACTGCCGTTCTCCACGTATCTTACTCACCTTGGCTTGGCTGGTGCAGTTTGTAGTTTTTTTTGGCCTTCAGATGGGGCAGCTAGGGCAAATTCAAATGTAAGATATAATGTAGTACGCCCCATTTTTAGATGCCGCTTTCGTCATTGCGTGAAATTCGGCTTTGGTGCATATAACCGTGCTCTCTGCTAATAATGCACTGTGCACCAACACAGCAGAACCTGATCGCCGGCTGAATCTAGCCAATTATTAACCATTGTCTGACCGCCTTTTGCTGTGTGGCAGAGCCTCCACAGTGCCTGCCCAGTGTCTGCCCTGCGCCTCCGGTTCTAACGGAGGTCCTGTTCTATTCCATAAACATCGGCCCATCTGCACCCCTGTCTTTGACTTCCAGCGCTTTGCGATATTTCGACTTGCGATCGCTCTTTCTCCCTGCTTTTCTTTACCCATTGCTTCTTTGTTACCGCTTCCGTTCAAACATGGTCTAGCCTACCCAACGCGCTTTCTGATATACCTTACTGCTGATTAATTATGTTGCTTCACTCAATGTCCTGATTTTAGTTGCTACGTCGCGAAATCATCCCCACTTCCTCTCTTCTTTTCCTTCAACAACAAATCCGACCAACCACGAGCAAGCGCTCACACTCCCATCCTGGCAGAGCAAGACTGTTTTGCTCGGTCATTCTATCAACTGGCTGCACTGCCGATGCGCGCACTCAGATAGGATTCACTTCGCTCACCGACACGCATTCTTCCCTTGCCAAAGTAATATCATCTTCATCTGGGCGCACGCGCGCGCACGCCCACCAACATGCTATCCACGTGGAGCGACAAGAGCCAGCCTTCCAAGAAGAAGCTTGTGTCGTATGGGAAAGCCATGTCGCGATCACGAAATCAACCGGCAAGTCTCTCTGCCTCCGCCCAAACCATCCCAGAATCGTCGCAAGCATCAGCGAAGGCCCCTGTGAAGGACATTTACGACTTCGACTATGTTGGCGACGACCCGCCGCCTGTCGCAAAGACACCAGCCCGGAAAAAGCCCACACAAGCAGAGAGGGCGTCTACGAAGCCATCAGCAATTAGCAAGGCAACAGTTTTAGCAGTGCCGGCTACTCACTTATTGAAGCGTGCTGCCGACCCCAAACATCCAGCAGTTGCCCGTCCTGTCGCAACACCAGCACCATTACCAGCACCAACAACGGCACGTGGAACAAAACGAAAGTCAATCCAAAGCGAATCGGCAGCTTGCCAACAGTCCAGTACTGGCATCAGCACCGCGAAGCCATTGCAGTCTACTCCCAGTCCCGATCCAATCACCCTCGACTCGCCTCATTCTACTACCACCAGAGTTTCTAGGACTACCAAAAATCCCCTCGTTCTCGGTAGCTCGTCACCTTCAGCCTCCCTGACGCATCAACGCTCGCTGAGAACACCCCCGCGAGACGCAGCGATATCAAGTGCTTCTAGGACCCTCGCGCAGTCCACGCCACCTAGCAAGGCTCGGGTCGCAGCCGAAATCGTCCGGCAGCAGCGGCTTGTGCAGCCTTCATCGGGCGTGCCTTTCCGGTCTCAAGGTATCCAGTCATCACAGCCACAACAAGCACAACAAGCACAAACACGCCCAGCAGCGTTAGCACAGAGAAAGCGACGGAGGCTTATCGATACCCTTGCCGCCCAGAGAGAAGAGTCAGAGTCAGATGGAGAGGATACAGACTCTAGAGATTTGGATATGGGGGACGACGAGGAGGCTAGCAGCCAAACATGCACCATTGCCTCCAAATACCGGCACAGACGGAGCACGCCGGTCAGCGACAACCGGACGGCTTTCATGGACGTAGATAGCCTCGTGACGGCTTCGCCTGGGAGAATGCCCATTGCACCGTCAACACCAGGCACCTTAGCTCGTCGTCCGACAGCACGACGACCCAACATCAAATTCACATACAACGTGGAGAGAACAATGCTGGCTGAACAGCCGCCGGCTTTGGATGGTCCGTCAGGTAGCGACCTGTCTGTTCTGCAGAGCCTCTTACCGGAGGCAGATCCGAAGCCCAGTGCTTTTGATTTCGACGACGATGCGAGCGGCCCTTCACAGGGTGCTATTCAGAGCATCCACGAGCTTCGACAGGCCGGGGCGAACAGCCGGTTTTCTGACGAGCTGGTCGATATTATGGACCGTATCGGAACTTCGGGTACCGGCAAGGCGTCGTCGACAAGGCGGTCTGCACTGCTGGAGATGGCAGGAAAGTTGCAAGGCAAGTCATTCATGCGGCACTTTCGCGATCATGGCTCCGAGACGCAGCTCTTCCGCGATGTTGGAAAAGAGACTGATGTGGTTGCCGGATATGTCTTGGGATGCATCGTTATCACGCTTCTGGCAAACGGAACCGTGTCTGGTCGATTTTTGCGCGATTTGCGGACCCAAAAGATTGATCGTCTATTCGGCGTTCTTCTCCGCTTTGACGAGGACATTGTGAGGTTAGCCAAGGACCGGAAGAACAACGTTTCGGCCTTCTCTCGCCAGATACTCGGTACGCTGAAGGAGGCGATGCAGAAGCTACCGATCTGGAAGCCGGCTCCGGCGGCCCCGTCCGACATGTCCCCGCGAACGGTTGCTCTGGTGGGCTTGCATTTGTTTGTGCAGCAGATTTACGGCGGTGGTGGCTTCGGCGACAACGATACCATATTGTCCTCATCCCTGACAAAACAACTGTTTGCCATCGTATCCTCCACTCTCCCGTCAGCATACGATAATGTAGACGGAGAAGACGAGGTTGAACAGGGTCCATCTGTTATGTCTCTCGGGTTTTCTGGCAATGCAGAGACAGTTGATATGTACCTTGCTTTATCGTTGCTGGAAAGGCATTCGGTGGCTGCTATGCAGTCGGACATTGGTGCCGAGTGGACCCGCCATTATATTCCCATCGTTGCAGATGCATTGGAGGTAACGCTCGAGGAGAAACAGAGGTTAGATCGTCAGTTGAACGGCTTAGAGCTGCTCGCCCTCAAACTCGCGATGAACACGGCCAACAACAACCCGGAAGCGGCACGCCATTACGTGGACAAAGGCCACCTGCGAAGGCTAGCAGAACAGGGCAGCCGAGCGCTGGCAGGCATTGTTCGCTGTGTCAAGACAGGTAGCGACGTCACCCCAGGCGCGTTGGATGAGCTGTTGTTGATGCTGGGTGTGATGATCAACTTCTCGGAGAATGACGAGACGGCGGCCGAATCGCTGGTCGAGGGCGGTGGCTCAGTGTTGATCGAGCGACTTGGAGCGTCCTTCCTTGACGGTCGGTCTATTGCTGCTGAGGTATGTTGTTAGTATTGGAGGTGGTGTGAGAGACAGTGTACTGACCATGTTTGCGTGCAGGCCGATTCGGAAGAAAAGACGCAGATCAATGTTGCGTTTGCATATCTTTCCATCCTTCTTGGGTATCTGTGTCGGTATAATCCAGTCTACAAGGCTTTCAAGCGGCTGTCCCCCAACGGCAGTCTCAAGCCGCTGCTGGACTCGATCCACCAGTTCATCGATTTCCATGATAAGGTGGGGAAGACAAGCGACGTGGACGGTGCAGAGGCAAGCCACTTCACAGCTCGACTTCAGGCGCTGGCTCGTGAACTGGAACTGCGGGCTTATTAGGGAGATGGCCATCTCTGCAGCGAACGAAAGGATATGAGTCAACGACGAGATGCACAGATGAGAAAGATACGACGAGAGGGCGTGCTGGGCAGTGAAATGCACCCTGGCGTTAGACGGGCGGTGGACTTTGTGTGAGGTATAGTGTGTATGATTTGGGCCCTGTTATCTTGTTTTATTGTGGTCATGGACCGGAAATGGAGGGTGGTACAAGTTGAATGGATATTAGAGCTGGGGTGACCTGCGTTTCATGTATATATCTGCATGTCATACACTAGGTGTGAAGCAAGAGAAACGAGCTTTCATGATGCCATATGCGGGCTGCACGCATTTCACGTGCGCTTCAAAAATCCTCGCACCGGTAGACGTCGTACGATGGCGTCTCATAGGGATGCGCCCTATTATTGTGATGATTGTCAGAGGGCTGAAAGGGACGGTGGCGGTGGCTGACTTACTTCTTGAGGGCAGCAACGGCGCTGCGGGCGACGTCCTTGCCGAAACAGACAGTTTCAACGCGGACCTCAGGGACATGCTCCAAGGTTCCGACGGTGCCAATGTTTGGATTGGCAGCTTCGCCAGGACGAAACTGGCCAGTGCCGAGTGTGGTCCAGCAACACTCAGAGTACTTGGGGTAGCGACCGGCGCCGGCAGCGAACACGGCAGCCTTACAGGCGGCAACGTGGGACTCAGGAACGAGAAAGACGAGGCGGTAAATTGTTGTCATTTTGTTGGCTGGGTTGGTTGAAAGCTCGTTGAGTATTTGCTATCTTTGAATGAGCTGCCGTGTGCTGTCGTGATAACCATTCTGGCCAAAAAGGGCAGTTGCCCCTCCAAAATCGGACTCTCCACACAGCTGGACAATCTCCCACGCTACTAAAAAGATACAGCACGGTTTTTATTATTACATGTACTCTATACTAATAGTAACAGCGAATTGTTACACTACGTCTCGCCAAGCCAAACGTCTTATCAACACATCTACTGCGTAAGCGGAGCATAGAACCTGAAGCGCTCCAGCGGGTCGTAGCGCTTTTTCAGCTGCACCAGCTTTTCGAGCTTGGAGCGGTCGCTTCCGAAGAGCTGCTGGGCGGTCTCGTCTCCATTGGCATAGCCGACATAGACGTTGAGGTCTGAGCTGCCGGTGCCGTTGTAGAGCAGGCTCCGGACCTTCTCTCCGGCCTGCTTCGTTGCCGCGTCGTGCTCGGCGTCCCAGTAAATTCCCGAGAAGAGCCTAGAAACAGTGTTCGGGACGGCCTCTCTCACAATGTCAGAAAGCACGTTCTGAAGCTTACACAATAATGCCCTGGTCCCGATGGGCGACAGCCGTACTCGAGGAGGCGATGTTTCGCTATAGGACACCGTCTCCGTAAAATTGTACACAGGGCCCACGGCATGGAACCGGGCGGCCATCGACTCCAACCCCTCCTCGGTGCCGTCGTAGACCATGAGCAAGACAAGCACCGGCTGCGGGCCCGATGGTAGAGTCAGCATGGCAGCAAACACGCAAATGGTCGAGGAGCCGGAAAACAACATACCGCGTCCGGGTTGACGCTCGTCTCCATGATATAGAGGGAGGCCAGGAGAAGGCCGGCCGGCTGGGCTTCCCAGTCGGTGCCGTTGCCAGTGAAGTCGTTCATCTGCGTGTAAAAGTCGGCAATCTTGTCGGGCGAGTATATGAACGTCTTGACGATCCAACTGTCCTCGGCAGGGGCATCGTAGATCTTGTAGGTAAGCTCGGTGACGATGCCAAAGTTCTGGCCAGCCCCCTTGAGTGCCTGTAAACTTACTTGAGCGCTTGCCATTGGCAGTCAGGAACTTCTCGACTGCACCGCTCTTGATGCCGCCGCCCAGCCGGGCCGTTTTGCCGTCCTCGCTGATCTCTGTCGCGTTCAGCTTGACAGTCGATATTCCGATGCCGCCCTGCACACCTCTGAGCTTGGAGGTCCAGCCGTGGCCGCAAGGAAGGCGAGGCTGTGCTCATTAGCGAATCGAACCTGGGAGCGTCTAGTGAGTGGGTGCTGCCTTTCACTGAATAGAACCGGACCCTTGCTTACAGTTTCCTAAATGTCATGCTCCGTGTCCACTTCGACGTATGCCTGGAAGGTGGGCTCGTCAAAGTTGGACCAACGAATGCTGGCGTTGCCATAGTCCGAGTCTGAGGGAACAAACAGCTCAGCCTCGGGAGACAGCACGGCGGCAAGCTGTGCGTGGAGACTGCAGGTCCTCTTGGCGAGTGCTACAGACACTGACAACACGGCCACGACCACGGACAGGGGAAAAAAGCTTCGACCCATTGTATACAGCTACTGTCGGAGGCAGCTGAGGACTGAGCGCAACAGATCTGCCACGCAGAAGAGCACGTCTACAATTTATATGTACGTCCGTCCATCCGGATTTCACCTTCTCATCCACGACCTCAATGCAGTCGCCGCCTTCATTCTCAAATCCGTTAGCCAGAAACTCCAGATCGTGATCGTTGCAAGCTGAAGACCCCACATTCACTTAAAGTCTCTGTTCATAACTTTGTCCGTAGAACCCGGCAGCCTGGTCCTGGGGATAGGTTGAAGCTGACCACCACGAAAGCGGATAGGGGCTTTTCCGCTTTGAGGAGAGAGAAAAATGGTTCCTCTACAAGCGGTCTGGGGCTGAGACGCCCCTAATTGTGATTGGTGCAGCCTCAGCCATTCTGGGCCAACTACCAATTTTCTCGTCTCTAGCGTCTTTCGATAGACACAAGTTCGGCATACGAATGAATACTCTACGACGTACGAAGCCGTTTCAGCGTGGAGCAGGCAAATCCCTGCTGTTTTCGACATATACGGAGCACAGAATATGTGCATGATGCATAAGACCCGCGCCTTATAAAAAACGTTGCGATCTGGTTCCGTGTCTAGGGCGGCATAACGGTGTTTTAGCTAATCGTCTGAAGTAAGATAAGTTAGCATCCACGCCAAGAAAGCGAGCAGACTGTATCACTGGATGTGCCGCGTCTAGTAAGAGACAGGGTACGGAGTAGAATCGAACAGTGCAAATAGCGGTGGTCACGTGTATGAGGTATCTACGAGATCAGCTCTGGCAACTAGCAACAACTCATATGGCAGCTCTTTGCATCTCACGACAAACAGGAGATGCAGAGTGTACGATATGTCTAGGAGAGCTTTGACCGCCAGGACAGATGATCGGGAGACGCATTGGTTGTAGGATACGAGCAGCGACAATGTTCTACGTCACTTGGGATGAATACTAAACAGACATACGAGTACGAGTACTCGGATCTTATTGTATCCAGTACCTCGTCAGTAGTTGGAGACACACGTGAGTCTCCACTTGATTTTTCCCCGCCAAGGAGTATGCGTACGAGACGAGTGAGTATTACTCAGGTCAAGAAGCAAGAGACAACATGAGATGGCGAGTTATGCCCGAACCAGATAGTGCGCAGCCAAGTCTAGAGCCACGGCAGCTGCAATATATCGTCGCTTATGACACGAAGCGACGAGTCTCCCCATCCGTGCAGATCCTGTTCGTACCACCAATCCTGCCCTGAGTGGGTCTGCTTATCCCCAAGACCCAACTCCGGAGCCGGCTGTAGCTTCAGGAGAGCCGCACGCGGACAGCTGCCCGCGAAAGGGGCCGCACCCGGAGCACACTCGTACGTGGTACAGCAATCGGTCGAGCTGGCACTCCCTTTTCACGCTGTCACTCTGGCAGATGCAGGGGAAGGGGGTGCAAGCCGGCAGGACAGCCGGCAGGGCCGCAACAAGGTCCAGATTGAGCCAGGCCAAAGAGGAAAAGACGATCCGATGGCCGACAGCTGACAGACCGTCATATCAGGCCTTGGTCACGAAAAATACAAGGGCTGGCCGCCGCATTCCAATGGCTATTATTCATGACGCTGCATAGCAAGCTGGCGACGAGACACGAAAACACACACGCACAAACGCACACTAGGGGAAGAAAGGGCGGCGAGAGGCTAGAGCTCTGTTTTAATCTGGCCAGCTAGGCCCGCCCGCTCCAGCAAGTAGAAAACCGAATGGCTGCGCTGCCACATGTCGGACCGTCTGGTGCGTCTTTCTCTCTCCATTACATTTCAGATAATATAGCAGCAGATCCTCCCTTCCTGTCCCGTTCTATTTTTCGCTCTTCTCTCCATACTGTCGTCGCCCCCCTTCTGCGAAACAGTTCCGGACAATTGCGGTCCGCATTCGCAAAACCCCTCGCAATTCGCCGGTGAATTCACGTTCCGTCGCATCAGTATCGCCACTACTCGTATATCTAAACATAAGATACCCTTCGCAAGACTTCTTCGCTCCCCACGCAACCCACCCCCCATCTGTCTTAGACGACCCGGGAAAAGCAGGACAGCCCACGCGAAACTACACCCCCACGTTTTCCATCTTCCATATTTCAAATGCCCTCGCCGTCCAAGCAGAGGAAAATTGCCATTGTTGGCAGCCGCTCCGTCGGTACGTTTACGAGCATATATATACACAGTTTCACCCATTTCGCACTGACCACTGATTATCCGCTCTAGGCAAATCCTCTCTTGCAGTTCGTTATGTCGACGGCCACTTCATCGAGAGCTACTACCCGACGATCGAGAACACGTTCAGCAAAGAGATCAAGTACAAGGGCCAGGAGTTTGCGACCGAAATCGTCGACACGGCTGGCCAGGACGAATACAGCATTCTGAACTCGAAGCATTTCATCGGCATCCATGGCTACATGCTCGTCTACTCCGTCGCTTCCATGCAGTCCTACGAGATGATCCAGGTGATCCGTGACAAGATCCTCAACCACCTCGGCGTCGACTGGGTTCCGCTAGTCATTGTCGGCAACAAGAGCGACCTGCGTCCCGAGCAGCGCCAGGTTTCTCTCGATGACGGCCGCCGCCTGGCCGAGAAATTTGACTGTGCCTGGACTGAGGCCAGTGCCCGCTTCGACACCAACGTGGCCCGCGCCTTTGAGCTGCTAATCGGCCAGATCGAGAAGTCGCAGAACCCCAACGAGCCACAGGACGGCGGAAAGTGCACCGTGATGTAGGGCAGCTGAGAGTGTCGTTTGTCCAATCTATTGGCTCTTCTCTCGGTCTTCCTGGCTCGTTTCTACACCGACTCTACATCACACGTTCATTGGCATTTACTTAGATTTTCATGGACTCCCTCTGGGATTCTCTCTTGGATTTCTTTTTGGGTTTTCTCGCTTGGGATTTTTCCGACTCTAGTTCTTTGGTGCAACGCAATATTTTTGGTTTCGGGAGGCTACACTGGTATTTTGTGCGCTCTTTGTTCTTTTCCACTTTCATCCAGCACAACATGTTTTTATTTCCACGGCAGTAAGGGAAGACCACCAGAAGGGCACATACACATAGGGACTACGCGTGCGCGACAGATCATGCATTTATATGAACGCTACCACGCTTGGGCTAGAGCAGGGATGTCACGAGTTTCCTGAATGTTAGTCTACATGGACAGCATGTAGATTCTAGGATTGTGCGCTTTGCTATAATCGCAATGAAAAAATGGAGTACGGAGTATGCTGTCCGCCTACCTGCTACCTTGGCTGTCTATGTCGTACGCTGGAAACGTCCCGTCCACTAACATGACTGGTCGGTGAGACCACTCGGCTGGCTCGATTTCAAGACCTGCGTCCTGATCGGCGCTCGTCACACACACGATGCATATGTAGCCAGACATTATTGCGATAACAGACCGTCAACTGAGCTCCCCAGGCGTTATCGGCTAGGACGGATTAGTGTTCTAGGCGAGGGCTACCTCTGATCGCCCTGGGGAGGGGGGCTAATACCCCACCATGCCTGTTCAGTTGGGCTGGCCGGCCGCCCCTCCTTTTTTTTCACAATTCATACTGTAAGACCGAATCGAGACGTGGTAAATTTACTCTACTCGCGTGGTTGTCTTTCTGTGTCTCTGTCTTCCTGTGATTCTACTTTCGCTGACCGCTAAAGCTTCAGCCTTCGTTGCCGCCACCCCTCACGCTCTCACTGCCAATACCGCAAACATGCTTGACGTCCTCGATCTGATCGTCGAGCGCGGCGGCAACCCTGAGGCTGTCCGGGAAAGCCAGCGCGTGAGTGACTTCCGCTTCTGCTCGTTTGCATAAGAGCCTCCGACCTTGCTGACACGCTGTGTCAGAGACGCTTTGCGCCCGTTGAGGTTGTCGACCAGGTCATTGACTTGTGGCAGGACCACCGTCGCACTCTCTATGCGGCCACCCAGTACGTTCTATGCTCCAACAGGAGAGAGAGTCCTGCGTGCTGACCGTGTCCCAGGCTGAATGCAAAGATCAACGAAATCCGTATGTGATCCTCCTCCTGAGCTCGTAAGCTCCTTCCAAGATTTATGCCAACCTCTCCTCTTTCAGAAAAGCAAATCGGTGCCAAGAAGAAGGCCAAGGAGAATGCCGACGAGCTGCTCCAGCAGAAGATTGCTATCGAAAAGGAGAAGAAGGAGATCCTCGACTCGGCTGCCGCCAAGGAAAAGATCATGAACAAAGCCCTCGCCACCATTGGCAACATCATCCACGACTCCGTCCCCGTCTCGGCAACAGAAGACGATAACCCGACCCTGCGCACCTGGGTGCCTGCCGACCGCGAAGTCCCCATCGGCCAGGAGGACCGCAGCACCTTGCTATCGCACCACGAGCTGCTGCTGCGCATCGATGGCTACAACCCGGAAGCGGGCGTGTGCGTGGCGACCACCTGTGTTCCCTTTGTATGGTCGACTATCCAGGCTAATTCAGACGCAGTAAGGTGGTTGGACACCGAGGCTACTTCCTCAAGAACTGGGGTGTAAGTACCATTTCTCCAGGTGCTTCTATCGCCTGAGCTTTTCGTGCTGACATAATTGATTTAGGTTTTCCTGTAAGAACCGCGTTTGATGCTGCTTTGTTGTGAGAACTGCCAGCTTACTTTTGGCAGGAACCAAGCTATTATAAATTGTGAGTCTGCCTCCATACTCTGTGTTCGGAGGTGATCACTGACCGAGTAACAGTCGGACTTGAGTTCCTCACGCAACAGCACGGCTACACGGCCCTGCAGTCGCCTTTCATGATGTATGTGACTCTAAAATCCATTAGATCGACCGGCAATTCGGAGATATATCGCTAACATATTTCCTTCAGGTCAAAGGAAGTCATGGCGCAAACAGCTCAGCTCGACGATTTCGAGTAAGCTTTCACTCCACAGTGTGGTTTGTAGAGTCTAGTCCTGATGCTAACACGAGTGTAGCGAGCAACTATATAAGGCATGTCGACTTTTGGTGGGGGGAAGATTATCGTGGAATGTTCTCTAACCATATGGTCTGCAGGTTGTTGATGGCGATTCGGAAAAGTACCTCATTGGTACGTTCTCGTTCTTACCCCTTTGGACTCAGACTGTCAGCTAACCCTATTTCTAGCAAGTAAGTAGCGAGCTCGTGTTTAGCCACTGCGCGGATTCATGTAGCCCAACAACAGGCTGACGTCCAACGCAGCTTCCGAGCAGCCAATCTCGGCGTACCACGCCGGACAGTGGCTTCAGCCCGCCGAGATGTGAGTTCACGTCGCACTGCTTTGGCGTATTGGCATTACTTGCTGACATTCATACAGGCCCATCAAATACGCTGGCTTCAGCACATGCTTGTAAGTCGGGGCTCACACCTGTCCCGCTTCTATATTGGCCATGTTACTGACAGACGGGTTGCAGCCGTCGTGAGGCTGGCTCCCACGGCAAGGATGCCTGGGGTACCTTCCGTGTGCATCAGTTTGAGAAGGTCGAGCAGTTCGTCCTGTGTGGTATGTCTTGTGTACCCATTGTTTCGCATATTGCTTTTGGAGGACAACATTTACTGACTAGCCATACAGATCCTGAGAAGAGTTGGGAGATGTTCGACGCAATGATTGCCAACTCCGAGGAGTTTTGCCAAGCTCTCGGCCTACCGTACCGTGTTATTGCCATTGTCAGCGGTGCCTTCAACCAGGCAGCCAGCAAGAAGTTCGATCTTGAGTAAGTTCTATCGTCATCTGGCGGTAGACCGGCCTGATACTGACATGCTGTATAGGGCTTGGTTTCCATACCAGGCAGAGTACAAAGAGCTTGTTTCCTGCTCCAACTGCACCGATTGTGAGTGACTTCATTGATCTCAAGTGACACCGGAAAATAGACTTACACAACATGCAGTCCAGTCTCGGGCTTTGGATATCCGGTACGGCGCAAAGACCCAGACCGATGGTATGCTTTACTCACTCCCCGTCCACACTGCTTCCGAGACATCTTGCTGACACACTTACAGCCAAGAAGAAATACGTCCACTGGTAGGAATTACTGAACGCCTCCTACGCACCACGAGGCCCACCGCCACTAACGCGATCTAGTCTCAACTCGACCCTGACTGCCACTAGCCGGACAATGTGTAAGTGTGCAGTCCGGTGAGACGGGCGAGATTGCAAGCATCAGGGCTAACAACTTCCAGGCGCTATCCTCGAGAACTTCCAGACCCCAGAAGGTGTGCGCATTCCCGAGCCGCTTCGGAAATACCTCCCAGGGTAAGTGATTGCTGGCAGTACAGAGCAGAGAAGCTCTCCCCTAGGAATACACGATACTGATGCCACAACAGAGCTCCCGATTTCCTGCCCTTCACGAAGGAGTTGCCAAAGGACTCCACTTCGCAGAAGGCCAAGGCCAAGAGCGACAAAGGCGGGGCTAAGCAGAAGGTTGCGGCTGCAGCTGGCGCTGCTAGCGACGCCGTCAACAAGGCGGCCGACAAGCTGAAGGATGTCACGGTGTAAACGAGCCCAGTCCACGAGTGAGACACGGGAAGGGGACAAGGAGCACCGTAAAGGCAACCCTGGGTCACACGCGATACGAGAAGTTATCGTTCCCCAGAGAAGCGCGAATTGGAGAACGGGTCGATGGAACGGCGTTTGTTTACCGCTTTAGAGTGCATCCGTATCCCCTCATGACCAAGACAAAATGGAAAAACAAGACAAGAAAGAGGGGCTTTTCTGTGACGGATGCACAGCCTTCCACGCACCTTCCGCTATAGTAAAATGACAGGGGGAGCAGAACCCAGCAAGGCGGCTGTCACTGCTTATAACGGGGCGCAAACGGGGCAGGAGCTGGGCTGCTTGTTGTCTCCTTTCCCCGACCCCCGGCTGGTAGCCCACTAAAGCTTGTAATAATCGACCGTAGGCCTCCGCCCTGAATTCAGGGCTCCAAACCTTTTCCACCTGCCCTATTTTAATTGCGCAACCATCTCCAAGGGTGCATCCACACCATTGTCGTTTACTTCCTAGACGTGTATAATCCTACTGTTTATCGATTAATGATTATCATTTACCTATACTACCGCTCTTGTATCATACCTTATTTTGTTCCGCCCTCCTATGTCTCTTTTCGGTGCAGCTTCACGGGTACCCGATGAGCTGAATACGAACGAGGCCACGTCAGCCACATATATGTTCGCTGCCTTCGTCCCTGTCTTCCTAGTCGTCCTAGAGCTCTTCTCCCCATCTCTTTTTGCTTTCGTGGAGCCATTGGAGTGCTCGTGTTGGCGACCACCTCGAATCCGTGTGGATACTATTGGACAGTGACGGTACTTCTGCATCCCAGCACTGCCGCAGCCTCGTTGGTTTCCTGGCCCAGTTAGCTGCTCCCAGGCCAATGACAGCTGCTTTCCAGGCAAACAAACGGGGCTAAAGGGGCCTAGCCAACTAAGTACAGCCACGCTGACACGGTTCTGTTGAGAGGAGTCGCATCTGTCAAAGCTGGGCATCTAGCTGTGAGTGACAATGACAAACCGTGACGCAAGAACGCCCACTGTGCGGAACAACAGGCTAACCCGGACACCTAGCACAACGCAAAGCATGGAGCAAACACATGAAACGGAAGAGGCCGGGGCTGGCGCAAAGGCCGAAGCAAAGCCAGAGAGGCCGCATGGGAGCATGACAGGCGAGCATACTTCGGCTCCCTCTGGTAGTGACGACGTCAGTAGCGACGACGGCGCCAGCGACCATGGCGGTGAAGCAAACTTGGTCGAATGCAAGGTGGACGGCTGTCATGAGGTCATTGATCTAGCAGGAATGATGTATCATCTCGATCTGCACGCTGCCCTCGACTGTCAAGAAGACGGACATGAAGATGGGCATGTGGACGAGCCGGCCGAGGCCGACGGCGATGCCAGCGAGCCAGAGGCCGAGTCTGAGGCGGAAGGCAGAGCCGAGAGGAAGGTCAGGGGTAACAGTCAAAAGCCACCGCATTCTTCGTCTAGCTACAAGAGCTTCAAGAGCCCCAAGAGCTCCCACGCCGAAAACCGCGCATCGGTCCGAGTCTCCTCCCGACGGAGAAACACCGGGGGGTCTTCTCACGAGGCCAACGCGAATCGTTCTGTCGACGTGACGGCCGATGGAAATGCCGACGAGCGGCGGCGACGGCACAGCCAGCATGCGAAACATGGACACAAATCTCGTCCACGAGCGCACACGGTAGATGGCATTGCAAGTCATGTGGACAACGACGAGCATCCGCGCGACCGCCATCGAGAGCGTCGCGACAGGGAGAGAACCCACGTTCACAGCCGAGATCACCGGCGCATACACAGCCACGAACACGATCGCGAGCACGAGCTGGAGACCATGACGGGAACAGGCTCGCCAGGACCGATGGCTCGCAGGTTTTCCCGGTCATCGCGCCCGTCTTGGTGGCCGTTCCGATCTGTTTTGGAGCACAGGCGGGACATGTCGATAGGAAAGAGCCGACGGCCGGTTTCGGTTTCGTCGAAAGTCAAAGACAGCAGCGGCGGGACCGCAGTCTCGACTGCAGCAGTGCCGGCAAAACCAAAGCAGCGTCTCGGTAAGGCCGAGCTTGGCCGTTACGCCCACGAAGAACGCATGCCAGACTGGCTTGCCGTCTACCTTAAGAAGGAGTGGGGAGTGTGCCACAACGGTGAGTTGCAACCCGGCCGTGTCTCCTGCCGCAAGCGGGTGCTGACAGTCTTCAAGGAGTCATACCGGTGTTGAAGCAGCTGCTTGAGCAGAGTCCGACGACGGAGTACGCATACCTCTGCGACCCGTGTGTGACACATGTGTCCCGGTTGCAGAAAGAAGGTGAGATAGACTCTTTGCGGGGGTGATATCTGGCTTTGGCCGGCTGCTTACGGTGTCGCACCAGGTGGATTCTGTGGATATCGCAACATCCAGACGATGGTGTCCTACGTTGTGGGAGCCAAGTTTCCTGGCTACAACCTGTTTGGGGACGACCTTCCGAACATCTTCGATATCCAGAACATCATCGAGAATGCATGGGACATGGGTATCAATGCGAGCGGACGCGTGGAAACCGGTGGTATCCGCTGGACGCGCAAGTACATTGGAACGCCGGAGGCGATGGCTATGTTCCGGAGCCTCAACATTCCGTGCAACGTGCAGGCGTTCAACCACCGCAAGACGGGGCGAGCAGCGGAACTGATGCTGCGCGAAGTGGAACGATACTTTGAGACGGGAAAATACCGAATGGGCCGCAAAGTGCGAGCGACCTCGCTGCCGCCGATCTACTGGCAGCACCCGGGCCACTCGCTCACGATTGTCGGCATCGAGAAGACTACGGCGGGACAGACGAATCTCCTAGTTTTTGATCCCATCTTCAAGGACGGCTCGCCTATTGTGCGGCTGATTGGCCGCCAGCGATTCGAAGCGCGCTATCCCGACAAGCTGCTGCAGCTGTACCGACGAGGGCCACGATATCTCGGCCGTTTCAAGGCGTTTGAGCTGCTGAAGTAGGTTTACTTTGCTTCTACGGGCTGTCCTGCCTTGCTGCTTACTAACCGCGAGTGCTGCTGCAGGCTTGATCCGAGAGCAGAAGACGTCGTGCAGCTCGACGGTGACGAAACTCCTGGTCCCAGCAGCCAATAAGAAGAGGACGAGGACGAAGAAGTGCCGGGAAGTCCTGTCTGAAAGGGAGATTTGCAGAAGCGTCTGGTTCCACACAGAGCGAAGAGAGCTCGAACATGGCATTTATGTTGGTTATTAGGTGTCGTTCGTGTCTCTCTAGTTGAGCATTCTAGCGATCTGAATCTAGCCTTTTCTGCGTCTGTTCTCTCAAGCCGTCGGCAGTCTAGGCCATCTCAGCAGCGAGATACTCGCGCAGCTTCTGCAGAGCCTTGTAACGATGGGAGATGGTATTCTTTTGTTCCTTGTCCATCTCGGCGTAGCTGTTGATGGGGGTCAGCAAGAGAGAAAACAACTCGACAAGAATCAGAGGACAGGAGGGTCTCACGTCTTTCCCTCGTACTCAAAGATTGGATCCCAACCTGAGGGTGTCAGTTAGCTAGACCAAGACGTCGGAGAAGAAGAGGAGGGTCGGCTTATGGACGCACCGAAGTTGGCTGGGCCGCGAGCCGGGACAATCTTGCCCTGTCTGACATCAGCAGAGATGACTAATGTGGAAAGTAGAGGGGGGGTGAGAACAGACATCGGTGACGCCCTGGAAGAGCATGGGTTCGTGGCCAGGGCCCTTGCTCAGCGCAAAAGTGCACACGGCCTGGGCAGACTTGTCTTCGTGGCCGGCCAGCAGCTTGTTAAGCCCGTCGTGGCCGAGACTTGTCATGAACCATTTTCTGGGGGGGCGAGTGAGCGGACGTGCTGGCGAGACGGCTGGATGGGAGGACCTACATATACGGTCCCGGCAGTCCGTTGAGGGCATTGAAGCACAGGCAGGTGTCTTCGACGAGGACGGGGCCTTGAATCTGGGAGTGTTAGTGTGAGGGAGACGGAAGAAGGAAAACAAGAAGCATGAAGAGGTGTATAGCCAAAAGGAGGCGAATAAAAAGAGCAAAATGAACAGACAGAACAGAAGAAAAGAAAAACAGAAAGCATGCCAAAGACATACTATCTCGACGGCACGGCGACACTTGTCCAGCGTGACCTCCTCCTTGGAGGCTGCCTGAATCTCGAGCAGGTCGATGCTGCGCGAGGTCACCGTGATGGGAAGCGGCACAGACGACGACGATGACGACGACGCGGGCTGCTCTAGAATGGCGCGGACCTCGGCCAGCTTGTTGGCATTGCCAGTGACGAAATGAAGGACGGTGGTGGGAGAAGCCATCGTGCGTTGGGCGTGGTCGTTGTCGGCAGATTCAGCAAGCCAGCTCTGCCATAGAGTTGAGTTTGGCTCTAGCCTTGGCGGGGCTCTTTCTCCGCTATCGAGCGGCATGATTTTCACAAATCAGGTGCCCTGTACTCCGTATTCCCTTAGACACATGCTATCCTTTTCCTTTGTGATAATCAACCTGCAAGACTGCCGCGTAAACACTTTTGAAAACAACAAGACTGAACAATAACCCCTCCCCCAAATCGTCTAATAAATATAAGATCCTGCCCAGGACTCCGTCGCGCGCAACAATGCCGTGTCGATATGCCACCCCTTGTCCCCCGGCCATCATGCCTTTTGCTCCGATTTGCTGCTCGGCAGCGGCAGGTCGTTGTCCTTGTACCACTGCTGGGCCCAGGCGACGATGCGGTCGACGTTGGACTCCATGTCCTCGACCGTGTTGGACTGCAGCGTGACCACCATCTCGGGCGGGAAAGCCTCGTGGGCCTCCTGTAGGAGGACTTGCATGATCTCCGCGTCAATGTTCTCCTGCATCTTCTTTTCGGGGTATTTTCTGCGCGTGTCAGCGATTGACCATCGGCATCGCCACAAAGCCACCTACCTCTCGGCCAGCCGGTCGTAGAGCGACGTCGTGTCGGCCGTCAGCACAACCACCAGGTCGATCCAACCAGTCGGAAAGAGGTCGCAGGCATGCCAGTCCAGCAGCACGCCGGCACCACGGCCATGCGGCACGTCGTCAGCCTCCAGCGCGTCTAGCAGCCGGTCCTCGTCCACTAGCCAGCTCTGGTACTCGGCATCCCAGCCGTCGTGGCAGTCGCGGTCTCGCACCAGCTCGTTGATCGACACGTGACGCAGCCCCGCCGCCTGGCCGCCCACAGAAGCTACCACTGCTTCGCAGTGCGTCGTCTTGCCCGTTCCAGGCGTCCCCGTCACCACAATGTTCGGCCGCGTCCGCTTGGACTGGGGAGCCGCCATCGCCAAGGTCGAAAAGGAAATGGACACACACACGTCGCTTCGTCAGTCGCTAGATCAGTCGTCAAAAGGTGCTCTCCAGGTGCGCTGTTGTGGCTGCTTTTTACAGAGAGAGCTCGCTGCTGCTCCGCAGAATTTTTTGCTCCTTGGGCAATAGCTTTAAAGCCTGTGCAATCACGTGCATCACCAATCATCAAAACCACCCATTTCAACGCTTCGTCGTCAAAGGTTCACATTTTCATACCCCTCGCTCGTCTGACAAGAGAACATCCGTCGTTCCAACGCCATTCCAAAAAGTCCCTTCTGCTATGCGTTGTCGTGTATTTCGCTGCCTTGCTGCCATTTCCATGCCAGCTTCGACTGCGCATCTCTCTGCTGCTCTCTCTCGGGACGCTTTCTCTTCGTTCTAGTCACTGCCAAACAGATTCGCTCCCCTTTCATGATGCGTTCCAAAAACAACAACACAAAAGTGGTAGCCTGAACAGAAAGACAGCGCGAACGGGGAGCCGGATATGATATGGGCGAAGTCGAACCCGTACTCGTAAGCAAAATTACAGCTGGTCCCCTTCCTTCAAAATGTGCACATGCAAACAGTAATATCGAGCAGAGAATAGAGAAAGGGGAAAGGGGTAAAGAGAGGGGGGAAAGAACATTAGGGCTGCCATACAACCATATCGCGTTCTCGTCTGTCTCATCATCGTACACGGCCGCCTCTCGACTGCCCTTTATCGCCGCCCTTGGAAGCTGTCGCACGAGCGAGAAAGCGGGCGAAACGAACGTCCTAGCCAGGTCGCCTCCGATTCTCCCGCACGTTCTCGTCAATTGAGCCAAGCAAACCCGTCCCTGGCGATTCTGGCAGTCGCCCGAGACTCAACCGTGACCGTGGCCCTTCGGCTGCCCACTAGGCGCTGGCCTCAATGGCCTTGACCTCTTCGTCCATCTCTGTCAGCTCCGCCTGCTCGTAGTCTAGCTCCTGCTTTTCTTGCTGCGCAATTGCTTGCGCCGAAACGATTTCTGCCAACCGCTTGAGTCTCGGCGTTTGGAGCCCTGCGAAACATCTGTTAGCCTGTCTGCACAAACGGGATCCGACGGCGAGCATGACCACTTACAAGACGGTGTGTACGTCTCCAGGGCTGTGATCACACGCGGTTCGGCAATCTCGTATGGCCCGCTGTCATCCATATCGACAGCTTGTAGCAGCAACACGTCGCCCTTCTCGTTGACCTTGGAGGCAACCGCCTTCATGATCTCGCCGTTGATGGGCTGCTCGTAGTCTGCCACTAGATACTGGTTTAGCAGCTTCTGGATCTGGTTGGGCGAGAGCCTAGTTGTTGCCCGTCAGTTCACTGTTGTTGCACGTCTGCAATTGGTCACGGGACAACTCACATCCAACAGATATCCTGGATAATCTCGATATCGTTCAGCGTCGCCTTCTTCAGCTGCAGCAGCTTGGTCGCTTGCTGTGAGATAGTTAAGTTAGCACATACTCGGCATCTCCAGACGAGAACGTCGAAGCTTACCATCAGGTGCTCCAGCTGGAGCGTGCCCTCCGGCATATCGTGGCTCTTGCACCACTCCTCGATACGGGTGATGTTGTAGTTGATTTGCAGGCCACGCTTCCATGACAGGAAGTTGCGGCGCATCAACAGGTCGTTGAAGGCAGTCACGCCGACCAGGCGCAGCAGCTCCGTCACCGTCTGGGTGATGATCGAGTCCTCCAGATAGTAGGCCTTCATCGCACGGTACACGCTGTTCAGCAGGCTAAGCAGGTTGTCCATGCTGTAGGCCGGCGTGCTGTTGGACTGCAGCAGCTTGCCCAGGAACCGGTTGTTCTCGTTCGTAACGAAGCCAGGAAGCGACTGCGACTCGATGATCGCCGGGATGATCATCTTCTGCAGCTTCTTCTTCAGCACCTTCATCCACGTGTGGTAGATGTTGAACTCGAGGCTTTCAAGATCGTGCTTGACAATCTCCAGGAGACGGTCATACTCGTAGTTGTCCGTCTTTTGCTGTTCATACCAGTCTTCCGCCAGGAACACAAACGAGAGCATCTCGTGCACGTTGGACAGCCAGAACGCCCCAGGGTTGATCGCATCCTCGCCCTCGTGCTGCATCACCTCCTGCTGGACCGACTGCATCACGTTGGCCAGGAACCGCTCCGACTCCTTGACGAACCCGTTGTTCCACATCTCCGACGTTACCAGGTTGATCAGGTACGACGGGAAGAGCACCTCCTTGTCCGACGGCGGCGGCGTCGAGTTCGGCGACGGGATCTTCAGGTTGCGGATCAGGCCCAGCGTCACCTCGTCGTTGAGAGAGTCCTCGTCCGCCAGCAGGCTCTCGAGCTCCAGCTCCACGTTGTCCACGCCAGGAAGAACCTGCCGACCCGCCACCGCCATCGACACCGGCCGTGGGTTGTAGGCCATGCTGTACCGGTCAAGTGGCTCTGCGCCGGCGCTGCGACGCTTGGACGGCTTCTTGGAGGCCACCAGGTTGATTAGTCCGTTGGCAATGCCGTTGACGCCGTTGGCTCCGTTGGCCAGGTCGCCCGCACCGCCGATCAAAGGAGCAGAACGGCGCGCCTCGTCGAGAGCATCCTGCATGTCGACGAGCTGCTGGCGCAGGTTGTTCTTCTCTGCCTCGGACCGTGTCACATCTTGTCGGGCAGTCTCCAGCTGGGCACTCGTTGCCCGCAGGGAATCTTTCAGATCCTGCTCCTCCTTCTGCATCCGCTTGACATTCGCCGTTGACTCCTCGAAGCTGTGCTGTAGCTTCTTCATCTCGTCCTCCATCTGTGCCAGGCGTGCCGCCGTAATACCGGCCTGGTTGGCCTCTGTCTGCAGCTCCTTTGTCTTCTGCTCGAGGTCCTTGTGGCGTGTCTGCCACGACTTGATTTGACCCTGGTAGCTCTCCACCTGGGTCTTGAGCTCCTTGTTCTGTGCCTTGATTGTGCCCAATGACTGTGTTAGCTCGACGACCTTGTTCTCCAGCTTGTACGAAATCTGCTTCAGATCGCGTGCCTCCTCGCGCATCGTCTTGTAGCCACGGCGTGCGGTCAGACCGCGCCACACACTCTGAATAAGAACAACCTTTTTGCGATACGAGTTCCAGGTGCGCTTTGCCGCGCGCGAGCGCCACAGGCGTTGGAGAAGCAGGGCTGCGTTGCCTAGTCGTGTCTCCATGATCTCCTTGCGCCGTAGGTAGCCCTTGAAGGCCGCCTGGGCAAGGACAACGTCGGCACGAATGCGCAAGAACTCCCGGCGCTGCTTCTGACCGCGCCACACACGCTGAATCGTAGTAGCAGCATTAACGGTGCGCAGTTCCTGGGCATGCTGCCTTGAAGAGTACGCACGAGCAACTGCCTGGAGTCGGATGATAGCCTCCCGAGCGGCCAGGTAACGGTGGCGATAGTATTTGGCGCGTAGGTTCTTCTGGATCATCACGGCACAAGCGTTGAGCCGCGTAGTCCGCAGGTTCTCGAGGAACGCCAGCATACCGGCGCGGAAGAAGATCTTGGTTAGACCCAGCTGGTACTTGTCAACACCCTTTCCAGTTTTTGCACCGAGAGCCTTTGTGAGGATGGCGTCGGCCATCTGGCGGATCTCTGACGTCCACTGGGACGAGTGCACGAGCATGTAGTACCGCAAAGCAAACTCTTCGTACGTCCATCGAGTCGGGTAACCGGCAGTGCTGATACGGACGGTCTCGAGCACACCACAAGCCCGCAGCTGGCTCAGCACCATGGGTCCCTCGAACATCCAAGCCTCCTTGGCCTCGTTGGGCTTAATACAGCGGATATAGTGCACGTCAGTGTTGTTGATGGTGCTCATGAGCTCAATCAGCGAGGTTCGGAATATACCGCCAAGAGTCGGCTTGCGGTTAACAGCGACACCTATGCGACGGCCGGCAGTCGGCTTGACCGCCGTCGTAGCCGAAGCAAGATCCTTCTCGCGCACTGCAGAGGCAGCATCTAGCACAAAGCGGAGGAAGTCGTTAGTGGAGGCCCGCAGGACGGCAAGATGCTCGTCGGGAACAGTATCGCGGTTCTTGTCGATGAATCCATCGGACTCGTATGTAACGTCAATGGCGTAATGACAGACGGTGAAGGATGACTTCCCAAACCGAGGCTTCTTGTAGAACTTGTTCTTGTCAGGTGCGAAGTTCTGGTGCAGCTTCAGAACAAGTTGCTCATCGGAACCCATGGGCAGTCGAGACTCTTCGTCCAGCAGAGACAAAATACCCATGCGACCCTCAATCAAATCAATACAGGGCTGGTTGTCCGAGAAGTCAATGAAAGTCCAGTCAATCTTTTCCCGCAGATATTCTTCCTGCTCGAGCTTGAAGACATGCTGGTTGAACTCCTGCTGCAGCTTCTCGTTTGCGTAGTTGATACAAAACTGCTCGAAGGAGTTTTTTGCAAAATGCTCAAAGCCGTAGATATCGAGCACACCAATGAAGGAATGCACGCGGTTTAGCACCTCTTCGGTGGCCAGACTGTTGTTGATTACCTCAACAAGCCAGTCAAACATGCTTGAGTAGATAAACTTGGCAACCGAGTCTCGCACAACAAAAGCCTGGGCTGTGGACAAGTTGGAGATGATCTTGTCACCACGCGTAACAAGCTGCTTCTTGACAATCCAGCGAGCAAACTCAGGCGCATCAATACCGAGGATCGAACAAGCACGCTCCAGCGACGGTTCGTCGGCTGCCAGGACGGCCTCAGTTCTGGTCTGACCGATCTTGACGTTGCCGAGATGCAACAGACCGGCCAGAAGCTTGAAAATGCCGTCTTGCTGTTCCTCATTTATACCGATGGTCTTGAGAGAGGCCTTGGTAGCAAAGAACTCGGCCTTATCGTCGACACCGTCAATAATTGGGGTGTTGCCTTGGTTGAGGTATTCAAACTGCTCGACTGGGAGAATGTCTAGCTCCTTCCGCTCCTGCTCTGAAATACCAGCCACCATCTGGTAGAAGATATGGTAGTTGCGCTCCTTGAGGGGCTGGAAGACGAGACGCGACCGTTCTAGCAGGTATGTGCGGATCTTGGCACCGATGATGTTGGTATTGTCGTCAAACAAGATTTCAATGTATTTACCGAAACGGGACGAGTTGTCGTTTCGGGTGGTCTTGGCGTTACCAAAAGCTTCCATAATCGGATTGGTTGCCAGGATCTGTTCTTCGGTCTCGCTCATGGCCTCCGACTTCTTCGAGCGAGAGCCCGGGTTTTTGGGCGATTCGCGAGTTGCAAAGTAGCGCATGATATATTTGGCGCTCACGGTCTTTCCGGCACCAGACTCACCGGAGACGACGACGGTCTGGTTCTTGTTATCCCGGATCATGTCCATAAAGGCCTCCTCGGCAATGGCAAACAAATGTGGTGCCTGGGTTGCGCGCTGCTTGCCGGCATAGACCTGTACCATGCCCGGTACATAGAGGGAGTCGACACGTGCGAAAGGGTTCGTTGCTATTAAGACGATTCCAGAGTATGTGTAGATCTCCTTTTGGGCATATCGGAGTCTGATGGCTTGCAGGACTGGAGAGCACAGGGTGATCAGTTAGCGGGATGTGACAAGGAAAGAGGCCAAGAGCATTCCTATGCATCACAACATACCAGCAGGCTCGTTCAAATGTGATAGGTTTGTCAAGTCGTCGCTGGCCTCGAGCATAGCCGGGTTCATCAGCGGCGGAAGAGAGGGGTCACTGCCTTTATGGAGAGCCTCTGCAGTGACCTCAATCCTTTTCGTCTGAGACCACGTCTGTCAGTACAAGTCTCCCCATGTTATTCCACCGGGAAACTGTTCCCAAGCTTACCTCGCCATTGTCGAGCCTGAACTCCAGGACGACCTTGTTGCCCTGCACATCCTTCTTGATGACCTCGGAGGGCACCCAGCCCTCTGTGACATCAGGTTGCCATGCCCGTGTTCCAACATCGTAAGTCTCCGCCATGATGGGTGGCAGGTAGAAGCGGCCGGCAGCCGGCGGGCAGTAATCGGTATGGCGTCGTTTGTAAAGGTCGAAGCAAGGACACCGAGTCCGACGCGATGAGACGAGCCCAACGGGCCAGTTAGTTCAAAAAGGGGCTCAACTGGAAGTTGCCGCAAACTGCCAAGCGGTGAACGGCAGTTTCTGGGAGAGCGTTTTCTGGGCCGAGAATACGGTCAAGAGAGGGTTTCTTCCAGAAGGCCGCCAGAGATGACGAGAAACAAGCAAATATGCTCTTGTGGAAGGGAGCTGGAAGACGGGAGGGACGTAGGAAGTAGGAAAAGTAAGGAATTACTATGTAGGGGCAAGCCTACTATAGGTGCGGAAAGGGGAGGCGCTATCGGCGATAGGGGGACCCTATATGAGAAGACATCAAAGTGAAGGGTCGAAAGGTAGGAAGACAAGCGAAAGGATCGAAACCGTTGGGCAGATAAGACGGGAACAGGCGGGGATTGTATGGAAGCTGAGAATTGGAGAAGAAACAAAAGCAGTAAACGGGGAGAGCAAAACGCTCTGCTGGGTTGGCCTCTGTTTTGTTGTTGATGAATGGCTGGTAGAGAACGAGGGCTAATTCATTGACAAGACGCGAACACCGGCGTGTCGTCCCTTCCCTGCCTGTAGCGGATTTTTTTCTAGGGGAGGGGGGGTAGCTCTACGGAGTATTCCCTACCAGAAAGAGGGGCGATCCTGCCGCCAAATGCATGTACACGGTAAAAATCGCTCTTAATGTCTACGGGGTATGTACTATACCGGATATTAGACTAACAGGGATGTAAGGATTCCACATGCTCCCGCCATCGCCGTATGGCAGTTCAGCCACACGACCACGCGTGTCGGGACTTGCGCATACGTGTTGCCTTCACGCTGCCTGACTGCAGGTACGCAGACCATTTGATACGCTGCGGCTTCGTACCGGGTTCCACTGCCGGTATAGAATGCAGGAATACCCAATGCTGCAGATGGTCAAAGGCATCAGTGCAACACATCTATAAGCATATCCGGTCCTCTTAAATGCATTTATCGAATACGCCGTATCTTGCGCTTCGTATAAGACAAGTGGCGTGAAATATGGCTTTTTTTCCAGGTTCCGTACTCTGTACTTCGTACGGAGTACACGTTTGGCCAGCCCCCTATTTAGGCCACCTTACTTTAAGTGGTTCTCAGAATCGAAACATGCAAACTACTGCTTAAACCGCCCCAAGCTTGGGTTGACAAGCGGTGAAACAGGGGTATAGTCGGACGGAAATCCTGTTCGGAGTACAAGTTCCCAAAACTCCTTCAACTTGCCTTCAGCTCCGGTCCGGGCAAGCTTGCTGCCTTTTTAGTCAATTTACGTTCTTTTTCGTCTTTCGCAATTTCGGGCCAGCTTATGGTGGAGTATCGCTTCGGATCTCCCCTTGTCTCCATTGTGCAATCTACTCGTACCAGGAAGAGTGACTAGGCAAGGCAATGGTCGTTTCAAGACAGGGGCGTCGGAAAATACCAGTGCCAACAGTAAGGTTAAACGGTGAAGAAACAGCCGCGGATGGTTCAGTCACAACTCGTCGCCGACACCGCCATAAGTGAAAAAGCATTGCTCCATTTTCTTCACCGCCTATCCACTACGCTGTCCATTGTTGAATATCTGTACCTACTAAAAAAAAGGAAAACACCGCATTCACCGTAGGCCCTGTACGGAGTACATGTAGCTAGTTTTTGTTTGTCCATCCATGTTGAAAGATTGAAGACCAGTCCAAATGCAAAAACAAGACGCCTTTCATATTATTTATATCCTTTTCTTTATCCCGATATGGTTAAAGAGTTCCCTGTGTTGTTTGCCCCGCCATGCTGGGAGATGAGTGCCGCAATGCATGAGCCGGCACAAATCCCTAATAAAGCACCCGCGTCAAGATGCGGGCTTCGTTGCGTTAGTACTCTGCCCAACCTCATAGCGCGTTTTGGGGGTCGACTTACAGCTGAGAGCTTCCAGATTGTCGGTGATCTCCTTTAGGTCGCTGGGCTTGACGTCACTGATGTCGGCCATCAGGTATGCGGTCTGATGAGAGTATGGTTAGCACCACTAATACAAGGGCCGAGGTAACGTAGTTGAGCTGAAAAGACTTACATCGCCCTTGCTGTCGGTGATCTGCTTGTCGACGTTGTGGTTGCCTAGAATTTCGTTGACACGGCGCAAAACACCCGGCACGTTGCGATGGACGTAGATAACCTAAGGAGAAGGGGGTAGTTAGCACAGGCAAACCTGTCGATATAGGACGTCAGTCGTCAGACATACCCGGGCGTGGTTTGGCTCGTCGAGCGTCAGCGAGCGCATGTTCACCTCCGGCAGGTTGACGCTGCCGAGGGTGACGCCCTGGTTGATGTACCGCACAAGAGCATCGCCGACTGCAAGGAAAGTTAGCGTAGTTCTCGACACAGGCACCAAACCACACAGTCTCTGAATGTCTCTCACCTTCGACACCGATCGCCCGCTGGGCCTCCTCCGTGCTGCCGCCAATGTGCGGCGTCAAGATGACGTTCTTGAGTCCGCGCAGCTGGTCACCAAAGTCGGGGTTCAGCTTGCCGTTAAAGTAGTCGCCGTTGGCGGCGGGCTCCTGGGGGTAGACGTCTAAGCCGGCGCCGGCTAGCTTGCCAGAGCGCAGGGCCTCGACGAGGGCGGGAATGTCGACAACGGTGCCGCGGCTGGCGTTGAGCAGGTAGGCGCCCTTCTTCATCTGGGCCAGCTGGGCGGGCCCGATCATGTTGCGGGTATCCGCGGTCGCAGGCACGTGCAGGGTGACAAAGTCGGCCTCGCCAAGCAGGTCGGCGAGAGTGGGCACCTGGCGGGCCTTGCCAAGGGCCATCAGGGTGACGATGTCGTAGTAGATGACGGACATGCCCATAGACTCGGCCAAGACGGACAGCTGCGAGCCGATGTGGCCGTAGCCGACAATGCCCAGGGTCTTGCCGCGGATCTCCCAGCAGCGACTGCTCACCTTGTTCCAGGTGCCGCGGTGCATTTCGGAAGAGCGGTCGCTCAGCTGGCGCGCCAGGATGATGATCCAGCCGATCATCAGCTCGGCCACGGAGCGCGAGTTGGCAAAGGGCGAGTTAAAGACGGCGATGCCGTTGCGGGCGGCATAGTCGAGGTCGACTTGGTTGGTGCCGATGCAGAAGCAGCCGACAACGAGCAGATGCTTGGCCTCCCGCAACACCTTCTCCGTAAGCCGCGTCTTGGAGCGGATGCCGATGACATGCACATCGCGGATCTTGGCAATCAGCTCATCCTCGGACAGAGACGTCTTGAGGTGCTCCACCTGGTATCCCTGCTGCACCAGGATGTCACGTCCGCTCTCGTTGACGTTCTCGAGCAGCAAAATCTTGATGTCCGTCGTGTTAAACGGCTTGAGAGGCTTCACCACGCCGCCGGTGGTCGCTGGTGACCCTGCGCCCGCACCGAAGCTGCCCGGCACATAGCCGCCGAAGCTGGAGGGAGGGGAGTGGAACGTGGCCGTGGGCGAGGTCGACACGATCCGGTTGTTGTCCACAGAGGTGGTCACGGCACCCGGCCGCCTGGCAATGTCTTGGGCTGAACTCATTGTGCGTTTGCGTGTGGGTGTAGATGATGGGCCAATGGGCAACTTTCAGGTGTCAGAACAGAGCCTACGGGTGAGATAGGTATAGAAGCTCAATCGGACAGTTGATTTTATGTTTGCAAAGCGTTGGCCCCAGTAGAAAGGGAGAGCGAAGACAGTTGTGATGTCAATGACACGGGTTTTTAAAGCGAATCATGAAAATGCTACGGCGGGGCCTCATGCCTGTCCTTTGACTCACACCTAATACACAGTCCGCTGTCGCTAGAGAATCTTACTGTATGAGTACCAGTTTCAGTGCCCCGACGTTCGGAACGCTCCTGCTGTCCAGCCTAGAACGCCAATGAAAAATTTTCGCTCTTTTGCCCGCCAAAACCGTTTCGAGCAATGGTGGCACCAGCTATACAGCACCTGTAATATCTTTCGACTAGTAACGGAGCAAAGAAGCGCCAAAACTGACACCCGTTTCTCTGACTAAGATGCTTCCGACCACCTCATAGCTTTACCAGTAGTAGCTGCATGTGTTGCAATTTTGCCAGGTCGGCGCACCGGGCCCGTGATCAAAAGAGTCGACCTGTCACTTCTAACCCTGGTGCTGCCGCCCGTGCTCCTGGGAGGTCGGACCATTTCAAGTGCCAACTCAGAGAAACGTTGGTGCGCAGATCTTCAGCCTCACGAGCTTGCAACCAATGCAACCATCCTCAACAGCATGCGGAGAATGCCGGGACGGACGACAAACGGCAAGCGAATTGGCAAATGAGAGGAGATGGGATGACAAAGTAGAAAATAGACGAAATAGACAATATCCTGATTACAACAATGGCAGAGATTGAAGCAGGTTGTACGTTGCGTGGAAATCGAGTCAAGTTGAGATAAATATGCCCCATAGTCAAACCCACGATCCCCCTTTCTTCTTGTCACACAGTGGCCTCGACCAGTTTTTTATCTCGCAGATTATAACCTCGCATCACATTGCGGCTCGAACTGGCAGCTCCGCAGATGGCATGCCCGAGTGTGGCAAAGTGCAAACAAAAGAACAGGAGGAGAGAACGGAGGAGTGTATTCGGAGGGACTGCGCCAGCCGCGAAAGAGATGTCTGTGTCTCAGTGTCGCACAGCATTCCGTCCCTCTGACCCCTCTCTACCCCCCCATTGAGAAAACCGGAACCGAGAAAGCCAAAGGGCCAAGGGAGACGGTTATAAAGGGGAAAGAGCATTGCCCTGCCGTCTAGCTCTGCTTGCACTCAGCAGCCTCCTGCTTCGGCTTCGATGCGTCGTCCTGTAGGAGAAACGTATGTCAGCATGTCTCGGCAGCCTGGGACTCATGTGAGCTGAGCACCTACATCGTCGTCATCGGACTCGTCCTCGTCGTCATGGTCCTCGCTCAGATCATCGTCCTCATCCTCCTCCTCGTCAAACTCATCCTCAATGTCGTCCTCGTCCATCTCCTCAAAGGCGAGTGCCTCGCCCGTAAACCAGTCGATGGCACGCGGGATCAGCTTCTCCTTGATGTCCTCACCAAGCTGGTAGTCAAGCTCCAGACGGTCCTCGATATCCGAAGCGGCATCATCCTCCTCGTCTGCGGGCGGCTTGGGCGGCGAGAAGAAGTTGAAGAATGACTCGGTGGGGACGGTCTTCTTAACGATGCGGGTTTGTTTTGTGTCTGTGTATCTGGTCAGCATGCAACGGGCTCTCTCCCGTAACGGCGACCGCAACACTCACTCTTGTTGCGCTGCTTCTTCTGCTCGATGCGGACGGTCAGGTCCTTATCCGCCTTCCAGTTGATCTTATCGCCCTCAGCGTGGTCGTAGATGAAGTCACCGCCGTAGCCCGACTCGTTTTGATAGAAATATGTCTTGGAGATGGTCTTGTTGGTAAAGTAGTCGTTCTCGGAAAACTCAAAGATCAGGCGGAAGCCCGGCTTGTCGAGGTACTCCATCCGAATGTCGGTAAGATGCTTGAGTGCACCCTCATCGCGGTCGGTGATCATCTCGGCCAGCGACACCTGGTTCTTCATGGCGGACAGCCAGAACTCAGGAATGCCAGAGATAGTTTCTGAGGACTCGGCTGCGGCCTCGGTAGCCTTATCGGCCTTTTCAGTCTCCTCCTCATCCTCGTCCTCATCCTCTTCACCAGCGGCCACCTCATCCTCGGTCGGCTCGTTGCCACCGTTGATAATGGTGGCGCGCTTCTCGTACAGCGGGGTAAACTTTGCAAAGTATTTCTTCTCTAGCTGCAGGACCTCTTCCTGGAACTCGGCCTCCAGCTTCGAGTGCTGCTTCTGGATGCCCTTCAGGCCGGCGACACGACGCTTTACTTGGGGGGGAAGTGACTCGATGTAGCCGGACGACCGACCGACAAGGCTGCCGAGCTTGCCCTGGATCATGTGAACGAGCCGAGGGTTCTGCGCGAAGAGAGAAGCGGCAGCGGCGATATCAACCGTCTCTGTAAGTAGGGGTTAGTTTCAGCTGGGCGAGCACCGGGTCGCGATCCTCAAGTCCGGGGACCATGACAACGGCGCGGACATGGTGCACACGCTGTGTCCGCGCCGTGTACCAGGCACCATGGAGAATGGAATATGGAGAATGAAAAATGCGAGTGCGCGGGGGACTGACCCTCGGAGATGCTGGCAACACCAGGCTGCTGGGCGTGAGACGAGATGGGGGCATTGTTGGCGGGGGTGTTCTGCGGTGTCCTGGAACGGGCTGGTCAGATAAGATGTGCATGGGATAAAATATGCACGCAAGAGTAGAAACAAGAAATATCAAACGATGACAGCGACGTACGGGGCGGTTGGGTCAGGCCGCTTGTTGCGGATAGGCTCGGCCATGGTTGGCGAAGAACTGGAGTAGGCGGTGACAAAGAGGGGACGGGGTAATAAAGAGACGACGAGGTCACAGGCGTCGATGAGGAGAGACGCGGTCGGCCGTAAACGATCGAGTAGGGAGGAAAGAACGGGGTAGATGTGACAGGTTGAAGGGGGGAGAGTGCAGGTGAGAACAGGGAGAAATAGGTTGGGAGAACAATAAGTATTGGGATGTGGCGGCGGGGTCGAGATTTCTTACGGACAGGTAAATTTTTGCTGGGCGGTGGGAGAGGGTGGACACGGCAGTGTTTGGTTGACTTGGCTATATGCTTTTTTTTTCCCTTGACGGTCGCCGCCACTTTGGCTCATCCCCTCCCAATTTGCAGTGTTGGGCAGCCGTTATTGGTTAGTTCACGTTCGCGGCCCGCTTTTCGTCTTTTTCATCACTTTCCACCCCGTCCCTTGGCCATTATTTTTAATCAGCTTTGCGATTTCTGCTATTGTAGGATAATTGAGATGGGAGTTCTTGATCCGGTAGTCCTTCTCGTCTGTACGTTTACATGAGTTGATTCTCCGGTGCCTGCAGTATCGACATCTCCGGTGCCTGCAGTATCGACAATGAAGGAATCGTCTGGCCAGGGCAGACAGCCCGGGATACCACATCGGAATCAGAGCTGTCTGTCTTGGATATAAGAGTAATAAAGAGAACGCACATGCACCAGCTGATCGGTAACAACTGCCCAATCTGTTGCAGGTGCGCCAGGGCTCTACTTGTGCAAAAAAGCGCTCATCTTGCCTAGACGCTTTATAATATGTATTAAACGTTCTGTGATATGTGGTTTATTGGTAAGCTTCCTCGGTAGGGGTGCTGTGGTTGATGCTGGATAAGCGTTTATAGTGCACTTATAGCGTGGGCTTTGGCGAGCTTACGACAGAAGCCCCCACCAAAGCCTTCTGCTGTGGCTCCCCACTCTCCCCCCCAAAGAATCCTCGGCCGAAAGCGTAAATACAGTGGATCGGCGGCGATTTCGTCTAGATCCCGTGATTCGAACGCCGCTGTTATCTCTGAAAGATATCGTCCTCCCAGACATCACGTCTGAGAAATTTAACAGACGCACCCACCGTGGCAGCCAAGCCCAGACGCGCGACGCCGCAAGACCACACTTTCCTGCTGCACGAGTTTTGTCGTCATGGCCCACTGCTAGCAGATGCAGACCGCTTCTGCTTCTTCGACTGAAGCTGATCGATCACATACTGGAAATTGATGCGCCAGACACGATCTGCCGCCATTGCCTCTCCGCCTGGCCAAATCTAGCGCCGCTTTAGGTGCACTCACAACCATGCACGCCGAGGATGGAGACTTCAGAGAGCTAGAGACACGCTCTGAGAGAAACGGGCCACCGGGGCTCTATCGACTTGACTCGAACCAGAGCAGCGCCAGTGTCTTTGAGGATGTAGAGATGGCAAATGACCAGGTACGTTTAAGATCAGTTGTTGTAGCGGGTCTGTCCCCATCGGCTAATGACTTCAGCTGTATTCGGGCCCGATGGCGGAGAGCCTCCCGAGCAGCATTGCGGCCTTCTCGCACCGGCGGTCTCGCGCAGACTCAACGACCAGCTTTGCGTACTACACGGACGACGACGAAGAGCGTGATCGTATCCGCCATCCGGCTGCTGCTGACAACGAGGATGATGACGTGTCCGTGTTTGAGGAGGCCGAAGGGCTGCTTGTCGGATCGTACGTGTCGTACGACCACCGGGGAGTGCGCTACCACCAAGACAGAGAGGACGACGAGGCTTATCGGGACGAGGACGACGAGAGACACGGCAGAGATGACGAATCGGAAGGAGAAGAGGATGAGACAGAGGAAATGGACCGGGCCAGTGCAGAAAACGTTGGGCTGCTTCACCGGCGATCGTCGACGCACTCACGGGCCTCTGTGCATAGCAATCTGCTGCGGCGGCGAAACAGCATGACGACGGAGGGTGGCAGCGAGTATGGCGGCGGACGGGTCAGCCAGAAGACGTACATCGTGACAGAGGACCTGTACCTGGTGATCGCCGGGTTCCAGACCAGCCGGAGGGGGCAGACAGCATACATGGCCCTGTGTGTGGCCAGTCTCGGACTGGCCTGGCTCCTGTTCCGATGGCTGCCGAGATGGCATGTCTGGATGGTTGGGCGGGCGTGTGAACTACGAGAATGCACATGGGTGGTGGTGGAGAACCAGTGGAACGAAATGGCGATCCTGAATGTGCGCAGCACGCCGTACGGGCGGCCGCAGTCGACGGTGTTTGGTGCGGCGACATACGCAGCCCAGGCGAGAAAGCTGGCGTCGTTTCGGGCAGGCAACGACTATGACGACGAAGCAGATCCGGATCCGGACCCGCTACTGCAGCAGCTGCGTGTGCTTGACTACCGATACGTGCGGTTCTTCTACCACCCGCAGCGCGACAAATTTGTGGTGTCGAGCGGGTGGAAAGACCCCAGCTGGCAGGACGTGCGGAAGATTCAGACGGGCATTGACGGCGACGAGAAGAATCTGCGCGAGGTGGTGTTCGGGTCGAATCTGATTGACATTGCGCAGAAGTCGACGATGCAGCTGCTGGTGGACGAGGTGTTCCACCCGTTCTATGTGTTCCAAATTGCGAGCCTGGTGTTGTGGTCGCTGGACGAGTACTACTACTATGCGGTGGCCATCTTCCTGATGTCGTTTGGCAGCATCACGACGACACTGGTGGAGACCAAGGCGACGATGCGGCGGCTGCGCGACGTGTCGCGGTTCGAGTGCGACGTGCGTGTGCTGCGCAATGGTTTCTGGCGGACGATCGTGTCGGGCGACCTCGTTCCGGGCGATGTCTACGAGCTTAGTGATCCGGGGCTCTCGCAGCTGCCCAGCGACAGCCTGCTGCTCAGCGGCGACTGCATCGTCAACGAGAGCATGTTGACGGGCGAGTCGGTGCCGGTGTCCAAGACGCCCATGACGGCCACAGTGCTGCAGACGCTCGACCTGGCCGCACCGACCGTCCAGCCTGAGACGGCCCGGCACTTTCTTTTCTGCGGAACCAAGATCATTCGAGCACGGCGTCCACAGCGGGATGCGGGAGCACGTGATGGAACACGTGACCTGACGAATGGTATCGGAAACGGGAACGGAACCGAGGACGAGGACGCGGCGGTCGCACTGGCTCTGGTGGTGCGTACCGGCTTCAATACGACCAAGGGAGCGCTGGTGCGATCGATGCTGTTCCCGAAGCCGTCGGGCTTCAAGTTCTACCGCGACTCGTTCCGCTACATTGCGGTGATGGGAGGCATCGCGCTGCTAGGCTTCGTGGCGTCGTTTGCCAACTTTGTGCGACTGGGATTGGCGTGGCACTTGATTTTGGTGCGGGCGCTGGACCTGATTACGATTGTGGTGCCGCCGGCACTGCCAGCAACGCTGACGATCGGTACGAACTTCGCGCTCAGCCGGCTGCGGGCACGACAGATCTTCTGCATCAGTCCGCAACGCGTCAACGTAGGCGGCAAGCTAGACCTGATGTGCTTTGACAAGACAGGCACGCTGACAGAGGACGGTCTGGACGTGCTGGGTGTGCGAGTGGTGGACCGCAAGGCCAACCGGTTCGGCAGCCTGATCACGGACGCAGCAGCACTGGTGCCGGCTCACCAGCCGATGGGAGGACCAGGCGATGTGGGCGGTACCGGTGATGACGAAAGCCGACGGGCAGCGCTGTTCACGATGGCGACATGCCACTCGCTGCGAAGCGTGGACGACGAGCTAATGGGTGATCCGCTGGACCTCAAGATGTTTGCCTTTACCGGCTGGGCCTTTGAGGAGGGTACTGGCGGCGGAGGCGGGGGAGGAGGGGTCGAGTTGCGAGAGCAGGGCGGAAACAACGACGAGGACCAACAGCAGGGCGGACTGGCACCATCAGTGGCACGGCCGCCGGCCGAGTGGGTGTACGACCTGGACACACGGCCTCCGGCAAGACAAAACTCCGCCTCACGGACCAAGACGCCGTTTGAGCTGGGCGTGGTGCGTTCGTTTGAGTTTGCATCGCAGCTACGGCGAGCCAGCGTGATCGTGCGGGCGTTTGGGCAGAAGAGCGGCGACGTGTACGTCAAGGGGGCACCGGAGTGCATGCGCGAGATCTGCCGGGCCGAGAGCCTGCCGGCAGACTACGACGAGCTGCTGGCGTCGTACACGCACAAGGGCTACCGGGTGATCGGCTGTGCGGCCAAGAATCTGCCACGGCTCAGTTGGGTGCGGGCGCAGAAGATGGCGCGTCACGAGGCCGAGGCCGGGCTGGACTTTGTGGGCTTCATCGTGTTTGAGAACAAGCTGAAACCGACGACGACAGCGGTGCTAGACGAGCTGCGGGAGGCCGATATCGGCACCGTCATGGTGACGGGTGACAACATCCTGACAGCCATCAGCGTGGCGCGTGAGTGTCGGCTGGTCAGCCGGACGGCCCATTGCTTTGTGCCGCGTTTTGTTCAGGGACATGCACAGGACCCCAACGCGGAGCTGCAGTGGGAGAGCATCGATGACAGCATCTACCGGTTGGACCCGCGGACGTTGTTGGTGAGTGCTGTGTTGGAAGTGTTGGAGAGTCTTGGGCGACCTTGTTTGCTGACCATCTCCAGCCACTGCCTGCTCCTCCCGCAGGTGATGCTTCTCTGCCGTATGCCATCTCGGACCTGCGCAACTATTCCGTTGCCGTCAGCGGCGACGTCTTTCGCTGGATTGTCGACTTTGCGCCCGAGGAGGTGCTCAAGAGGGTTGGTCCTCCCTTTTCCTTTCTCTCCAATTCGCCACTGACACTCCCAGATGCTCGTTGTCGGCAAGATCTACGCCCGCATGTCGCCCGACGAGAAGCACGAGCTGGTCGAGAAGCTGCAGAGCATCGACTACTGCTGCGGCTTCTGCGGCGACGGCGCCAACGACTGCGGCGCCCTCAAGGCGGCTGATGTCGGCATCTCGTTGTCCGAGGCCGAGGCCTCTGTCGCTGCGCCCTTTACGTCGCGCGTCTTCGACATCTGCTGCGTGCCCGAGGTTATCCGTGAGGGTCGCGCTGCCTTGGTTACCAGCTTCAGCTGCTTTAAATACATGAGCATCTACTCGGCCATCCAGTTCACCTCTGTCAGCTTTCTCTACGCCTCGGCCTCCAACCTGGGTGACTTTCAGTTCCTGTTCATCGACCTGGCCCTCATCCTGCCGATTGCCGTGTTCAGTACGTGTCTGCCTTGTCTTGTCTGACTGTCTGCCGTCGCTAACCCATACAGTGAGCTGGGCCGGTCCGTTCCCTGAGCTGGGCAAGAAACGCCCGACGGCCGACTTGGTGTCACGCAAGGTCCTGACACCACTGCTCGGCCTCATGGCCATCTCGGTCGTCATCCAGACCATCGCCTTTGTGACCGTGCGCCAGCAGCCGTGGTTCGTGCCGCCCGTCGTCGATCCGGACAAGTCCAACATCAAAAACTCGGAGAATACGGCCCTGTTCCTGGTCTCGTGCTTCGAGTACATCTTCTCGGGCGTCGTGCTCAACGCCGGCCCACCCTTCCGCCAGAGCTTGTGGCGCAACTGTAGGTTCCACCCGCCTGCTTGCCTGCTTGCCTGCTTGCCTGCTTGCCTGCTTGCCTGCTTGCCTGCTTGCCTGCTTGCCTGCTTGCCTGCTTGCCTGCTTGCCTGCTTGCCTGCTTGCCTGCTTGCTGCTCTTTCGTCGCTGACTGTCTCTCAGGGCCGTTTGTCGCCACCATTGCTGTCACCCTGGCTGCCACCGGCTACATGGTGGTCAACCCGGTGCACTGGGTCAAAAAGGCGATGCAGCTGACCAAGATTAGCTGGAGCTTCAAGCTGGTCGTGTTGGGCCTTGGCCTGGCCTATCTCTTCGCTGCCAAGATAGCTGATGTCTGGGTGCTGCCAGCTGCGGCACGGCTGGTTGGGCGCGCCAAGCTGGCGCTGACCGGCCACCCAAAGAAACGGAAGGAGTACAAGCTGATCCTGGAGCGTATGCGGACATAGTCCGAGAGAAGGACTTGATAGACCTAGGCGCATAGATGCATGACCACGGGATATGATCTGGTGTTGGGGAGGCTGGAGCGACTATGGTGTCGGAGTTGCGTTGCGATCATGCTTTGGTTTATTATATGGGAATACAGCGTCTGTCTACGACGGGCATATGAAAGCCTTTCACATAGGCACTGACAGCATTGTCGTCGTGATGACTGTGGTCGCATCGTTGCAATAGAAGGTCTGATTTTGCGAGTCCACAACAACACGCCACATGTACAAAAGGAGCTCCCAATTCCCAAACTGCAAGTATGCCGGCCTTCTCATTCTATCTCGCCATGTCGTCTAGTGGTCCCATGGGTGCTTCCAGCCCATCAATGCCGGACCTGGTTCGACACAGTTAGTCGGGCGGGAAAACAGGGCAATAAACAGGGAAACAGGATAATCTCACCATCCTTCTTCGCTCTGTACATCAGCTATCGGCCCCGTGTCGGGGATTTGGTTAGCAGGCGGCCACACATACTCCTCTCTATGCCTTCTGCCCGAGATCGCTTACAAAGAACCACATGCTGGCGCCCAGGGCGGTCGCGCTGAACCGGTAGACAAACGGCACATGCGGCGTCGGCGGCTTGAAGTTGGCCATCTTGGCGTGGCAGGGTGCGAGCGAAACAAAGCTGCTTCTCTGGCCGTCGACTTTGTTAGCATCCGAAGTAAATTTTGCGTGGGTTGTCTGCCGGTCGCAGGGCGTGCGTTCGCCATCCGTTCTCACCAGTCAAAAGCGATGGAAGCCTCCCAGTGCGTCAGATGGAGAGTCGCCGCGGCAGTAGAGGTGGCAATGGCTGATCGAAGCCTCTCGGAGGGTAAGATGTTCGTCGTAATACCAGGACGCCTAAGACAAGCCGCTCGGATCGGAAGCGTGGGAGAAAATGCGGTCGCCTGACTAATGAGGCAGACATATGCACTGGCTGTGATTGGTCAGTTTCACACCTCATTATCAATGCAAAGTGGCCCGTGCCTGGGCACATGTGATTGGCTCGTCCAAATGTAACGCATCTTGCAGACTGCTATTGAACCTAACTACGGAGTATTTCTACAGTCATCAAGCGAACGCGCATTCGCGCTCGATATAATTTGCTCGCCCTCCCAGCTTTGTCGCGCCTCTTCTCATGGGTCCTTGGATCGCATCCCGACAGCCACCTCAGTTGATTGACGAAGGCCCGGCCTTTCGATCCTGTCTGCTGCCGACCGCTCTGAACGACGAAAAGCCAGATCTGGCACCGAACCTTCATACCGCACACCTCTCCTAGCCATCGAAACGAGCAAGCAGCCCCGCTTGGCCTTGGCCGTCCTGGCCGCCAGAGACTACCATCATATCGCGATGGGCGTTCCGATGGCGCCAGACCCGCCATCGCGGCAGCTACACGCGAATGCTCACATGCGACCGCAATCGAGCTACGAGGGCTGTTCCAGCATACGCGATTATGAGCTGCTGGGGAAGCTTGGCGAGGGCACGTTTGGGTGAGAGCTGACCTGGACCCTTCTTCTGATGCGGCCGGTGGCTACCGCTTGGCGAAGCTGACACCACTCCAGAGAAGTGTACAAAGCAAAGGCACGACGAAGTGGGAAAATGGTCGCCATGAAGAAAATCATCATGCACAATGAAAAGGACGGCGTTAGTAGCGTTCCCCCGTTTTTCTCAGCTTTCACCTGGCTCTCTGACACCTACCGCCCCAGTTTCCGATCACAGCACTGCGTGAGATCAAGCTGCTGAAACTGTTGTCCCACCCCAACGTGTTAAAGCTAGAGGACATGGCCGTCGAGCACCCTCACAAAGGCTGTACGTGCTTCTCCGGGTGAGGTGATCGCTGCAAGACAGCCGTGCTAATCGGGAGTCCAGCTGATAAACGGAAACGACCGATCATGTACATGGTCACGCCGTATATGGACCACGACCTTTCAGGACTGCTGGAAAACCCGTCGGTAAAGTTCTCGGAACCGCAGATCAAGTGCTACTTGATGCAGCTGCTCGAGGGCCTGCGGTATCTTCATGAGAACCACATCCTGCACCGCGACATGAAGGCTGCCAATCTGCTTATCAACAATCGCGGTATCCTCCAAATTGCCGATTTTGGTCTGGCCCGTCACTATGAAGGAGACGTGCCCCTGCCCGGCCGCGGTGGTGGTGAGGGCCGGCGTGAATACACCAGTCTGGTTGTCACTCGTTGGTATCGTCCACCGGAGCTTCTGCTGCAGCTGAAGCGGTACACCTCTGCTATTGATGTCTGGGGCGTGGGGTATGTTGTACCTCTGGTTTTTTGCACGAACCTTTGCTAATATTCTGTCTCCCGTCCCAGATGTGTGTTTGGAGAGATGCTTGTGGGCAAACCGATCCTAGCCGGCATCAGCGACAGTCACCAGTTAGAGATAATATGGGATCTTTGCGGCTCGCCAACAGAAGACAGCATGCCCGGGTGGAAGATGCTACCTGGCGCACAAGGCTTGACACCTCGGCTGCGGCCAAGCAACATTTCCATGCGGTTTAGCAAGTATGTGGCCGACCACCTGCTCGCACTCTTTGGCCATGACTGACAAGATGTACAGATACGGTCCTAGTGCGGTGTCATTGTTGACACAGCTGCTGAAGCTGGACTGGCGGTCACGTATCAACGCGATGGATGCGCTGCAGCACCCGTACTTCCGCACGGCGCCCTTCCCTGCAAGCCCGGGCGACATCCCGATGTTTGAGGAATCGCACGAACTCGATCGCCGGAAGTTTGACGACCGGAAAGCAGCCCTGCCCCCTGCTCCGAAAGGAGGAACGGTGGGCCGAGGGCATATGGAAGGTGCCAATGGACCCAACTCTGGCTTTGACGGCGACGGCTACGGGAGAAACGGGGCGAATGGCAACCACCGACATGGCCAGCCAGGATACGCGAACGAACGGGTTTCACGAGGTCCAGGTGGCGGGCCAATGCCTCCAAATGGCAATGGTGGTGGAGATGAAGGAGGTGTGCGACGGCCACCGTGGGCACGCGATCGTCAGCCGCACGGATTGCCGCCGAGGCCACCGCCACCGACAACCGGTGATCCTCTTGTCAACGGACGAGACAACCTCAACTATGGCGACGGATATCGTGACCGGGACCGTGACCGGGACCGCGATCGAGACCGTGACCGCGATCGAGACCGGAGCCGGAACGAGCGCTATGGGCCACCACCACGAAGCCGAGGGGGGCGAGACAATGACATGGACACGTACATACCGGTGGCACGAGGCTATCCGCGAGGAGACGGTGTCGCGGCGCGTGATGCCAACCGCGATGTCGCTCGTGATAGGCTACCACCGGCGCGAGAGGAGCGTCGACGACACGACGATCGGGATGAGCCGGCACGGCACACTGGACGAGACCGACATGATGGACCAGTGCGTCACAGCAGGAGCCGATCGCCCTTGCGTGAACGCGACAGAGACAGAGATGCTTATCGGAGGTAGTACATCCCAAGGGCACATCGCTGGCAAATGGGGTGGTAGTAGACATGGATCTCGGTGTACGGTGTACGGTGTACGAGTACGACGTACGGGCTGGCTTGTATCATGCAGTGGGTGTCTCGACACAAAGCAGGGGCTTGATTTTCATACCTACTTCTTCATCTTTTAGCTTTTTCCACCACTTGGGGCCTCGGAAGAATGAACAGGCATAAGATATCTTTATATCGTCGTTGATTACGCCTTGCTCGTGGCAAGATACACATTGCATGGTACTCCGTAGACTTGGTCAACTCTATGTAGTCTGTCAAAGGTCGAAGAGACAGGGAAACCAGCCCATCGCACGATATTGCACGGTAGCTCACGTTAGACGAAAATTCGCGAGCGATCGCATCAATTGGGCTCAAGCGAGATGTGTGCGCAACCAGACACGCCATGCTTTGTTTTCTCTTTGCAACTAGTCCACCCGCAGCTGTCGAGAAGCTATAGATAGTGTCCGTACTGTTGTGGTGTTGACGGCGGCTCGCCGGCTTGTTTCGTCCTCGACGAGCAGCGGGCCATGTTTCCAGGCGCCCAGCGCAGAGGCCAAGACTGCGGCCGCCGATCTGGGCGCTACACAATGTTACTATGTAAGATAAGATACTTCGTATGGTAGAGGAGAGATGGCCAAGATATGTCTTCGCGCCGATGCCCAGCAACAGCAGTCGGCAAACGCCATAGCTCCTTCCCGGCGCCCTCTCCAATCAGAAGGCCCACTTGGCCAGTCTGGGACGTGTAAGACGATGTGTGCCCAACACGGCCTAGTGCTTTCCCCTGAAGGACCAGGGGGCGGCACGCCGTTTCTCCTCGTTACATAGTACGGCGCCTACACACGCTAATCCAGATACATACATCGCAGTATCGCAGCATGCGTGTCAGACGCCGGTCGTTCCTGCCGCCCCCCTTTTTTCTGCCACCTTCCGCCAATACCCTGCTTCACGTTCCTGCGTCCCTGCCAATTGGGACCCCAGCCGCTCGATTGAGTATGAGGAAGATACGGAGTACTTTGGCGCTCGTACGCAATCGAATGGGTCTCTTCTCTTTTGGGCTAACTGGTACGCAACCACCCCTCCGAGACCTGCCAGACATGAGCTCTGATAGCCTCCGGCTGCTTTCTGGGCCTTCCTCCACCCCGGTCCTGGTTTAAGATATCTTCCATAGCAGTCCTCTTCATCCCGTTTTCGGCCAGGCCTCTTTGCATGCGGCCTGCTCTTTGCAGAAAGCAGTCGTCTTGCTTGCCACTCGTTCGATACAGAAACGCCCAAACAAAACAAACGTGCCCACAGTGCAGCCTGAGACGTGCATGTATCTTTATTTTGGGATCCGCTTCCTTGTCGCAACACAGACTGCAGCTGCTCGCCGATCAAACGTCCTTACCGCAGCCCCCTGCTCGTCCTCGTCCGACTCGTCTGGCTCGTTCGACTTGCGCCTGGAAAAAGACGGATGTCGCATCTTCAGCCAGCGGGCAACCTCCAGCGCCTGCGAAGGCTTCGGCCTCGTCGCTGCGGACCAGGCCACCCCCCCTGTCTTGCCCTCCCACCTGCATCTTACAAAGGTTCATTATGTCGCCCACTGCAGTCTAGCAAAGGACCAGCATCATCTACGCTCTCTTGACGTCGCCTTCGTGTCGCTCGTTCTCGTCACTTTCCACCCTCCTTTGGTACTGGGTCTCTCGTTCAGGACCTGCGTATTCTCTGGTCGACCCACTGGCCCTGGCGTTTCTCCCTGTCGGCCCTGCCATTACCCGTCCATGTCCTCACCCTGCGTCGCCCGCTCTTCGGCGCTCCAGTGCTTCACGTCGTATTAACCGATCTCCCCTTCTCGGCCCCTCCCTTTTGTCTCGCGCGTGGCCACCTACTTCGTCTCGTGTCCACCGCGACGACGTCTGTTTGTCTTCCATTCACTTCTTCTTTCAACAATAGGATCACGGTCGACTACCATCGCTGGCGAGGAGCGACTTGTGCACACGGCCGGTCCGATTTTACCCTTCTTTTCTTCAATCCGACTGTGTCGAGATTTCTTTTCGCTTTTCTTTTTGATTTTCTCTTCAATTTTCTCTTCGTTTTTAGGGGTTTAATTTTGTTGCACGACCGGCGGCGTCGAACACAGTACTATATCATACCCTTTCGAATTAAGCAGCAAATTTCGGCACCATGGGTTTCATGAGCCACCGCCAGAAGAATGTCGAGCTTCGGCCAGAGCAGAAATGGGACTACATTGTGAGTAAATCGGTCGGCATGTTGCGACTGCATGTCCGATTCACGTCTAACCATTGCCGCTAGACCTTGAACGACTTCAAGTCAACGTCCTGCTTGACACCTTTGGCCTACGGCTATCTCTACCTGTCTCTTCTCCTGTCCACTGCCGTCTATGCCGTCGATACATTTACTGCCGTCAACCTGCTGGTCTTTAACAAATGGTCCTCTGAGATCAGCCCGGCAATCTCTTTCACGGCCGCCAAGTGGATCTTCTCCGTCTGCATCATATTGTCCTTTCTCAATCTAGCCTACGAGCATATCCGTGCCCAGCTTGTCATGAGACGCGGCAGCGTCACCGAATGCTACCTGGACAATCTGGCCGTCCGCCTCGAGAGCATTCGATGGGGCAAGGGCCAAGGGTGGAAGCGCTTTCTGGTCATCGCCGCGTTGACCAAAAGTAAGAAGGGTTCCGAATACATCGCCCTCTTCACTTATTTCAGCTTTCAATGTAAGCCACGCTCTGTTTCGTTCCCACCACTCTGTATTGTCCCATACTGACACGTATCAGCCTGGATTCGCATCCTGCTGTGCTCTGGTCCCCGCCAAGTCGTCAACGCCCTTACCTTGTACTCCGTCTACAACGCAAAGCTCTTCGTCACAGGTGACAATGTGGCAAACACTTTGAAGAACTTCTTCGAGAAGATTCGCGAGCTGGCCGAGGAGAACTCGCAGCAGGCCCTTATCCTCTCTTCCATGCTCTTCACCCTAATCATTTGGATCTTCTCCTTCCTCTCTCTGCTCATCGCTTTTCTTTTCTTCGCCTTTTACCTTTGGAGCTACATCCCTAAGTCGGATGGTAGCCTGTCCGCCTACTGTTCGCGGAAGATCAACAAGCGTCTCATGCAGATCGTTTCTGTCAAGGTCAACGCTGCTCTTGCCGAAGAGGAGCGTCGCCGGAAGAAGGCCGGGTTCAAGGCTGCAAAGAAGGCTGGCGAGCTACCACCGGCTGAACAGAAAGCCACGATTCCGAATGTTGGCTTTAACTCTCCGCCGAGCCTGCCCAAGATGGAGCGCACCGACACCATGGCCACACTGCCCCCGTACACTTCCCAGCCAGCCACACCAGGTGGCTATGGGCTGGGCGCCATTGACCAGAAACGGCCCATGCCTTCTAGGTCCGGCACGCTGCCATCAAGCGTGCCGCCAGGCAACGGCAACTTCTCCACTCGCGCGTCTCTATTGAGATTTGCCGCCGAACCGGGCATGGGCAACGTCCGGTCTGCCTCGCCGGCTCCTTCGATCCCCAATCTGACAGGGATGCGCGACAGCGAACTCAACAACGGGTACCCTCGTCCGCCAATGCGCTCGGCAACTGAGGCTCCCAACTTCTCCTACCGAGGTGGCTCAGCAACACCACCCAGGCAACTGAACCGTACGAACACTGCCGGCTCAATGGCACCTGCTTCAAACGGCAGCTTCTCAAACATGCCGCAGCGTGTTCAATCCCCTGCGCCTTACGCCAGCCGACAGCAGCAGTACAACAACGGGCCAAGCATACCGAACCACAGGTCCAACGGGTCCAACGGGTCCAACTCCAGCAACCGCTTTGCCGCCTACCAGGATGAGACAGGCCGGTCAAGCCCAGCTCCTTCAGTGCGTGCATACGGGCCTGGCGGAGGCTTCAACGCACCCAGCCAGTATAACACCAACTTTTCCGCTTCGCCACAAGGCATGCCGGCACGGATGCGGAGCGCCACCAACCCTGTGCAGCGACGGGTCTCTCAGAGTGGCACTGGGTTTGGACAGGTGCCGTTCAAGCAGTCGTTTGCCCCTCAGCGAAACATGACAGCTCCTTTGCCGTCGTATGAACACCAACGCCAGGACTCGAATGAGAGCTACGCATCGTATTTCGAGTCGCCAGCTGCGGCTCCTGTCCAGTGGTCGTTTGCACCGCAGCGGGGCATGACGGCACCGGTGCCGTCGTACGCACACCTGCGCCAGGACTCAAATGAGAGCTACGCATCGTATTTCGAGTCGCCAGCTGCGGCTCCTGTCCAGCGGTCGTTTGCACCGCAGCGGGGCATGACGGCACCGGTGCCGTCGTACGCACACCTGCGCCAGGACTCAAATGAAAGCTACGCTTCGTATTTCGAGTTGCCAGCTCCAGCTCCAACCCAGCAGCCATCGCAATCTCGGCCTGCGTATGGAAACAACAGCTGGAACACGGACGTTGAATCGCAGAATGGGCCGGGCCGTTACTGAGTTCTTGGCCTCTTAAGCACCCCACATAGCATTTCGTTGCGACATATAATACATATTTGTTTCCTATGTGCCTTAGATACTTTGACATTTCCATGGCGTTTTGGGTTTGGGTAAGCGAGTCATACCACCCTTGTTTTTGCGCACTTTCGATCGCTTACTTTTCCCTCCCCAGAAGGAGACACTATGCCATTGGTATGGTTCTGGTTGTCTATATCAGAAGCAGACGAAATGACTTACAAGCCGTTATTTCGGGCACAAGTATTAACGCCATTGTCCAATGAGACGGGCTGCATTTTCAGAGAGCGAGTCTTGCCGCTGCCATCACGTGTTGTGCGGGTCCCATTTGTACGAAGTATGGCCCGTGCGCTTGAAAGCTCACCCGAAAACTTTTTGCAGTCCTCGAATTTTTGCGCCCGTGAAGTGCGGTTTCTATCTTCTTCTCTTTCCCGTCCCTCCCCACCCTCTCCTTCTCCCCCTCCCTCATCCCCGTCATCCCTTCGCCTTCCTCTTCAAAATGGTTTCTCCGTCGGTCCGGACGTGGGCACCGCTGCTGCGGACGGCCCGCGTGGCCCTCCGGACGCCGGCTCGCGGTAGCCCGTTGGTGACGATGCAGCGTCAAACCGGCACCGCGTCACCGATCCTCAGCTTCTGCCGGACATACGCCGTGTACGAGCGGTCAAAGCCGCATGTCAACATTGGTACGTTGGCATCAATTGGGTGCAGCGGAGGCATCCGGAAGACTTGCCGAACATCCCACTAATATCTGACTTTTAGGCACAATCGGCCACGTCGATCACGGCAAGGTGTGTTTAAGCCCTGAGCATCGATCTTCTGCTGTGTCCTTCTGTCTTTCTTTGAATTCGCGACATTAACCTGGGACCAGACCACGCTGTCTGCCGCGATCACGAAGCGCCAGGCCGAGAAGGGCATGGCCAACTTCCTTGACTACGGCTCCATCGACAAGGCTCCCGAGGAGCGCAAGCGTGGTATCACCATCTCCACGGCACACATTGAGTACGCGACCGAGAACCGGCACTACTCTCACGTCGACTGCCCCGGTCACGCCGACTACATCAAGAACATGATCACGGGCGCTGCGAACATGGACGGCGCCATCATTGTGGTGGCCGCATCGGACGGCCAGATGCCGCAGACCCGCGAGCACCTGCTGCTGGCTCGCCAGGTCGGCGTGCAGAAGATTGTGGTGTTCGTCAACAAGGTGGACGTGATCGATGACCCGGAGATGCTGGAGCTCGTGGAGATGGAGATGCGCGAGCTGCTGACGACATACGGCTTCGAGGGTGACGACACGCCCGTCATCATGGGCTCGGCTCTGTGCGCGCTGGAGAACAAGCGGCCGGACATTGGCAAGAAGAAGATCGACGAGCTGCTGGCTGCCGTTGACAGCTGGATCCCTACACCGCAGCGCGACCTGGACAAGCCGTTCCTGATGTCGGTCGAGGACGTCTTCTCGATCGCCGGCCGCGGCACCGTGGCCTCGGGCCGTGTCGAGCGCGGTACGCTCAAGAAGGACACCGACGTCGAGATTGTGGGCAAGGGTCTTGAGGTGATCAAGACCAAGATCACCGACATCGGGACGTTCAAGAAGTCGTGCGACGAGGCGCGCGCCGGCGACAACTCAGGCCTTCTGCTGCGTGGTGTCCGCCGCGAAGACGTGCGTCGCGGCATGGTCATCTGCAAGCCCGGCAGCGTGTCGCCGCACTCGCAGTTCCTCGTGTCGCTGTACGTGCTGACCAAGGAGGAGGGTGGTCGCCACACCGGCTTCCACCAGAACTACCGCCCGCAGATGTACCTGCGGACGGCCGACGAGTCCTGCACCCTGACCTTCCCTGAGGGCACCGAGGACGCCGACTCCAAGATGGTGATGCCCGGTGACAACGTCGAGATGCTCGTCACGCTGCACTCGCCGCTAGCTGTGGACAACGGTCAGCGTGTCAATGTGCGCGAGGGTGGCCGGACTGTCGCTACGGGTATCGTAACGCGGATCCTAAAGTAGACGGGACACGAACGGTGATGAAATCAAACAAATGAAGAACAAAGGACAAAAAGGACGAAAAAGGACAACAGACGAGCAATGAAATCTCGTGGGACTCGGAAGCCACCCCTTACTGTTACATGATGGCATGAAACCCCGCCGTATTGTACAACCATCTCCCCTCGATATGCCACTTTCTGTTTCTGTAATATAGACGAGATAGAGGGACAAATGCAGAAGAAATCAAGACCACAACAAGCCACGAGATGTGGAGTCGGAACCCCTTTGTGGCAGACCTGTCAGGAGCCTCGGGACGGTCTGGAGACAAAATGATGCCACCAAGAACAGGACGCTGTTTCCCGGCAGATCGGAAACAAATTGTACTGGTAGGTTGCATCTGGTCCCTTTGACATGCCAGCACTTTTCATTTCACTGAAAAAAAGTTTGCAATTAACAAGAAGCAAGAGAAACGCAGCTGGTCCCGATTCCTCTGCCCATTTTTTTCTGTCCCAAGTACAATGCCCTTCCTTGGCAACCATGCCTTCCTTTCCAGTCCTGAGATCCCACGATAACACGGGAATGCGGAAAGACGAACTCATCGATCGGTAGTCCCGTCTTGATTGTCGAAAAGAAAGCAACACAACCGAGGGGCTTTTTCCGTTGTAAAATTTCGCAATGTGCTTTCGCAGTATCCCAATCCATCCCTCCTATCCTTTCAATCCTCATCTATAAAAACTCCCCCTTCGCCATTGCTCGTTTTCGGGATCGCCTAGGTAAAGAAGGGCGTGCGCGGGGTTTTTGGTTGCTTTCGATTTTGTTGCATTTACCGGTGCTGTCCGAACCATCAGTACACGTGCATCGTTGTTTCCATCTCTTGTCACTTCCTCGGCTTGCTGTCCTTACCTTGACGAAGCCAATGTCGGCAGCCTTCTCCCGGAAGCACTGACGGCAGATGTCGAGACCGTACTTGCGGATCAGACCGGCGCGGTGAGCGCAGACACGGCTGCCACATGTTAGCAATGCTGCAGGTTGCTGGAGGACGCGATGTCTGTCCCCCTCTTCGTTTGGGGGGAGATGCTGCCTACCAAGACCGGGCGCCCTTGCCGTACTTCTTTGGGCGCGAGTTCCAGACGGATTCGTGAGACATGCTGGGCGAGTTTGTGCGAGAAACGAATCGAGGCTCTGTTTTCTTTTCGTGAGGTTGGTCGTGGTGGTGTGTCGTCGTATCGGCAGGTTGGCGAGAGAATTCGTTGGATTACGGGGCACGACTAGATATTTTTTCTGGCTCGATATTTTCGAATTTTGCTGGGGGCTCGGATTTGTGCGTTGTGTATTCCGTAAATTGCTAGCCAATCACACATGTGGCTTGTAGTGTGGCGCATTACCCCACCAATGCTCCGTATCGATAAGAGTAGCTCACTTCTCATCCCGCTTACTAATGCCGATTAAGTCATACAGCCATAACGGTTAAAACAGGAGCAAGATAATATATAAGCTACAAAGTGGCCTCTTCTTTAGGAGCTTCGGTGTCAGAGTAGCCTCACGAATCTACTCTTTCTTTGTCTCATTTCTTCTGCTTCATTTTAGGAACGTTTCTTTTCATCGTGAATTATATGTACACCAGTTGAAAAAAAGGAGATTCGTTTATCAGCAATTATGGTTCGCCTCGGAGCTCTGCTCATCGGCGGCCTTGCCGTCATCGCCTCGGCCAAATCTTCAGTTCTGGACCTGCTGCCTTCCAACTTTGACAGCCTGGTCATTGACTCGGGCAAGCCAACACTGGTCGAATTCTTTGCCCCGTGGTGCGGCCACTGCAAGAACCTGGCCCCCATCTACGAAGACCTGGCCGATACCTTTGCCTTTTCGGACAAGGTGCAAATTGCCAAGGTCGATGCGGATGCCGAGCGGTCTCTGGGCCAGCGGTTTGGCGTTCAAGGCTTCCCCACGCTCAAATTCTTTGACGGCAAGAGCAAGGAACCTGTCGACTACAACAGCGGCCGTGACCTGGACAGCCTGTCGGCATTCATCACCGAGAAGACGGGCGTCCTGCCCCGCAAGAAGTGGGAGGCGCCCAGCAGCATCGAATTCCTGACGGATGAGAGCTTTGCGAAGGTCATTGGTAGCGACAAGGATGTGCTCGTGGCCTTCACAGCGCCGTGGTGCGGACGTACGTATACCTGATCACTGGGAAGAGTGGGGGGGTTATATGCTGCAATAGAGCTAACACGGATGCAGACTGCAAGAGCCTGGCTCCCACTTGGGAGAAGTTGGCGACGGATTTTGCCAACGAGGACGGCGTCGTGGTCGCCAAGGTGGATGCCGAGGCTGAGTCGAGCAAGCAGACGGCCAAGGATGAGGGCGTGACGTCGTACCCGACTATCAAGTTCTTCGCCCGTGGCAGCAAGACGGGCGAGGCATACTCGGGCGCGCGCTCGGAGGAGGAGCTTGTCAAGTTCATCAACAGCAAGGCCGGCACGCACCGCACTGTGGGCGGCGGTCTAGACGCAGCGGCTGGCACTGTGCCAGAGCTCGACAATATCGTGGCAAAGCTGGCCAGCGGCCGGCAGTCGATGCAGGAGGCGGCCGAGGCGGCCAAGAAGGCGGCCAACGTGCTGCAGGCTGATGCCAAGAAGAAGTTTGCCGAGTACTACGTGCGGGTGTTCGACAAGCTGAGCAAGAACGAGGGGTTCGTGTCCAAGGAGTTGGCCCGGCTGCAGACCATCCTGTCCAAGGGCGGCCTGGCACCGGTCAAGACGGATGAGCTGACCAGCAAGACCAACATCCTGTCCAAGTTTGCCGAGAACATTGCCGACAAGGAGGAGGAGGTGGCCAAGGACGAGTTGTAAAGCAGTCGTTCAGCCCTGCGAAAACGAAAAGAATGTAACAGAACAACGAGCAGTGGTTTTTTATGGGATATGCAAGCAGTTCTATAGTGGGGAATCAATGATTTGAGCTTCCTTGTTGAGTAATCTGTGCCATTGGCTTGCTCTTGTCATGCCCGTCTACCTTGTGCACTTCCTGTCATGATTTTGACGCATCCTCCTTGCTCTTAATGGAAGCCTCGATGTTGTCTAGCCGCCGCGACATCTCGTCCACTGCACGTGTGAGCATCCAAAACACACATATAGAGCAACAGCACAGAGGGGAGCGACTGACTCTTGGCAAAGATCTCGCTGGAGACACCGGCAAACTTGTTCGACAGCGTGTTAAGCAGATCGTCTATCTGGGCAGTCAAGTCTGCACGTGCATCTTCAGTTGACTGCACCGTTTTAAAAAAGTTAGCAAGCTGTTTTGGGGACAACGAGCGGCCATGATTCTCTGGACACACCACAGGCGGTGAGGAGTCGTTGTTGGACGCCATGTCTCTCGGGCTCCTATTTCACGGAAGCAGCAGTTGTGGTACCGGAGTAAAGAAAGAGTGAGGAGAGGCACTATCGCGGGACGGCCGATTGAACGATGGATGCAGCCACAACGGCTTTCTGTTACGTTCAAGAGGAAGGACAGGTGAGAAAGGCGCTAAGCGATCGGCTGTACGACGTAGAGCAGTGACGTTGGAGCCCCACGTGAGATTGCAGGTGAGTGTGGCTTGGATAGGCAGTCACGCCAGAGGCAAGGCTTCTTCTTTTCCACTCTCTGTTCTGAGCCGGACACTCATCCCAGCTAGATCAACGAGTGACAACCCGTTACAACGTGCAGACGGAGCAGCAGAGCGATTGAATTATTCGGCGGGCAATTACGGCGACGACGACGGTGATCCCCGCAGTTGGGTCTCTCCAGTAGAGAAAAGTCAGCAAGGCCGTTCGTTACCAATCGAGTGCCGTTGGTCGATAGGCGAAACCAGCCCGTTTGCTCTCGCTGCTGTCAACGCCGACGCTCGAGACTCCACACAGCAGACAGACAGCTCCAGCGGGCCGTGAAGAATGCGACATCGATAGCCACGAGCCCCATAGACGACGGGGCTCTTCCCCCTTTCACGACGTGAAGCGATATTCCCGGTTTCAATCGTCGTTTTTCTTTCGTGGCCGTCACGATGCCTCAGGCACAGGACAACGCCCGGTTCGTTTTCATCGTGCTGCTAATCATATGGCTAAATGCGGGCAACGACAACGGTACGGGCCTGTTATCGGCGCCGTCGCTAGTCGCCGGACGGCTGTACCGACAGCGCGCAGCCTACACGACGATGGCGAACTCGAGCTGGGGCGACTTTGATCCGCAGCCACAGGCCGTGGCGAGGCCATCCGATGCAGCGACGGCAGCGACGACGTCTCCTCCATCGAGCGGCCGCTACCTCAACCTGACCGGTTTTCGCGAGGAGGACGGACTGGCGTGGGACGATCTGGCTACGTTCAAGCAGCGATGTCTGGAGTGGAGCCGGCGGGCGTTCCAGACGGCTCACGGCCACAGTCTCTGGGACGTGGCCCAGGTGGTGCCGACATGGCAGAATGCGACGGGCACGGTTCACGGGTCGTGGGTGCGTCAGGCCTGTTCGGTGGAACGCGACGCGACGAGCTACAACGGCTCCGTGCTGACGGGGTCTGGGACGTGGGACCACATGGACGACGAAGGCTACGAGTCGAGGCCGCTGCTGGAGGGCTACGGCAGCCGGGCGCACGACAGGGCGAAAAGCAGCAACGGGACGACGACCAAGTCCAAGTCCAAATACGAGGACAAGAATGTGGTGCAGTGGAGCCGCAACATCACGGGCCAGTCTGGGCGGATGGTGGTACGGATCACAGACAACGAGGAGGACGAGCGGTACGAGAGCGAAGACAGATCTGGTGAAACAACAACAAGCGGGCCGGGGGCGGGCGGACTGGTGCGGACGGTGACGGCAACAGTGAACATTGAGGACGAAGAGGGCACAGGCAGCTCGCACGACATGCGGCTGCACGGGGTGCACTGGCCGCACAAGGGAGCGCTGATGCTGGCGACGACGAGCGAGAAGTTTGCGGGCATCTTTGGGCTGCCACACCTGGCGCCAGGTGAGGAGTTCTTCCGATCGAGTCAACGGCTGCTGAACCGGACGCTGGACGCGGCGCTGCGACAGCGCGAGCGGGTGCATGGGTTCGGGGCGCCTGACCCGGCGTATGCGAGCCCGCTGTGGACGTCGAGCGTGGACGAGACGCCCGAGGGTCTGTTCCCGTCGCCGCGCTGCGAGTATGTCATGTACCTGCAGATACACCCGGTGGAGGCATCGCGGGTGTTGGGCAGTGCGAAGCAAGCAGCAGCAGCAGCAGCAGCAGCAGCCGCCGCAGGAACCGAGCTGCAGGAGGACCAGAGCCAGGAGCAGCTGGTGGCGGCAGCGATTCGCGACATTGAACACGAGCTGCGATTTCCGAGCGGCGCGCCGATTGCCGGAGGAGGCGGGGTGGTGCCGACGATGCAGATGTCAGCGATGCTGTACTCGCCCGACTGCGCATACTTTATCGAGACCAAGGGCCCACCTCGGTTTGCGGCAGCCGAGGGCCAGCACCTGCGGGGACTCAAGTCGGAGGTGTTTGTGTACGAGGCGCGGCTGTGGATGCTGGGCTATGCGGCCGTCTTGGGCGTGCAGATCAAGCTGCTGCTGGGCCAAGTGCGCTCGACGTACACGCCGTCGACGCTGGGGAGGGCTAGCTTCTATACGGTGGCCATGATGCTGCTGGCCGACGGCATGGTGTTTGTGTCGGCGTCGGCCTGGACGCTGACGGCGTCGGCGAGCTTCCTGCCTTCGCTGGCGGTGACGTTTGCCGGGTTCCTGTCGGTGACCATTGGCGGTGGCTTTCTGTCGGAGATCTACACGGCACAGGAACCAGAGCGACGACGACAGCGGCGACGACGACAACGAGAGCGGCAAGAAAGACAGCAGCAGCAGCGACAAGTGTCTGTGCCCATCATCGTGCCGTCAGATCAAGACGTGGATGCAGAGATTGAAGAACAGGAGGCTGCAGAGCGGCAGCAGTCGGCGTTTCTACTACCGGCTCCAGCAACAGCCAATGCACCTGCAGCTGCTGTAGCTGCTGCAGCTACTGCACCAGACACATCCGACACGCCGTCGCCGTCGTTTTCGAGCGTGGCCGGACGGCTCGCTATGCTGGGACTGGGACTGCTCTTTTTGAGCCTGGCTGCGATGACGTGGTGGGCATCAGCACGGGCAGTGTACGCAAACGTGCTGGCAGCAGCATACCTGTCGATGTGGGTGCCGCAGATTGTGCGCAACGTGGAGCGCAACAGCCGGCGGGCGTTTGCGTGGCCGTTTATGGTGGGCCAGTCAGCGATGCGGCTGGCGCCGGTGGCCTACTTTTGGCTGCGAGCCGACAACGTGCTGTTTGCACGGCCAGACCGCCATGCCTTTCTTGCGCTGGCCGCCTGGGTCTGGGTGCAGCTATGGGTGCTGGCTTTCCAGGACGTTTTTGGGGGCCTCGTTTTGGCGTGCCAATCGGCTGGGCACCCGAGGCTTGGGAGTACCACCCGGTGCTGCGCGAGGATGCCGTGGAGGCTGGCCGGCTGCCGATTGGACTGGTCTCTACGGTAGATGGAGAGGATGGCAGCGGCAGCAACAATAACAACAGCACTGACAGCAACGGGCTGGCGAGCACAAACCTCTGGACAGTCGACTGTGCCATCTGCTGCGAGGCTCTCGACGTGCCTGTCATCCGCATGGGCGTCGAAGACCCTACGGCCGGCGGTGTGGCCGGCGTGCTGGCCCGGCGCCAATACATGGTGACGCCGTGCCGTCATGTCTTTCATACCGCCTGTCTCGAGGGCTGGCTGCGCTTCCGGCTGCAGTGTCCGATCTGCCGCGAGGAGCTGCCGCCGCTGTAAAGGCAAGACAGGATGGCTTGGCTTGGCTTGGCTTGGCTTGGCTTGGCTTGGCTTGGCTTGGCTTGGCTTGTGGTTGTGTGCCAAGTTTCAGGAAAAAGGGTAGTTTTGTCTGAGGGATTTGACTTTGGTTTGGAGAATGGCGCGACGTTCAATAGACTTGCTCTCACGATCTTCTTCACCTTGTCTCGGTGTCACGTGCATACAGACGACCCCGCTGTCGTCATGCGTGGGGCGTGGGGAAGGAGCAAACTGTGAATGGCTTCGGGACGCTGAAACGCAGCTGCAGGAAGCGCGCCTGCCTGCCTCCGTTCTAATTTTCGTTCTTTCTGTTCAATATGGCCCCACTTTAATCCGGGTCTACGTCCAAGGAGAGCATCTTCTCGGATTCTAATGATGCAGACTTGATTCTCTTCCTTTCTTCCGACCATCTCCTCGCCCATTTCCACCCAGACTCACCACCCCGTACGCCGCGACGATGGCTGTGAAAACGTACCTGTTCGACTGCGACAACACGCTGGTGCTGTCGGAGGAGCTGGCATTTGAGGGCTGTGCCGACCTGTTGAACGAGATATGTGCAGCCAAGGGCGTGAGCCCGCCGCCCAGCTTCACGGGGGGGAAGCTGATCACCGAGTTTGTGGGGCAGAACTTCCGCGGCATGCTGGCGTCGCTGCAGCAGCGCTACGGCTTTCCGCTGGCGGCGGACGAGGCGGACGGCTACGTCGTGCGTGAGGAGGATGTGGTGATTGCGCGACTTCGCAGTGGGCTGGCGCCGTGTGTCGGTGTCGAGACGCAGCTGAAGCGGCTGCAGCAGGCGCCCGAGCGACCGACGCTCGCGGTGGTGTCGTCGTCGGCGCTGCGGCGTCTGCGTGCCAGCCTCGAGACGGTCGGCTTCGACCGCTTCTTCGCGGCCGACCAGGTCTACTCGGCCGCCACCAGCCTGCCGACGCCGACGAGCAAGCCGGACCCAGCCGTCTATCTGCACGCGCTCGAGCAGCTCGGCGCTCAGGCCGCGTCCAGCGTGGCCGTCGAGGACAGCCGCAGCGGCACGCTCAGCGCCGTCCGTGCCGGCATCCCCGTCATCGGTTATGTCGGGCCCTACCCGGCCGACCGCCAGGACAGCATGGCGGCCGTGCTGCGCGAGGCCGGCGCCCGTGTCGTCATCCGTCACTGGGACGAGTTTCCCCAGGCCGTGGCCGAGATCGAGGCGGCCTAGGGGGGGTGGCCAAAGGACAAGACAGGCCGAAAGAGGACCATACAGATATAGAGCGAGGCAAGAAGAGCAAAGAGCAAATACAGGCATCAAATGTGCAATTGATTGACATGGACATCTCTACCACACACATCAGCCCATGAGAAAGCTGTTCACGCTCTGCAGCGTAGTCCGGCTGGGATTGGCCTGCGGCATGGCGGTCATGATACGGCCCAGACGCAGGCGGATGGCGTCCTTGGTGAAGACGGCCGGACGGGTGTCTGGGCGGCCGGGCTGGCCGTCGGCATCGAAGCAGGCGCACAGCAGAGCCAGGGCCGTGCCGACGGAGAGATCGCGGCCAGAATCGCAGGCCACGCCGACGTGCGCATGGCTGTCGGTGCGGTTCAGATAGGCCGACACGAAAGCGCAGATCTGCGGCAGCGCATGGCGGAGGTTGCGGCTAGCCGTCTTGTCCTGCTTGCCGAGGCCGACTTCGAGCCGAACGGGCGAGCGAACCCAGCTGGAGGGCGCAGTCACCTGGCGCACAAAGACGATCTCGCAGGCGGGGTAGAGTGTCGGTAGCGATGGGGTGCCGACGGATAGAAAGGGGGTGATGGGTGTGATGGGTGTCTGGCCATCTGTGACAGCGTCTGGCTGCTCCTTCTGCCTGGCAGCAGCCACGAGGGCCTCGATGCGGGCGGGCAGATCAGCTTCGGGCGTGGCCAGCAGCTCGTCGCGGTGGTTCCAGAAGAGCTTGGCGGTGAGTCCGTAGGCCCAGTTCTCGGTGTCGTCGGCAGCGCCCTGAACGTAGTTGGTATGGTCATGGTCATGGTCTTGATCGACGACGGCACCGTCGGGGATGCGCGAGGCGGTGCAGCAGACAACGACGGTGAAGGTAGCAACTAAGGCGTCGATGTCGGGCCAGGGCATGTCGGGGGTGACCCAGACCGGACGCAGCGGACGGCCGTTCAGGCGGGCAGTCCAGGCAGGGCCGTCGTGCAGAACACCGACACGACGCAGGGCCTCGGTCTGGGCAGGGAGGCAGGCGAGCATCTGACTGTGCTCAGAGGGCGAGACGACGCCAGGTGGCGTGTAGAGAGGGGCGTCGGGTTGGCCAAAGACGAGCCGGTTGACGGCGCAGCACCACAGCGGCACGGTCTTGCTGAGGGCATCAGGCATGCGTTTTCCGCGGCGGGTCGAATCGACGAGGATGAAGGAGCAGGAAGAGGGGGAGGAGATCGAGGAGGACAAAGACGACAATCCCAGAAGATGCAAATTCAACCGGCGCGTGCTGACAGACCACTGCCCCGTGTGGCCATCGGTCGACTTGAAATAGGCCGAGGCAGCTGCTTGACCGGCCGGCACATACCATGAGCCACAACGCTCGTTGGCCACGAGAAAAAGACCCGGGTAACGAGCGGCGACGGCGGGAACAAAGGCAGCATCGCGGCTGATGGACCGCAGCCGGTGGCTGATGGAGTGGCGGGCACGTCGCAAGTCGCCCAGCACGCGTGCAAAGTTGTGGTTGGCCTGGTCGGACGAGAAGATCAGGTCGGACACGGCAGAGACCGACATGGTGGAGGGGTGAAAGAAGACAAATCGGTTAGCGATGATGGAATCACTATAGCACATGTACGGAGTACAATACATAGCCTATAAAACGGTATCGTATATGGAGTATTACTCCGACTCGCCAGCACTAGCCAGCTAGGGCTTAGCAGTCGCCAGCTAGCGCCTATGTGCACTGCTACACTGTATCGCCAGCGATCGTGCGCCGAAGCCTGCGAGACGAGCCCTCTTGAGCTTCCCTTTTCCGCCTGCCGGTCGCCATCGAGCCGATCTGACTCAGACCGACCTGCTGGGTCGCTGGCCGGGGGACAGACGGGATCGGCCCTGGCCAGAGCTGCTACGACGCCCCGTCAGCAGGCTGTGCTGGCAGGCCTGCACGGCAGCACAGCCCGCTCTCCTGCTCTGTTTCTGTCGTCGCTCTGTCACCGACTTACACATCTGCAGGCCGCCCACTCATAGGGCTGAAGTGGAGCGGTGAGATCTCCGTCCTCGGCAGGGAGAGTGTGGCTGGCCGTCTCTCTGTCTGGGCTCATTGTGCTCGCATCAAGCATTGCATCCATTGTCTTGTACGCGACCTCATTGCATGCATCGCTCCTCCATGGCTGCCTTGCCCTCGTCTGATCGGCTCACGTCCTCATCCGCATCCTTTTCATCGGCGAGGACAAGCGCTGTCGAGGATCCATGCCCCCGTAGCAGACCTCTCGTCCACAACAGACGGCACAGCCCTCGAGCAGACTGACACTGCCGGCGGAGGCCACCGAAGACAAGCCACTAGCCCAAGCGTCCCTCCTCCGTCTTTTTTCTTTCTTTGTACGAGTCCTGCCCGTATAGCTCGTCGGCCTGTCCTCCCTGTCCTCCCTTGCCTCGTCCTCGTCCTCGTCCTCCTTCTCGTCCTAACCCGCCCTCCCTGGACCTACTTTAGTGTCCCCTCCCCGCCCTTGCTCCTCCGACCTGCCATGTGCTGTCTTGCTGTTGTTCTGCTGCTACTGCTGCTGCTGCTGCTGCTCTCCTGCCGCGCTCTCCTGATCTTTCCTTTCACGCCTCGCCACCTTGCTTTTTGCTCTCTCGCACTCAACTTTCCTGTCCTCTTTTCATCCGCACTCCCTTCCATCCCAATTCGCCGAGACTGTGGCTGCAGACAACCTGCTCGTCCGCGCATCCGCTCGTCCATCTGCTGCTCCCATGTGAGTCTGATCTTCTCTGCTTCGATCACGACATTTCATTCCCTCCCCGTCTTCAGTCCCTCTTCCCCCCTGCCTCTTGCTGCAGGGAATTTAAAAAGAAGATTGCACCGCCCACCCCGGCACCAATGGCCGCGCTTTTCCTGCCCTCAGCTCGACTGTTGCCTTCAGCTACTAAGATATCGGTCAAATCCAGCTCAAACTTTGAATTTGTGTCGGAGGCTGGCCGTCCACCAGAACCGGGCGTTCCATCTTCCTCCACCACCATTGACACTCTCGGCCTGAAATTTGCCCCCTCCCCCCAAATGCCACCTTCCCTAAAAGAACACGGCGTCCAATGACCGCACCCAGCCGCAACAGCACCACCTGTCGCCTGCCCAAGGAACTTGCCGGTTAAGCTTGCCCGCCAACACGTCCCAACCCAAAACACCCTAAACCACCCCCAAAGCACATCCCCACTCTTTTCTGCTGCCGGTAAAGCCACCGTAAACAGCAAGACCGGCCCGACACAAGCACCTGCCTCGCTACGGAATAGACTCGACCCTTCTCTGCTGGGCTCCTCTCCCCACAGCTAGGACTTTTTTCTACTTTATCTTCTCCCCTTCTTGTCTGCCGACTTTCGCCGTCGCCTCCTGCTGCTCACCTCGTCCTCTTTCCTCACCTTTTCTAAACCTCCATGGCCACCGACATATGAAGGTTTGCCTCTCTATCTCGTCGACCGCCGGGCTTCTCTGCCGCCAAGACCCGTCAACATGGCTCCAGATAAGCTAGCTTCTGGGCCTCAGGGCTACCAACAGCATCCACAACACCAACAGAATCAGCCGCACCAGCTGCAGGCCATCGCCGCCACTGACACTGCTGCTGCTGCTACTGCCGCCGCCACTGACGACAACAAGGTCAAGCGGGCACGCAGGAGCAAGCCAAAGGTCAAGACTGGCTGCAACAATTGCAAGTATGTCGATCATTGCCTCCCTCCGAGACAACGTCTCTCAAGGCAATTTCATCCCCTTTTCCTTCCATTCCTTCTTCTGCTTCTTTTGCTTCCTTCCGCTTCTTCCCTCCGTCTCCACAAAGGATACGATACGTCAGCATGGTGGGTACGTGTGACGAGCTGCTGCTGACTCAATCCGTCTACCTCGGCATCCAGGCAGAGACGCATCAAGTGTGACGAGATGCGTCCGGCCTGCACCCAATGCACCCGGGCTAAGAAGCCCTGCTCTGGCTATCCCCCGCCGGCCCGTCCCAGGCTCTACGAAGAGGTCCCCATCGCCCCCAAACCGATTTTAGCTGCGCCGTCTCTCGCTGCTGCCTCTAGTTCATCTCTCCCTCTTGCGGCCCGATCGCTTCACCCGCTGCAGCTACAGCAGGCATCGCTATACCCACCGACAGGACCACAACACAGACAGATGCAGTACCAGCAGCAGTACTATCCACAGTACCAGCAGCAATACCAGCAGAGCCAGCAATCACAGCTCACGCTCCGCCGCGTGCACAAGCTACACATTCGAAATTATGGCATCCAATTCACTTACGCCCCCTCCCTAACACTGCCTCTCAGTCCGCAACATGGCATGTATTTCAACCTGTTTCGCCAGCACACTGCCAGCGAGCTCTCCGGCTTTTTCGATGACGTGTTCTGGTCGCGGACTGTGTTGATCGAGTGCCACCAAGCTGACGCTATCCGCCATGCCGTCGTCGCCCTCGGCGCCCTCTACAAGACGCTCGAGACGACGACAGAGTCGCCGCCCAGCTCGCCCGACGCCGCGGGTGTCACTCCGTCCAACGCTGCCGACCGTGCTGCCAACCACTGGGAGGTCGCCCTTGATCAGTACTCGTCTGCATGCCACGCCGTGGGAACCGTGGATCCCGCGAACCCACGCAGTCAACGCACATGTCTGATTGCCAGCGTGTTGTTGGCCTGCTTCGACTCCTTCATAGGCGACCACCAGCAGGCCATCCGGCAGATCCAGACCGGCCTGAAGCAGCTGTGGCTACTGCGCGACAGCCGCAACAGCCAGACGGTGCTGCAAGTGGCGCCCGACGGCAGCTATGTCTCGCAGCCGGCCGTTCCCGAGCCGGTCGAGGATGAGCTCCTGCAGATGTTTACGCGACTCGCCATCCAGGCCAAGTCCTACGACATGGCCTTTCACTTCCCGAAGCCCTATGTGATCTATCTGCTGCCGTCGACTGAGGCTGGTTTTTCTGAGCTGTCGTCGTCTGATACGTCCGGGTCGTCGCCCTCGTCGCCGGCCGGATCGTCCGATGTCGACTCTCCCGTCACGGTGCACCAGGATCCGATTCCGGTGCGTTTTTCCTCGCTGCGTGACGCACGCCTGGCCTGGGACACGTTGTGCGAAGACATGCTGCGCTTCACAGAGAAGATGTTCCAGTCCGCCAGCGGGCCGCCCAACATCTTGCCCAGCTCGATGAGACGCTACGGCATACACTTCCAGGCACGCCTCACCGGCTGGTCCGCGGCTTTTGGGCCGCTGCTGAACAGTCGCACACGGCCAGACGTCAGCAGCCAGGAGAAGGCTGGCATCGCTGTGCTCAAGATGTTCCAGATCATGGGCCAGATCCTCTTCTTCATGACCTTTGTCGACAGCGAGATGCAATTCGACAACTTCCAGCCGCACTTCGCCGAGATTGTGAGCCTGGCATTCGAGGTGGTGGGCGACGAGGAGCAGCGAGCTGCAGCTGCTCGCTGTCCAGACCCGAAACTTTGTGCGCACCAACAACGGCAGCAGCAGCAGCAGCAGCAGTACCAACAATACCACCCTTACCATCAGCAGTATGGAGTGCCCAGTTTCGGACCAAGTCACATCAAGGCCAGCTTCAGCGCCGATCTCGGCATCGTGCCGCCGTTGTATGTGGTGGCGACCAAGTCACGTGACCGGATGCTCCGGCGGCAGGCGATTCAGCTACTGCGCAGCAGCGCCCGGCGCGAGGGCATGTGGGACAGCGAGCTGATGGCGCGGATCGGCACGTGGGTGATGGAGATTGAGGAACAAGGTGATGGCGAGGAAGACAAATTGCGCAGCTGGCAGAACAGCGCCGGGATGCCGTTGACGCCCGTCGACAGCCCGGCGCCGTCGACAGTGACTCTGCCGCACCGCCAACGATCTCCCGGCGTCGACTTTGGCGATGCGCCGCTGGGTCCGGGTGGCAATGCACGATGGGATGTGCGGCGTGAGAGCTCGACGTCGAGCGTGCGATCGTCGGCGAGTGCGACCAGTGGCAGCCTGCCGCCGGCGCCGCCGCCGATTCCGGCGGAGAAGCGAGTGCTCGTCAAGTCGTGCGAGTTTGACCTGCGAGGACACGTAGCCACGCTCAAGTGCGGCACGCGTGGACTTGTGGCCGGCAAAGTCGACCACAAGACACAGGTGACGCGGATTACGTGGTGAAGCGTGGCAGCTGCTACCCGTCGGCCTCTCTGCACTTTTCTTGACAGACATGTCTCTGTCTTTTTGTCTTTATATCTTTGTGGCTCCTTGCTCTCTCGGTTCCCCTTCTTGTCCCTTCTTTTCTTACTTCGGCCTCTACCTACCTCTGTTTTACCCTCTCCCTTACTCTCCTCGATAATGTATCTAACCATGTGCTATCATATACCCGACCAGGCGGTCGAAACGGCCAGTGGCGGTTGAAAGATGTTTGGAATACGCGTTCATTTACAAAGTAAGATACGAACTGGTTTTATTGATGATGGCGCCTAGGTGTTTTACATGGATTGGAAAAGGGAGGACCTATCAAGGATGGCAGGAAAGCGAGATGAGTTTTACAGTTGGACATGACATACAAGGGACATGCTGGGCATGTCTGGCGCAGGCTTGCTAAGCTTTATCTGCTTTCTTGTGCTCTTTTCTCTGACGTTTGCTGTCATTGTGTAATAGTACGGAGTAAGATACTAAAGTCCGCAGCATAGACACGTGATGGCCCCGTCTTATATGAAGGCGGACTGCAGCGGCAAAATTGTGGTGTGGACAGCTTCAGGCAGGCACGGGCCACCAAGGCTCGCGAGAGCTACTCTCGAGGTGGATTTACAGTGGGTAAAAACTCCTAAAAACCCATCGTGTTCTGCCGTTGTGATTTTCTGTTCTTCCCAACCGCATCTTGTCGACGGCCCGGCCATCAGAAACGAGCGCGAGCCTAGAGATTGAGAGACCTGCTGAAGCGGCCATCAGCAGCGACACGGCGACGAAGGGACAGCAGCAGCCGTCCCAACGCAGGCTCCCGAGGAGCCCTGATTCGACGCGACGTTTGCATCAAGCAGCTCGGCCATGGCGAAGCGGCCGGCGCTCGAGGCGCTGGACGCGATGGAGGGAGTGAAATTGCCGGCGCCCAAGAAGCAGAAGAGCGGGGGGCAGCGGGAGGGCGGCGAGGTGGGTGTCAATGGTGCCCGAGCAGGACGGCGGCTTGGGAAGCTGGTGGAGGACCAGGCCGACGATGACGACGATGACGATGACGAGGGCGACGACGAGGCAGGAGAGGCGGCGGAAGCGGCAGCAGCGGCTTTGGCGACAGGGCCAATTCGGCAGGCGGCGCCGTCGGCGGGCTACGGCGATCTCTACCTGGACACGATTGACCGCAACGTGCTGGATTTTGACTTTGAGAAGCTCTGCTCGGTGTCGCTCAGCAACATCAACGTGTATGCCTGCCTGGTATGTGGGCGCTACTACCAGGGCCGCGGGCCGCGCTCGCACGCGTACTTCCACGCGCTCGACGAGGACCACCACGTGTTCATCAACATGCAGACGCAGCGGGTGTACGTGCTGCCCGAGGGCTACGAGGTGCACAGCCGTTCGCTGGACGACATCAAGTTTGTGGCGGATCCGCGGTACACGCGGGCAGACGTAGCCGGGCTGGACGGCGGGCGACGGCAGACGCAAACGCAAACACAAACGCAACAACATCACGTGACACTGGCTGGTCGGCCATATGCGCCCGGTTACGTGGGCATGAACAACATCAAGGAGAACGACTACCTCAACGTGGTGGTGCAGGCGCTGGCCCACGTGCCGCCGCTGCGCAATTTTTTTCTGCTGGACGAGGTGGCGGCCCAGGAGGCGCGGCGCCGCAGCAGCAACACGGCGACGACGGGCGAGAAGCGTCCGGAAGCAGCAGCCAACCGCGAGCTCGTCCGGCGGTTTGGGCTGCTGGTGCGCAAGATCTGGAACCCGCGCGCGTTCAAGGCACACGTGTCACCGCACGAGCTGCTACAGGAGGTGGCACTGCGGTCCAGCAAGCGGTTCACGCTGACGGCACAGTCCGATCCGGCCGACTTTCTTGCCTGGTTCCTCAACCACCTGCATCTGGGCCTCGGCGGCAGTCGTTCTCGACCGGCCTCGTCCATCGTTCAGCGCGTCTTCCAGGGCCGTGTGCGCGTCCGCTCCGAGACCCTCGCCGCTGTCGGTGCCCGTGCTGCTGCTGCTGCGGCCGACGACGCCATGCAGGTCGACGACGACGACAATAACGACAAGGCTTCGTCCTACCACACCTCTGGACCCCTTCCGGCCACCGCTTCTCCGTCTCTGCCACCACCACCACCGCCTTCATCCTCTATCCCACCGCCGCCCGGCGTTTCTCTCCCTCTCGGTGCTTCCCGTCCACCACCGCCCGGCCTCTCGGCTCCAGGCGTCTCGTCCTCGGCGTCTTACTCTTCCTTGCTGCCGCCTCCGCCTCCACCTCCGTCTTCGCTGGCAGCACCAACACCAACAGCAGCAACAGCAGTAACAACAGCGTCTGTTCCCGCGGCCGCTGCCGTCTCGCGCTTCCTCCTGCTGACACTCGACCTGCCGGCCGCACCGCTCTTCCAGGACGAGCAGGAGCGCAACATTATCCCGCAGGTGCCGCTGGCTGCGCTGCTGGCCAAGTACGACGGCGAGTCGGCCCGCGAACAGGGCGACGTGCGCCGCCGCTTCCGCCTCCAGGCACCACTGCCGCCGTATCTCGTCCTGCACATCAAGCGCTTTTCGGCCAACAAGTTCGTCGCCGAGCGCAACCCGACCATCGTCACCTTTGACCCGCTCGGCCTCGACATGCGTCCCTTTGTCGACGGCGAGCCCGGCTCCGCCGATAGCCCAATCCCCTACGACCTCGTCGCCAACGTCGTCCACGAGGCCGTCCGTGCCGGCGGCGATGACGTCGCCGTCGATTCGGCCGAGGAACGCCGCACTTGGAAGGTCCAGCTGCGTGAGCGCCAGGCGGCAGGAGCGACCCCGCCTGCTCTTGCCGCGCCCGCCACCGCCGCCGAGCAGGACAAGTGGGTCGTCGTCCAGGACCTCTTTGTCGAGCCGGTCGCCGGCGAGCTGCTCTATCTCGCCGAGTCCTACATCCAGATCTGGGAGCGTCGCCGCCCGTCTGCTCCTTCGTAAAAGGGAGGCCCGGCAGCTCGCTGAGAACGTTCCCCAAAGAGCCCTGCTTCGTTCCCTTCCTCTGTACTTGTTCAATATGTTTTAATATTTATTTTTGTTTATGTCTTCTTTTACATGCTACCGAGACGACCTGTCGGCGCCCTGTCGTGCCAGTTTCCCGGATGGCATCCCCCGTTTATCTCCCATTCTCCTGTTTGTCCGACTACAAGTACAATAGATACATAGGTTCCATGATAGCAAAAAGGGCCCCGCAGCTCACGGCAAAAAGAGCAAAGGGCAGGGAAGGGACATAGGCAGACTCCAAAGAAATCCCCAAAATAAACATAGGAACCCCTGTCTCGTTTCGCTAGAGACCATCCTGATGTTCCTTCTTGTCCCCCCGCCCATTGTGCATTGTGCATTGGCTGCGGCTTTTCCCTTTTTAAACCAAGAATATAGGACAGCCCGCGGTGTAAATCAAACAACAAATGCTGCACTGCTGATCATCAAAAAATACAACGGCAGTCGTGGTATTATACACGCCCTGCCGTTCCTGTCCTCTCCCCTCACGCTGCATCTCCGTGTCGATTCCACCGGAGCTCGCTGTGCGTCCAAGTCGCCGCTTCGCTTCCCTATGGCGAGCCGCGAGCATGGCTCTGCTGCTGGTCCTCGCCGCCTGACAATGACAGCGACTGCCTTGACGACCGCTTGTCTGTCAGATATTGGTGTTGCGAGTAACCATGCGCATTCGTGTGATGGTGGTTAGCACCATTGTTGTTGTTATTATTATTGGTGTTGTTGTTGTTGTTGTTGTTGTTGTGGTGGTGATGATGATTATTCGGCTTCTCGCGCCTCGACTCCTCAATGACCGACCGCTGCTGAATCGACGACCCGTGGCTCTTCCACTCCACCTTAGTGTTCAAGGGAAAGTCCAACACTCGCTTCATCGTCTCCCTGCATACTGTCAGTCTCTGGCCCCTCACCACTAAGTACCATCAGGACCAACGCTACTTACCGAACCTTCAGCAAACGCTGCTGCCGTCATTGCGGGTCCAGATGCTCAAGATGTCCTCGCCGTTCCGCACACTCAACACCACCCCGCACACTTCATCGCCCGAGTCACCAAGCTGGTCACCAACAATGGCAAGCAGCAGGTCCTCCCAGTACCGATCAACCACGCCCTTCTTGAGCCGCACAATCCACTTGCCACCCTTGCGATTCTCTGCGTCTTCCCAGATAGGCCGGATCCCCGTACGAAAAAAGTGGTAATCCGACACCAACGGTAGCGTCGACGGCCGTTTCAGGTGTCGGTAGATCGTGAAAAATTCTTCTACCGTGCCGACCGCTGCTATGGGGTGTAACGTCTTCTCGTACTCGATGTATCCGTTTGCTTTGCTGATCGGTGGCCGGAACCAGAATACCCACTCGCTGACAAGCGCATGCTGCTTTCCCTTGTCGCCTGCCGCACCCGCATTGCCGGCAAAGCTGCTGTTCGAAGCCCCTGGTGCCCCTAATTGTGGGGCCGTTGAGGATGGCTTGTCGCCGGCCAGAGACGAGAAAGAGGCGGACGCAGAAGCTGCCGTGGCGCTGGAGGGCGGCTTGGCACCAAAGTCAAACGGGTTGCCGCCGGAGAGCTTGGGGGTCTTGGCCGGCGCCCCGAAGCTGGAAAACGCACCAGAGCCCAGCCCGAATGCACTCGATGCGCCAGTCGGGCTCATGATGCGGCCGCCCGGCGTCGTTGCCGGATTGAATGAATTGGCCTTCCCATGCGATGAGCTATCACCACCGAATCGCTTGGGAATTGTGGCACTGCGGGTCGACAGCGAAAAGGGCGAGGACGCATCGCCGGTATTGCCGGTTGAGGGTCCGTTGTTTGTGGACAAAGAGAGCTTGTTCGAGCTGCTATACAACGAGAGCGCGAGCCGTGAGTCAGTCAATGCGATTAGGAATGGCATCGTGCACATGCGAAACCAATAAAAATCCCAAACAAAAAAGGGGAAGACTTACTTGGTGCGACGGCCGTAGAGATTATCCATGGGAGCAGAGTTAAGACCCGAGGGCGGGGGAAGTCGGGGAGAAAGGACAGGGAGGCAGTATTAAAAAAGGTAAAAAGGTAAAATGAGCGAGAAGCTGGCGATATGACTCAAGGGACGATAGGGAGGGGGTTTAGTGGGGAGCAGAAGCGAAGAAGCTGCAGAAAAGAGAGAGGGGGGGAGAGGGGAAAGACAGGCGGACGAAATAGAGAGAGCGCGCTCTTAGGAAGGGGGGGGGGGGGGGGGAGGGGGGGAGAAAGAAAGAGACGGTAGGGCAACACGAGAGTGAAGCCAGAATCAGTCGAATCCGAACGCAGAGAAAATGAAGCAGTTCTGTGGTATTTTCTAGGGCTCCCGAATAGGCGACTGAGGTAAGAATGTGGTTCGGCGTTGATTGATGCGGCTGCAGGCAGTTGGGATTATATGGGATTATGGGTGATCAGCAGCCTCCGACTCGTCCGTTTCTTCAGCGAATTATGGAACTATCAGGTGAACCAGTCGTGTAGTCTTGCGGTGACGATCGTGTTTCTGGTGTATCAACGTCTAGGTGCCAGCGTAAGGGGTGGATAGATGGACGGAGATCGTGGATCAAAACAGAGGAGCGATAGAAATCGGGGAGCGATCGGGTGAGTTGCACACGGTTATTGTCTCGAGAGGCTGGAGATGGTGATAAAATAGGAAAGTGGTTTGAAGCAGAAAAAGTAGACTGTGGAAAAGGATTACTGGTGAAAAACGCGAAGAGAGGAAAAAGGTGGAGGAAACTAATAAAGAATGAAGGTGGAGGTGAAAACCGGAAGGAACTAATGGCGTGGTGATTGGCGAAACAGAAGCCAGCGATTTTTGTAGGTTGCCACTTTTTCCTACTCTCTCAGGGCTGCTCGAAGAGTATGGCGACCGACGAGTTGGTAATAACGGCCCAGTTCAAAGTCCTGCAAGGCAAGGAATGTTGCTATGCGAGCTACGAGACAAAGCGGGCGGAGGGATGCTTCAGCAGAGCAAAAAGAAATTGAAAAAGACAGAAAAAAGAAAAAAGAAAAGACGGGTTTGCGTCTGATACGATGTCATCACAGCCAAGCAGCTGGCCAATGGATTTTACTTGGGGAAAGTGCGCTGAGCACAAAATATCTGGAGCTCGACGGGGTATGTGTACGGAGTAATATGACCACGGCCACGTGAGCGCCCTGCCGCATCGACGCAGACGGCCAGGGCGGTGGGGGCGGGCAGATTCCACAGGTCCATAAACTTCGTCGTCGAAAATTCTGCCTCATCAGTTTTCTCTCTTTTCTTCAACCATTCAGACCGCAATATTAAACTTGTTCAAATTGTCGCCAGTGCATTCTACAACCCCCGTTGCCTGACGATATCGTTTGTGTGTCGAGAAGAACTATAAGCCCTTGTATAAAACCATCGTCACGAGGGCCGCTTTTTTGCGTTGCTCCATGATGCGGCGATGACCTGAAACACTGGGACAGTCCACCTTTCAGCCTGCACGTCTGGTGACCTATCGTCACGTTAGATTCCCATGTTCAATCTCGATATACTTGTTTTTATTTGCTTTATAATGCCGTGTCACGCGAAATCATGCAGCTCCATATCCTAGGAGTCTCCTCCTTTGCCTCGGTCATCTCAGCAGCTCCCGCGCCTCTTGTACGAGTAAGTTTGATTCGTCCTCCCTTCGTTGCCTAGATACACATATATGATGATCTTTAATCATCTGGTAATCCGACCCAACCCCCTACTGGAGGACATAAACTCCCCCAGCCTGCGCAGGTCGGGAGTGCAGAAAATTCCAAGGCTTCTTTATCTGATATAGCAATGCCCGCGTTCATCAGATGGCACTATAAAATCTTGGTCAGACACTGACGGGATTATAGAACTCATTCTGTAACTTGCCAATTTCGCGTAAGCGCGTCGATGGCTGTATTATGTAGGTGGTCAGAACCAACATGCTATTGGTCTATGTGATCAGCCTCGCCGTCTGTACTCGTAAAGACTCAAGGCTGCACCAGCAGGCACTTAGTCTATGACTATGTATCTTACAAAGAGCATGCATACACGACTGTATGTTAGACTGGCGTCATCATGCCATTCCACGTCGTCCTCTCCCTATAGCTTGGTGGGAGGTAATAGGCAGCTACGGAGTACATAGCACGCACTAAACCCAGTGAAGCACAGGGCCTGTTGGTTCGGCTGCACCGCTGTTACCGATAAATCCATTAACTCCAGGCCGGCGAGGCTGCAGGAACGCGCAAAAGGAGCCACGCTGAAATCTGGCGGATCCCGGAACGATCGAGGATCAGCTGTCTTGCTACGCCTGCGACATCACTGTCGTCGCTATGCACGCCGTCGTCGTGGTTCACGTTTTTAAGTACCGAATTTCCTGATAGTAACCCCTATTGTTGCTCCGGTTTGCATCCTCACACCTCACACCACATCGCACATCGACTCTCTTTCTGCCGTGATGGCCGACTACGAGTATACTGGCGGCAGCACAGAAGCCAACCACCTCTGTGTGCTCGTCCATGGGGTGCGTTTCTCGACAGTTGTGTCTGCCTTGTTCTGAAAGAGCTCTGATTTCTAACGATGGGCGATATGACAGCTCTGGGGCAATCCCGGCCACATGGCCTCAATTGCAGAGGCCCTGCGGGCCAAATACCCGGAGGACCAGCTGAACCTGCTGGTAGCCAAGAGCAACCGGGGAACATTTACGTACGACGGCATCGAGACCGGTGGCGAGCGTGTGTGCACAGAGATCGAGGAGGTGCTAGCCAACGTCGAGGCACGCGGCGGCCACATTACGCGGCTCAGCGTGATCGGCTACTCGCTCGGCGGGCTGGTGGCACGTTATGCCGTCGGCCTGCTGCATGCCAAGGGTGTCCTCGACACGCTGGAGTGCATGGTGAGCCAGCCCGGGATGCCGTCCCCTTATCGAAATCGTGCTGACAGCAGCTAGAACTTTACTGCCTTTGCCAGTCCTTTTCTGGGCGCCCGTGCTCCTCGGCTGGGCGTGGCCAACAAGGTGTGGAACACGCTGGGCGCACGCATCCTGAGCATGTCCGGTCGCCAGCTCTTTGGCATCGATGCGTTCCGCGATACCGGCCGGCCGCTGCTGGCTGTCCTGGCTGACCCCAACTCCATCTTCATGGCCGGCCTAGCCCGGTTTCGTCGCCGCACGCTGTACGCCAACATCATCAACGACCGCAGCGCGGTCTACTACACGACGGCGATCGCCAAGACGGACCCCTACGCAGCCGTGCGGGCTGACGGCGGCGAGCTGGACGATCTGTCTCTCCAGTTCGTGCCGGGCTACGAGAGGGTCATCCTCGACCGCGACGAGCCCATCGACTGGACCAAGCACCACGCCATGTCGGCCCAGCTGCAGCTGCTGCACCGCAAGTCCAAGGCCCGCTGGCTGCTCGAGACCGTCGTGGCCAGCCCGTGGTCCAAAGAGGCGCGAGCAGCGCTGCTAGACGTGGCGCCCGTGTTCGCCCTCGTCCTGCTGCTGCCCATCGGCCTGACCGCCTTTCTGGTGCACTCGGCCTACGAGACGGTGCGCAGCCGGAAACGACGCGAGCGACACGAGAACGGCCTGGCCGGCATCGACGTGGTCCAGTACCGCGTCCCGCTGTGGATGAAGAGCCTGCAGGAGTCAGCCGAAGGCGCGTACGAGAGTCTCAACAGCGCCCACGAGCCGGATCATCTGGCTTACGGCGACGGTGACGACAACGACGAAGACGGCAACGAGGCTGCGGAGCTCGACGCACATCTCGTCTACGAAGACCAAGGCATGTCGGCTGTCGAGCAGCAGCAGCACAGCTCCGAGGTGGACCACTCAGATCCGACGGCTTCGAAACACGAGCAGACCCTCGCCCTCTCGCCCGATCAGTTCGCTATGATCGACGCTCTGAATGCCCTCGGCTGGCGAAAGTACCCCATCTGGATTCACAAGATGCGCCACAGCCATGCCGCCATCATTCGGCGCCGTCCTGAACCCATGTACGACGAGGGCAACATCGTCCTCAAACACTATCTTGAAGAAGAGTTTCTCATCTAGATTTCTTTCTCCCCTACCATTTCATATTCAGCATACATATTTCGTTAGTACTCTGCACCTTAACAGACATTTAGATTTAGAGGTAATACTGTATAGAGCTTTTCGCCAATAAAGGAAATTGCACTTCACTGCACTGCTAAAACGGATGATGATTAAGTGGGGCGTCCAGGGAGGCTAGCCGTTCAAATTACAGCGGCTGCCCAACACAGTCTGGTACATATTACCAGCCTTCTTTGGCGATCGCCTTTCTTCTTCCATGCCAATACGACAGCTCAGCCTTCAGCTAACGCTACCTCGCCAATCTTCTGACCCGTCTGCCGTCCCCTCGATGCTTTTGATTCGATCCGCTCGCCTGCACAACATGTAAATAAGCAATTCAGCAATCCTTCTCGCCTCGGTAATCGAGGTCTATCCCTATTCTGAACATCACGGGTTCTTTCTTTCTTCTCTCAGCCTTGTCTCGTCTCTCGTCAGGCACTCTTCGATCTGACCTGTATCTCTCGCAATCTCATGAACCTGCCGTCGCAAACGCTCAAGGCTGCCTGAGGAGCAGGCCGTCTGGAATCCTGTTCACACGCGTAGCCATAGCTTAGAGAGTGTCAACAGCCATCGTTTCCCGCCAGCATGAGCACCCAACTCGGCCTCCTCAAACACATTCCCTGTCCCAGGGGAGAGGCCTGCACCGCCTATCGCTGCCTGTTCCGCCATGCTGGAGATGACGACAGATGGCCACTACCAGGCGTCCAGGACCCGTCGGCCCAGCCTTTGGACTCGCCATCGACTCATGACCCAAGTGCTCAGGTCGAGTCTGCGACACTGTCCCTGACTACTGGCGGCGCGGCCGATCAGCAGGCCGATCAGGCCGATCCTGTGCAAACAGCTCCTCGAAAACGGGTCAAGCTAGGTGATGGCGAATACGATCCCACGTCGCCTCCCATGCCCCTGGATTTGTGTCTGGGATCTCATGATGCAGAGGAATTCGCAGGACAGACCAACAAGGTCACCTCTTCTTCCGAACCAGCTGTCTCCTCTGCTGAAACGGCTCTCCAGACGGATGCCATCTCCTCATTGCGTAAGCGGCCAATCTCACCGCCTCCGCTTAAACGCAAGGCCACTGAAGCACCAGCCAAGACAGCCCTGCCCAAACCGGCCTCAGGATCACGCAGAGCAGCAGCTACGGCCTTGGCTGTACCGCAGAATTTCTCCACAGAGCGAGTATTAGACTCCCCGCGTCCGACAAGCTCCTTTGGCGGCAGCAGCACCATCAGCACCGCTGCCAACAACAACAACAACCACAGCAACAAGACTACCAACCATGCAAGCGTCCCGACGGCCTCGGAGGCCACGACAGTGTCGCCTAGAAAGGCCGAAACGCTCAACCCACGGCATCTCGGGAAAGCTCCAGCGACTCATGATATCCGCTTTAAGCTAGTGAAGATGTTGCACGCCGAATTCTTCCGTCTGAACAGCGAGCTTCGCACCAACGGCAGCGAAGACGACAAGAAGAAGCTCCTCATGTCGGCACAGGAGCTCGTTTGGCTGACTTTGGACATGGAGGAGAATTGCGCAGTCAGCAAGCCGGCAATCTACTCCAATACGATCAAAAACCGCATCATGTCATACAAGCGGATGTCGCTGGCCCAATGGACGAAGGAACGGACAGACATACGAGAAAAGGACCTGCGTAAGCAGCAGAGCGCAGAAAGAATAGCGCAGGGCCAAATGCAGCAGGGCACTGGCAGCTCTCGAGACACAGGGAAAGACACAGCCGAGCCCGTTGTTCTCGAGACGGGACTCACCTCGGCAGAAGAGGTTGCCTTCCTCAAAGAGAACCTGCTCACGCCGATCCAAAGCCTGGCAAACCACGGCTACGTTCCGGCCGTGCTCCTGGAAGCAGAGATTCAGAAAGCCCGCGAAGCTGCAGAGGTTTCCAAGGGATGGGAGCTATGTGACCGCTGCGGAACACGCTTCCAAGTCTTCCCAGGCCGTCGGGAGGAAGACGGCGCCCTGACGTCGGGCGGCTCGTGCACCCATCATCCGGGCAAGGCTTTCTTCCCACCCAAGGCGGCCATGGCCGGCAGCGGCGCCAGAGACAACACGAAGCGGTTCCGCTGCTGTGGACAGGCTGTCGGAGACTCTGCCGGTTGCGTGACCACCACCAGCCACGTCTTCAAGACGAGCGATCCAAAGCGACTGGCGCTGCTGTGGAACTTCACCCAGACACCACCGAACCCCAGCGTGCCGTCCGATCGCGCCGTATGCTTCGACTGTGAGATGGGATACACCGTGTACGGCATGGAGCTTATCCGAGTGACAGCCACGTCCTGGCCCGATGGCGAAAGGCTGTTGGATGTGCTGGTGCGCCCGATCGGAGAGATCATCGACCTCAACTCACGCTATTCTGGCGTCTGGCCCGAGGACATGGCCAAAGCCCTTCCCTTCTCGGCCGCCACCGTCTTCGACAACAGTAAGAGCGAGCAGGAAGAGGAAGGGCGGCGGCAGCTGCAGATTGTGTCGTCTCCCGTCGTAGCTCGTGATCTGCTATATGCACTCATCAGCCCAGAGACGCCACTCGTCGGTCACGGCCTGGAAAACGACCTGAACAGCATGCGCATCGTGCACCCAACCATCTGCGACACCATCCTGCTGTTTCCCCATCCTAAAGGCCTCCCTGTGCGCTATGGCCTAAAGATGCTGGTGGACCGTCATTTGCATCGCCAGATCCAGGTTGAGCCACAGGGTGACAGCGGCGTGCTGATGGGGCACGACAGTGCTGAGGACGCCCGGGCTGCTGGTGATCTTGTGCGTTTCAAGGTCAAGCAGGAGTGGGCGTCCAAGCGGACGGACGGCTGGGCTTTCATGGATGGGCATCTCGTTGCTCCTGGGACGCGGCCTGGCAGAGGTAGCTCTGGCGTTCTGACGGAAGCGTACATTGAGAAAGGGAAAGGCTGAAGAGGGGAGTCAGCAGGGACGGGCGAAAGGAGAATGGGCGAGGGAGTGCGCCGTTGCATGTAAGATAGGCACGAGCGGATATGACCGACATCGATACATAGGGCATGACAAGAGTCAATTTCGAAGCTTTTTTATTCTTTCTTGTTCTTTTTTATTGGCAGCAGCGAAGCGGGGAGACCCAAACTTAGTCATACGGAGTAAAGTAGTTATACATGTAGATGTAGACAATCGAGAGGCGTGGAAAGACGCCAGTAGTGACCATTCCCATCGCGTCTGTTTTCTTCAAAGAAGCGGCAGCCCTTTCTTGCTTTCAAGACAGGGTATCGTCCTCTTCACCGTCCCATCCACAGCATCACAGCCATCATGCCCTGCCAGCATTCAGGAGGATGTTGGAGCCGCCCTGCTTGCCGCCGGGAATGTACGACACGTTCGGATTGCTGGCCAGGGTCTGGGCGATGTCGCGGCTGGCCTCAATCTTTCGAATCTGCACGAGACCGTCGCCATACTTGGCAATGGCGCGGCTGATGGTCTCGGCGCTCTCAGCCTCGCCCTCAGCGCGGATGACGTTCGCCTGGCGCTCCTGCTCAGCGCGCTCGACGATGAAGCGGGCGCGCTCGGCATCCTGCTGTGCGATCTGCTTCTGCTCGACGGCCTTGGTGAACTCCTTGCCAAAGGTCATGTGGGTGATGGAGACGTCCTCGAGGGCGATGTTGAATTCGTGCGCGCGCTTGGTCAGGTCCTCGCGGATCCGGTTCGAGACAGCCTCGCGCTGTGTGATCAGCTCGGCCGCGTCAAACTGCGCCACGATTGCCTTGAGCACCTCGTTGCCGATCGACGGCAGCACGCGCTCGTCGTAGTCCGTCCCCAGGTTCTGGTAGATCTTGGGCAGTGCCTGCACCTCGGGCCGGTGTAGCACCCGCAGCGTCAGGCTGACCATCTGCAGGTCCTTGCTGCCCGTCGTCGTCGTGATGTTGCGCGGCTTCGTCCGGACGTCAAAGACGATGCTGCGCTGCAGCCATGGCACTAGAAAGTGCGTGCCTTCGCTGATCACCTTCTCCTTCACGCCCGCCATCCGGTCAAAAATGACCGCCCGCGAACCGCCCCGGACGTCGTATATGGACGCCTGTACAATCGCGATGCCCACCGCCGCCGGCACCACCGACTTGTAGAGGAGGCCCAGTACGCCGGCCATCGTCGCTTCGGTCTGTCTGGGAATGCGGTGTCCTGCTGCTTCTGCCCCTCACTGCCGCGTGCGCAAAAAAAGTATCTCGTCTGCCGTGGAGGAGCGCGCTGCAAAAAGGCTGGCCGTTCTGTCGTCGCTCGTGCGGACAAGGTAGATCTTTCTGATTTTTCGACCCGGGCTGACTGCTCGCTTCCTTCGACCCTCTTTTTCGAAAACTTGTGATGCCATTTGGTTGACCTGGAGCGGGTGCGGATTTTCTCGAGCTTCCGGGTTTACGCTAGTCCCATTTCGGAAACGCGCCCCTCTGTTTTGTAGCAGCAGCCAATTGACCATTCCGACAACTCCCATTCATCATCAGAGAAATTCTCGCCTGTTTTTAAACCTCGCTACCGCCAGCCACGTCCACGACCACCACCTTTTCCTCCACTCCAATCCGAGCAGCACGACTACCCGTCCGACTCTCATCTCTTACAATGCGTCCGTCTCAGGCTCTCCGCAGTGGCGGCGGTGGCGACACCCCGCTAGGCAAATACAACCAGTACGAACGACCCTTCCGTTACGCCGTGATTTTGCGCTGTTTTCTATCTGTGTCGAATGCATTGCGCAGAAGGAGGCAATGCGTTCGGCTGGCACCAGACCGCAGAATTGAGCCGACTTGAGGGACTTTGCTGACACGTTTCCTCCTCGTCTACAGCTACATTGGCGACTGGGGTAGCATGGGTGAGTAACGACTGTACAATTGCCGATGACGTCCGACGTCCGAAACAAGCGAGAGCCGAGGGGAACCCGTTTCGGGGAGGACAATGGAGCTCCAAGGACCCACTGGGAGGCGAATGCGCGCTCACCGTGATCGCCTACTACCCAGCCGGGCTACCCGAACGGACTACCCGATCGCTCTCTGGTGGATGCCAATGCCGCTGGGCTGGGATAGAAGAGCGGCGCACTGACAATTGCTGGCAGGCCCGAAGATCCAGTCGCAGCGCGGCATCATCTCGTACGGCATTGCCCCCAACCGCCAGAACCCCTTTGCTCACGCCGGCCATGACGCCATCTTCAACTCCTGGCGGCGGGTTTCCCGGCAGGTTCTCTACTGGGCACCTACAGCCGTTGCTGGCTACTTCATCATGTCCTGGGCATTCGAGCGGTATGTCCCTGCACACACGCCCTCACTTCTCAATCCGAGGCCGCTCTGACTGACGATGGCCCATACAGGAATCACTACCTCAACTCCAAGGCCGGCCGTGCTGAGACCGCCGCAAACGAGGAGTAACCAGCTGGCACATAGACTGCGATGAGGATGAGGAGTGTGCCATCTTTGGACAACACTTGTACAATTACCGTCTAGACCTTTGTCAAAATAAGATTTAGATATTGCGTATCTTTATACCCCTTCATCCCCACATCGTGGACTTCGTGGAGCCAGCATCAGTGCGCACCGCGCTGATATCCATGTCCGATCTTGCAATTGCGATGCACAAGAGCAGCATTCGTGTCCGAGTGCCTGTATCCATGCAAATAAACGTATCCCGAAAGTGTGGCCACTTTTTAGCGCCAAATTCCCAGCTGCTTTCCGCCGTAGCGCTTAACATGAATAAGTACAGCTGTTCATAATGCACGAATAGAGTACTCCGTAGTTCGCCCATAACACAATGCGGCAGTTAAGCTCACACGCATTGTCTCACTGGCCTCAGCTGTCGGTGACACAGCGGTGAGTTAACCTCTTACGTACCTTATTGATGGACTACAGCTAACTATGAGCATAGCATCTATGACGCGCCCACTTTCCCTGCATGCCAATTACCAATAAATAACAGTTAAAAAGAACACAGTATCGTATCTCGCCCGACAAGGTTACTTTCTCCAGATCCATAACGCCATCGATATAGTTTGATGAGAGGGCGGTCCATCCCGGCAAAACTGACGCATCAATCACGTGCTCTCTATCCGCCACAACTTCCTCATCTAGCGCTTAGGAGATTGCCAAATCGCCCGTGATTCGCAGAAATTTTGACTAGCGCCAGTCAAAAGTTGCCTCTAGCGTCTGGTCCGTGCGTTTCGGCCGGAAGTATATAAAGGACAGGATGTCCTCCCTCTTTTTCCTTTTCTCACACATGCGATTACCCCCGCGATCTAGGCTTTTTTTTTTGCGGCTCCTCCTATCGCAAACAACACATTCCATCAAACAGGGATATCATTTGCTCCCTCACTCTCTCTACTGTGATACGACTGTGTCTCTAATATTTCCTTCCCTTTTTTTTTCCCCGTCTGTCCAGCGTTTGCCATTTCACGGATCCTTCGTTATTTCCGACCCGGCGAGAGACCCTTGAAAAATAGGACGTCTCCCCAAAACATCGTCATCAGTTCAACGACTCGAACTATTCTCGACGATCATCTGTCTTATTCCGACCGGTTCACTCCGAGCTCGCACCTTCCCAAAAGACATATCGGCGACCGCTGTGCCAGTAGGCTGCCTTCTCTTACACCCACACTATCTCTCCAGTCATCGCTTCCCGTTCGATACTGGTCTCCGATCATCCTCTCCACAACAACAAACACAGCGCAAAAGTAAACACATCTGCCCACCCGCTTCCTTGCCCGCTTGCGACACCGCTACAAAACACCTGTCATCAGCCCTCGGCCTCGTCGCCGGCTGTTGTGAGTGTGCGGACTGATCATCATTTGATGGAAGTCTGAGAAACGAGTGTCTGCTGACATGCTCTGAAGCTTGACTCGGCGATATTGCCCTGTTCTGTCTTGTCCATCTCGCATTCCCTGCTACCACCCATCTCCTCGTCCCTTCTACCACGCATCAGTGTCTACACTGAACGGTCTCTTGTATCGCTCCATCCTTTCGCAGTCAAAAGAGTCTCCACAATGGCATCTTCTGTCACGATGGTGAACTCGGCGACGGTGACGACGGCACCTGGTCTGTACACGCAGACATCGATGGACTCGCTGAACTCCCATCCGGCGACGGCCGCGCAGGCGCGGGCCTTCACGGCCCCGACGTCACTTTCGTTTCCTGGAGGCACGGACACCATGACGCCACCGTCTGAAAAAGATGGGAACGCGCCTAACGGCATAAAGGCGGCGTCTACGAACCCAGCGTCAGCACCGGGAACGGTTGCTACCACTGAAAACAAGCGGCTGCGACGGTGGGAGTGAGCGGCATCGTGCCGACGTTGCAGTGAGTGTCTTGCCCTCCATTGAGTCTCATTCGTAAAGAACACTTGTTCATAATTTTTTTTCGTAAAAAGGAATATTGTCGCGACTGTCAACCTCGACTGCCGGCTTGACCTGAAGACCATCGCGCTGCATGCTCGCAATGCAGAGTACAATCCGGTTCGTACACACGGTCCCCCTTCATCCTTCTCAGTTGAGCGTTGAGAGGGATACTGTGGGTGATACATGTGCAAATCGTATCGCTGACCCGGGTTCTGTCACTGCATAGAAACGTTTTGCTGCCGTCATCATGCGTATTCGCGATCCGAAGACGACAGCTTTGATCTTTGCATCGTAAGTATTGCAAGCCTCTTCACTATCCACACTTTTCCAGAGGATGTATACCAACATATGTCCGCAGTGGCAAAATGGTTGTTACTGGTGCCAAGTCTGAGGACGACTCGAAGCTGGCCTCCCGCAAGTACGCTCGTATCATCCAGAAGCTGGGCTTCAATGCGAAGTTCACCGACTTCAAGATCCAGAACATTGTGGGCAGCTGCGATATCAAGTTCCCTATCCGCCTTGAGGGCCTGGCCTCTCGTCACCACAACTTCAGCTCCTACGAACCTGGTATGCTCTTGTCTTCTCGCTGCTTCCTCATGGCAACAAATTTCCATACTAACAGTTACTTCAGAACTGTTCCCCGGTCTTATCTACCGCATGATCAAGCCCAAGATCGTGCTACTCATCTTCGTCAGCGGGAAGATTGTTCTCACAGGCGCTAAAGTCCGTGAGGAAATCTACACTGCTTTCGAAATGATTTACCCTGTCCTTCAAGGTAAGCACCCACAACTTCGCATACGTTCAAACAACATGGCAGCTAACTCCACCCAGACTTCCGCAAGGTCTGATACCATGCGATCACTTGCTTCGAAGCAAGGATGGGCGTGTACTATTCATGTTATCGAATCTTGCGTATCTGATTTTCTGCGGGTCCTTCAACCTGGTATCTGTTTTGGTTCATTCTCGAACCAAGCAGATATGGGAATATGTTACTGGCACTTGCAATGCCAGCAACATGTCCATATTGCATCAATTTGGCGTTGGGGTGTACGGGGTACCCCTTTTATCTATTGCTTTTGATTTTTTTTTTCAAAAAACAGGTGGAGGGGAAAGACATAAAATGGATTATAGGCGCAAGCATTAGAATGACCGCGGTTAAAGGGGGAGGGGGGATGCGGATGGATAAAGGGTTTTCTTTTTACTTTTCGGTTGGCGCTCTGTCTTTTCCCTATCTATACGTTCTGTCTGCTATGCCTTTACTCGGCCCGCGAAGCAACAGCCGGGACAGAAGAGTATAGAGACGTGGAGTGCGGGATCTGGTGAGAGCGGAGGGTGAGACGAGGGGAAGAGTTGACGATGGATTGGAGCGAGACGGCCGAGTGTTGTGTGCTTGGCAGCATTATGTTTGGATGCTGACGATGAATGCACTGGAAGACGACCCGGTTTTCCAGACATTATTGATACCCGAAACTTTAAAAAATAATAAAATTGTCAAAACGAATCATCCCAAGCTTACTGCCAACAAGTTCGCTGCCAAGTACATACGAATGATTATGTACATGATCACGAAGTACTCGTATGATTATCGTAGCGACGTATGCGCAAAGGATCCCATCAGTAATTGCTTCGGATTATTATTGATGCGTGGGAACTCCCGTGAAATAGATAAGAGGTCTTATCGTCCGGCCTAACAAAAAAAATCATCAAAGAGGCTAAACGGAATTTTTGACGCTCAACTTTTTTTGCAAATCGGTTCGCAAAGCGCCACTCGTTGTCTGCAGGCTCTCATCTTTACACTATATTTTGACAGCTTCCCCGTTTCTATCGCGCAGTGTCAGATTTCCGGCAATTGATATATCAGTGCAATCTACCGTCGCAACCGATTCAGAGCTTACAATTGGTCTATCGAAATAATGGCTTCCAGCAAGGAACGGAAGGAGGCTGAGGATGTGGTTGATGTGACGGCCAAGAAGGAGAAGAAGGACAAGAAGGAGAAGAAGGAGAAGAAGGAAAAGAAGCGGTCGGAGACGGACGGTGTGCATAAGAGCAAGGACAAGAGTGACAAGAAGGAGAAGAAGCAGAAGAAGGAGAAGCTCGCACAGGCCGTTGAGGCTCACCTGTCATCATCAGCGGCGTCGGTCGAGGGGGAGGAGAAGAAGCAAGAGAAGAGCGTCAACGAGGACGACAAGATGGCAGACGGCGAGACGTCGACTAAGCAGCCGCGGGCGCCCAAGCCCATTGTCCGGGGTGCCGTGGTTGAGTTTGCCCGGCCGCTGGCTGCTGACAAGTACCAGAAGAAGGTGTTCAAGATTGTGAAGCGAGGTGAGTCAGCCGCTTGTGAGAGTGCCAGCTCTCTACTTTTTCTCTCTTGTCGCACACATTTGCTGACCTTTACCGCCTTTCAGCCGCCAAGCAGCAGGCTCTTCTGCGCGGAGTCAAGGAGGTCAACAAGGCCCTGCGCAAGGCGGCGCCCAAGAACCCGTCGGCCAAGGACGGCGGCAACGTGCCGGGCGTGGTGATCATTGCGGGCGACGTCAACCCGGCAGAGGTGATTATGCACCTGCCGCTGGCGTGCGAGGACGTGAACGCACCGTACGTGTTTGTGGTGTCCCGTGGCGAGCTGGGCCAGGCGGCGCGCACAAAGCGGCCGACGTCGGTGGTGATGATCAAGGCCGAGGGCCGGGTGTCGAAGAAGGCCGACGAGAAGAAGGCGAAGAAGGACGACGATGACGAAGATGACGACGACGAGGGCAGCTACGCAGACCAGTACAAGGAGTTTGTGCAGCTAGTGCAGAAGGAGTACGTCAAGCAGATGAAGGGGCTCATCTGAGCGTGCGAAGAAGACCGGACCGGAGAGAGGCACCAGGTTTCTTGATCCTGCCTCGTGATACAACAGCAGGACGTCCCATTCCTGGGCCGAGAAGGACAATTTTGGACCTAATTTCCCCTACATTTTGACATGGCTTCATGCACCGTTTATGTGCGAGGCAGAGACTTGGAGGCAGCTGTTCTGGCATTGTCGAGGCGTGGCCGCTATCTTCATACCTGGTTTGTTGTTTTGATTATGGCGTCTTTGGCATGGGGTTGCTCTGCTTTTTGTATTCTCGCTGCTTGAATTTACCATTTGTCACATATTTGTCGCAGAAAAGTATCCATGGACTAGAGAATGCAGAAGGCTACTGTGGAATCAGACATGTTTAGTGATTTCAATAATCACAGCTGTTATTGTTTTGTATGTTCTTAGGCTCTCCTGAGGCCACACTTGGTTCCGATACAAGACTGCAACCATCGTCCCCATCATCTCCTGCCCGCTACTCAAACGGGTTCGTCCGAGTTCCCCACCAGGTGAGGAAGGTGGCCAGTCCGACGGTCTCGACCAGCTTTGCGGCCACGCTGGCCAGGACGGTGTCCCACGGCCGCCGCTCGGTCAGGACCTCGGCCACGTACTGCGGCGCGCTGGTAGCCAGGAAGATCAGAGCTCCCAGGTAGGCTGAGCCCTTGTACGAGAGCGTGGCGGTGGCGTTGATGAGGGCACCAACACCGTAGCTCTGCAGGCCGGAGCCGATAAAGGTGGTGCCCCAGGCGACAGCAGCTGAGCTGGCCTGCTTGGAGCGGACAAACTCCTCGGCACTGTGGGAGTCCTTGGCACGGCGGTAAGCCTCACCAAAGATGGGTTGCAGGACTGCCAGATGTTAGACTTGGTCGGCGTGCAGCAGAATCGATGGATGTGGCAAGACTTATAGCACTTACGAACGAGCTCGGCAGTCTGGCTGAAGACTGTGCCCAGGGCAATGGCCGAGGGCTTGACAGAGGGAAGGTCTGTTGTTGATCTTGGTCAGGGACATATCTCAGAGTGGGACGGTCCGAGAGTATGAGACTTACACTGCAGAGACATTGTGACTGGAGTGAACTAAATGTCAAGACAGGTAGATTCTTTTGTTGTTGGAAAAAGTCTGATGCTTCGTCTGATAGGTTAAAAGATCAGATCGATGTATGAGAAGGGGGGGTCGTTTTGGTATATATAGTACCAAGAAAGGGACGAAAAAAGGGAGCAAGGATGCAAGAGGAAGAATGACAGCATACGAAAGCAGACGTACAGATCCGGATAGCCGAAGTGTGCCGAGACAAGCGAGGTATTTCTAATTCTTGTGTGAGAACGGGATAGAAAGGAAGGAAGAACAGGGAGAGGAGATGATGTAAAGCGAAGGCGGGTGATTAAGGGGCGCCCAGGAATCAATTACGTCGTTGCTTTCCGAGCGGCGAAAGCGTCGTGCAAGAGTACGTCCGAACAAGACATGGCACTGTGTACTAGTATCCAGCCTTGGTTCTGGCGCCATTCCAATGCCCTCTTCCGTCACCCGAGGCGACCAGAACGGCAGCAACGATTCAGCTCTGGCGCATGTGGTGTTGCGATGAGGCTGGTGATGTCACCACATTTCCCCAGCGGCTCCACATTGTTGGCGCAAGCGCCCAAAACAGCAAGGATCGGCCGCTGCAAAAAGGACAGACGACCGTCTAGAGTCGACCAAAGAGAACGAAAGAAAACGCCCCCGGCTCTCCGGCTTATTCAGCGCTGAAACTACTCGTATGTTATGCGTAGAACAAACGGTACTTCTGACACCTGCAACACTGTCCCTAAACACTTGCCCTTACTTAGTGTGTGTATTAAAACTCCTAAAAGGCATATCTGCTCTCTGTTGCCAATGCAATCGAGGAGCTGCCATCCTGCCCACCAAATACCCCAGTGTCTCCCGTGTGGTTCCCCTCTGCTTTTACAGAATGTGAAAGGATGAAATGCTGTTCGCCATGCCAATAATATATCACCTTCGCTTTAGGTGTGTGTGTACATGCCAGTTGCGTGCCGGTGGAATGTCTACATCGACTATCGTGTCCTCTTGATCGTCACTCGGCGCAAAAGAGAAAAAAATGAGAAGAGGAAAAGGAAAAAGATAAGCGGGCTGCCCCCGTTCTCAAGACATGTGCCGTCCGTCCTCGCCGCCACGCAGTGCCAAGAGCGCGCGAACATCCGACACATACTGGAGCCCCTCGAGCAGAGGGACCAGATGCAGCAGATCGTTGTCGGTATGGTCGCTGATCCAGCCCTGGATCGGGATTGCGTTGTCTGAGACTGTTGTCAGCAGAGGAACGGGGAGAAAAGAGTCCAAACAATCAAAACAGAAAACATAGAACTCACCCTGATGGAACATGTAGCTGAGCGGGCTGTTGTCGAGGATCATGACCTTGCTCAGGTCGGGCTCCACCGCGCTCAAGTCCTTGATGAAGGCCCCGTGCCGGAACGTGCAATGCTGGCGGTAGTAGCGGGCGGAGAAATACTTGCGCTCCGACTCAAGCCAGTCGATGACCGGATCGGCATACTCCTGCACCGAGGCTGTGAAGACTACCAGGTTGTACCACTTGCTCACCCGCCGCAGAAACTCGTCGCAATACGGCCGCTTGTGCACGTAGTAGAGGATCGGGTGCTGGGGCCCAGCGCTCGGCTGTCCGCCCATGCCGACAAACGTGGTGTTGAGCCGCACTTCCACCATGTGTCCAGTGCTCATGCGGCCGCCCTTGGACATGCTGTGGATGAGCGTCTCGTCCAGGTCGAGGATGAGCGTCTTCTGGTGTGTCCGATCGGCCGTCTCCAGGTTCAGAAACGACGGCTGTCGCTGCGGGAGAAGCGGCCGTGGCGGCGCCGGTGTGCGCGGATATCTTGTCAGGGCTCCTGCCGGCGACGTGGGCGACTTGAGCTGTGCTGAGATGTCCTTGGCCGGGCCGTCGCTTCCGTTGCTCCCGGCACTGCCGCCGAAGTTGTCGCTGCTGCTGCCACCACGCGCAGACCCCGTCATCGATGACTGTCCTCGGCGGTGCTTCCGCTCCTTCAGCGTGTCGTCATTCAGCTTTATGCGGACTGACCGCCGGCCTGCAACCGAGTTGGCCGCCAAGTCGTCGTCAGCCCCAGAGCGGCTTCCTACTGTTCCTCTCCGGCCGGTGCTGTCGCTGGCTCCTTTTCTCCGGGGTCCCTGTCCGCTTCGTCCGGACACGCGACTGCGATCAAAGTCGGATTCGGATTCGGACGACACCGCGTACGCGTTCACGCCTAGCGTAGAGGAAGGCGTCTTGGGGAAGCGGCCGCGAGCCGACCAGGTGGCCATGGAGCCGTCCTCACTGTCGGTCGACAGCCGTCTTGATACTTTCTCGTCCAACGTATAGTCTCGTTCGGCCCCGTCGAATCGGGCAGCCATCTTGCCGAGCGGGTCGCTTGGCGAAGGCCGAGGACGTTGAAAGAGAATCCTGGCTGCACCGAGCGGCGAGAAGCCGTTTTGGTCGTCGCAGAGAAAGGCCAGCAGATATGCTCCAGGAGCAGCCAGGGTCTGCAGCATCCAGCGGATCGAGTGCCAGACCGTCAGGGCTATCTGTTCGGGCAGGGCACGCCACTTTGACAGTCGCACATGGCCGGTGCTGCTGACACCCTCATGGATATCCTTTTGTGATAGAAGCGGGGTGGTTTCCTCCATGGCACATTCAGCAGAGAAGGCGGTCCCGATATTGGCGCCGCGCTCAGCTCTGTCGCCCGGTGATGGCCGGCCGAGGTAGTGCGAGGCGTCTGTTCCGGGCGTAGTGGCCGTACTGTTTCGGTCAGCCAAAAAGCCACTGTGTCCGCTACCGGTGTCTCCGTTGGCTGTCGCACCACCGATTTCGGGCGCGACCAGGCCAAGACCAGAGATCGAATTGGATCGCGATGGAGAGGGACTGGTTGAGGGCGTAATATGCGAAGAGAGGATGTTGAGAGAGTTCATAGTTGTGTTGCTGACCAGCGGAAAGCCATGAAGAGAGGAACTGGACGTGATGGGTGCTGTTTGCGTCGCGACGAGAAAGTAGGGCGTGAGACGGGAAAGGCTGCAATATGCACAAGGCTTCGTAGACTAGATTTGCGCAGATCGTCTCGAAGGGCCAGTCGGCCAGTCGGCCAGTCTGGTCGTCGGCTAGGACGTGTCCAAGTAGTAGTTTGCCTGTCGGGCTCCCTGGGGTATGGGATGGACGGATGTACAGAGGGGTGGTGCCTATTCCATGTGAAGCCGGCAGAGGAGTCTGGCAGGATATGATGTGGACGAATGGACGAGTGGACGCGCTTTCAGGCCCGATAACAAGGGCTGCTGGGCAGCGTCAAGCACGGGTAGAGCAGCAGAGGACAGGGCCGGTGGCAATGCTCAGGGAAGTGCGCGTCCAGGTTAAGGGCAACAAGATGGGGATGGTAGATGGCAGGAGAAGCAAAAGCGCAGGAGACAGGGATGCGGCACGACCGAGACCAAGTTGTCTGGAGAGAAAAAGGGAGGGAGAGGACGTCAGCAAGCGGCCGCCATGGAGGGTAAATAAAAGGAGGCAGACGAGATGCCGTCAGGAGAGCGGTGATGGCGCTTTGGTCAAAGGGGGGAATTGCAGGGACCGGGGAAGTGTCTGTGGCCTGCCAGGCTGGCAAGGAAAGGAGAGAAAGGGCAGGGAGGAGATGGGGGAGAGAGGCCGAGAGAAAACGATTCAACGGCCTGCGGGAATGCAATGCATGGGGCTCAGACGCGCTAGCGGCAAAGAAGTTGGGGGGGAAGGTACAGGCTTGATGTGGCTGCTGGGGTGGCGGCCTACTAATATGTACTATCACAGTGTAAGTACAGTAATGGCGCGGCAAAATGCGCTGGGCAGCTGCCTGGCCGTCGCAGTCAGAAAATCGGCCCATGGCTTTAGCATCGTTAGCAGCATGGGCAGTAGGGCTTCGTCGCATCCGCTATGCCTAAAAATCGTATGCACCACGCTATAATAAGATCAGGCTTTTTGCATCGGCCGCTCAATTGCCTCTGCCCCTCCCTCCGGGACCAGACAAAAGGACAGACGGGAGCCAGGGTGCCATTGCGAACTACTCTGGAACATGTACGCAGCCGATAAGAACGTCCCCACAGACGACACAACTCTCCATGCAGAACAGTCGTAATCGGCTGCACATATGTGTATGCAGTCATGGGCGAACAAGTGCCGCCGGACCAACCACGTGGGTCGCCTCTGCCCACTAGGGACAACCTCTGTCCTATCAGAAACTCATCTGTACTCTCGTACTTGTTCGTTATCTCTTCCGCTTCGGAGAGTTCCCGGCCTGCGACAGTCATCCGAGCGAACCCGTCCGCCTCATCCAGACCGTAGCTTTTCGGTATAGGCCACAAAGGCCAGCTCCAGCGTCCGGTCACCCGCAAGCGCCTCGCGCAACCATGCCGTCAGGCCATCAAAGCTGCAGCGGCACATCGGTATCTGCTCGGGTCCCCACACCGAATGGCCGGTCTCGGCTTGGAACCAGGCCTGCAGTCCGGCATCGTCCTCGTCGGCCATGTAGAGATCTACTACCGGAGTGGCTGCTGCTGCCGCTGCTGCTGCCGCTGCCGTTGCCGTCATCTCCGGATGCAGTTCCAGCATGCCGCACACGCTGCAGGACGTCGCGTAAAAGGCGTATGACGATGCCACGATCGCGGCCAGGAACATGCTGTGGTTGGCCAGCGGGCTGAGCAGCAACTGTCGGGCCCGGGCTCGCAGCGCCTGTGCCGGCGTCACCGTGGCTGTGTCTGCCGTGGCCGCTGCCGCTGCTGCTGCCTCGCGGTTGACCACGCGCGAGATCTGTGCAGAGTACCAGCAAGACTTGCGCGCACACGGCGTCTTCATCCACGCGCGGATCCGGGCCCCCAGATCGTAATTCCGCAGACTGACGGGCGCCGGCGAGAGTCGCTGCAGGCTGGCTGACGCCTGTAGGATCGGGATGGGCGCGTGCATCTTGAGCGCGGCCATGTGCCAGAGCAAGAGTGTGTATGGCGAGAAACGGTCGTCGCTGCAGGCGGCCTCGGCTTCGTCGTCCGTCTGGTCGTCCGTTTCTGCCTCAGGGCTGCTGCCCGCCGCAGCCAACAGCGGCGACGACAGGTACTGCTGGCTGAGCCGGCAGCTCGTCTCCATCGTGCGCTTCCAGTAGTCAATGTGGCTGGCCCACACGATGATGGCGTTGCCTGGTCCCGGCTTCACCGAAAGCTCGTCCGTGGCAAAGCTGTGGGCCTCGCCTGCCGCCTCCCACACGCCCCCCTGCAGCGCGCACAGGCCGAGGTGGTAGTCCAGCTTCGTCAGCGGGAAGCAGCGCCGTCGCCTGTGCTGCCCGTCCTCCTCGAGCGCGTCGCGGATGATGTTGCAGAAGAGAGCTCGTTCACGGCCGGCCGGCGTGCTCCATTGCAGCCGGATCCTCTCCTCATCCGACGTCGCATCCCACAGCCCGGTCAGCTTCGGTAGCGGTATGCTGAGCTCAAAGTACCGGATCGATGGCGGGTGGTCCAGCAAAATGCTTAGGTACGCATCCATCCGAAGGCAGGAGAAGGCAAGTCTGTGCTTAGTCAGCACACTCCCGCAGTCCAGTCATTCGCCGGCAAGTCTTGCCTGTTGCGCTCCTCCTGCGCGAGCCACACTTCGAGTGCGTCCTTGTCCTGCAGTCCGGGGTGCTCATGACGGCCGCTCAGTATCTGCTGGTGTCGGCAGGCCGCGATTAAGTAACCGTTGAGACACAGCCCGCGGAACAGCATTGTACTACAGGCCTGTGCGAGAAATGTCCGTCAGCTCCGACTCTGCTATTCTTCCTAGGGAAGGAAAGAACCTTGCCGTTTTCGTCACACAGTACACGATGCACAGCAACATCGCCTGCAGTGTCTGTATGGGGATATGTTGCTCCTGCACGTAGAGTCAGCAACCATGCCGGCGGCTCAAGCCCGAAGAGGCATACACATACGTCGCCGATAAGCTGGGAGGCAAACACGGAGCTCAACACCATGGGGCCCATGCTCGAATGCTCATAGCCATCCTCCATCAGGCTGGCCAGCAGTATTATGCTCTTGAGGAGCAGTGGGCTGCACTCGTCCACACGAAATGTCGGCCGGTGCAGGATGGGCCATAACGGATGAACTACCGAAAAATACGTCTGTATGAGCCGCTGCAGCGCCGAGGGATCGTATGGTGTCTGCAGGTCGAGGCCCGAGAGGTCGGCCGGGGCGCTTGGTGAGCCGGAAGACGCAAAGCTCTGTGACTGCTGCTGCTGGGTGGCGCCCAGGCCCAGGCCGCTGTCGGGCGTGTGCACAGTCTGGTGTTGAAGCGGGACGCCCGGTAGCAGTGACCATGGCGAGTGTTGTTGCTGTTGTTGTTGCTGCTGTTGCTGCTGCTGCCGTTGATTGCTGTCATTGCCGTCTTCCCAGAGGACCGCTTGCGTCCCAGCAACGGCCGTTTCGGGCAACCCTGCCGTCCAGCGGATGCACTCCGTGTGTGCCCGGGTGCACGGCTGGCACGGAATGCCCGCATCACACCTGGTCTTGCGCTCTGCACAGCCGCTGCAGGGCGAGAGTCGGGGCTGTCGCGGATGCGGATTCTGCGGGTGGTTCTCGACATGGCGTTTGAGCACATCGCTGCGTGGCGGCTCTGTCAATAAGTCTGATCGTGAACACGGATCGATGAGACACTCGCCGTGTCTTACCTGCGCGCATAGCGTCGCCCGCAGATCGGACACTCGTGCTTGGGCTGCGAGCTGTGCGATGATCGGATGTGCCGCGTCAGGTGCTCTTTGCGGTTAAAGAACTTGCCGCAGCGTGGCGCGCTGCAGTAGAACAGGGTGGGGTTTCGCGGAACCTGGCCGGCCGGCGGATGGTCGGGGATCTCTTCCGGCGTCGTGCTGTTGTCGAGGTCCATTCTTTTCGTCGTAGGGGATTTTGAGAAGATGGTCTGTCGCCGTTCTGATGATCCGCTGGCAATCAGGCCGTCGCTCGGCAGCTGCCGTTTCACGCTGCCGGATGGCCGTGCTTCCGTGACCACAGTCGAGCAAGCCTCGTGTAGGCAGTGGAGTTTTGGGGGATGTGGAGGCGGCTGGCTTGACCGAGACCAGGAATTGCGTCCAGAAAACGGGCGGCATCGATATGACGGAGGTGGGAGAACACCTCGAGATAAACGACTCTCATTGGTCCAAATTCCCCACAGCTGAATCCACCGATAAGACCATTTCATGTCACTCCCGTATGCTCACTGCCCGGCTAGAACGGCCTGATTCTTTCCCCTGGAGTTGTCGATCATGTTCGGTTGAGTTCCGGGATACGATTACAAACCCTCAACCTTGCCCAGCCCTCAGAATTGAAGTAGAGTACGAACCATTGCCAGCCTGGCCTGAAAGCAGAAATCTCGCATGCACGGAGTGGCCTGATTGGCTTTACTCGTGCTCGTAAAATGCAATCGGATTCTTTCCCAGAAGGTCGGGATGCTACCGTAGTGGCCATGCCAGCTGCTGCACATACACAGATCCTACTATGTACATAGTACGAGTACGAGCCGAAACGCACCAGGGTACGATACCGCTCCCACATCTATGTGGGATGTGGGATAGCCAACCCGGATGTGGGTTAAGATGTGGGAGCAGTTGCGCTACTGCAGCTAGCGCGAACTCTAAATGGTACATAGTAGCACTTGCTTTGCTCTTTCGGCTTGTGAAGCTGCTCGATAGCCTTCATGTGGGATATAGCGGGCCGTCTATGGCTGAGCTGGCAGATTAATAGTTCTGCCGTCGCTAGACTGTCGACAAACTACTGTGGCATTGACACATATATATATGTGCCGCCTCTGCAGTGCCTATCCAAAACAAAGCGTGAACACAATCAACAGCCAAAACAAAACAACTTCTCGATTTATTACTCCTCTCCCAAGAACATCATGTCTCCCATCAAGACCGTTACCGTGGCAGGAGTGAGTGTCGCAATCTTTCCTTTGCGATTCCGTCTACCCCAGTAGCTAACCAGCCAATCTAGGCCACTGGAAACGTTGGCCCTGCCGTTGTCGAACAGCTCATCAAGGCCGGCTTCTCCGTCACCATCCTCAGCCGGCCTGAGGCCAAGCACACCTTCCCTACCGCCGCCAAGGTCCAGCTTGTCGACTACGACTCGCTTGACTCCCTCGCCGCTGCCCTCCAGGGCCAGGACGCGGTCGTCTCTACCCTCGGCGCCGCCGGCTCCTTCAAGCAGATGACTCTCGTCGATGCCGCCATCAAGGCTGGTGTGCAGCGCTTCATCCCGTCCGAGTTTGGCTGCAACACCGGCAATCCCAAGGTCGCCGGCCTCCCGATTCTGGGCTCCAAGGTCGAGTTTCGCACGGCCCTGCAGAAGAAGATCGCCGAGACCGGCGGCAAGCTCTCTTACACCGGCATCATCAACGGTCCCTTCTTCGACTGGGGCATGCGCATCGGCTGGCTGGCCAGCCTCAAGCCAGAGGGCGGTTCCATCGGCCTCTGGGACGGCGGTGACCGCGTCTTCAGCACCACAACGCTGGCAACCGTCGGCCGCGCCGTCGTCGGCGTGCTGCAGCACCCCGAGGAAACAAAGGACCGCCTCGTCTACGTGCAGGACACCGCCCTGACCCTGAAGCAGCTCTCCGAAAAGGCACAGAAGGCTCTGGGCGCAAAGGGCTGGCAGGAGAACTCCATCTCCGTCGACGCCGCCTTGGCTGAGGGCCACGAGCTGCTGCAGAAGCCTGACGCCAACATGGGCGCTGTTGCCATGTGCTTCATCAACACCGCCATCTTTGGCGAGGGCTATGGCGCCCACTATAAGCAGAACGACAACGAGCTGCTGGGCATCAAGGACCTCACAGACGATGAGATCACTGCACTGATCAAGTCGCTTTCCAGCTAAGCTGTCGGCTGCGCAATATAACTAAACATCACTTGTAGCCTGTAGACACAAACTATATATGAACAATCTAATCCCTGTTTCTAAAGTATGATTTACCTTCAACTTCTGCTGCGTAGTTGCGCAAGCTTCAGGGTATATAGCCTATGGCAGTCGTAGACCTCCATGGCAATGAATGAAATTACAGAATGCAATAATAAGACATACACAAAAGGAAGTAAGTCATTACGTGCTGCCACCTTGTCTTCTTCCTGTTTCCTCCAAGCCAATACTATAAGCCTGCTCAACCAACTTTCACACACACCAAGCTACTAATCGACCCCCTCCAAACGCCCTTGGGATCTCTCGCTCTCTCTCCCTCTTACATGCTCCCTGCGGCTACTATCCGTAGGTTCTTGCCTGCCAGAAATGGTTATGCCAACCACAGACAAATAAACAGGCCAAAATAAGCTATAAAAGGTCCGCTATCACGCACTTCTATACTTTGTCAAAATGAAAGCAAACGCCGGAAGAATCCAGGCTAGCTACCAGTGCCGATGCCACAGCCATGGTAGTAGAGGGTACAAGGCCGTCCCTGTTTATCAAAATGCGACACCGTCCATGACAGAAATGTAGACGGATACGCAACGGCCAGACCGGTCACCAGCCGGTGCTTTAAAAAAAGAAGTAGGCCAGCAAGAAGGACATAAGGCTCAGTATGGCAACTATCTGAACCGGTACTCCCTCTGTGCCATGAACGACCTGGCCCAACTGCGCTGTCTCTGCTGTAGTACTGTCGGTCGGGTTTGCCGTACTTGCTGCCTTTCTCTGGCGCAGACCGCCGTCCTGAAGCGAGGCAATCAGCGCATTGGCTTCGGCAAGCTTCGCCTTGAGCGACGCAATCGTAACCTCTTTGTGCTCCGTTGATGCTGTCAAGGCGGTAGCCGCCGACAGAACTCCGCCAGGGGCAAAAGATGCACCCCCAGAGTTTGCCGTCGTGCCACTTGACGCCGATGGCGGCGACACGGACTCCAGATTCTTCTTGCTTCCGCTTCTGTTATCCGGGGTCTCCGCCGTGACAGACGTGTTGCTGGCCCCATAGGAGTCTCCCCCGCTGGGAGACCCGTAAGCAGGTGGTGGAACATCAGAAGTAGAATCATCCTAGCCAGCGCACGGCGAGTCAGCAAGACAGACTGGAAAAGGCGAGAGTGGATTAACAAACCGGGTAGTTCGTGGGGACAGAGCGCTGTGGCGTGACTGCCTCGGGCTCTGCCGTGCCTTCAGCAGATAAGAAGTTGACACGAATCTTCTTCTCCTGGATCGCAGACTTTTCAACACCGTCCCACTGTCGGCGTGAGAACATTGTCAGCATACGGGCCTCGGGCTCTGATCGTTGGGGGAGGAGGGGCACGTACAATCTCCTGGACAGAGACGAATTCCTTGTCGCCTGTGATGGGGATGGATTGCACTAGAAACTTGTCCCGGCATTTGTAATCCGCAGGAGGGTCCTGCTTCATTGCCTGGAGAAGAACTAGAAAGAAGGAAATGTCAGAACAGCCGTTCGGTATTCGAGTGTCAATGTCGGTACAGGTAAAACAGGAGTGCCGGCTTACCAGACACCTCCACGGAGCGGTCAGGCTCAATGCGTCCCGAGTTTGGTCGAACGCAGTATCTAGAGAGAAAACAGGTAAGCAGATGAGCAGGCAGGCCCGGCGACGTTTATGGCATCCGCGGGGGAAAAGAACACGTGTAATGAGCGTACTGTTTCGGCGCCGTCGTCTTGACCTTGAAAGCAATCGGCAAGGGGGTCGTGTTCTTGATCGTTAAAGTTTCCGAAACCTCGACCGTGAAAGGACCTGCTCGCAGATCAGAACATCAGCTACACGGTCTCATATAACCGCTCCCAATCACAACATTCTGGTATAGAATGTCCATTCCGTTTGTATACGGAAAAGAAGCAAAATGAGGGCGAACATATAGGCGAAGTTGGAACTGGAAGCTGGGAGGATATGGGACAACGTACGGCGGAAGCCGAGTTCTGCTGGTAGGATGTAGACAGACATGGCGGGCGTGTGCGGTCACCGATATTGGGCCGAATGAAGAAACTCGTGGTACGATGAGGGGCGTCTGGGCAGAACGGCCTTAAGTTCGAGGAGGGCGTTGGCACGAGTAGAATAGTACGAATGGAGTCGACTAGATCACGAAGGAGATAGATGATGATCGTTGTGGTCGGGCGTTCGAGTCGAAGAAGACCGAATCGGAAATGGCTGGAAGCAGAATCAAGGGGTGACTCGAAAAAAGAAAAAGGGAAAAAAACGAAGAAACGAGATAAAAAAGACTAGGCGCGAATGAGGGACAGAAGCTAGAATCAGGGTGGAACGCAAAAGATCGAACGTTTGCTGTGATCGAGTGAGGATTTGCTCGAGATCCGAAGAAGAAAAAGGAAAGGGGAAACGTCCAACTGTTCATTACAAATGAGTACTGTAAATCTTAATATCTGGCAGCTACGAGTACGACATCATCGGCCGCCAACGGCGCACAGCTTCGATGGGCGTCCGTGCGCTATGCCAGGAGGCTGAGCCCAGTTGGCAGCGCAACGTGACGGCGGTGTTGGCAGCAGATACTCCGCCGGAGCTGAGGCCGTCCAGCAGATGCTTCAGCGCACTATCCACTAGCCAATGACGACTCGCAATTGCCTAATCAACGTCGCCGCTTCGTGCTTTGAATGATTCTTGGTTAATAATAGCTCTCTCCCATCCCAACTAAAAAAGCTCAGTGGTTTGCCCAAACAACTGAAACAGGATAAATCTCCGCCCTAGGAAATTCCCATCATCTCCGCCTCTGCGAACTGTCTTGACGGACGTGCACTGCGACCCCTCACATCGAGACATACCATTCACAACATCCCCGCACTCATCATGACGCAGTCCGACCTTGAGGTCTTGCTCGAGATGGGCTTCGAGCAAGAGCGCGCGGAGCTTGCCGTAAAGAAATCCGGCGGTCTTCAGGGAGCCCTTACTTGGCTGGAAAGCACCCAGGACACCTCTTTAGAAGAGCTGAGGGCAGCCGGAGCGGCAAGCAAAGCGGCTGCGGCTGCGGACAAGGATGGCGAGAACTCTGATGACGAGGGCACAACTCAGGCAGCTATTACGGCCCTGGAGACAAACCAGGAGGCTAAATCGCTGGTCTGCAACGAGTGCGGCAAGATGTTCCGCAGCCAGGCCACAGCCGAATTTCATGCAGCCAAATCGTATGTATTCTAGCCGATAGATATACGAATCCTTGCCCAATGATCTTTACTAACAATCGCCAGCGGTCATACTGACTTCGCTGAGTCAACTGAGGAGGTGGCACCGCTAACCGAAGAGCAAAAGGCTGCCCGGCTGGCGGAGCTGCGGGATAAGCTGAAGGAGAAGCGGAACAGACAGGCCCTCGCCGATAAAGAGGATACGTTACGGAACGAGGTAAGTAGCCGATTAGGGACAGGTTTATTGAACGGGGCCCGAAACTAGTCTGCTAACCTATGCTCGACAGAAAATACGTCTAAAGTCCACCAAAGAATCGCAGGATCTCAAAGAGGATCTGCAGCGCAAGGAGCAGATCAAAGAGGCGGCTAAGAAGCGCGCCGAAAAGAAGGAGGAGATCGAGGTCAAGAAGCGGATCAAGGCCCGCATCGAGGCCGACAAGGAGGAGCGTCGCCGCAAGGCCGAAGAAGCCAAGGCTGCTCGTGATGGGCGGGCCCCGACACAGCCTGCCGCCAGTTCTGCAGCAGCGTCATCATCGGCAGGAGCGGGATCGTCTCCTTCTTCCACTGCTGCGCACTCCCAGGCTCGCCTCCGTCTTCAGCTGCCATCTGGCAATGTGCAAAAAACATTCTCTGCCGATGCGACTCTGTTTGAAGTGGCCCAAGCCCTCGAGGCCGACGACAGCTTCAAGGCCAGTCGCTTTGAACTCACCTACCCCCGTAAGGTTTTTGAGGGCCCGACAGATCTGAGCAAGTCGCTGCGGGAGCTAGGCCTGGTGCCCAGTGCTGTGTTGCGGGTGCAATAAAGGGAGGCGGTGCGCCGGACTTGACTATGGCATCCCGAAATAACATGTAACACCGAAAGCGGTCGAGTGCATGGTAGGCTACCTGAAGCTGGCGGCGTCTTTGTGCGTCGCAGTGAACGGCTGGGCCAAAATGTTTGAGGCAGGCATGCATTCTTGAACTTTGAGATACGTGGTGAGCCGACTTCATGAAAATTCCCTACTTTGTCACTTTCGTCTTGTTAGATGAATTCCAAGACAGCCACCGCTAGCCGCTTCTTCTATTTTTGATCTCAAAAGAACAGAGACTCCGGAACCCAGACCCTCCAGCATTGCCCCTTTCCATCATCCCAGACCTTTTTTGGCCGTCACATAAAACAAAAATGTTAAACCCGAATAGGGCCCTTTTCGCCATAGACTGCACCCATGCAGCAAAGACAGTTGTGGTTTGGACTTTTTCATAATTTTTTTATTATTTGAAAAGTACAAAAAGGGGCGGGAAGGGGGAAGACCGCAGTTCTTTCCTCGATCGCTCCTCCCTTTTCTTTTTTCTTAGGAAGTTGATGACGCGTGAGAGGGATATCGCTTAGTCGAACAGCCCGAATCCCATGTCGTCGTCGGACTCCTCCTTCTCTGTTGTGGTTGTTAGTTGCGATTTCTGTGGAGTCGGGGGACAAGCTGCCGTGACGATACGTACCCTCCTCCTTCTCCTCGACAACCTCCTCTGCGGCGGCAGCGCCAGAGGCGCCAGCAGCAGCAGCCGGGGCAGCACCGCCGCCACCGGAGCCGACGTTGGAGAGCAGGTCCTTCACGTCCTTGCCCTCAAGTGCCTATACCGGAACGACTGTCAGTAACCAGGTTCCATATTTTCCCTATGCAACGCCGCTGAGCTCGAGTTGGAATTCGGAGACAGTCCGGGGACAGTATTGTGCTGTTGCCAGTCCTCTTTTCCTTTTGCTGCCATGTCTCTGTGCTTTGACTCCCGAATATCAAAAGGCGTGTCGCAAACTTATCGTACCTTGGCAAAGAGCTGTGTCCAAATCGGCTCGACCTCAACGGTGGCAGCCTTGATCAGGGTCTGCAGCTTGTCGGCCTATATAATCCGGAAAATTCCTGTCAGTATTTCCCGTCCTTTTGCGCAATGTCTTGCAGATCCTCTTTTCGCGATCGGGGAGTGGGCACGAACCGTGATCTCAACGCCATCGTCGGCGAGGATCAGCGCCGCGTAGGACGTCGCAAGCTCAGCAGTAGACATTTCGAATGCTTTGTGCTTTGATTGTTGTCGTGAGACGATAGTATGGGGTTGATATTGAGGTGGGTGGTAAGGAAAGAATTCAGTGGATTTAATTGAATCTTCTTTTGCAAAATGTTCTTAGCCCACACGGCCGAAAAAAAATGGTCCGGATTGTGTGAGGGCGAAAAGCCCTTATGGGAAACTAGCCAATGGCAGAGGAGGACCTGAGGGGTAGACGGCGGTACGGAGAAATAAAAATGCGTCACCCTGCTGAATAATCGTGGGGTACCGATAAGCCCGGATACGCCACTTAAGTATCGGACATGACGACGTGATGATCCCGAGATGCCGTTCTTTCCCATCTGCTTATTAGGCAGTTAATCTTCCATTTGGGCTCAGGTGTTTTGCAGATAATTTGGGATTTGCAATAGGGCGCATCCCTCTTGCTATATGATCCGTACTACTCGTATAACCTACAAGCCGTACAACGTCTGTGACACCTTCATCTCGCTGCTAACTCCTTTACACCTACCCCGCTGCGGCTTACCTTATTGTCCGTCTGTTGGGAGGCACTTCGATTGGTTCCTTTCATAAATCTAATCAATTGCCATTTTCAACGCAAGATCCTGATCCACGAATGCAGACAGCAGGGGACTAATTCGGAATCGTCACTGTTCTGTTGATCCGATTCCCTATCTGTCTATTGCGCCAAGCCGCTTGTCACCATATCTCCCCCTCACCTGACAGTCTTGCTTTTGAGGAGGCATCAGAAGCATTCTTCGCTCTTACCGGATCAACTTGACTTTTGACGCCGTCACCATATCACGAATTGCCGCCATGGAAACCCCGGCTATTCCGGCGCCGCGAGATGCTAATGAAATCAAGATACTTGCCAATCTTGAGTCGACTCGCGACCAGCTACTGCTTCTGAAGCAAGATCGCACCAAATACATTCGAAGCCAAGATGTCATTCGGCTATATGACGAAGTTATCGAGCAAGTGCGCCTGCTGAATCAAGCCCGCGACGGGACGAAGGTTTATGAGAATCGCCGTTAGTGCCCCCCATCATTGTATAGTACTTGACAGTGACTGACAATAATGCTTCCGTCTAGTCGACCGTGTACTCGACAGCTGCTTCCAGCTTCTCTCCCTGTTCTTTATGACCATCGGCCGTACCAACGAGGCTCCCGCTGCCTATGCGCTGACGTCTACGATCAAGCGCCTTTTAGATCATCTCACCGAGGCAAAGGTCTTCTCTGCCAAGGACCTGGATAGCCTTACGCATACTCTGAGCAAAATATCTCATACTGTGAAGAATGCCGATGACTGCTCGCCGTTTTTGGTAGAGCTTCTCTCCCATCGAATCGAATTATGCCAAACGTCTCTTCATAAGTTGCAGGCCATGGTACAGAAGCTGGGGCCCCCGCTGCCTGCGATTCATGAGAAGCTGGTGACTATTCTGCGGACCATGGCGCATGCAAATACCAAAGCTCGGGTACGTTTTGCCTCTCCTGACCCTTTCCACTTCTCATGTTGTTTAGCCTTATTACTTACTTTGTGTATTTTGGTGTCCAGTTTTCAGCATCTGAGGTCAAGAAGCTGCAGACACAACTGAAGGAGATTGGCGACAAACGTGTCGACGAGAAATTTCAGAACGAGAAAGGCGAGGTTCCTGCAGGAAACGATGAGGTAGTCGAACTGCTCGATAAGTGCCGCGCTTGGTCTGAACTTTTGCTCCAGAGGAAGGGAGTCATCCCGGATAACTTCAAGCCGATGTATGGAACCCTTGTCGGAATTCGGAATGACCTGGAGAAGCTGTCCGTTACTCAGGCATGGTCGTTGCGAGAGACAGATCTGTTTGATTTTCAGCGCCAGTTGGATAAGTTCGACGAAGCAAGGATAGATGGAAACTGGGTCGATGACGACGGAAACCCGGCTGAGCTTTACGTCCAGCGAGTAAGTATTTCTTGGCATTGTTCCGGGGATTTGTGGCCCGCGTTAATCCGGCAATCCACTGACGAGGTGGCAGACTTTCCTTTACCTAATCCGACGAAGTTATGGACTTGTTTATTCTCTCATGATATCGTCAGAGCCCGTCTCAGAAGCACTTTTGCCCATTTACAACCAACTGATGACTCTCAAGCGATGCTTATTGGAGGTGAAACATTCAGGCGGAGTGTCTTCGCCACGAGAGCTGTACCCGTACAGCATGAAGGTAAGCGCATCTTTTTATGCGACTCTGGCTCTGCCATGCTAACTTGCCGGCTTGTAGCTCAACTCGATAGACAACATGCGCGTTGACGGAAAGTTTATGGTAGCGGACGACATCCCGGAGGGGCAGGGAAACGTCACAGAGTTGTTGTCAGAGTGTTTCGATCTAAATTACGAGTTGAGGCTAATTGCCGAGGAGAAAGCTGAAGGTGGCAGTGAAGGGGATGACAAGGAATCCACCAGCGCGTGAGGGTTTTGTCCGGCAGATATTATGCTGTCCATTGCAGTGCTGTCTTGCTTTTTTTCACTTTAGAATGTCGCAGTTGTATATATCACCATATGGTGAGGCTGTTTTATTAGGGGGGTTCGATTGTTGGCAAGGGGTCCCACGGAAAACAATGGAAGGGGGCAAGTAGGCGTTGGGCCATCTTCGTTCTTGTTCTGATGGAGTAAGTAACGAGGCGGCTTTTAATACATTATGGAAGCAAAGGAATGTCATATCTTTTCGATGGATGCAGCGAAACACATCTTGGACTTCAAGCAAGTCAAACAACGTAGTGGTCTGGGGGAAGGGGGGTGCGTAAACAGTGTTTATATATGCTGATCTGGCATCTTCTCCCTGCTATTTCGAGCACGATTAATACGCTCAAGGATCACGGAAAGCAGATTTCAGCCAATAGATTTGAGCCTGTGCCGTAGTTAGAAGCATTTCGTAACAAGTCAGGTCCCACACACAGGCTATAAGCACATACCTTTTCAACATCCCACACGCCCTTCTCCGTGTAAATGTCTTTCTTGATCAGATCAACAACATCGTTGCGCGACTCCGCCACGACAGTGAGAGTGCTGCCAGCAAACTTATACGTAGTGGGATCAGCTGGGTTAGACGGAATGTCGTCCACGATTGCGCCTGGAAGAGGCTTTAGTACTAGCAAGCGGAAAGATGAGGTAAATCAGTGGGCCTCAATGAGCGACCTACCTCCAGACTTCAGGACACCAGACTCCCGCAGGGGTTTAGTGTTTGCCAGGTGGATTCTAAAGAGTATTTGGTCAGAATGTCCTAACCACGTATAGTCGATACAGAGACACGACCATTTCACGTCTGTTGCCACCGCTCTCACGGATCACTAACCCTCGAACCTCAAGACGCTTGTCCACCGTGCCAGGATAGTCGGGGATTATGACGAGCCATTCTGACTGCGCGGATGTGGATGCCATGTTGCGTAACTGGTGATGAAGAGAACCGAGGCTGTGGCAGAGAAATCTGCTTCGAGAAGCTGTTTGAGATCTAGTAATAAAAGAAACAGGTAGATATGGCGAGCAGTGGGCAATACGGAAAGCCATTTGTATGTCTTCAAAGGTAGAAATGGGGTGCAGCGAGCGGAGCTGTGCGTTCTCTCGCCTTCTGCACTTTATGCGCTTTGGGAGGGGTTAGAAAACGACGGACATATCCGGTAACGGCCATAGGATCCCCTCTCTAAATCCTTCAGCCAGATTGCCTCTTGGCATTGATAATACTATGTCTGCCGACTTGTCTACTGGTTGTTTGTCTCATATTGTAAGAAAGCTTAAAGATATTCAGTTCACCTGCACAACTTAGCTGTCTTAACGTGTATTTTTTCTCAAAAGGCGAAGCTACGGCATACTGAATTGGCGACGGTTTCGATCAAGAGGTACTGCTAGCCGTTTACAATATTTCATTTGCCCACCCACTTTCAACACCATTGTAGCGATATGGAGCACTTTGACAAGCGACGCCTTTTGATAGCAGTCTGGAGAGCTGTACTCCGTAGCCCCCTCTCCCTGTGTGCTAGCGTCGCAAATTACACCATCTTCCCACTTGGGAAGGCGGGACAGTCACCTGACACGACCAATGGAAACCGCGCCTTTTTTGGTGACGGGCGTCGGATCGGACTGGCGGGATTTTGAGGAAACCAGCCGTAAAAAATAGCTGGCCGAAAATAGAGAGAAAAACACAATTCGACATCACGCCAGTCCACCAACCGACCCGCGGCCAATTGAGCTCCATTATCGTCGACGAACAATTGTCGACCTATTCCATCTCCCCTCCTTTCTAGTAATCCAATTCCGACAGAATGTCGTATATCAGCGCCGCCCCCTTTATCCGCAAGCGGCCCTGGCTGCTCAATGCGTTGAAGCCGCTTGCCAACTGGTACATCAACCTGGCCGGATACCGCCAGATGGGCTTGAGGTAGGTTGGAACTCCAAGGGAGCTTCACGGTGCAGAGGGCTCTCAGACATTGCAGTCCGAGAGGGGCAGAGTAATGGTTCAAAGCGTCAAAGAGGAGGCAACGACGTGCATCCACCGCTCGAACTCGCAGACTAACTATTCGCGTTCGCAGATCCGACGATCTCATCCCCGAGGAGAGCGCAGTGGTGCAGCAGGCCATTGGCCGCCTGTCGGCGCAGGTCAAGTACGACCGCGTGTTCCGGATGCGCCGCGCCACGCAGCTGAGCTTGCAGCACAAGCTGCTGCCTAAGGCACAATGGACAAAGCCTGAGGAGGACACGCCGTACCTGCTACCGATTATCAAGCAGGTCGAGGCGGAGATTAAGGAGCAGCATGAGCTGGACTCGATCGTGGTGATCAAGAGCCAGTAAGCAATGACGCAACGAATGCTGTGAAGAGGACGGCGAAGAGGAAACCCCGGATCACGCGCGCGAGACAGGACGAAGGAAATCCCAATATGACGATCTCGCTGCTAGGAGAGAAGGACAATGGAGCTGAGAGATGGCTAGACAGCGTGCTCCATCTATTGTCGTGGCTTCTTTTGCAACCAGGCCTGGATAGATGTGTGGCTGCATGAAAGAGGGACGCGATACTTTGTACCATATAAAAATACAAACTATACTGCCACCAGCGACCAAACTACCGAGCCAATTGCTCAGCCTGTCCATTCATCTATTTTCCCTTGTCTGTTGCACATTGCCATAGACATATATTCTAAAGTCGGAAGCAATGATACTCTGAGAAGACCGGTCTCAAACTTATGAGCAACTAAGCTGATACCGAAAACAACGTTTGCATGCCGTACGAAGCCAAACACTCGTTGTCCTCTCCAGCAGCTGGGTGTATGTGAGTAGAAGCTACCCGTCCGATACAGGACGTAGTCAAGCATTAGTAATGCATCGCTCTTGTACAGCTCGTATCTAATAACTCGTCTACTCCATTGCCGCCATGGAGAAAAGTAACCAGTAAAAGAAATGTATTAAGATGATCCAGAACAGCAACCAAAATCTTTCAACAAGCACACCGCCCCGACACAGCGTCCTTTATTGAACATGAACAAGTATAATGTTCTGCCATGGCAGTGAAAATTCATATACCATGTAGGGGAATATAGGCGCCTTGCTCGATCCTTCCCAGCCAAGTGTCACAGCACAGAAATGTCGTGTTTGCAACTACAGGCTCCCGGTTAAAATCAGGCCCACCAGAGGCGACAGTGCAAAAATTCGCAACAGAAAAGTAATAGGTGACGACCAAACGGATGTGGCAGGTCGTGCCCCCCATGCAGATCTTCGCATGTAGTTGTGCTAAGAAAAAAAGACAGCACCCGAAGAACGAATCACAATCCAAATTCCTTAAAACTCCTCGTTTGCACGAACAAATACAATATGTGATAATGTGGTGGTGTGGTGTGCGGTGAAGACTCGTGACTGAAAGATGACAGCGTCGTTCGCCTTCAGCTCTAGCAAAGTATTAGATGTCGGGTGATGGCTGACGTCCTGTCTCATGACGACATTATACGCCAGCGGTATAAACGCTGGCTTAAACTGATGCCCATCTGGATTGCGACTATGCGTTGCCGCTCTTTTCCTCGGTATCGATGTGCCAGACAACGTAGTTGGGAAGGCCATAGACACCATATCCTGCTCGCTTGGCCATCTTGGCGAAGCCCTCCGTCTCGGCCTGGTTCTCGAAGGCGTAGCATGGAAAATTGATTCCTGTACAGCCAATTAGTCAATAATCCTTTTCTCATACTAAGGAAAGTCATGAATGCGAGCCTTGATGTCAAAATCACATACCAGATCTGTGTACGTCCGCCTTGACAAGAATGTTGACGCCGCCGATGCCATCAAGTTCCATTTCTTCGTCCTTGTCGTTCCGCCAATCGCCTATCCGTGCCATGTAAGTCCGGCCGGTGTCATACTGCTTGTATCCTGTTGTACATAGGTCTGGTAAGCATATCGCTGTGAAGCAGCGTGCCGGGTGTAGCGTCAAACAGGCGTAAGATCCATACCTTCAGCAAGTACGACATCTTTGTCAAGGCTCGCTGTCAGTCTGCGGGCCTTGTCGGACTCAACCCAAGAGTTGTAATCAACTATCATAGACTGTTAATACCAGTCACATAAATGTCAGGTGAAGTGTATCGTGCGAGTCTTACATCTGCCCTCGATATCACGGCCATCCTTATACCGGTGGAACCAAATATCTAACTTCGTGTTAGCAAGCTCAATAGTGGAACGCAGCAGCCATACATAAGGCAATAGGACGCACTAGGGACAAGGACGTCGCGGTCATGAGCAATGAAGTCCTCAAGGATATGAATGGGACTGTCGACGATGTCAACGTCCCGCCAGTAAACCCATGCATGGTCAGGTTTAAGGGCAGTAGCAAGCAGGTAGTTGCGTGCACGTCCTAGAGCCTTGCGCCGAGGCCCCTGGGCTTCGAACGAGTGCCGGTCCTCGACGTTCTGGCTCAGATGGAAGCCAAAATCCTTCGACACTACAGTGGCGCTTCGAAACGGATCGGGACGTTTCTGGATGCGGTTAAGTTCAGAAGCAAGAACAGCGAGTGTATCGTCGGAAGAGTCGGACACGAGGAATGCGAGGTCGATGAGGTTATGCGGGTAAGTCAACTCTGCGATGAGCTCGAAGTATTTGGACAGGTATGGAGCCGCATCCTTGATAGGTGTTAGGATAAGGACATGTTCTTCATTCGCGACAGCCTTGCGAGTGGATCGGATGGGGTTGAGGTTGATGTGCTCTACTGTCGAGTTGACGATTAATGGGGCGTGGTGGTTGAAGATAACGGGCGTTTGAAGACGGGCATTCCAGGACGCCTGTTCATTGAGCGTCATGTCCATTGGGGCTTTGGACGGTCCCCAGCAGTAGAAGCTGCAGATCATGCTGTCAGTATTACTGAGCACGCGGCGTTCTGTGTTCACTGCTTTGCTGAACTCACCTCTTCATTTCTGACGCTGACGTGCGGATCCCACGCCACAATAATAGAGTGATCCCGACAACAGCGACCAGTAGAAGGAACCTCGTTTTGGTCAAAAGCACCCATACTGCTCTTGATGGCGGGAGAGACGCTCTCGCAGCCTTCCAGTTTATACCCCCTTTTGCAAGCAACATCTTGACTTCTTCCCTAAGCCTGCGCAGGGAGCCTACCGCCCGAGTTGCTTGGAGAAGAAACGAAAAGAAAGTGAGCGAGCGGCTCCGTCGCAGACCACTCGATTCGTTCCCCAATTAATCCACCACAGCCTTTTCCAAAATGCCGTGTATCTCTGCGATGGCCCTGACAGGCGCGTTGGGTCTTGCTGGGATGTCTTTTTAAGATGAGATTACTGAACAGGCGATCTGCCGAGAGGAGTAGAAATGTAGATGGAAGTCGGACACACGGGAGGCGCGGCGCGTATGCTGAAGAGCTGTCCTTGTCTAATTTATGCGCAAATATTTTCGCGTGGCACTGGGATCCCGATTGACCAAAAAAAGCTTCGCCAAAAAGCGATGCAGTTGGGGAAGGTGACAAACGTGAGAGGAGGGGAGGAACGTTGGGATTGGCCGGGTCCGGTATGATCTCGAGTGGTAAAAGGGTGGGATATCGAGTAGTCGAAACAATGCGGCCTGTCTTTGCGGTACTATTGGAATCTTCGAGAGACCGATCTCGTTTATCGTGGATTAATATCCGAGTTCTCCGTGTTCGTACGCTCTTAACGCAAATTCGGGAGAAGCCGAATGGGGGGTGGGAGAACAGAGAGGAAAGGCTGGAAGAAAAATGTCAAGCTGTTCGGAATGCACACGTCGATTGCACCTGGACGTTCGCCTGTGCATAGTACAGTAATCGAAACGAAAGGATCCAATCTAAGGGATGGCAGGCCAATCATGAACTTGCAAAGGGGTGCTGGTGAATATCGATTTTGTAGTTTAGCCGCTTGTAGCAGGTACGTGGGGAACGAACGCCACTGGCCTCTTTACTCCGTATAAGATTTGCTCTAAACAGCAGCAGCGTTATCTATGACAGCATCTCTTTTACTTCAAGGGAGTAGTACGTAGCCTATTTGTCTGTAAGTGGTGTTAACGTACTGAACGAGTATGCCGTAACACTACTCCGTACAGTACTGAAAATGCCATAAGAGCAGAATGATGTACTGGGTACCTTTGATGGCCTAGGCGCCTTAAAATAATAACCTCGTACGAATATATAATTCCCCCATGCGCTTGGGTTCCTAGGAAAGGCATAATCAGAGGACATTTGGGTGCGCATTGAGGCAAATAAAACCTAATCTGACATTACAGAGCTGGCAGGGTTAAACTTTCATTAGCTGCACTTGTTCCAAAAATATATTTCATAATCTCCCGTGTATTCCGGTCGCAAGCTCTGTACGAAAGCCTAGGGAACACCTGACCCCGGATTGCACCAGGCGCGCGTGTCCAAGTTATTTTCTTCTGCAGTGACGATTAGCTCATCCACACAAGCTTTTTTGACGATGGGGCAATACGGTATCCTACATCCATCTCCGGTCTTACAATCTGTTCTCGTGCTTGTACGGAGTACGGATGGTTTCTACGCAACCACAGTCACACCTGTGCATGCATACTACGCCGAACATGGCTATGAGTGGCATTTAAGCCAAGGTATGCGAACGTGAGTGTTGAAACGAGACCGGAATACGTCGTATACACAGCCAATTATCTCCCCGCGGCAGTAGACAACGGTCTCGCAGTATTCCGTAAGCCTGACAAAATCAAAATCACCTAAACTATATCACGTGATCAGGCGACAATGGACGTAACGATTCGGGATTCAGGGACGCGCTTACTCGAGTCTCGATCTCACTCCTCGTGAGCTTGCCTACGCTATCATACGTCCACCACTATGTTCGTGGGACCATTGGTCTGAAGATAGACTCCTCTTTAATGCATTGTCTTCCACATTGTCGCTAAATGCTTACCTCTCTCCGCCGTTTTTGTGGACGCCCGACTAAGCACTCACTCAAAGCAGGGACTGGCCCCATACAGTTGTCGACAGAATACTCGAGCCCGATTTTCGCGAAGATGACATCGCTACGGCGCTCATCACGGCTGAAGGGCGCTGTCGCAGACGAGGGTGTTGCCGCAAACGACGCGCTGGCAACTGACACGGCATCGTCCATTCCTGCAGTACCTCGAGCGCGCAAACGAAAGTCCGTGGCTATGACGTTCGCAGAGCCGGAGCCTGCTGCATCGCCAGCACGCCCGTCGACACCACCGCCGCCAGAATCACCCCGAAAACGCCGTGGGCGGCCTTCATCGACAAAAGATAATACGACTAACGCCTCGGTGACCAGCACTGCCACCGACAGTCCATCTACGCCCAGGACAAAACCGCGACACGCAACAGTGTCCCGTTTGGCTGACCCGAAGGCTACAAATGCGCCCCTGCTATCGCCAGAGACGTCGCGCCTGATAGTGGTGTCCCGCTTCGACTCCAAATCACGATCGCTGGCGGCCGGAGAGGCGATCGACGACAGCCAGCAGATCACGACAGACAACATTCTACAAGTGGCGTGCGAGCACCTAATCGCGGTAGACCCACGAATGAAGCCGCTGATCGATATGCATTACTGTGCCGCTTTCAGTCCCGAAAGCCTGGCCAAGAAAGTGGACCCGTTCGAGTCTCTAGCCAGCAGCATCATCAGCCAGCAGGTATCCGGAGCGGCAGCCAAGGCGATCAAGGGACGGTTCATTGCCCTTTTTAGTGATCCAGGCGGAACCGGCGGCGAGGCCGAGGTGGCGGTCCCCGTCCGCTTTCCCCACCCCTCCCAGGTGGCTGTGATGCCCCTGGATCGACTGCGGACGGCGGGCCTGTCACAACGCAAGGCCGAATACGTGCAGGGACTCGCGGAGAAATTTGCTTCGGGCGAATTATCGGCACAATTGCTGGCAGAGGCGCCGTACGAGACGCTCGTAGAGCGTCTGGTGGCCGTTCGGGGCCTGGGCCTGTGGAGCGTGGAGATGTTTGCCATGTTCGGCCTGAAGCGGATGGACGTCTTCAGCGTGGGCGACCTGGGCGTGCAGCGGGGTATGGCAGCGTTCGCTGGGCGTAACGTGGCCAAGTTGAAGAGCGGCAAAGGTAAGTGGAAATACATGAAGGACACGGAGATGCAAACCATCGCCGAGCCGTTCCGGCCGTACCGAAGTGTGTTTATGTGGTACATGTGGAGGACTGAGATGACAGACGTGAGCACGCTGGAGTCGTGAGCCTGGAGCAGGACTCTGATGAAGGAAATGACAGTTTGGATTAGGCAAGACGATATGTTTGTTGCAGATACAGGTGATTGTAGTGCAGCTGTTCAGTGCAGCCCATACTGCATGGACCCATGCACGGCTTCTTTGCACATGTCAGGGTGCTCCGCAGATACTCCGAACAAAGGTGCTTGTTGAGCTATTCGTGGACGGAAGTGAGCTGTATGGAGTACGGAGTATATCAGGGAACTTCGAGTTACTGTCATATATGACGAAGAAAACGGTTGCAGCTCAGCCAACAAGCCCTACGACGTACTAGGTTGGCCTTCAATGTAGTGGTCGGCTAGCAGAAAGGGAAGTGTGGGTTCCCTCGTGTCTTACGAGGTGCTTTCGTAATAATGAGAGTACTCCGTGCTTTACGTAGCATTCTGATTGGAGAACTGGGGCGTGGACTGAAATACAACGAGATAAGATATCTTGCAGAGTATGCACATGCTTCATACGCGTACATGAGTAAGTACTCCGTCTTTTACTTACACAAGCTTGTGGCATGCAGCATAATACTATGCAGTTGATTCGATTCGATTGTCACCGTCGGGACGCGCAAGCACACTAGCAAAAAAGAAAAGAAAGGCCGATCAAATAAAAATCGCGCAATCGGTACAAAATGAAACACAGGCACAAGCACCTACGGAGTAGGAGTATGTAAGATACAACGGGTTCAATCCTTTATTTCGGCATTTTTTTCACGTTCGCACGGGGTTAAGCATCGGGCAGTAACTGAGGTCTATAAAAACAAAGCTCTGGAATAAATCTTGGCAGGGGAATGGCTCCGTAGCGTGGAGCTGGGTGAGCCATCTTAAAAACTACGACTAGGCGCAAATCTTCTCGATCCGCGACTAAGGAAAAAATGCTCTGGGCTGGTGATCAGATTGTTTTGTTGTTGCATTGCTATACGACGTATGCATGTGACTATTAGAGATACTGCATAGCCTGGCATGCTGTGTTTGAGTGGCTCTATTTCATTCTCTATTTACCCCGTCGTGACATTGAAAATTAAGCTGGCTAACTTCCGGCAAAGTGTGTCGTGCCAGCTTGGAATGATGCTCTCATTTTATCGTCTGAGAGACGGGGAGAGAAGATATCTCACCAGTAAAAAGGAGGCTGTCATGTGAGAAGCCAGCTTCGAGTCCGAGAGCCTTCTGGCTCAGCTCTATCTTCAACACTACTCTGTATTACATAGCAATTCGCTTGGGCTAATCTTCGCCTAGAGATTGGCCCCTGGATAATACTTTAAAAAAGCAGTCATAACATATCTTACGACCTCGATGTATCCGTCTCTGGTCCCACCTGACCGTCTTCTTACGTATCTTAGTAGAGCAATTTACAGGCGCGAGTACTCCGTACTATGCATTGATACAGGAGGACTGCTTGGCAGTATCTTGCACGTATCATACGCGGGCGACGTCATCGTGAGTGTCAGAAGGGCAGAGATCCCGTAAGCCACGATCGATGCCCAATCGCCTCACTCATGTCTGGGCGCGGGTATGAAAGGAAATCCTTGTGTGTGGCGAGTTGGCCGGCCAAGAATTGGGATCTGCTTGGGTTTCGCAATTCGGGGTCCATTGTGCATACTCGTACGAAATTATACAGGTATTTTACGCATCGAAGCAAGTACCCGTTCCCGGAAGCGGATTGTCATGTATTTCGCTTTGTTGGAACCCAGTCCGTAGAACCCCTGGCAACAGGTCGAAACACCAAGCCCACTGAAGTGGAGCCGTTGATACGCGCACCCCGTTACCTCTTCTGGTCCCGTACTTGTGGTGCTAGTGCCGAGGAGGAAAAGAGGGAAAAAACCAGGGCAGATGCCAGCAGAGGAGGCCAGAGCCAGCACTTCGTACGATACTAAGATATAAACGACGTAGTATGTAAGATGCCGTAGCTGTGGAGGGCAATCAAAGAGAATGAGTGGGCCAGCTCCGCATACAGAGCACTGAAATGCTGGGAGCGATGCTCTACACGTATGGAGCACGGGTACGAAGCACTACGACTATGTGAGATACGATACGTGCCAGCCCACAAGATCATGGCCTGCTGACTTCCCCTCGTCTCCGTAGCTTCGGTGTGACGGCTTTGGGGCCATGTCGTTAGGAGGAGTCTGGGACGGGCAGTCGTCGAGTACGTACTCCGTACGATGTAAATATATGCGATATCGGGTACGGGGTACAGTGCAGGCTATGACATATGCACGACCCAAGACTGAACTCCGTCTTCTTCCATGGCGAATCAGGGAGCACACTGAAACATGAATGGTGGCTGGCATGTGCAACCCGTTGCTTGCAGGCCTTTCTTTGTCTGGCGGCCGCCTGTGTGTGGCGATGTCATGCCTGGAGGTGTCAGTGTTGCCGAAGAAGTTGTGCGCAATCTCCACAAGCTCAGCTGTTATGGCCGTGGCCAGTCCTGGGCCTCTGACGAAGGTATCTTAGGATAATACCCCCTGCTAGCAGTCCTGATCTGGCAATTTCCCTTTGTAGTGCCTGCTGCTATAAGGGATGGGCGCTGCCGGCGTTCACTAGCTTTGTCTGCTTCTGGACTCTTGCCCCAGCTGGTGCGGTGTAGGTGTCTGCCCCTGCAGCCGCTCTCATTTGCGCTACAGCGATTGATGCTGTAGCGCGAACCAGCGTCCCGTAGCGCTGTGCCGTACACCGTAGCGTGCGGACATACCCCCGCGCGCCTGCCAGGAGACCTGATGCAGCATCTCGTTGCCCCCGAAAAACTCGCAAATAGAAGGCTGGAGAGGTGTGCAATCGAGAACGTGTGGGCCTGGTGGATTCTGCCGATGCACTTACGTGTAAGAATAGCACCCCTACCCGTACTCGCAATTTCAACACATGCGTTTGAATCTTCAAAGAAGTACGGAGTACTCCGTATGCCCGTGGTTTTGGGTACCTGTTCTACTCTGTCGGCGTTGGTGGCAATCGGAATGAACCAAAGAACATCATTGTTTCCCTCTTAGACATACTCGTAAGGTGTAGATTATCCGCTCTGTTGACACTGTGCCTCGACAACTACGGGATCATGATATTGCTCGTATAGAACGCAGCCGCATGTGCAGCACGCCAGCAAGAGCGACCGGTCAGGTATCAGGCACGTAAAAATACTTGGCCTGCTGTGTATACAGAGTACGTGCCACCACAATGACAGACGTGCAGCGCCGAAGAGTGCAACAACGCCCGCGGACAAAACCCAGAATACAGGCCCCCACCGGACATGTAGCAACCGCAACATTTTCCACACCTAGATCGTGCTAGGAGGCGTGTCCAAGCAGCCCATGCAGAGGCGTGTGCATATCTATTTCCACCAGAGGACCCACATCCTGAAATAATTAGCTTGCCAATTACCCCCTTCCCCTTTCATGTTTTTCTTCCTCGCTCTTGTTTCCCTCCCTCTCTCTCTCCTAAAATACCATACATACCTTTCGTATTCGTCGCTCATCGCTTCTCGACCATTCTTCGTCGTGACTCTTATTCCGCTTTCTTCTTATTTCTGTTCTTCTCGTACACCCTTTTTCGGGTGCACTTGATCCATTCGCTTACTCAATCCACTTGCGCATCGCGCCGACTCTCCTTTCCGTTGAGTCTTAACTGTCGGCTTCTGTCAAGACCATCTGATAGCCACATTGAGAAAAACATCAACATAACAAACAGACTTTTGAGGTAAGCCATGAAGCTTTTGGCAGTAGAGAGACGCGAGCTTGTATACCTGCTTCCATTACCACGACCTGTGGTTCCCCTCCTCCCCATCGACAACACCAGCTTTTCGTCCCGCTCCGATGTACCTCTTGATGACCCGCCCGGGCTTCATCCAAAGCTGCCACAGATTTTGCTCGTGCTTTGCACCGAATTCTTCCTGGCTACGGAGAGGAGGCAGTTTTGAGGAGCCCATTGAGAATTGGTTGCGGATCGTGGGATTTGTTTACATAGAAGGATGTCCCAGCAATTTGCACTTTTGGAAGCCGGCCTGTTACCGAAACGTTGGAGGATCGCTGCTAATAACGTGACAGCAACTGTCAATATGTTCTCCAAACAGGTTCTCGTTGCCGTACTGGCAGCAGCTGGTGCCGTCTCTGGTAAGCTTGCCATTTCCGTACTGCCAGACTTGCCTGTGTTTTAGCTCTATTGACACGCGTTCCAGCGGCCGCCAACTGCACCCAGACGACTTTCACCATCAACTCCCAGGCCGACTTCGACGAGATCTCCAGCTGCACCACCCTTACGGGCGATGTCACGATCGGCACTAGCACGGATGTTTCGATCGATCTGAGCGGTCCCAAGGCCATCAAGGGTGACCTGACCCTGCTGAACAACAAGCTGATCTCCACCCTCAAGAGCTCCAGCCTGCAGAGTGTGTCGGGTGCTTTCCACCTGCAGAATCTGACGACGCTGTCGACGCTGTCGTTCACCACCCTGACGTCGGTCGGTTCGATCAACTGGGTCTCTCTGAACGCCATTGACGTCCTGACGTTCACGGCTGGTGTGACCAAGGCCGCGAGCGTCGTTATCAGCGACACTTTCCTGAGCAGCCTGGACGGTCTTGATGTTGCGTCTGCTAGCACCATTGACATCAACAACAACCGCCGCCTGATCAAGTACACTTCGTCTCTGGGCAACCTGACTGATCTCCTGAACATCAACGCCAACGGTCTTAACCTGGAAGTCAGCTTCCCGAACCTGATCTGGATTGCCAACATGACCGTTTCGAACGTGTCCAGCTTCAGCGTCCCGTCGCTGGCCACTGTGAACGGCTCCATCCGCTTTGACTCCAACTTTTTCACTTCGTTCAGCGCACCGAACCTGACGAGCACCCAGACTGGCGATGTGTCGTTCATCAGCAACGCCGACCTGGCCAACATCTCGATGCCCCTCCTGAAGTCGATTGCTGGTGGTCTGCAGATTGCCAACAACACTGCCCTTCAGAATGTCACCGGCTTCGCTGCCTTGAAGACCGTCGGTGGTGCTGTCAAGCTCCGCGGCAACTTCACTGAGTAGGTTCAGAGTGCATCTCCAATTATGTTCGGGTTTACTAATACCTGTTTTAGGGTTGAGCTGCCCAGCCTGGCTGATGTCAAGGGTGCCTTCAACGTCGAGTCCACTGGCGATATCACTAGCTCGTGCGCCGTCTTCAAGAAGCTCGCTCCCTCGTCTGCCGGTGGCAACGGCGATATCCAGGGCACCTACACCTGCCAGAGCGACAACGCTAACGCCAACTCTGACACGTCTACCAGCACTGCTAGCAGCACGAAGTCGAGCAGCACTGCGAAGGCCACTGGCTCCAGCAGCGCAGCAACTGGCCTGGGCATCAACGGTGTGGCCGTCGTCGGCCTTGCCGGTGTTGCCGCGCTGGCTCAGCTGCTGTAAGCTGTGTGTGTGAAGCTTTTTTTTATTCCGGGGAATAATGAAGGAATAGGATGGCTAGTTCAGGACGATGCGTTTTGGGGTGGTTTACACGTGCTGCTCTCCACGTCGGAAGCAAAGTAACAGCAAGAAGATATTCCGTTCCCTCTTTCCAATGCTTTCCATTCCATTATTTCCATACCTGTGTTTTCTGGCTTGTTTGCAAATCCATTTTGTTCCGCGGACCCATGAATCAAACACTACTACTAGAACCTACTAATAGCTGCTTTTAACGTCTTTTGCCATCAAGATGATGCCTTTTCGGCCAATGCTGACCATATGATATTTTGAAGCACTGGTCGTACTGTGTTATGACTTGGGCGGCTATTGTGTAATGTGCGAACCGGATTCGGGATTCCTTTATATACTTCAAGTCTTGCTCAGGTATGTGCATTGTGCGGTAATTTATGTGTGCCTGATATTCTCGTCTACTCGTATATGCCTCGGTCAAATTTGTCAGCGTTGTAGAAGCTTGGGGCGATGGCGTTGCCGTTGAAAATGCGCCCATCAAGAGCAGTAACAGCCTGTATTGGAGCACAAAGTCAGAAAGCCCGAGACTGTAAGAGACAAAGGCAAGGAAAGCGAGGACACTTACGCGCAAGGCCGAGACAGCGTCGGTGAACTGTATAAAGACGAGCTTGGAGGGCACATCGATGTAGACGCGTTCGATGCGGCCGTACTGCTCGCCACACTCCTCGCCGATCTCCTGGACGAGCTGACCGTCGGCGATCTCGGCGGCCAGGTCTGGCATGCCCTCGACCATGTTGCGGAGGACGACGACGGTGGAGGGCGAGGAAGAGGTCACGTGACTTTGAAGCTCAGTTGATTCGCCGCCACGAGCCTCGACACGACCACCACGACTACCACGACCACCACCGACAATGCGCCCACGGCCGCTGGTGGCGCCTCCGACCTTTTTGTGCCGGAGTGGGTTGAGGATGCCGCCGCCGTCAGCTCCCAGGCCAGAACCCTTTGTCCAGCCGTACTTGGCCATGAGACGGGCGGCGAAGCCAGCCTGGCCTGGACGGGCCGACGAGAAGGACGAGGGACCGCCTTCGTCGTCGTCGGCAGATGCTGGTGGCGGCTCGTATGTATTGTCGTCGTCGTCGTTGTCTGGACCTTTAATGCCGTTTGTGGTGGTGGTGGTGGTGTTGAAGCGAACTGGTGCCCGCGAGATGATGAGACCGTCAGCTAGAGTTGGGACGGCTGTAGCTGGCGTGGCGGTGGTTTCAAGGACAGCGGGATCCGATGGCGGCGGCGGTGGCGGCGGAGGAAGTGATTGTGGTGGTGGCAGTGGTGTTGATGGTTGTGGGTGTGACAGCGTTGGATGTGCAGCTGCAGCCTCATCTGCTGTTGGCGCTGGATAGCCGGAGCCGGTGGTCAGGCTCGGCGGCGGGGCAAACGCGGCGGGTGGCGCGAAGGCGCTGTTAAACTGGTGGTTGTCGTGACTGTCGGAGCTGTCGCTGTTGTTGTCGTCGTCGTCGTCGTCGTCGTTTTGGCGGCGCAGCCGCCTCCGATGTGCATACAGGACGGCCTTCCAGTCGCGCACAGCGGACACGCACTCGTCGCTGTGCAGATAGGCTTCTAGGTTGGTTGGACGGGCCGGGTCGTACAGCTCGTCCCAGTCAATGTCGCCGTAGCCCAACCGCCGATGAGGCTGCTGCTGCTTCTCGTCGGGGCGCTTCTTCTTGCGCTTGCGGCCACCACGCAACGGCCGCGGGCCGCCATTGTCGTTGGTGTCATCGTAGTGATCGTTGTCGTACTCGTCATCGTCTGCACCGGCAGCCCAGTCGGCCAGCGTCGGGCGTGCGGTGTGGGTGACAGAAGTCGTCTTCGTCGTCGTGGCCGGTACAGCGGACAAGGGAACGGGCAGGGACTTGAGCCGGTGGCCGGTGGCCTTGGGCTTCTGCTGCGGCCGACGAATGATGGGCTGGAAGCGGAGTGCTAGCGAGGGTCAGCAGGCGGGCAGGGCAGACGAGAGATGGAGACAGAAGACGGAAGAAGGAAGATGGAACTCACCTGGAATTTTTGCCGCAGACGGTTTCACGGCTGCGTCTGATGCTGGTGCAGCTGCAACCGGCTCGGCAGCAGGGCCTCCCAGGAGCTCTGCATACAGCGACATTGTGCCGCGAGGCGGTGGAGGCGGCGGTGCGGCCATCGGAGAGGTTGTGGCAGCGATACGTAGTTGTTTGTCTGTCGGTTTGTCGAGCTGCCTTGCGACCGCTTTCTTTTCGCAAGCATCGTGGCGATCTCCTGCAGTGAGTGGTCCTATTATTACGGGCCACTCGCAAGGGCTTTAGTGGGTATTTTATGGACCCGACCCACTTCCATCAGACAAAGCTCCCCCGGTGTCTCATTCTCTGGCAGCAGCCTTCCCCTCCGGATGGCCGTGAGCAACATTCGGTTGGCCAAAATCACGTCCTCCTCCTTTCATTCGTGGAACTGCCTCAAACTCTTGGCCTTTGCATCCCTTTCCCATTGCGTTTTTCGTACGTATATACACATAATCATATTCATATTTGTTATTGCATCGCATTGTCGCAGGTCCCAACGTGCCAATAAGACAAAGAAGCAGCACAGCGAATCAGGGGACACGCCTCCTTGCAGCACAACCGAGACACAAGACACTGTCCGCCTATCATGTCTACGACTCTCCGGTCGGCCGTCAATGGCCGGTCAAGCTCGACGGCTGTCATCATCCCGCGCACGGTGGCCTCGCCCACGCCGCTCGTCGTCTCCTATCTCGACCTCGTCTCGGACGTGTCTCGCTACCAGGCCAAGCTCGCAGGACTCGGCATTGGTCTGGCGGCACCGGTATCTATTGCCACGGTCAACTCGTACGAGTTCATCGTTGCCTTTCTCGCTGCTGCCTGGCAGCGTGCCGTGGCTGCACCGCTCAACCCGGCCTACAAGCAGGACGAGTTTGAGTTCTACATCGAGGACGTCAAGTCGGCCATCGTGCTCGTCCCCCGAGGCGCCTATGCTGCCGACAGTCCGGCCGTGCGTGCTGCTCGTAAGTTCCATGCCGCCATTGCAGAGTCGTACTGGGACGAGGCCAGACGTGAGGTCGCCCTCGACGTCAAGGAGCTGGGACAGCTGGAATGCCTGACCGCTCAGCCGGTCCTAGTGGCCGAGCCCGACGATGTGGCCCTTGTGCTGCATACGAGCGGTACTACTTCTCGGCCCAAAGTGGTTTGTCTCCCTGGGCCTCGCTTGCTTGCCTAATTTTCCTGGAAATCTTACCTGCTTCTCTCTTCTAGGTGCCTCTCACACATCGCAACCTGACACGGACGATGAGTTAGTTGAAGGCCCCCCCCCCATTTTACGTGTCCATCGAGCCTCACTGACAGCGGCAGAGAACATCCAGGACACATACCAGCTGACTCCGGCCGACCGTACGATGCTGGTGATGCCTCTATTTCACGTGCACGGGCTGGTGTGCGGCCTGCTGGCGCCGCTGCGGTCGGGCGGATCACTGATCGTGCCGCCCAAGTTCTCGGCCACCGAGTTCTGGCGCGACTTCGTCGAATACGGCGCCAACTGGTATACGGCCGTGCCGACGATCCACCAGATTCTGCTGAAGAACCCGGTGCCGCAGCCGCGGCCGGCCATCCGGTTTGTGCGGTCGTGCTCGTCGCCGCTGTCGCCAACCGTCTTTGCCCAGCTCGAGGCTGCCCTGGGTGCGCCCGTGCTCGAGGCCTACGCCATGACCGAGGCTGCCCACCAGATGACGTCCAACCCGCTGCCACCGGCCCAGCGCAAGCCCGGTGCCGTCGGTATCGGCCAGGGCGTCGAGATGCGCATCCTCGACGATGCCGGCACCGAGCTGCCGTCCGGCGCCGAGGGCGAGATCTGTGTCCGGGGTGAGAATGTCACTAAGGGCTACCTCAACAATCCGGCCGCCAATGCTACTGCCTACACGGCCGACGGCTTCTTCCGCACCGGCGACCAGGGCCGCAAGGACCCAGACGGCTACATTGTCATCACCGGCCGCATCAAGGAGCTCATCAACAAGGGCGGCGAGAAGATCAGCCCCATTGAGCTCGACAACATCCTCGCCCGCCATCCCGCCATTGCTGAGGCCGTCTGCTTTGCCATCCCCGACGACCTCTACGGCCAGGACATTGGCGTTGCCGTCGTCCGCAAGGCCGGCGAGCCGCTGACGGCCGACGAGCTGCGCGCCTGGGTTGCCGACAAGGTGGCCAAGTTCAAGGTGCCCAAGAAGGTAGGCTACTCCTCTGCTTCCGTATTTCTATTTGCTGCTGCCACCACAGAAGCTCACAAGCCAGATCTACTTTACCGACGTCATGCCCAAGACAGCCACCGGCAAGATTCAGAGACGGATCGTTGCCGAAACCATGCAGAAGCAGGACGGCAAGGCGAAGTTGTAGAGTGTTGTTGTTGTAAGGATAGAGCTGTATTATCGGAAAGGGACGTGTGGTATGAATATAGTGTTTATGTCAGGGAGAAGCTCGAATCTTATGCAGACGCACAATGTAGACGGGCCTGCTTAGTAAATTATCGTAACGTTTTATAGCCTTGCCGAACAGCCGAATGCGATGAAATCAAACGAACATTAAAACAAGCATCCGTGGGCCGGCCGACCTCCCCCTTGCCTCTAGATAATTTTGTACATGCAGACTCTGTCCACTGTGTCTCTGCCATGAGCCTGTATCCGCTGCCTGCGTCCTCTCCTCATGAATCGCTCTCCCCTAGTTCCTGCTCTCTCTCCTCTCTCTCGCCCCTCGGCTCCCGTCTCAAAAAAGGCAGTGGTCAACGGCGACATGGCGCGAGACAGGGCTGCTGCAGAGCGTGCCGCAGCCGGAAGTCGACGACGCCTCTGCTCTCCGGCGGGCTGCTTCCTAGTAACCCTCGGCGCCCGGCGCTTTCTCGTCCTTGCGCAGGCTGACGAGGAGCTCACGGAAGCGCTCCTTGCCGGAGCCGGAGGCGCCGCCCTTGGCGCCCTTGCCGGAGACGTCGACGATCTTGGCGATGCGCTCCCAGCTGGTGCCACCCGAGGTGACGTCGTCGCGGTTGGCCAGAAACTGTTCGGCGTCCTTGCGCGTCTGCCCAATCACCTTGTCCTTCTTGTTGTTGTAGTTGTCGTAAAAGTCGTCAATGTTGCGCTGCGCTTCGGCCACGGTCTCGGCGCGCTGCTGCGCAAACTGCGCCGCCCGCTTGGCGTTCTGCTCGTCGCGCCGCTGCCGCCACGCCCGGATCACCTCGGGCTCCTCCTCGTCCTCGACTGTAGCCGTGTAGCCCGACTTGAAATCCAATGAAGGGCCCGTGATCGATGTCGTCGTCTGTCCTCGGCGGTTTGTTAGTATTTGTCCTTTCTGTCCTTCTCTTTCTCTCTCATTTTCTCTCTTTCTCTCTCTCTCTCCACCTCGCTCTCTCGCTCTCTCTTCCTTTCCTTATTTCTTCTTTTTCTTACCTGGTTCTGAGCGGATAGGTCCGGGAAGCTGCTCTCAAACTGGGTCGCCTCTGCAGCATCACCATCACCTCCCAGCAGATCGTCGTCAGCCGAAAATGTTGCCGTATCGGCAGCCGTCACAAACTGGTTGGCATCGTCGCCGAGAATGGCCCGCTCGCGGGCCAGGAAGTCGTCGCTAGTCGCCTCTAGCGACGCATTTTTGATGTCCGTCTGGGCTGCAGTAGACTTGCGTTAGCAGACATCTCACGCAGAAATTGAAAAAGAAGAGCGGAGAAACAGGCTGCCAGACAAGGGAGAGGGCAGTTCTTTGATGCATACCACCAGAGTCAAAGTCCTCCAAAGATGGGAATCTGTCCGCCATAGTTGTCCTTTTGTTCGCAAAGGAGGCAATCGAAGTAGATGGATGGGAGGATTTCGGAAAGAGAAAAATCGTGGTTCAATGGTGTTGGGGGAATTGCGTCAATGTGCAGTCTGGTGCTGGCTTTGGCTTCGTTGCAGTTGAGGGTGAGCTGATGGGGGTCTTCTGTAATAAGAACCGGTTGCTTCTTCGCGAAGGAGCGACGGCCGTTTCGTAGCTGGGGTTGTCTGGCCAAGCTGCCGCTTTGAGCGATATCGGATACGCGCATAAGTGGACCGACCGCCTGGGTTGGCCAAAGGGGCAACGGCTTGCTGCACGAGCTCTTTCTCCATTATTCCTGCGACCTGGGAAGCTGTTTTGTTTTTTGCGCATACAGCGTCACCACAGCATCGACACCTTTCCTCCTCGTGATTCGCACGCAAGCCGGACAGCGTCCCCTGGGTCCCACTTCCACTCGATCCACAGCTTCACTACTGGCGTAGCTACTACCTGGTCGCCCTGGCCATCCTGACCGGGCCTTCTCTTGTCGTTATCAAATGCATTAGAGAGTCATTTATTAGCGTCAGCCATCTCGTGTTTGCATCAGGCTATTCCCTCGTAACCTCTTCACATCACATCACGGCGTGGATGCGAAGGGTCGTCTGCTGAGACTCAATTGAACTACGAGGCAACTCGGCTGGCTGTGTTTTGGCTCAGCTTCATTCTCGGTCACCGAAACTCGCTGCTATTCTTTTCTAGTCGCTTCGGCGCAACCTCGAATCTCCTTATACTTTCGCCGTCTTTCTTCCGCACCATCACTATAATGGCATACACAGATGATGCCGTTCTGGCCAAGCTGTCGGCCCTGAACGAAACCCACGACAGCATCGCCACTGCCGCCCAATGGATAATGTTCCACCGGTATGTGTGTGTGTCTCTGGCAGGAGGTTATGTTACTGACGTATGGCGTTTTCTGCCTCTGTACAGACGACATGCGGAACGAACTGTGCAGCTGTGGTTTCAGCGGCTGAAGGATTCCCCAAGTCCCAAACGACTCAATCTCGTCTACCTCGCAAACGGTTAGTAGTGACAGGCGGCAAGGAAAGTTTTGCACAATCGCTAATACAGGCGTATGTGGCAGAGGTGACCCAGCAATCCAAGGCTCGCCATAAGGAGGACTTTGTCGTGGCCTTTTCGCCAGTGATCGCGGAAGCAATAGCATCCGCATACAAGGGCGCGCCCTCGGAGGTGCAGAATAAGCTTCGACGAGTTGTGGATGTGTGGCGCGAACGGAACATATTTGAGGTGCCGATTCAGACGGCTGTTGAGACCAGGATAGGCGGTACGTTGAGTGCTTGTGAAGGAGGCGAGAACAGGACGAGAATAAGGCCTGGTGTGCTAATGAGAACCTGACGCAGAACTGGACAAAGCCAAGGGTACATCGCGACCAGCATTTGGGGGCGGGTCGATCTTCGGGTCAAGCTCAGGGCCACCGGTGCCAGCAGAACTTGGTCCAGTTGTGGCGTCGCAGCAGAAGCTGAGCAAGGTGCTGCTCTCGGCACAGGGAAGCGTCAGCGTGGCAGACGCGGACTTCCACAAGATCATGGACGGGACGCCACCGGCGGCACCAGTGTACGCGGCTCGGCTGAACGGGCTGATGAAGAGCATAGCGAGCGCGGAGCAGGCGATGGGCCAGACGGTCAAGGCGCGGTCGGAGCTCAAGGCGGTGCTAGAAGGACTACTGGCGAGCTGCCAGACGGCACTGGAGGCAGAGGTGCAGCAGCTGACAGAACTGGGGCAGCGGAGGGCACACGTGGACGCAACGAAGCGCGACGTGGAAGACCGGATCATGCGCGGGCTGAATGCGACGGACAACGAGGCCGGCCGATCCAGCACAGGGGCTGGCCAGCCGCAGGAGCCACCGCGACCGGAAATGGAGGCGCTGACGCCGCCGGCAACAGAACCAGACGAGACAGGCGGCGAGCCGTTTGCGGGAGTGGTGTCGATATCGGAGGTAGCTGAGCAGATGACGGACAGCGCAGTGGTTGCGGAGCAGTCTCTGCCGGCGTCGATCTCGTCGGCTTCCGGAATCGAGATCCTGTCACACCTTGCATCACAGGCACAGCCGGTGTCAACGAATGGAGCCCACAAGCGGCGACGGGTGTTGGAGGAGAAGGGCGACGAGGTGCCGGATCTGGACGACGGGATAGATGCCGATGTCACGGAGACGCTGATGCAAGACAGACAGGAGGCCTGATCTGGAGGAGAAGGAAGAAGGGGGGGGTCTACGTTCAAAGATGATGTGTTGTGTGCCATTATTGTAACCAGTATTTTTGTCATGGCTGAGAGCAGTCGCAATAGCAATAGAGTGTCTAGGAACTGATGCTGGCTGTAGTGTTGTAGCGGGGCCGAGCGGGGCTAGCAGTACCTCGGTCTTAAGCGGGGGCCGTTTAATATGAGACGGTATAGGCAGTCGCTCTGGCCGTTGGGGGAATTGAAAAATCTGGAACTTCAGCAGACACTAAAGTGTGAACTTGAGTTGTGGAATTGACCACGAAACACGGAGGGGAAGCCGAACGAGAAGTAGCAGCAACAGCAACAGCACTGGGCAGAGATACACAGCAACCAGCACGCAGATCTGCGGCGACGCAGCGATGGTTTCCGGGGCCCTGCGGCGCCAGGGCGTGCTGCAACTCCGGGAACGCGCAGTGGTGGGTCATGGAGGCAGCGAGCCGTGGCCGGGGCGACGGGCAGCGACGTTGGTGACGACGAGGCGGGATCCGTGGACACGGGCGGCATCGAGCGCGGCAGGTGCTGTGGTGGCGGCAGCACGGAGGACGACAGGACGGCCAGGCTGGCTGGACATGCGACCAGGACCGTTGATGACAATGCGACCAGGACCAGTGATGACAGAACGGCGAGGGCCAGTGATGGCAGCAGTACTGCGTCAGATGTCGACGGGGAAGAGGGGTGTAGGAGGAGCAGGAGCAGGAGCAGGAGCAGGAGCAGGAGCAGCTGCAGAAACAGCAAAAACGGCAAAAACACCGAATAAACCGAAATCACCATCACCAGAAACAGAAACAGAAACATCAACGCCCGCTGAGGATCATCTCGGTCGGCACGGATTCCAACGCAGCGAGCGGGCAGAACAGGCGACGCAGGTGAACCTGCAGGCACGGCTGTCCAAAGAGGGCAAGACGCAGAGCCGGGCGACGGCGAGCGAGGTGTGGCGGCTGGTGCGGATAGCACGGCCCGAGTTCCGGTGGCTGGCGCTGGCGTTTGGCTTCCTGCTCTTCTCGTCGGCCGTGTCCATGTCGATTCCCTTTTCGGTCGGCCGGCTGCTGGACCTGGCGACCAAGGGCGCGGTGGCCGACGTGCGCGTGCTCGGCCTCACGCTCAACCAGTTCTTCGTTGCCTTTGGGGCCGTCTTGACGGTCGGGGCGCTCTCGAGCTTCCTGCGGATTATAATCCTGCGCATCGTCAGCGAGCGTGTCGTCGCACGGCTGCGCACCCAGCTGTACCGCCACACATACACGCAGGATGCCGAGTTCTTTGACGCCAACCGGGTGGGCGATCTGATCTCGCGGCTCAGCTCCGACACCATCATCGTGGGCAAGAGCATCACGCAGAACCTGTCGGACGGCATGCGGGCTGTCGTCAGCGGTTCGGCCGGCCTGGCAGCCATGCTTTGGATGAGCCCGCAGCTGACGAGCATTCTGGTCGTCATGTTCCCGCCCATTGCCGTGGGCGCCGTGCTGTACGGCCGCGTCATCCGGTCGGTCGCTCGGCGCATCCAGGCCAATCTCGGCTCGCTCACCAAGATCGCCGAAGAGCGGCTCGGCAACGTCAAGACCAGCCAGGCCTTTGCCGGCGAGGTCCAGGAGGTCGCCCGCTATAACCGCCAGGTGCGCCGCATCTTTGCTCTCGGCCGTCGCGAGGCTCTCGTCTCGGCTGCTTACTTTGGCGCCAACGGCTGGTTCGGCAATATGACCATCCTTGCTCTCCTCGTCGTCGGTGGCAATCTCGTCCGTTCTGGTGCCATGTCGGTCGGCGACCTCACCTCCTTCATGATGTACACTGCCTTTGCCGGCTCCAGCCTCTTTGGCGTCTCCGGCTTCTACTCGGAGCTGATGAAGGGCGTCGGCGCTGCTGAGCGTCTCTTTGAACTGCTCGACCGTCAGCCTGCCGTTCGTGCCACCGTCGGCCGTCGCGTCGTCTCGGCGCAGGGTCCCATCGTCTTTGACAATGTCCGCTTCGCCTATCCGACCCGTCCGGCCGTGCGCATCTTTGACGGCCTCAGCTTCACCATCCCCTCTGGCAGCAACGTCTGCATCGTCGGGCCGTCGGGTGGCGGCAAGTCCACCGTCGCTAGTCTGCTGCTGCGCTTCTACGATCCCACTGCTGGCCGCATGGCCATCAATGGCGTCGATGTCACCTCCATGAACGCCAAGTCGCTGCGCCGTCGCATCGGCATGGTCTCCCAGGAGCCCGTCCTCTTCTCCGGCTCCATCGCCGACAACATCGCCTACGGCCGGCCTCATGCTTCGCGTGCCGACATCATCGCAGCTGCCCAGCGCGCCAACTGTCAGTTCATCAGCGACTTTCCCGACGGCCTTGAGACTGCTGTCGGCCCTCGTGGTGCTCAGCTTTCCGGCGGCCAGAAGCAGCGCATCGCCATCGCCCGTGCCCTCATCAAAGACCCCGACATCCTCATCCTCGACGAGGCCACCTCCGCTCTCGATGCCGAGTCTGAGACTCTCGTCAATGCCGCTCTCGCTGAGCTGCTCAAGAGCCGCAGCACCACTATCTCCATCGCCCACCGCCTCTCCACCATTAAGCGCTCCGACCAGATCATCGTCCTCAACAGCCACGGCACCGTCGCAGAGACCGGCCGCTACGCCGACCTCAGCGCCGATCCCGCTAGCGCCTTCAGTCGCCTGATGGAGTGGCAGATGAGCGGCAGCGACCTGCCTGCTTCTGCCGTTGCCACCGCCCGTATCGACGGTCACGTGACTGAGCGCGAGGAAATCGAGGACGATCTTGAGAAGCCCGACGAAACCGACGTTGACTCCAGCAAGGCTCGCCCCTGATGCGTCGACCCCAGCTACAAAGCACACTCTTGTACTACCATCGACCCGGTCTTGTCCTCTCCTGCGTGGCTTGGCTTTCTCTTTTTTCTCCTTCTCCGCACTATGCGCTTGTCCTTGTAGAATATCAAAAATCAAATCTCCATACTGCTTCTCAAGTGGCCAGAACAAACTCCTAATCAGATCAAAACCCACGGCTGCAGGATACACGGCATGCATGCAGCCTGTTGTCCCCAGCCTCCTGAACCTTCCGGACGCGTCCTCTCCCTTGATCTCAGACAAATATCAATATCAACAAATCTATGCCTGCACATGCGTGGCCGTCGTGGCCGTCGTGGCCGTCGTGACCGTGTCTCGCGCAGCTGGGCCCATGGCCCCTGATTCTGCTCAGCCTACATGAGGAAGCGCGATATGAGCTCAAAGACTAGACCGCCGAAAACGACAAAGCCCAGGACGCCTGTAGCCCGTTAGCCAGAAGGCACCTTGCCGCTGTGGTCCGCCCCTGAGCGGAAAACACGTACCCAGCCATATCGGCGAGACCGGCGACTTCTGCACCTCCTTGCTGCGCTTCTTGATGTCGGCCTCGGACTTGCCACGCCTCGCGTCCTGCGACCGGGCAAACTTGAGGTTGCGTCGCCGCTGCTCCGGTGTCTGGACCTGCACGTCGACAAAACGCCTCGTCAGCGGCCATAGCTCGTGGCAAGGCGATCGACAGGACGACCTACCATTTTGTCGGTGATGGAGATGGAGACTCGAAAATGCTGATCTTTGGCGGTAGTCGTCGGGTGGAGGGCCGGTTTGTCCAAAGGTCGAGGTTTAGAGAAGGGATGCTCGCTTTCGATCTCGGCCCCGGCAAATATTATTAGGGGACACATTACCACATAAAGGCCACATGGTCATTAGCAATGTACAGGGCAGCTAGCGTAGTGGATCCCTGTTGTTGAAGCTGCCTATGCTTCAGCGCCTCAAGCCGATGTATAGCCTCCAAGATGGGGTATGCGCCTGGCCTGCCATTGGGCAGCCCGTCCCGCCTTCCGAGAATGGCCAACGATCTTGCTGAGCTTCTTCAAATCTTTATTACCACTCGCACGTCCTTCTCGGAATCACCGCACAACACCGAAAATGCTTTCAGCACGACTCATGCGCGCCGGCGCCACCAGCATCTGTCTCCGCAGCATCCCGGCTGCTGCTCGGCTTCCCCTCGCTCGCCGCTGGAACTCTTCGCTGCCCCCGCAGCCACCACAGCCTCCGAAAAAACAGTCTTCGGCCAATGTACGGCAGATCTCTTTCTTCTGCTCGAAAGACGTACTCTGACCCTCTCAATTAGACCGCCTTCTGGAAAGAATTCGGCCGGCCCATTGCCAAGGTCCTGCTCATGGCCGTCTTCACCTACCAACTGGCCTACTACGGCTGGGCAAGGCTGGAGCAGGACGAGATCCGCTCTGCACGCCAAGGTAAGTCTTACCCTCTCGACCCTCTCGATCTGTCTTCCCTTCCTCATCCTTGCCCGGCTAATTCTGCAGCGGAGGTGGATGCCCTGGAAGCCCAGGTCAAGGACTTGCAAGATGCCCAGAAGAAGGCTACTCAGCCATAAGGGTGGGAAGGTTACGCCGTATACAAATATATTCGACTTTCCAAATGTTCAAATATTATTTAGTTCCGCCCTTGCCTTTCTTGCGATTCCAGATCTTCGGCAGAGCTTAAACACCGAAACAAGAAACGCTCGCAACATGCAACTAACGAGAACGCTGTCTATCATATCATCACGAATCCTAAAACGGCCAATGCGAATGCGAGCCACGGCAGCCGGGGACCGGATGGCGCGGCCGAGTAGAAGTGCGCGGATCCTGGATAGTTGCACGTGACGGCACCGTTGTTGTCGGCCCCGGTGCGCAGGCCGTAGCTCGTGTTGAAGCCGTACGACGAACGGGTCGGACAGCTCAGGCCCAGGCTGGCCGGACAGCTCTGCGCCAGGTTGTAGCAGAGATCCTCGCATGGCAGCACCTCCTTGTAGGGCCCGGGCGCCACGTTGCTGTCGATGAACGGATTGCGCGACGAGTTGTACGCGCTGCTGTTGGGATACAACGAGGCCATGGCTGGATCGAGGTACGTGCCGTTGGGAAACGACCCGCTGATGGCCCGCGGCTGCAGCCACGCCTCGGTCTCGGAAAAGTCGGCACAGCGCGGGATGGCCACGGAACAGAGCCAGTTCTTGTAGGCCGCCGAGCAGTGCGTGCAGTTGCGTGCGAGCGAGTAGCGTTGCGTGGACGGCGCCTCACACGGGATCTGCGCCAGCACCTTTTCGAACACGGCAAACATGTCGGACGCATACTGGTCGTATTCCTGTGCCAGCAAGCTGGCGTTCGCAAACCGCGTCGGGTTGCTCGGCACCGCGTACGCCGTCTCGTTGCAGAACGTCAGGTTGAAGACCACCTCACAGTTGCCGTTGGCCGCCTTGGTCGAGAAGCTGGTCGCCCGCGAGATGTGACCTCCGCCACCGGCCACGCCCGACGTGCCCGCCTGCTCTGTCCCGTTGTTCGGCAGCTCAGCCAGAATGCCGATGTAGTCGGTGCTCGCGTTCAGCCCGCTGAAGTAGAACTGCTGCTTCGGCAGGTTGCCCTGTCCCCGCCGCGTCATGCTCGTCGTCACTATGCTCGTGAACTTGCCGTTCTTCGTCGCTGCGATCTGTGCGTACGTCTGCAGCCCGCAGTACGACAGCCGCACCCCATTTATTGACGAATCGTTGGCGTTCTGCGCAAACATCACGTACGGCGGCCGCTCCATCACCGAGTCGTCCGTCGCCACGTCCGTGCTGTCCGTCAGGTTGTGCGTGATCAGCAGTGACGCGTACGCATCGCTGTCCACCCAGATCAGGTTCGCATCCGACTGGTTGTCGTAGCTGTGGTAGAACTCGTCCACCGATGCTGCCACTTCAAAGTTGTATATGCCCGTCATCTGCGTTGACGACACGTTTGGCGCCGAGATCCCAATGTACACGTCGCCCGTTGTATTGACGCTGAGCATCACTGCGCCCTCTGTAAATGTCTGCCACGTCTGCTCGTTCGCGTTGGCCTTTGGCCCCGGCGACGTGTTCGCAGACGATGTCGACACGTACATTGTCAGCTGTGGTGCCTCCACGCTCGAATTCGCCCCCGGCACTCTCGACACATTCGCAACCGGCTGTGGCTGTATGCACGTGTTTGCCGACAGATACACTATCCTGCTGGTCTTGTTGTGTTCGCTGGCAACAAATTCAACCGTACCACTTCTTTCGACCGCCACCCCATCACTGCCCTCTACTTCCGCATCGCCGTCTTCACGGCGCCGCAACTCGCCAGCTTCGTCCTTTTTTCCCTTGTTCTTCTTCGAATTAGACGGAACCTCATACACAAAAACCTGTGTCGACCCCGCAACCACATTCAGTTGCGTAGCCACGTTGCTCGTCAGCGATTCCACCCCGGCCGGTGCTCGCCCCATTAGGCTCCGGGCAAAAGCGCTGAAACTGGACAGGTACGTATTTCCCTCCGCATCGCTGTCATCGTGTTGCTGTTCCGCGTCGAGATGGAGGCTTGGAAGCGTGTTGCTGTCGACACTGAAATCACCGTGTAGTAAGCGTGCAATTAGAGAATCCGAGTCAGCTGCTACAGTGGCAGTCATGCGTGGCAGTGAAAGCAAGAGGGCAACCAGTGCCGCCATGCGGGAGGTGGATAGCATGATTGCAGTCAGCGAGCTAGAGTAGGAGAATTGCCTGGACCACGTTGCGTCTAGTCACTTCTTGCCCTCATTGGCTTTTCCTGCTCTCTGCCAAATCGCCAAACGTAGGCCCCTCTTCAAACAGGACTGTCGTGAACTTGCTCTCCTATCAAGGATAATGACTTCTCTTTTGATGTAAAACCTAAGTGCTTTCTCTTAGCACTCGACCGTAAATCATCTATGCTGTTGACATCTAGAGAATCATGCGTCCCTGCAATGGGGAAGAGCCAAGGAGTCGTAGAGGTGCATTTGTCGATTGTCAAGTTTCATGTCCATCCTCAGGGCCGTTTGTACTTGCGACTACAGTGGATATTGCTTAGGTGAGGCAAGTCAATGCGCCAACTTTCAGCCACAGCCCAGTACAAGTTCAGCCACGCATGTTATAGTTAAGAGAGAGAGCGATAATACGACAGCTGCTCCGTATCTGTTGAAATCGATGCTCTTGTGGCATTCTCTCTGCAGGTCTAATTAACTGCTCAAGTTTCTGGTTGCGCTTCGTAAACAAAATTGGACATTCAATATGTATGTAGTCTGAACTGTAATGTATCGAAATTGGTCATGGAACCGAATCTAGAGCCACCGAATTGTTCTCGAGTCTCCTACTCGTAGTATCGTGACATACATCCGTACCTATAAAAACAAACAGACAGCCTTTTGCCCTCGCGTCCCTCTACATTGCCCAGCAGTCATACTTGCCGGATCACGGAAAGGGACCAGAAACAGGAACCAAATAACCGGGAAAACAAGAAAAAAAAAGCCAGGAACGTCATCGTTACCTAGATAAAACAAATCCCAGCCCACACTATCTATATGGTTTCTCCAACTTGAAGCCAGATCCAGAAGCTAGGAATCATTTCCAACGTCAGGAGGAGGGAGGCAGCCTGGAATAGGCAATTTCAATCGTGTCTTAGTTGCGCAACTCGGCCTCCAGCCCAATGGAATGTTCGGGCATTGGAACCCGGCCCACATTCGTGCCGTCTTGACGAGCCTAAAGCCTTCTGAGATATCGTTGCCAGAAGCTATGAAGCAGGACGGAGGCCATCAGGCAGTGTTCGAGTATCACCTCACTGCCTGTGTGCGCACGCTGCTTCGGCGCTTTACTCGGCCTTGCCGATCGAATCAGCCTTCGCGCGCAGGCCAGCCGAACCAGGCTTGGTGAAGTAGCGGCCAAGCGTCGGCACAAGGAAAGACCTGAAGATCACATCGGCACCACTGTGGATTGGTAATTTTGTTAGCGCATTCCTCCCATGTGATATTTCCACCCGGTGGGGCACCAAAAGCTTCAGCTTACCGGAAGTAGGGCAGCGACAGCCACAAGAGGAAGATGAACTTGAACGTGAAGTAAAAGGGGAACCAGTAAACAATGTTGACAAAGCTCTCAATCACCCTGTTTTTTTTCGGTCAGCCCTGACATCATAGGTCATAGAAGAAGGCTGGGGACGGGCTTACGTGAACTGAGCAAAAACGACCCAGTAGGTCAACCATTGTGTGTCGTCCTCCTTGGAAGAACTGAAGAGAGCCTCAAGGGAGAAGTAACCCGGGATGACAAAGCCAGCAAAGTTGGTCAAGAGCTGCCCTCCCAGGTTGAAGATGATGAAGAACAGGTAAAGCGAAACAGCACCAAGAGCAGCGTAAGCCTTGGGCACCGAGGTCGTCTTCTCGAGGTTGTTCAGGACAGGGTACTTGGAGAGCTATTCACAGGCAGAAGTGTTAAAAAGGAATTGAACTTGATCCTTATCTTGGTGGCCACGGGCCGCAGCAAGCATGGCGCGCAGGTGACAAGGAACTAAAGGAAGGATTAGGCAAACCTCATGGTCGAGCTGCTTCACGTAGTACTGGACACGGTCCTGAGGGGAAGACATGGTGCTCGACTGCAAGTGGTCTGATGTGCTACAGCACAATTTGGTCAAAATGCCAAAAAAAAAGAAAAAACCAAGAGCAGGAAGCGTTCAGAAACTGCAGTTATTCTCAAGCATTAGTATCCCTGGCTAAGCTGCTCTTTCAGAATTTTCGATCAGGTAATGTCTGGATATATATATACCATGCCCGACGTACCTTTTTCGCTGATGTCGGATGGGAAGCGAAATGGAGAGGCGAAATAAGTTAAAAGAGATGGCGGAGGAAGAATACTAGGAAGGGCGAGCTGGAAAAGGGCGAATGCGTCAGAAGAAGACCGGTCGGAGCGGCTAGAATTATGTATTACGGAGCATGCTAGATGGTCAAGTTTAGCAGGTATGGAACGAATGACGACTGCTCCGTGTCCAGAGCAGATAGGAACAAATAAGGAGCTTGTAAAAGCTAATCTGTGCACTGTGCACCTTAGGGCACACCCCGCCTGCTTAGGCGGCCACATAAGCCATCCAAGATCTGAGAATGTTAGTTACAGTGCCATTGAATGATTGCGCACGTGGCGGGGACCGCTAAAAGACTGGCTGAGCAAGCTGGAACAGTGAGATAGCATGCACGTACAGGTACGCAATACCGTACATTACATGTGCCAAGGCCACAGTACTGCTACGACCTCTGCGGCTAGTCCGGAAGCGGCGCCACAAAGAGGGGTTGACATAGTATGCGACCAATTACAACAAATTCACACTCGTGACCCGGATTTATGCAGTGGCTGGGAAAAAGAAAGAACAATCCGCATGTTTTGGTTCCCCTTGGAGACAGCGGATCCTCGTTAGCCCACCGAAATCAAAACAAATCAAAACAACCACCCTTTTTCCTCACTCCCAGCTCCCTCTTCCCACCTGTCGTATTTTCACAATTATCACCGTCGCTCCCTTGTACCACGGCTTTTTGTCTCACGTTCGTTTGCCGTTGGTTAATTCGAAAACTGTCTTGTCCAGGTCGAGGGGTGAATCGATAGAGGCTTTTGACGTTCTTTGTTTTGGCTGTCGACTAAGCGACGGGGCAAAAAAAAAAACATCAACAGACGAAAAAAACCTGGCACAACAAAACATCAACAACAACAACCCCGGCCCGTAACATCCATAGTATGCTGCCTTCCCTGCACAACACAGCACTCTTCCATTTTACATCCTGTCCAGCTTCTTTTCTCTTGCGTTCGCTGCTCTTTTTATTCGCTGCAACGTGCATTTGACGAGCACGTCTGCGTTTGTTATGTGCGCCTGACCTTTTCTCCCAGTCTTTCACTCCACCTCAAAAACAGACTTGAAGCTGGCCAATGGCGGGCAACGACCTCTCAGATGCGCGGCGTCGCTCGCAGTCGCGCGCATCAACAAGCTCCTTGCATAGCGCCAGTACACAGCCAAACATCGACCATGGATTCGCCGACCTCTACTCGACACAATGGCTTGACGGAGGCGACCACCACCATCATCACCACCAAGCACAACCAAAGGGCCTTACTGCTGCTGCCGCAGCAGCCGGTGGCCATCCGCTAACTCCAGAAGAAATCATCCTGCAGGCGGCGTCGCAACTCGAGGCCAACCCCGAGTTTGGCGGCCTCGACACATCTATGACCACTTCTGTTGCCGGCAATGGCTCCCAATCTTTTCATCACCACAGCCATGCCAATGGCATGGGCCACCAACAGTCACTCCAGGGCGACAGCTTCAGTGCAGATAACAGCTTCGCAGAACTGGACAGCCAGCTGGCTATGGAACGTGATCCCAACGAGGAAGGGGATTCCTCCCTCGCTCTCGCCGGTCCCCCAAAACCTTCACGCTCCAGTGCGAACAATGAGCTGGAGATGCGCCAGCTGTTCAACGCAAATCAGAGCCGTAGCTTGCAAGAAGTGGCCGAGGAGCTCCACGGGAACGAGCGTGGGCCCAATTCCGAACGCACCCGCCAGGTGTTTGCAATGCTCTGGTACGTCGGGCCCTCACCTCTCGCTACAGTGCTCTCCTCTGTGTCGTAGGGCAGCATCTAACAGCCCCAGGATAAATCTAGTGTGTTCCAAGGGTAAAGGCTCTGTTCCTCGCGGCAGAGTATATGCCAACTATGCGTCTCGCTGTGCAACGGAGCGGATAACCGTGCTCAACCCGGCCAGCTTTGGAAAACTAGTCCGGGTTTTATTTCCCGGTTTGAAGACGCGCCGGCTAGGCGTCCGTGGCGAGTCGAAGTATCATTACGTGAACTTTACGTTGATCGAGGATGAGACGGATACACGCGACTCGCCAAAGCTCCGACAAGTGCCCCTACTGGACATCAGCTTTTCACAAAGTTTCAATGAGAGGTAAAGCACAGCTTTGGGTGGGCATATTCCCTACCGGAATCAGACGTTAACTCGTGAATCTTAGTGTCTCTTCTGTCGGTACAAACGGGAACCTACCGAGCAAGGGTGTCTTTCCCTCGCACACCCAAATCCGGCAGCAAAACCTCCAGCCAACCCAGCCCAACCCTCAGCAAAAACAGCACCGGGCTGCATTACTACATCTCCAGCAGCAGCAACAACAGCAACAGCAACAGCAACAACAGCAACAGCAACAGCAACAGCAACAACAACAACAGACCTTGTATCAACAGCATCGGTTGCAAGAGGCACATGCCCAAAAATCCTCCGGGGCGTACGGTTCATGTCTATACAATCAGCCGGATATCCCGGTTATTGAGCAGCTGATCCCAACGGCCGGCAGCAAGACTGTTCAAAACTTATTTCTAGCTTCAAGCGCCGACACAGAACCGTTTTCGCAATCCGATCCGCTCGTCCTGCCACGGATTGAGCCTTTCCTGCCAGCCGGCACCGATCCTGACGCAGCAAAGTCGTTGACAGCTCTATACCGATCGCATTGTACCTCGCTGGTGGAGTGCATTCGCTATTGCAAAGAAAAGACCTTCTTTCATCTTTTCACATCCTTCCAGGGCACGCTCACGATGCCTGTCCAGAAGCTGTTTGCCCACCCATCTGTTACGCCGTGGATTGAAGAATGCGACTTTGTTCTGTATCACAGAATGATGCGCATTATTTCCGGACTGACCCTGCAGGTCGTCCCCAAGCCTGTTCTTGATACACTCCGAAGCATCTCCGAGCGGCTGGTGCCACACATCCGCGACTCCTTCCAGGGCCAGCCAGCGCATGTTATCCGGGCCAAGGAAGCACCAGCAACGCTTTTTGCCGGCCTCCTAGACCGGGCGCTTCGAGTCAATTTGACAGCGCATGCGGCTGCGAACATGCTCTCCAACCCAGCCAACCGCGACCAGATGTACATCGACTGGATTACATTAGTTCGGATCCGGAAGATTGCCGAATGTATACCAGCACGAGGCATGGATGACCTAGTGAATCTGATCCTCTCCGAACTACGCAGCCTCCTCGATCCGATAAACATTGCGTGGGAGGTTGAGTCAATGACGCTGTATGGACAAATGGCGGCACGGAACGGACCTCGAATGGGAGACGCGAGCAACGCTGATGGCGGTGCATCGAACGTCTTGGACCGTTGGGTAAACTTCCTGCAGTCTCTTCCGGAGCGGTTTCCCTATGCCTCGCACAGGAATATTGTATGGTGTGTGCAGCGTGTGGGTACCGCTGTGATGCGGGACCTCACGATCCAACAAGGAAAGAGCTTCGGGTCGTGGTGGGTGACAAAGTGCTGGATCGACGAGATGGTGTCGTTCTTGGCTGAGCAAGGCGGATTCCTCCGACAGACGTCGTCTCAACAAGATCTGCTCAAGGGCAGCCAAGACGGCGGGTTGATACAAAAGCACATGCCTGTGGGGCGGGATCTGAGCCGACGAGGAGGGCGATACCGGACAGAGAGCGAGGACTCTGGACTGCAACATGTCACGCAGTCACAACCTGACCGAGCTCCGTTTCCTTCAGCGCCTGTCCAGGGAGGATCAACAACCAGCCACGACGTTTTGAACATGGGAAACGGGAGCCCTGATGACAGCGGCATCGGCATTCGGACCCCGGACGAGGACTTTCCTATGGAGAAGTTTACTTTCTCGAACGCAGAGAGCCAGGAACTCATGGCCAGTGCGGGGCTGCACTAATTAATAAGGGAGTGTGCTATAAGGCACAGCAGCGCCTGACTGGACGACATGGGCTGCTGCATTTGCGTTGGGTGTTTCTTCGATGTGTTTTTGGGATTTGGATTTGACGTGCATTCTAGTCGAAATCCCCCCTGTTTTATTAGCTTTTGGAGTTGAAGGGGATGCTTTATTTGTTCTTTTCCACACAGCATCGCATTGATGCACGACTGGACGAAGGGATGAGGATCACGTACCCTGGGCGATGGGTGGACGGACGGGCAGGCAAGCGGCACAGGGATACAGGAGGAGCTGTACACTATACACCTCTTCGGCCGGTGGCTCTGTATCTGTTTTGGCTGTACTTTTTCTGGTTTATGGCTCTTTGGAAGTAAGAGCTCTCTGCACTGGGCACTACGGGTCGAAGTAGTGGAGTCGGAGAGGGAGGCGTGTTGTTTTGGACTCTAAGCATATTGCAAGGCGAACAAGTTGGGAAGCCTATGTTTCAAATCTCGATGCAGGCTGCAAAGTGAATGATGATGGTGCATTTCCTTGACAAACAAACCACGTTCTCAACCCAAAGTAAGTAGAGGAAGGAACATCAGTTCAAGCATGCTAGCAGACGTCAAGACGACTAATATTATTGTTAGATAATAGTAAGAAACTACTTGAGGCACGTGTATGATTGAAGGCTAGTAAGACGATGCCATGCATACAGTATGGATACAGTGCGATTATTTGGCACTTAGAGGTGCTTGCAATGCTGCTCGAAAGGGTATGATACGAGTAAGTAGGCTACTACCTGTGACTGGGTATCACGCACTGTTCTCCGCCTTTTACGCATGGATCTCAACCGACTCTGATTTTGCACAACCAGGATTTATTTCATGTATTGACCTGAAAGTCCGTTTCTCTACGCCGCAGTACAAGATTAGGGAACGATTGGACCGCTCCTAGCATATTTTGCCAAACATCTTCCGACCAAACCGCCAGAATGGTGACAGTTATCGAGGATTCGATCAAGCTCCAGGGTGATGAATGGTACACAAAGACCTGGCTGGTGAGTTTGGCAAGCCCACACGATGTATACTTTGCCTAGCTGTCGGTGGATGGCTGACAGCTCCCTTTGCAGCCCGAGGGCCGTCCAAAAGCCATCCTTGTATTTGTGCACGGCTTCAGCGATCACGTCAACGCCTACTACGAGTTCTTCCCCACGCTGGCGGGCCGCGGCATTGCTTGCTACGGCTATGATCGCCGCGGCTGGGGACGCTCAGTGAGGAAAGGGAGTGACTGTGGCCGCACGGGTCCCACGAGCACGGTGATGACAGACATTGCCGCCTTTGTCTCATCGGTCCTGGACCGGAACTCGAGCAACGGTAACGGCGATGGGCCTGTCTTTGTCATGGGCCACTCCATGGGTGGAATCGATGTTGCCACCTTCATGGCCGCTCCGGCCGGCTCGCCGCGTGAGGCCATCGTGCGCCGGATTCGCGGCTGGATCTTCGAGGCGCCCTTCTTCGGCTTCCCCGCCGGCGAGGAGCCGAGCATCGTCAAGGTCGTTACCGGCCGTCTTGCCGGCCGGCTCTTCCCCAATATGCAGCTCAAGAACACCATTCCGGCCGAGTACTTCTCGCGCGATCCCGTTATCGTCGACACGATCCGCAACGATGCTCTCTGCCACGACACGGGTACGCTGGAGGGCCTCGCCGGCCTGCTCGACCGTGTTTCCGTCCTCGCCAGCGGCGGCTGTGTTCCCCATGCTGCCGTGACCAGCATCTGGATCGGCCACGGCACGGACGATCGCGCGGCCAGCTACTTCGCCTGCAAGAAGTGGTTCGACAGCAGCTCTGCCGCGGCCGTGCCAGACAAGACCCTGCGCACGTACGACGGGTGGCTCCATCAGCTGCACGCCGAGCCCGAAGCCGACCGCCAGCTGTACTATCGCGAGGTCGGCGACTGGATCCTGGCTCACAGCGAGAAGGAGGACGGGGACGGGGAGCCCTCGAGCGACGCCGCATCTGCGACACCACCAGCGCCAACACCGGCAGAGCCTGCCTCTCCGCTTGCAACAGAGCCCGCAGATCCTGTGGTCGAGACCGAACAACCGGCCGCTGTACCAGCTGGAGACAAGGAAGAGTCCAAGCTCTGATACTGGCCGAAAAGTGCTAGATCATACGTTCACTCGAACGATCCCCATACTTTGCATGTTATTGGGCGATTTTCACTGGATGAAACGTGCAAGATTATGCAGGAAATACGATTACAGATGGCTTGACGAACAAATTCTGTCACAGAAGAAGGCTATGCGATATGGTGACCTTGTAGGCAATACTTTGAAGTTTCATGCTATAACATGTAGCCTCGTTCCAGGGGTTTTCTGATAGGAAATATTATATTAGGCCTTATGAGTTTGCAGACTAGTAGTTCATTTAAGCCAGAAAAAGGAAAGCGATTGTTTCTAATACGTAAGATAATTGAACAATACTAAATGCACGTATACTAGAAGTCGGTAGAGGCTGTACAGCCGATCTCAATGCCGCAGCTAGAAAGACACATCACGTAGAGCCAGTGTCCCCAAAAAGTCCAACAGATAATTCGCTATTCCGTAGGTGTGGTTACAGGACAGTTGTGCAATTGTGCTGCGCCGGCGCATCGAGGCTGGTGCGCCAAAACGAGGCTGTCGACCTGTTAGCCGTTTTGGGTGAGTCAAAGCCGACAAGAAGGCGGTCAAACACGGCTATAAAGTGGGCCGGCGAGCCCAGTCACTGGGAGTCGCAAAGGAGGGGCAACACAGATTTCCTAGCGACCTCAATTGGGCCTCTTTAACACTGTCTACTAAAGTTTGCCGTTTTTGTGTTCCTATTTTTCCGGCTCACAGTTGCAAACTTCCAACACTGCTTCCTCACCACCACCCTCCACCACCATGGACGGACAAGACGCTGCCGTGGGCTCTGAGCGCACGCTGAAACTGGAGAACGTATGTCTTTTCCGACTCGGTCGTCGTTCGACCCCACTCCCACACTCTTTCTCTGCTCGCCGATAGCTAACAAGAGAACGCAAATATTGTAGACTGAGAAACGTGACACCCTGATTGCCGTATGTTTCGTCCCCAACATGTCTCGAGGCCGCAGACTCGCCCGCCTATTCGGACCCGCTTCAACATTCATTTTCATCTCTCTCTCGCCTCCCACAATTGACAACTGACTGTCGTACGCTTCTTTTTGAATATAGGACGAACGCCGCTTCCAGGATGAGTGGGAAAAGGCAAAGCTCTTTGAGCAAGAGGCACCTCTGCCCTCTGAGCCCCAGCCGGAGAAATTGTTCACTACCATGGCGTATCCGTACATGAACGGCAGTCTGCACGCTGGCCACTGCTTCACCTTTTCCAAGGTGGAGTTCATGACCGGTTTCGCTCGCATGGAGGGACGCAGGGCTCTGCTGCCACAAGGCTTCCACTGCACAGGCATGCCGATCAAGGCTGCCGCTGGTATGTCGAGATTTTGTGAAACTCGGGCCGATTTCAGAGCGTGGCAGGACTGAGCCGGTGGTAATAGATGCTGACTCGCCCCGTTAACAACAGACAAGCTGAAGAGAGAGGTGGAACTATTTGGTCAGAACTTTGAGAATGCCGATGTCGAGGAGGTTCTGGCTTTGCGTCCGGCCCCAACTGCTGAGGCGACCGCAAAGACCGATCTGGGCAAGTTTGGCAGCAACAAGAGCAAAGCGACGGCCAAGACAGGCAAAGCCAAGTATCAATTCCAGGTTCGCCTCCCTCTTCCTACCACTCAGTTTCTAATTTGTACTATCGAACTAAACTCATTCTCCCTATCTTCAGATCATGATGTCTCTCGGATTTCAACCGGAGGAGATACACAAGTTCACCGACCCGGAGCATTGGCTGCAGGTGTTCCCTCAGCGGTGCGAGACTGATCTTCGGCGGATGGGTGCTCGCGTAGACTGGCGTCGCTCGTTTGTCACCACTCCGGCCAACGCGTTCTACGACTCGTTTGTCCGCTGGCAGATGAACCGCTTGAAGGAACTTGGCAAGATCAAATTCGGCAAGCGCTACACTGTGTACAGGTGAGAGGCTTGTGTCTACCAGCCGATTCTTGAAACGACCGTGCTGACTGGAAATCAAACAGCCCCAAGGACGGCCAGGCATGTCTAGACCACGACCGCAGCTCTGGAGAGGGCATCACGGTTCAGGAATATGTCGCTCTGAAGATGAAAGCTGTTGAGTGGTCGGAGAAGGCCAAATTGGTCATTGGCGACAAGCTCCCAGCTGATGCAGACGTCTATTTCATCCCGGCCACGCTGCGCCCAGAGACCATGTACGGCCAGATCTGCTGCTTTGTCGGCCCGACAATTGCCTACGGAATCTTCAAGGGCTCTAAGATGGACGGCAAGGACGAGCACTTCCTGTGCACAGAGCGTGCCGCCCGCAACATGGCATACCAGAAGATACTTCCGTGGGGCGAGTTCGAGGCCGAAGTTCAGCTTCTGGGCTCCGACGTCATCGGCACTGTGGTTACTGCCCCGCTCTCAGTGTACGAAAAGGTGCGCATTCTGCCTATGCAGACGCTGAAGCCAACTAAGGGCACCGGTGTTGTCGCCTGTGTCCCGTCCGACAGCCCTGACGACTATGCCACGGTGACGGAGCTGCGGAAGAAGCCTGAATACTATGGCATTGAGCCACAGTGGCTAGAAAACGAGATCTTGCCCATAATCCAGACACCGTCGTCAAACATGATTGCCAAGGAGCTGGTCGAGAAGCTCAAGATCAACTCTCCAAAGGACACAAAGCTTCTGGAGCAAGCTAAGGAGCAGGCATATAAAGAGGGCTTCTACCAAGGTACTATGTTGATGGGGGAGCACAAAGGCAAGCCCGTCCAGGATGCCAAGCCCTTGATCCGCAAACAGCTCTTGGATGCGGACGAGGCATTCAACTACGCCGAGCCTGACGGCGAGGTCATTTCTCGTTCGGCCGACGTTTGTGTTGCCGCCTATCTGGATCAGTGGTACCTGAACTACGGCACGACCGAGAACGGTGGCGATGGGGCTTGGTGCGAGCAGGTCCTGGAAGCGCTGGAGGACGGCACTACCAACTGCTTCTACCCGGAGGCAAAGCATGCGTTTGAGCAGACACTGAACTGGCTGGGACACTGGGCTTGCAGCCGTTCGTATGGACTGGGCACCAAGCTACCCTGGGACCAGTCTCAGCTGGTCGAGAGCTTGAGCGACAGCACCGTCTATATGGCCTACTACACTGTTGCTCTCTACTTGCACGGAGACATTTTTGGCAAGACGCCTGGAAAGTCGTCAAAGCCTATCGCACCAGAGCAGATGACGGATGAGGTATGGGACTACATCTTCTGCCGGACTGACGCTGTTGATTCCGACATTCCCAAGCAGGATCTGGAAGCCATGCGGAGAGAATTCGAATACTTTTACCCGCTGGATGCTCGGATTTCTGGAAAGGACTTGATCAACAACCATCTCACCTTCTGCATGTACCACCACGCCGCTCTTTTCCCCAAGAAGTACTGGCCTCGTGGAATCCGCGTTGTGAGTACACGCACATGAGTATAATGCTCTTATTTTTACGGCAGACTGCTAACGGGCGTTTTGCCAATTTTAGAACGGACATCTACTAGTCAACGGACAGAAGATGAGCAAGAGCACTGGCAACTTCTTGACGCTGCGTGAGTCCACGGAGAAGTTTGGTGCCGACGCAACACGCATTGCTCTGGCCGATGCTGGCGACGGTATCGAAGACGCCAACTTTGAAGAGACGGTAGCCAATGCGACTATTCTGCGGCTTTACGAGCTGCGGAAGTGGGCGCAGGAGACGCTGGCTGGCGAGTCTCTGCGCAAGGGCGAGCTGGGTCTCTTTGATAAAATGTTTGAGAATGAGCTGAATTCGCTCGTCCTCGAGACCAAGAAGCACTACCAAGGAACGCTGTACAAGCTCGCCTTGAAGAGTGGGTTCTACGACTTTGTCACCTCGCGTGACTGGTACCGGGACATCACCAAGGCGTCTGGCGACGGCATGCACTACGACCTTGTGAAGCGGTACATCGAGCTGCAGGCACTTCTGCTCACGCCAATGTAAGTGATAACTGGCACCTGCAATGACATCAGCACAGCTGAGCCGAGCTGACACTGCATGACAACAGTGCACCTCACTTCAGCGAATATCTGTGGCGCGATGTTTTGAAGCATTCCGACAGCATCCAGAATGCGCTGTATCCTGAGGTCCCGGCGCCTAACCCGAGTTTGTCAGCTGCGCGCAACTACATCCGCAGTGTAAGAGTACCCAGCATTCCTCAACACGCTATATGGACAACTGACACGCTTATTTGCAGACCACGTCGAGCATCACGGCCGCAGAGGGCCTGCAAGCCAAGAAGCTTGCCAAGGGCAAGGCCGTTTCTTTTGACCCTAAGAAGCCTAAGAACCTGACCATTTTCGTCGCGGACAAGTTCCCAGAGTGGCAGGACAAGTGCATCGGGCTCGTGAAGCAGGTTCTGGAGACGAAGGGCAGCTTTGACGTCAAGGCAGTGACCAGCCAGCTGGACAAGTCGGAGCTGAAGCGGTCTATGCCGTTCATTCAGGGCTTGAAGAAGCGTATCGACAGCGGCGAAGATGCCGAGCAGGTGTTCAACCGCAAGCTGTCGTTTGACGAGCTGGCCACGCTGGAGGCCATGATTCCTGGGCTGAAGCAGACGGTGGTCAAGCTGTCGTCGGTAAGCCTCGTGTCTATCCTGCCGGGTGCAACAACAGGAAAGGTGTATATGAACAGCGACGGAAAAAAGGACGGTGCAATTTTGGATGCCTTGCCGCCTCCGGCCGCTTCAGCAACGCCGGGTAACCCCAGCTTTTTCTTCGAGAATGCGTAAGAACACTGAGGCTTTGAAAACTATAGAAGGAAATAGTGTGAACCACAAAAGACCGGTCCAGGCCTCCTGGTTGTTTGCAATGCCGAAAATCTAAAAGGCGAAAGTAGGTAAAGACGAGGCCTATTCCCACCTCAAGAAGCTACACGGACAATACGACATAGAGGGTGAGTTGAACAGCAGCAAAGTACGCTAGATTGAGCCGGGTTCAGGATCTTCAGAAATTCGCAGGTTTATTTGTGTTCCAGGCCTCGCCAAGCTTGCAGATCGCCGAAGCAAAGCATTTCCCATTTACAAGTTGGGCATGAAATTGTGGGGCTTGGACGGTTGCCGCAAGAGCTTCCTCTTCTGGAAAGCTTTTTCCTCTGATACAGTGTCATATTGAGATACGACTATGGGTGCACCTTCCTATTTCTCCAATGCCGCGAGGACCACGCAACAGGATCTACGAGCGAAGAGAATTAGAACAATAAATAGCCGTTTTCCCAAGCTTTATGGGCTCCCTCCTTCTAGCCAACGACCGTAAAGATACATATTTGGGCAGAGCTGCAGCCGAGCTTACGCGCAGATCCTCGCTCTTTCTTCCTTGTTATCTCTTGGCCTCTGTCATTTCGCCTACTACTCCGTATGTATTACTCTATGTATCTTACGTCGTAAGCTCCACCGTCGAATACGGAGTAACACCGCGCATATAGAAACCCTACTCCGTACTCCGTACGTCGTACTCTTTACATTGCAACAATAGAACCCCCACGAGTTTCTGGTGCGACCCATCTATTCAATCCTTTTCTGAAGTATAATTCGATCACCACTGGTTCAGTCAGACTCCCACTCATTTCCCTTGAATGGTTACATTTTTGACCTTGCTTTTTGCTCATCCCTCTCTGCGACGCGCAATACATCTCGCCATCGGTAGGGTCATATCCATATCACTTCTCGATAGCTTGGTCTCGCTGGCCCACCGCGGGAAGATCACAGCCAGCGACCATGGAGCCCGATGTGAGCTCCAGTGTCAGGCATTCACATATTTTTCGCATGGAATCCTTCAGCCCGGGCCGTTCTTCGTCACGCCAAGCGCAATCCCCATCACCCTCGGTCGCATATGCTGGCGATAGTAGCGTTCTTGGCGCAGGAAGCGGCCTCGGCGGGAGCAGCTCTGATAAAGGCAAAAATGGCGCCTCCAGCACCGGCGTAGAGGTCAAAACCGATGAACAGGATGCTGCTATTGAGCGCCATTCATCGACTCATCCATTTGGCTCCAACGGCCAGAGTAGCCAGGTGGTGAGCGGAGCATCCGATGTCGAAAGCCAAACCACAACGGGCGCCGGTGCCGGTCGCTTGCCGCGACAGTCGAATGAAAGTGACCCTTATGGCCTCTCGTCTGCCTACAAGACGGACCTTGACCTGGAGGAGATACGACCATCGGGCTCCCGCAAGCGAAACACGGGCCGTGTTGATAGCAATGATGGTGGTGTGGTGGCTGGGGAAGTAGCAACCAGCGAAACTGTCAGTGGAACAGCAGCTGGAGTGGCCAGCGGGCACGGAAACAATACGAGCGATTCAGGCTTGTTAGCCCGGTGTCTTCCGGCGTCGATGGCAAGGCTTACATCACTGTCTTTTGCACGGGCACCACGGCGTGCCCTGCAGACGCGAAGACTGAAGGGCTTCTACAAGTCGCAAAATGCGGCCATTGAGCGTATGCTCAAGAGCGTTGAGGAGCATCAGGCAGAGGCGCGCCAAGAGCAGGGCGATGACCAGCTCAAGTACCGCATCGCCGTGTATGGCTCGTTCGTTGCCAACATCATTCTTGCAATACTGCAAATTTACGGGGCCGTGTCGTCCAGATCGCTGTCTCTCTTCACGACCATGGCGGACTCGATTTTCGACCCCATGTCCAACATCACGCTCATCCTCACGAACCGGGCGGTGAAGAGAGTCGACCCGGCACGCTTCCCATCGGGCAAGGCACGGCTGGAAACAGTCGGCAACATTGTATTCTGCTTCCTGATGATAGCGGTCTCTTTCATTCTGGTTGCGTTTTCGATCCAAGAGCTCGTGGAGAGACATGGGGAGGACTCCAAGAACAGATTCCACCTGCCGTCGGTCATCGCTGTGGCCATCGCCTTCTGTACGAAGCTCGTCCTGTTCTTCTACACGTGGGCTCTCAAGGACAAGTACAGCCAAGCAAACATTTTATGGCAGGATCACCGGAACGACTTGCTGATCAACGGCTTTGGTATCTTGACCAGCGTGGGCGGCAGCAAGCTGGTCTGGTGGATCGACCCGATGGGCGCCATTGTGCTGAGCGTCGTGGTAGCGACGGTCTGGCTGCACACGGCCTTTTCCGAGTTTCTGCTGCTGGTGGGCGTTGTGGCTTCCGTGGAGACGCAGCAGCTGATCACGTATGTATGCGTCACACATTCGCCTGCGGTGCGCCAGATCGACACGGTGCGCGTCTACCACTCAGGCCCACGGCTCATTGCGGAGGTGGATGTGGTGATGGAGCGGAATGCGACTCTGGCAGAGACCCACGACGTGGCGGAGGCGCTGCAGTCCAAGCTCGAGTGTCTACCAGATATCGAGCGGGCGTACGTGCATGTGGACTACGAAACTACACACAAGCCGGAGCATGCATTGAAGAAGGACATCTGAGCGGGTCGACGGGGGCGTGACACGAGGTTTCGGCAAAGGCGTTAACATTTTTTCCATTTTTTCCAAGTTTTAGGTTTGGCAGCCTGATCGGATTCGTGATAATTGACGCTTGTCCTGTTGACAGACATCCGATCCAATGCTTGCCGCACCCATGAAGGATGAGAGGATCCATGATGTCGCCCAAGTCCCCACCAAAGTAGCGAGTAGGATGTCTTACCTGAGAAAAAGAAGCTCCTGAGCGGAGCGGTCAAAGTGCGTCACAGCTATCGTACGTACGACAAAATGGGTCATGCGGCCATGTTACGACGTATATGCAGAGGATCAGGCGGGCTCGATTTTTTCCCAATGGCGGGGAAAGCCAGAGGTCGGGAAATATAACAATGGTTCTACGTAGCACGAATGGCGTCGATAGTACCAGAGAAGCCCTCGTGCCGTGCATGCCGCGGCGTTGTTGAAAACTGGAGCCCAGATAAAGGCAGTGGACAAGGATCAACAACAAGGAAGATATGACTGCAGTCTTTAGATACACATGCGCGCAGTAATTGGCAAGCGGCTGCGCTGTTCTTATACTGATATCTTACAGGTCCAGCACGGCTGCGAAACGGCTGACACAGCGGGAAAGACCCCACCTCTCCGTCTCTGACTGGTAAGAAATGTTGACAATAGCTTCCCGCGCAAGCTGTCACTTATGACCGTTCATGCTACGTTGGCTGTACGTGGACGGAGCAGACTCCAGAAAAAAAAGTCGCGCAATCGCAGGCCCCGTCTTTTCTCTGACTTGTCGTCGACCCAGTACTTTATATCTCGTCGTCTTCGCCCGGCGAGTTCCAGCCAGCTGTTTCTTTTACGGAATTCGACCCAACATATTAGCGCGCTTTTTCCTCGTCAAAACCCACCTCGGCTCTTGACCCTCAAGAACGCCCCATGTCGGTGGACCCGTCGCGCATCTACATAGTAGTATCACGAGTTTTGATGAGGATACAGCATAACTAACCGCAGTCACATCACAGAGCCGTCTTGCAAAGGTGCCGTTTGGCAGTCTGGAGATAAGATACAGGCCGTACAATACGACTGTAGCGGTTGTGATAGCTAAACCTACCTTCCAGTGACAGCTCCAGCAGCCAATCAGTTTCGTCCATCACAGGGCAAGCTCCCGTTTCATTCCCCTTTCTGTTGTGCTGGTTTTTTTGTGCTTTGCTTCTGAGACATTGGCATTAGTATTTTGCTTCCCAAAACACGGGAGAGGTACGAGTACGAGTCGAGAGAGGGCAGTTGCACCACCTTGCCCCAGCCTTCGGTTTCCCTCTTTCGCTCCTCCCTTCCCGCTTTTTCCTGCTTTGCTCTCCTGATTTTCTCATCCCTCACATCGGCTGTCATCTTTTGTTGGGCATCATTTATGCGTGCAGAGCGGTAACCTGTCTGCAATATCAGGCACATCTCGCGATCCCCTCATTTCGTTATTTTTCTTCCTGCACAGTCTTCCCCACCTATGCATCTCATTTAGCCATCTGCTTTTTGCTCATCTGGCTTGCCCTGTTTAAATCTCCTGGCCCTCACTGTTGTCCTTCATTCCTACCACTTGCTACGCCAGCTGACCAGCTTCCATGCCCGTCTCAACGTTCAGTCCCACACGTTCACGCATCTTGCCCCTCTCACACCTTTGGTGCGATAGTCGCCCACAATGGCCCAACAAGACGGAGAAGATGTTTATGCCACGGTATGACAGCTGCAAATCAGGCTCTGTCTCATCGGGTTCTGTTCCCGACATTTGCTGACATAAGATCCACAGCTGCTCCTGACCGACTCATACCTTCCAGGTACGATGGCGCCTCTCCTCAACCTCCTCAGACCTTCAATCTCGTCTTTTCATTGCTAACTCATCCTCTAGGAGCACTGGTTCTTGCCCACTCTCTTCGCGATGCCGGCACGACCAAAAAACTGGCCGTGTTGGTTACCGCCGACACGGTCTCCAACGAAGTCGCCGGCCAGCTCAGGGTAAGACTCCTTCGTATTCCGTCTGAAACACTGGCCGTTTACTTTGAGACTAATACATATCACAGAATGTGTTTGACTACGTCATACCAGTCACTCGCATCAGGAACGTTGTGTCGCCCGCCAACTTGGACCAGATGAACCGTCCCGACCTGCACTCTGCTTTCACCAAGATTCACCTTTGGAATCAGACTCAGTTCCGCAAGATCGTCTACATCGATGCCGATGTGGTGGCTTACCGGGCTCCGGACGAGCTCTTCGACCTGCCCAATGCTTTTGCCGCTGCCCCCGACATTGGCTGGCCCGATCTCTTCAACACTGGTGTCATGGTCATCACTCCCGACGTTGGCGAATACAACACCCTTCTTGAGAAAGCCCAGAATGGTATATCCTTTGACGGCGCGGACCAGGGCCTCCTCAACATCCACTTCAAGGGCAACTTCCACCGCCTGTCTTTCACGTACAACGTCACGCCTTCTGCCCACTACCAGTACCTCCCAGCCTACAATCACTTCCGGTCCAGCATCAACATGGTCCACTTCATTGGAACCAACAAACCTTGGGTCCAGGGCCGTGGAGTGTCTACTGGTAGTACGGCGTACGACGAGATGGTGGGACAGTGGTGGTCTGTATACGACCGTCACTACAGCAAGGCCGTAAGTCTGCGGCCAGCCCTGAGCTCACTATATTCTATCTGTGTTGTCTGTAATCTAACACTGTGACCCAGGCGCCCGAACTTGTTCAATACTTTGTGAAGGGCGAATTCAAACCTACTGGCACATTCAAACTAACAGCAGACGGACAAACTTATAACTGGGGAAGCACGTCTTACGGTCAGCATCATGAAGCACAACCACCTTCCTTCACCCAGCACCAGCACCAGCACCAGCACCAGCAACAAACCCCATTCCAAGACAGCAATGGCGAGAACCAGGATCCCAGTGGACACCAGGAGCCTGGGGAAATCCGGAAGCACGGCAAATCCCCAGGCAATCACGACCATTGCTCGCATACTCACAACACCCCGCATTTCGGCTTGCCGATTTCGTCTCCCTCTTTAACGATTATGGAAACTGAGAATCGAGAAGACCAGATACAGGCGTCTATGCATTATGGCTGGGATGCTCAAAGGTTAGTGCATACTGATGTCTTGGGGCCTATACCTTTTACCACATACTAACCTATATACCAGACAACCGCCGCCAGTGAACGCCAGGCCAGAGGCACTGAACCTGCCCCGAACCCATTACGAGATGTCCCAGGACACGAATCAATTTGTGGCCCCCCGGAGCTACCCAAGCCCGCCACACAACATGTACGACATTCCGACAGGAGCACACCAGAAACCTCACACAGTATTCCCTTGGGAGGGCCATCAACCGGCACCCACGCGTGTCTTTGCCGAACCAGCGCCCCCGCCACCGCATGAAGCCCCAGTCGAAGAACAGTCGAGTCAGTCTGGACTCTACTCCGACCAACTACAGGAGGAACTGGGAACTGAGCCATCCGTGACTTCAGGTTCTCCATCAATCGGCCCACAGACTGAGCCGACTACACCAACCACGCCTACTGCTCGCCAGTACCCCCCCGCTGATCCCTGGGCGTCCTACACTCGGACAAATGCCTGGGATGACGTGCCGCAGATTGAGCGGTACGTCGACAGCTTCCAGAAGCAGCACCTACGTGCTCGTAGCCGTGGACAGGTCCCCGGCACTATCCAGCCAAAAACCAGTGCCGATATGGTGACAGGATCTGGAGGCGGAATTGGCGAGCAGCATGGCTCAAGAGTCACCGACTTTCCGAGCGAGGCTGAAAGACCCAGTCTGCCAGTCACACCAGCACCGGTCCGTCGGCCCAAGTACTGGGCTGGTGACGGCCCTGGCTTTGGTGTCAACGGTGACGCGGATGCTGTCAATCACTTGCTGCCGGCTGCCGATGGTGTGCCGCAGCAGAGTGACTGGGTATGTTTGCATGGTGTCCAGTGGACACCAACAGACTGCCTTTGCGACCTTACTAACCCATTTCGAAATTTCAAGGATCCTGTAGCGCAGTTGCAGAAGCTTGCGAAGCAGCAGTCGAAGGCACTGCTGAGGAGGCTGGGACCAGAGGATGGAACTGTCACTAGCATAGAGGAGGACATGGCCGGGACGGGTGTGCGTGTTGTGAGTCCCAAGCCAGTCAAGCCTAGTGCTTTGAAGACGAACTTTGTCCGCAACTTGGGCGGTGACAACATCACGATTGTGGATCCCTCTTACATGGGACCGGGGATTTCTTTTGAGAAGGACGAGGGATTCCTGAGCCACGGCATGGCAGCAGCCTTGCCGTCGGAAGAGGATATGGATGTTTTGGACACTTGAACGATGTCAGTTGGAGAAAAGTCACTCTTTTGTTTTGTGCTTGGAAACGGCTTGAACTGTTTTTGCCTACGTTTTTATGGTTTTCTTTCGATATGGTGTGCAATGCAATGGTTCGAGTGTGAATTGAGAGTGAAAATCATGCGTCTGAAGATGATCAGTTCGGCCTATAGCTCAACGTTGTGACGCTGCCAGTTACCACCACTTCTCATATAGGACATTTGACAACGGCAAACCGAGCCCACCACTCTTCCGAGATGCCGTCAAGTGTGCTACAAAGGCATCTGTCATGGCGGGTACGCCGCACACATAGACGTACGTTCTCTTGATGATACTGGCATGGTCTTCTCCAGTTCCTAGGCCACCAAGGACGGCCGCATCCAAATCGGCTGTGGTGATGCGTTTTCGGCCGTAGGAAACGTCCAGCCCATTGCACATCAGTTTACCAGACAACCCAGCAAAGATGCTGCCACCCGTTAGGAACAGCTGAAGCTTTCCACGAAGGCGCTCCGTGGAGAAAAGCGAAGCTAGGCGGTCGAGGAAGAGAACGCGCGAAGCAGGAGAGTCGTCATCGGCTTTGCTGTTGGTTGACAGTGATTCTTCTTCTCGCGTCGAATAGAGCATCTCGACTACAGGGGCGGCTTCTTGCTGGTCCCCTAGATAGCTCAGCATGCTTATCAGCGGGTTGATACCGACACCGCCGGCCACAAAGACAAAGCGGGCGCGAGGCGCAAGAGTCGGGCTGCCTCCTAGAGACGGTGGCGGGAACACGAAGCTGCCACCGACGCGCACTTGGAGGGTGTCGCCCAGGATTGCGGCCGCGGGCTGCCACAGCCACTCAGCGGCCGGGTTGTCGGACGCCTGGCGCACAGCCAGCTCAATGTAGCAAGGGTGGCCGTCCTGCCGGCTAACAGCCCGCGATGGCGCAGACGTGATAGTGAATCCGCCAGCCTTCGTTACGCCTGGACAGAACGTGTCGATCCACTGACCGGGTAGAAACTGCATGGGCTGTTAGTTGCCCGCGGCTGCCAGCACACGCACGCTTGGAGGCTGTACCTGAATGTCGGGGCTTCCAGGAGGGATCTGGAGACGCAAGACGCGGATGGTCCGGCCAACGGGCTGGATGTCGGACAGTATGACCGAGTGCATCGCCTGCGAGCGTGTGTCAGGAGGGGAGCTGTCGATAGGGCAGAGCGACACCAAGCGGGCAAGTCAAGAGGGCCCGGGAGACGTACCCGGTCACGCGGCTCGGCCGCTGTTCGCTCCAGATGGCTCTCCTTGACTTCTCTTCCTATCTCTGTCATTGTTGCTGCTGCTAATATCTGGTGATGGAGGACGGCATGAGCAGTTCGTCTGTCTTGAGATAGGGAGCAAGGAATTCGGGATCCATAATGCGGGGGATAGGCGTCTAGACACCTTATACCGTTTGTCAGCCGGAAGGCCGACGAGCCTAATGTAGTCCTCGTCACATATTCTATGATCCCTGGCATGTTGATGTCTTTTGTGGTGGATGCAGCCAGGCGGTGTCTCTTTAGAAAATTGCAGGCAGGCACACCACCGGGTCGCTCTTTCCCTCCTACAGGTACTTTGAAGCGCCCTGGGTGCCCCTTCTCAGGTTGGCAGTCAAAATCGTATTCTGTACCTTTTATTGTTGTCATTTTCTCGTAATTCCAGCCATGCCTTGCTTTCGCGGAATTGATCTCTCAGTCGTCTCGACGGCAGACTGCAGGGCCTTCCCAGAGTTCCCGCACCCAGACGGCTCATCAGCCAGGTTCGGTGGGTTGAATGCTGACCGGAAACACAAGAGCTCTGTCTTCCTCAGTCCCAGACCCCAGGCAGAGGTCTGTGAGGGCACGAAAGACGACGTTCAAAAGGTCACTCCCAGAATTTCCGTCTATATTCCATCTGCACCAGGTACGGGCTTCAGGTTCCATGCTTCTCAACGCAGTTTCCACAGCTGACAGGTAGGAACACGTCTATCAGATACATGCTTCTACATACAGTACAGAATCAACCAGCTACCGATCGGCCACAAGTATCTCTTTTTCAAGGTGCACATAAACGGCCGCCAGATAGTTGCCTGGGGCATCAATCTGCACAAGACGACGTCGGGAGCTACCAATCAGGCCCTCTTTCAGCCGTCTGAGCATTACCAGTACAACGATGATGGGGTTGTGATCGCGGAGCCGGGCATCGAATCGAGGTGTTTTCTGTTTGTACCCAACGCCTCGGGCACGGCAGCATCTGTCGCGGAAGACGGGGGCCTCATTGAGATTCAGGTGTTCAGGGCAAAGACCAGGAGGAGACGTGCACCACGGCTGGATAAATGGTTGGAGAGAGGGAGATACGGGATTGCGTGGGTTCCCCCTCTGTGCAGTGCTGCCGCCTTTGATCTTACACTGACAATGCATATCGTCACTGCACAGCCTCGTCAGCAACGGCCTCTTGGAGAACCCGCACCTGGCAGACTACTACGACTATCATCTGGCCGATGCCAGGGACTTGCCATACTCGTCCTTTCTCTTTCACTACCGCTCGTGGGACAACCTGAGACAGCTGCAGCTTGCTCCACCGGAACGACCTGAATTTCACTGGCCAGACTCGCCCTACAACGTGGAGTTTAGAGAAGATTTCAAAAAACCAGACAGATCAGGCAGCCAGAAAGCTTGAAAGTCCTGCACCACACCCCTTAGTAAGACCGTTGCCTCTAGTGCCATATTCCCCGGCACTTCGACTACCAGCCCGTGATCTGGGAGAACCAGAAGACGAAGATACGTGCGGTCCAGAAGCAGAAATGCATTACACCCACGGTCTGCCAGCCGAAGACGACGTCTTCCTGCCTTTGCCACAAGATTCCCCAGATGAGCACAGAAGCGATAAGTCCAGATCGGCAGGGATCATGATGTTTCCGTTCACGGACAGCCTCCGCAAGCGCGAGGTGTCGAATCCGGCGTCGGTGGCATATGCTCAAGAATATTACCTTCACAGCAGAGAAAGCCCAACGCCGAGACGGGGCCGTGGGGAAAGATCGGATTTGATTCAGAAGTATATAGAGTCGCTAGACATCTTTTAAGAACCCCACTCGGGTATTGGAAGGAACTCAAAGCAGGCCACAGCAGCCTGGTGTTTGCACAAGTTTCGAAAAGGGTTGGGTGAAGGGCTTGTTTCGTAGTCTCCTTTCTCGAAGTCCAATTGCAGGTAAAATACATATACTCATCCATTGGCTCCAGCCTGCACTGCGGGCAGCCTATGCCGAGCTTAGGAACTTCTGCGAGTCCTCGTCCTTGCCCAGCAGGCCCAGGCTCCGTATCTGGCCAGCATTTGGTGCGGCGTCTCGCGGAGTGGCAGCCTCGGCTTTCCGGAGCGCCAGCTGCAGGGTCCTTACACGTGCGGCCTGCAATTGCGAGGCGGGTCAGCAAAGGCAAGAAAATCTAGAGGTGCAAAGACAGAGGGCCGAGTGACAAACCTCCTTCTTGTGGTGCATGCACTCGTAGTAGTCCTCAAGCAGCGGAGAGCACTTCTTGCGGCCGGTGCTGTCTTCGCCGGACGAGTTGACGACATAGCAGGCGAGAACCTCCTGCCAGAAGGGAAAGCACCGTCCCGGACCTGAGCAGCGGCAGTGTCAGCAGCCGGAAAGTGGAGTGGGCAGATGTGGGCAGACGTGGGCAGCCGGCAGCCGGCAGTGGCCGTATCTCACCTCCGTTCAAGCCGAAGCCGGATGACATGGTATGCGAGTCGAGGCGGGTGTGGGTGCAGCAATTGCGGGTAGGCCGGAGCAGAAGAGCCCGGTCCTGTTGATTGAGAGAGCGAGGCGAGACCGAGAGAGTGGCAGACCAGGAGAGCCGTTTGTTCGTTTCGCGATGATGGGCCAAAGAGCCGGCAAGCCGGTGGAGCTTTGGCCCTTGATTTTCTCGGGAAGCAGGCAAGCCACAGCACCGCCACATTAAGCAGAATTACGTCGCCTGCAAATGGCCGGGCGGGCTGACTGCGCCACAGAAGCTCTTTTTTACGGAGCAGCTACGACGTATTAACACGTTTGCCCATTCTCCACTCTACACTGGTCTCTGAGCTCGAACTGAGTCGACAGGCGAGAAGGCGCGCGCAGGACGAGCAAGTCATGTGCTGACAGACCGGGCGACGCACACAAGAGCAACAAGAGCAACAAGAGCAACAAGACAACCGGACATGCGACAGAGATGGCGGCCGTCCTGCCACCGTCCAAGGTGATCCTGCTAGCCGCGCAGTTGGCGGCAACGGGTGCCATTGCCAGCCTCGCCTCGCTGACGGCGCAAAACGGCGACGTGCTGCGCCTGGAGCTGGTGCTGCGCCTGCTGCTGACATACCTTCCGACGCGGCTGCCGACGGCCGACTATGTCGGGCTGCTGGTGAGCCTGGACGCCGAGGACTTTTCCGTCTTCTTCCCGCTGGCCGAGCTCGACAGCGCGGCCGTGGACGGGCTCTCGGACGAGCAGGCGGCCAACAAGGTCCACAAGCTGCGGCTACAGCCGCTGGACCTGCCAGGCCAAGGGCGAGACAACGACAACGACACCCCACCAGACCCAGATCCGCTGGCCGCCTTTCTGATCCTGCGCGCCTACGCCGTCGACGATGGCGCCGGCGCACTTCCCGAGCTGCCAGCCCTCGTGGCCCCGTTTCTCGACCGGCCAACACAGCGCCTGCGCACCTGGGCCGTGTCGACACTGCTGCCGCTGCTGCGACGCAACTGCGACTTCTACCCCGACCGGCCGCTGCCGCTGACGCTGGCTGACTTTGAGCACCTGCCCGATCGCCTGGCCGTGTCGCGGCTGCTCTCCCAGACGGGTGCCGGCCTCGTCGGCAAGGACAGAGACAGCGACAGAGATGGCGAACAGGCTGCGGCAATTTCGGTGGCACGTGACCTGAGAGGCCTCATCGGGCCATGGCTGTACGACGAGCAGCGATGGACGAGCCGGATGAACAGGACCGACACGACCGACACGACCGACGACGGCCTCTGTCCCGGCTGGGAAGAAGCACTGCGGTGGCTGACGACACAGGCAGCCCAGCCGGCATCGTGGCGCGTGGCCGTGGCTGCCGTCAGCAGGTGGGACGGGCCCAGCGACGTTGATCTCGGCGGCTTCGGCACCATGTGGCTCAACGACGACGAGCAGGAGTACCTGGAGCGACGATATGCCCGTGCCGCCCTGGCCGTCGTCTATCTGCTGCCTGAGGCGTCGGCCGAGACGCTGGCCAGCGCCCACGACGTCGTCGTCAAAATGCGCAGCCTCCTCGACCTCGACCAGGACGCAGATGAAAACGCCGTTTTGCCTCCGGAGCGGCTATCGTCGGCCGCATCGCTGTTGCCGCCTATTGCCGCTGATATCGTTTCCCGCACATTGGCTGCTGATGCTGCTGCTACTACTTCCACTTCTACTTCTATCCCCAACACTCCCAACACTCCCTCTTCCTTCCTCCGGTGCGACCTCCTCTCCGAGTCCAACGCGCTCACAACACCTTCATCTGCCGCCACCGAACTGCTGCACGCCCTCGTCCTCAGCGCCCACCTGTTGACCTGCCAACTCGGCTGTCCGTCTTCGGTGCGCCAGGCTGCCGAGCTGGTCCTGCTGCTGCGCGGTCCCGGCGAACAGCAGGCCGTCGCCGCAAAGGCCGTCCACTGGGTCGCTGCCAACGGGCCCAAAGGCGAGGATCGCTTCTGGATCAAGGCTCGCAACGAGATCCTCTGGCTGCGTGACTGGGGCGCAGATGAGCAGGGACGCTCCTCCGTGCCTGCCCAAGGCGTCTTCGGTCACGTGTCCAGGGACTTTATCGAGGTTGAGTTCCTCAAGGCCCTGCTGGCCAACACCCGTCAGTCGTCCTTCCCTGTCTTCTGTCTTCCCTCTATTGCTGACACCCGTAGGCTATTCTCTTGCTCGTGCGCTCTACGAAGACTCTCCCGACCGTCCGCTCTCGACCGAGCTGCTCCAGGACACCGTCTTTTCCGCAGCCATGAGTGCCTACGACAATGCGTCAAATCCAAACCGTACCCGAGGTGGTCTCAAGAAATGTGACGATATGTAAGCATGCCGCCTTTGCTTCCCATCATACCCCCGCACGTTTCGCTGACTAAGCATCACCAGCATCCACGCTTTTCCCAAGACCATTGACCGGTCTCTGCCGGCAGCACAGCATGCAGAGGCCCTGGTGGCTGCAACGCACGCCCTCAGCACCTACCGTCTCGTACTCAAACAGGGCGAGCCATTCACGCCCGTCGTGCTCCGCGTTCACCCAGACCCCATCTCGATCCTGGGCAAGGTGCTGGAGCAGAACCCCAAGAGCTACACCCAGGTCCAGGCTCTGGTCGACGTGGCCGTGTCCATGGTGGATGCTGGCTTGGCCGTCTCGGATGGCGGTCGGAATTGTATCGGTCACAGCCAGAAGAACCACCCGCTCGCCGTCCAGCATGTCCTGGCCGGCCGTCGTGTCACCGCAATGTGCATCGATGCCGCGCTCAACGAGGACGACTTTGAGACGGCCTATTCCTATGTCGTCAGCCGTCTGTCCGCCACCGACGAGACCATACTAGCCCCTGTCGCCGACATCTGGTCGTGGCGTGCTGCTCTCGAGGCCGGTAAGTATCGCCGCTCCGATCGGACTGTCCGGCCAACTCATCTGGGCACGGCCAGTGCAAACCTCGACATCCGCCATCTCGAGCAGCGCATCGAATGCCTGGCCGCCGCCCTGCGCATTGCTCCCGCCGACACCCTGCAGGAGATTCTCAGCGCCTACCGCCGCTGTGAGGAGGAGCTCGAGGCCGCTGTGCTGGCCGAGGCCGAACAAGAAGCTGCCTGGGACAATACCGCCACCAGCTGGCCGAATCAGCAGCAGAGACAGCTCGCTCGCACATCATCGCCAGCTGCCATGCCCGGTGGCTTCGAGAAACCACATGTCCCGGTCACCAGCACTCCACTGGCGTCGCGAGCTGCTGCTGCCGCTGCCGCTGCTTCATCGCACTATCATCCCCAACAGCAGCAGCAACAGCAGAAGCAGAAACAGCAACAGCCCTCTACGGCTGATGATGCGCCACTCTCTCTCTTCGATCTTTCGCGCGCAACCGCCCGCGTGGCCCAGCGAAACCTGGCCGCTCTGTCCAGCCTGCGACAGACGCGCCAGATCGTCTTTGGCGGGAAAGAAGAGTCAAACTCGCCGGCTGCGCCGGTGGCTGTGGCTGTGGCTGCTGTCGACGGTGAGGACTCGTCGCATCAGCATCGGAAGCGCGACCAGCTGCGGGAGGCCGCCATGGGCACAATCACATCTGGTGTCGGTTGGCTGATTGGTGCACATCCCGTCGACCGCGGCTCTGAAAGAGGCTGAACAGGAATATCACTGCACAATCGGAAAGCAGAGCATAATAGTCCAAAGGGGAGAAATGTTATATAGATATAATAGCATGTGTCGAGGCTCGTGTGAGCATACTCAACTTGGCTCTTGCGTGTAATTTTAAATACGTTTTTAACGCGTCATGCCAGTCAGAGCAACCCAAGCACACTGAAACAAGATGAAACTTCCTACCCTTTGCACGTAGGCCAGATATCAACAGAAGAGTGGGCACAAGCATTCGATATGTGATACCTTTGGCGTTCTGAGATCAGCAAATGAGCCGGAGTGAGGGACACTTACCTTCGGCTCATCTCGATACGGTGGCACCAAGCAACCCACTTGGTGTCACCCCAGCCACAACAAAAGCTGCTGGCCGCACCTGCGGACACTGGTCACAAAAGTCCTATCTTGTGCTGAAGTCTGCCAGATCGCGTTGCTCTGCCTGGCCTTGTCTGAGAGTCGGCGTCAATCTGGTTGCTACGGTTGAGAGATTGCGAGGCCGAACTTATTCGAATCAACCGCGTAGTTGGAACGGTCTGTGGAGAGTCTGGAAGATACTGGAGAGACAGAGTGGGTTGTAACGGGCGCGAAGTAGATTGTTCTTGGGGGGCGAAGCAGATTTCAGATATCCGTACAGATGATTATTGACGACAGAAGCGATAATATGACGACAACGACGCTTAAAAACCGCTTCCGAGGATTAGGCGGAGAATGAGACGAACGAAAGCAAACGACTAATAACGGACGCATAAACGAAACAAGTCCCAAGGCGTGTCTGTACTGGTCTGTTCTGGATCCATGGAGACGAGTGACGATATAATGAAAAACACAAGAAAAAAACAGATCTGCCTGGTAGCTTCTTGTTTTCCTTTTGCCGCTTTTGACTTTTTTCTGGGCTTTTGACGCGTGCTGCTGCTCTGCTGCTCTGCCAGTCGCTCTGCAATATTGCTGCCGCTGCTGCTGCTGCTGCTTCATCCGCTGTACTATCTGCATGTTGGATACCGTTCCGATTCCTCCCCTCCCCTGTCGCAGCCTGTTGCCCGACGACAGACTAGATTGCGCCGTGCCGATCGCGGTTCGAACAAACTCAATCTCAAAGAAAACATCAACGCGCAGAACGGAAACTTGACAAAATCAAGGGGAAAAAGGACAAAGTCGAAGAGTCGAGGCTTCCCTCTTGTCATCCCTCTGGGAGGGTGGCGATTGTCGATACGAAAACTCCATGCCGCATCTCCTCCCATTGATATTGATTTTTTTGTGGCTGCACCCAAACCGTATCCCTAGGCCAGTAGAAATGAGAACACACGACGACAGGAAAAAAGAAGAGAAACGAGGGCACTAGAAAACACAGAGAAGAAAGCCGGTGATCCTACACAAACGTGGTAAGCAGTAAACGGGACATCCCGAGTCGACAAGATACTTGGTTCGAGAAATCACGGGCTGTATACGTCCAATGACGATTATGTCAGCGGATAGGCACCACAGGGGTGGTCAAAGAGTGAGACAAGAAATTTAGTCGTACCGCGGAGCGTAGTCCCGGTCACCGCGACCGCTCTCGCCGTATCCACTGGGGCCAGTCGGAGCAGCGTCCCGAACCCGGGGCTCACGGTCGTAACCGCCGCCACGGCGCTCCTCACGCGGACCACTGTAACGATCACGGTCCTCACGAGGACCGTAGCGGTCGCCGCCGCGATCGCCGCCGCGGTCGCCACGACCGCCACCGTTGCCGTACGGCTCGTCACGTTCACGGCGTTCGTATCCGCCACCACGCTCGTAGCCGCCACGATCGTCGCGGTAGCCACCACGGTCGCCACCACGGTCGCCGCCACGATCACCGCCACGCTCGTAGCCACGCTCTTCGCGGTAGCCACGGTCGTAGCCGCGGTCTTCGTAGCGGCGCTCATAGCCGCGGTAGCGGTAGGGATCATCACGGCTGCCGTAGCTGCCGCCACCATATCCACCACCACCACCGCCACGGCGACGATCGTCTCCCCGGTCAAAGCGACGGGGGTCTGATGGGAGATCTCATAATTAGCCGGTTGTATGGGAAAGATAAGCAGTGCTTGTGGGACAGGCAAACTCACCCCTCTTCGGAGGACCAAAGTATTTGCCAGGAGTCGGTGTGCGGGGACGAGCACGCCGGGCCTTCTCAATGCTAAGCGAACGACCGTCGATAACCTCGCCCTGCAGGCCATCTTTGGCAGCATCGGCCTGGTCGGATGTGACCATCTTGACAAAGCCGAAGCCACGCGACTCCTTCGTATGAGGGTCGCGCATGATCTGGCACTTCTCGACCTCGCCGTACTTCTCAAACAAGCGAGACACCTCTTCTTCGCTCAGACGGGGGTGGATACCGGTGACAAACAGGTTTGACCCGGGGTTAACAGCACCATCGTCGTCGCCGCCACCGCCGTTGCGCGAACCGTTATCATCTTTGGGCCTGTGCATAGCACGTCAGCAACAAGGCCCTGAAACAATGGGAGACAACGCAAAAAGCAGAAAATAACATACCGATCATTGCCAGTAGCCCCGGGTGAGGCAGACCGACGCCGGCTAGTCTCCTGGCCCTCGTCGCGACGAGGTGACTCGTCACGCGGCTCGTCGCGCTCGTAACGTGCACCGTCGTCTATTCACGTGTTAATATGAGAGAGCACGAGATGCTGGTTGCCGCAATGATGTTGGAAAAGACAGGCTTGATGAAGGTTGACGCGACGTAAGGTGTAGGCGAAGTTGAGAAAAAGGGGTGTGGAATGAGAAGGAAGCCTACCATCGAAACGATCGCCGTTCGTGGGCTCATAATCCATCGGAGCGCTCGCCATTTTGAGTCTTGCTGTTGGTTGCGTGGTATTTTCTATCGGGAAGTCCTGTGATGTTGACGATGTAGTGGTATGCGAAAGGTAGGAGAGCAAAAACAGATCGTGTCAAAACGAACGCGGAGGTAAGAAAAAAAGAGGAGAATGTGCGGAGCAAATTTAGTTAGCTGCAAAAAAAAAATATATAAATTTCAGGGCGCCGGAAGGGGTGAAAGTTTTCCCTGACATAAGCCAGTTTTATCCCTGTCTGTTTGAGTAACAGATATATTGTTATTGAAATCAATGTACTCCGTAAGCGCGTGTCCCCGAGTACGGAGTACAATTCAGCAAGTGGCGGAAAGAGCGATGGGAGCAAGGCTCACACCGTTGCGCGTCGCGATCAGTGGCCAATTGTTCCAGTACCGAAAAAGAGGAATATATGACGCAGGTGCCGGAAAGCGTTAGAGTTTTTACACATACGACGCAGGCACACCGTACATAGCAAAGCAGGTATCGTATTCCGTAGTTTCCTCGACCGAAGATCATGTAGACAGCTGTTTACTGTTTTAAGAGCAACCAGGGTAGCTTCGCATTCCTAAAAGAGGAGCTAGTCTTCTCCTGGTGAGAAATTGTGGGCCCTCTTCAGATATAGCATGCGCATTTTCGCAACCATGATCCTCTGTCATTGGTTTTGCCATCGAGTTGTGTTTCTGTGCACGACAGCCATGTTTTGACCTTGTCTCGCTTTCTGCAATGTGAATTTGCAGCCCGTTATCTGGCGACGGGAAGTTCAGAGGAATCCTATCCAATTGGTCACGGGAAAATGATCTCTACACTCGCCTTTCCCAGCATATACTTGCTTGCGACACATCTCACTTCAGAAGAGTTTCGTCGACTACAGGCGCAGATACCGTCGCTGGAACACGATTCCAAGAGGGCAGATGTCATAGTCGGCAAGCTCTCAAAAAAGGAGCGAGCTCAATTCGAGCTGCGGTGCCTCGCGATAACTACAGAAGAAGTGGCGGACACATCTGATCAGACGGCCTCGGCAATTAAGAGGCACTCGATGCCGTCTTCCCATAGCCCAGAATCGCACGTATCTGCGCCAAAAAGGCGACGAACAAGTGGCACACACTCGCTAACTGGCGTGTTGTCTGGGGAGACGGATGTAACGGCCCCTGACTCATACTCGCATCAAATTGGAAAAGCAGTCGTCGGAGAGAGTCTATCTCCCGGACCGTCGACATCGCGAACGGTCAAAGTGGTCAAGCTGGCATGGTTTAATAACTCCATCACTTGTGGCAAGGTACTCCCGTTATCAGATTACATCATCTACGAGGGTCGGATAGCACAACCCGATTTCAACCCTCCCATGCCCACGACGCGAATCCTACCAAGTGTTGCTCGAAATGCGACGGGTACAATCTTTAAAAATATTAAAGATGCAGGCGAGTCAGTCAATGCCCCTTCGAGGGCAAGCCCGTCAAGCCCATCTCCACTCAGAGGGCATGCTCGGCACAGCGAGTTGTTGCCCGTAACGACCCGCCATTCTACACACCGACCAACACTTGCCCGAAGAACTAATTCAGATTATGAAGAGAGCCGGGGATTGCCACCAATCCCAGACTGCCTCCATGCGGTATATTCATGCCAGCGGTCGACTCCGCTACATCCACCAAATGAGAAATTCATAGACAGTCTCAAAAAGATCCAGAGGATACGTGAGCTGATGGGAGATGAGATCGGGGTGCGGGCCTATTCTACAGCCATTGCCTCGCTCGCTGCTTATCCTCATGTACTTTCTTCCGCCGCAGAAGTGTCCCGATTGCCAGGTTGCGGTCCTAAGATTGCCGAGCTGTATCGGGAGTATTCTGCCACCGGGGGCCACGTGCAAGAAGCGGACGATGCAGAATCCGATCCGAAAATCTGTGTGCTGCGGCTGTTCTGTGACATCTGGGGTGTGGCAGAGGCGACAGCTCGTTCATTTCACAACCGCGGCTGGCGTGACCTAGATGACGTTGTCGAGTTCGGCTGGTCAGAGCTGGGGCGCGTGCAGCAGATTGGTGTCAAATACTACGACGAGCTGCAAATGACAATGACGCGGGCCCAGGTTAAAGACATCGCAAATACAGTACTGGAGCAGGCCAATCAGATATTTCCGGGGTTCCAAATGGTCATTGCAGGCGGGTATCGACGCGGCAAGAAGATGAACGGGGATGTCGACGTTATCCTCAGTCATCCGGATGAAGAAGCTACTCACCTTGTGATCGGCCGTCTTGTCCTTGCTCTCGAGCGCATTGGTCGCATCACCCACACACTGACGCTTAGTACAGCCAACTCAGAGCGGGCTCAGGTACCAGTCAGCTGGAAGGGCAATGCTCCGCGGCACACTCTCGTCAAGTCACCGGATCTTGGGGGCACAGGCGGGGCCGGTTTTGATACATTGGACAAGGCACTGGTTGTTTGGCAGGAGCCGATAGACCAGGACCCAGGGCGGAACCAGTCAGTAAATACGTTGAACAAAAACATGGCAGAGTCAGAGGGTGCTGAGGGGATTACGAGTCAGACACACATTCACGAGGAACCAAACCACAATCCTCATCGACGAGTTGACATCATTATCTCTCCGTGGAAATCGGTGGGCTGCGCTGTACTGGGCTGGAGCGGCGGGACAACATTCCAACGAGATCTGCGACGGTATTGCAAGCGAGTGCATGGCTTGCGGTTTGATAGTAGCGGTGTGCGCAGCCGAGTGGACGGTTCCTGGGTCGATCTGGAGGACTTTGCTCAAGATCCTGCTCCAGATATGTTGACAGCAGAACGGCGCGTGTTTACAGCGCTGGGCTTAGAATGGCGGCCACCAGAAGAACGCTGCACAGGATAATGCCACACTGTGCATCCGGCAAAAGGACTTGGATGACGTGTTGGGTTCGAGTAAGCACGCAATCGCGAAATCTAAGCAGTCTTATCGACCACTAAAAGCCAAGGCGAATCAGGTCAAAGAAGATGGGGTTGAGTATAGGAAATAAGCGCTTATATAGGGCAAGGCTCTGAATGTCAAGTGAAGTTTGGAAGCCGCTATAAACGAATTTGCTGTATAGCAACGTCTTGTGACTATCGACAATGACAGGCAGTCTTTTACAGCGACACCTGTACCTTAGCTACATATGTACGTCTTACAAATCAATAAGCAAAAAACAGAGTGTTTTTATACATAGATACCAGCAGTGCACAGTAGACAACAGCAGAATACGAGGCTCCTCCTACTTCAACTCCATGCGATCGTGCCAGATTCACTCGATAGGAAATTCGCAGGCTAAAAGTCGGTCCGTCGGACCCAAATTCGATCCGAGCCCATTACCTAGAACGTGTTTGGCTACTATTTGTGGATTGGTGTTCCAATTCTGCCTACGACGTACGGAGTATACAATGTCCTATCAATGTTCGGCTCTTCAAACGCCCCCAATCTCTTTGCGATCCACTTGCTTCTTAGAAGTTCTACGGAGTAACCCCGTAAACGCCATACGTATAATTAGCCTTTCCCACCCACGTTAACACGGAGGCTTCTTTTGACTAGAAGTTTTAAAGCAATTTCTCCAATTTTATTGCCACAACAAGACCATGTCTATTATCACGTTGGAACTCCCGGCCAGCTACGGGTAATCTCCATCCTCTTTTCCTTTCCGTCCCTTTGAATTGCTATGAACCCCTGTAGAGTTTGGTTGACTTACCAAATCACCTGCAGCTACGTCCTTCTCACTGCCACGGCATCCTTCTTTGTCAATAGCTACCACAGCATCACCACCGGCAAAGTCCGCAAGGCAGCCGAAGTCCCGTACCCTGTGGCTTATGTCCCTACTGAAGTGGCTACCACGGGCTCCGCTGCATACAAGTTCAACTGCGGTATGTTTAATCGTCTTGTTTTTTTATTTTATTTATAAAGGTTGCCGTCACTCGATTCAATGCGTCTTCGCCCTTCTCAAAGAGCCTCATCTCGAGTCTTCTGCCCCAATCGACCCCCCCGAAACCGCCTCAAGTAACTAACAGGCTCCCAGCCCAGAAGGCGCATGCCAATTTCACCGAGAACCATACCTCGTTCCTGGGAGCACTTCTCATTAGTGGTCTCCGCTTTCCTCTGGTGAGCGCTGGTCTTGGCGCTTGCTGGGTCGCTTCGCGCGTGCTGTACTGCCGTGGCTATGTCAAATCTGGACCCAAAGGCCGCATGACGTGAGTTTCGTTTTTCTACCCTTTACAGAAATATCACTTCTGACAGCACATTTATTATAGCGGTGCTGGCGCATCCCTCTTCGACCTTGTCCTGAAGTTCGTGGCGCTGTACACGTCTGTTACTTTCATTCTCGAGAAGTAGATGCGAAACGAGCGCAATCACAGCTCCATGCTTCTGTTCATAGCTATTGAAAAAGATAGCTAGATACCTCATGAATTTTTTAATTTTTTTTTTTAAAAAATATATATATATACTCTGTATATATTACTCTGTACTCCGTAATGCTGGTAGTAATAAAGCATACCTTTCCGTAGCAATGTGCCAAATAAGGCCGGACATGTGACCTTGTTTTAAAGTGGCTGATAATACTAGCCACACGCACGGGCCATATAGCCAGGATTGGTCCCCGCCACAGCTCTCACACCGACGAACCTGTCCTCTTTTTTTGCTCTTAGAGGGGCAGAGCCACACAGCCGAAGACGAGCTTGCTGGAACCTGTCCTTACCCTCAACCCTCCCCCTAGCCTACCTGCTTGGCAAGAGACCAAATTGGCCTCAAAAAGGCACTCTCCACCACCTCTCACCTCTTTGTCTAGATCACGAAACACGTGTCCCTTGCTGCGCTTGTGCATTGCTTTTCTTACTGACGTCTCTCATTTCTTTTCTCTTTGTCTTGGTTTTACGATCCGATATACTTTCCACCCTCCTGCGATTCGAATCAGAACCGTCATCCTTGACAGCCCTCCGATCATCGCAATTGCAGAGACGACGTTTGTCCGTGTGTGCACCGTACCAAGCTGTCATCATGGACTACGAGATGCTGAAAGAGCAATGGAGCGAGGTGGAAGATCGCGATGGCGTCCGTCTGAGCTGGAACGTCTTTCCCAGCACCCGGATGGTGAGTTGGATCATGGACGCTTGTTGCATTACCGACTCCCTTCTACTCTACGGATGCACGGCGACAAGGCTGTCACATCCCAACCATTCCTCTGCGAGCAGTACAGTTGCTGATCACCATTCGCCGACAGGAAGCGTCGCGCCTCGTCGTTCCCATCGGAGCCCTCTACACCCCGCTGAAGGAAAAGCCCGACACTCCCCTGCTGCAATTTGAGCCGGTTACTTGCAAGCAGCCTTGCCGCTCTGTGCTCAACCCATTCTGGTGAGTCTGTCCTGGGCGCGAGCTATGTGCAAGATGCAAAAGTTTACATGGGGACATGGGTTGGGGCAACTGGTGGCTGACTGCGAAGCAGCCAAGTCGACACTCGTGCTCGTCTCTGGGTGTGCCCGTTTTGTTTGTCACGCAACCCGCTTCCACCGCATTACAAAGACATCACTGCGAACGCCATCCCGCCCGAGCTCCACCCGTCCAACACCACGATCGAGTATCGGCTGTCGCGCCCGGCCCAGAACCCTCCCATCTTCTTCTATGTTGTGGACACCTGCCAAGAAGATGACAGCCTGGCTGCTCTCAAGGAGTCGCTTATCATGAGCCTGAGCCTTCTGCCGGAGAACGCCCTCGTGGGCTTGATCACCTTTGGTACTATGGTCAGTAATTCTTAGCCGAACAGCTTCTTTCTCCCCGGGCCTCTCCGATTTTGCCAGCTAATGCGTTTTCCCCAGACCCAAGTCCATGAGATTGGCTACACCGAATGCGCAAAATCCTATGTTTTTCGGGGCAGCAAGGAGTACAACCCGAAGCAGGTTCAGGAGATGCTGGGTCTTTCGCAAACTATGGCTCGGCCTGGCATGCAGCCCGGCCGGAACGCCCCCATGGGACCTGCTGCGCGCTTCCTTCTTCCGGTGCAACAGGGAGAATTTCAGCTCACCAAGGCTCTCGAGCAGTTGCAGAAGGACCCTTGGCCGGTCGCCAACGACCGTCGCAGTCTTCGTTGCTCCGGTGTAGCCTTGAGCGTTGCCGTCAGCTTGCTTGAATCCTCTTTCCAGAACTCTGGTGGGCGCATCATGCTGTTCACAGGCGGTCCTGCTACTGAGGGCCCAGGTATGGTTGTCGGCCCTGAGCTGAGAGAGCCCATCCGATCGCACCACGACATCGACCGAGACAATGCCAAATACTATAAGAAGGCTCTCAAGGTAAGTTCAAATGCTCAACCACTTGCACAGCACTTGTCCTGGTACCCAAATGTGCTTTGGCTGACGTGATTTCTATTGTATATTAGTTTTATGACAACCTTGCTAAGAGAACAGCCCATAATGGACACATCATAGACATCTTTGCGGGTTGTCTCGACCAGGTCGGCCTGCTTGAGATGAAGGGCTTGTGTAACTCGACTGGTGGCCACATGATCTTGACGGATAGCTTTACCTCGTCCATGTTTAAGCAGTCTTTCGTACGGGTCTTCGAAAAGGACGGTGACGATAACTTACTCATGGGTTTCAATGCTGTTCTGGAGGTACTGACAACAAAGGAGCTGAAAGTGACCGGTCTTATCGGCCACGCCGTCTCTCTTAACAAGAAGTCGACGTCTGTGGGCGAAACTGAGATCGGTGTCGGCAACACTTGCGCATGGAAGATGTGTGGCATCGATCCGAGCGCCAGTTACGGCATCTACTTTGAGATTGCCCAGGGCAACCCGTCTCAAATTCAGCAAGCACAGCAGAGAGGCATGATGCAATTTTTGACATACTATCAACACTCATCGGGCCAGTTCCATCTTCGCGTAACAACCATCTCTCGGAATCTCAGCGGTCCTGCAGGTGACCCAACCCTCGCCCACTCATTCGATCAAGAGGCAGCGGCTGTACTTATGTCTCGCATCGCCGTCTTCAAGGCCGACGTGGACGACGGACCGGATGTTTTGCGCTGGGTGGACCGCATGCTGATTCGGCTATGCTCTCGGTTTGCCGACTACAGAAAAGACGACCCATCATCGTTCCGCCTGGAAAAGAACTTCACCCTGTACCCACAGTTCATGTTCCACTTGCGGAGAAGCCAGTTCCTTCAGGTGTTCAACAACTCCCCCGATGAGACGGCCTTCTATCGACATGTGCTGAACCATGAGGACGTCAGCAATTCACTTGTCATGATTCAGCCCACGCTTGACTCCTACACCTTCGATCAAGACGGCGGCCAGCCCGTTCTTCTGGACTCGACTTCCATCCAGCCCACTCACATTCTCCTCCTCGATACTTTCTTCCACATCCTAATTTTCCACGGCGAGACCATCGCGCAGTGGAGAAAAGCGGGCTACCAGAGCCAGGAAGGTTACGAAAACTTCGCTACATTGCTCGAGCAGCCAAAGGAAGATGCAAGGGTATGTCGCCTAACCCAAGCTTCGCCCTACAGCTTTATGCATACGCACGTAAATTTGCGGGTCTTACTGACGTCCACCTGTAAATAGGATCTGATCACAGACCGGTTCCCGCTGCCTCGGTTCATCGTCTGCGATGCCGGTGGATCTCAAGCACGTTTCTTGTTGTCCAAGCTGAACCCATCTACAACACACACCTCAGGTGCATACGGAAGTATGGGTGCCCAATCTGCGCAGACAATTTTCACAGACGATGTGTCTTTGCAGACGTTTATGGATCATTTGATGAAGTAAGTTCATTCTCTGTAATCAGTTGGTACTTTCATACTAACAAAAGGACAGGTTGGCTGTGAGCGGTACGAATTAAGAAGTGGTGGCTGTACAACATGGCCTTCATTATGGGCAAAGACGGAGGCGAGTTGACTTGCCTCAGATGGCTGTAGTATAGCACGGAAAATATGCTAAGAATTGATGTTTTGTTTGTGATTCAAGCTTGTTACATTTCTGCTAGCCCGATTAGTCATACGACCCGCACGTGCCCGGCTGTGGCTAGTTTTCCAAGTGATGTGGCTGCTGGTGTGTCAATTTTTCTGTAATTTGACCCCACTCAGCCCTGAGTCCGCACAATCTTTTTTTTTCTATGTCTAGAATTGCTCCATCAATCGCGGCATCATTTTCTTACGGCTTTTTTTTCTCCTCCTTTCACGACCAACTCCCTACCAGAACCATACCATAGTACGATTGTCATCACCAGACAGCCGTCAAGATGCGTAAGTTGCTCTGAGCCACAAGCCAAGCTATTGCCAGTCATCTTGTACATTTGTGCTAATTACTGTCCTCAATTCAGCGCCGAAGATCGACCCCAATGAGATCAAGGTCATGTATGTTTGAACCTACCACCATTTTATCGGACACCGAGCACTGCTAGAGAGACTGTTTGCGAACGTCTCAACTACGAGACGAATCATTCGCTACGGAAAACAATGCTAACGCCACAATAGCCACCTGAGAGCGACGGGCGGTGAAGTCGGTGCTTCGTCGGCTCTGGCTCCCAAGATCGGTCCCCTTGGTCTGTCGCCTAAGAAGGTCGGCGAAGACATCGCCAAGGCGACAGGTGACTGGGTACGTGAAATCAAAGACGGGCTATCTAAGTGGTAGAATCCCGGCAAAAGAGGCGGCAAGAAATGGGATGGTTGTTGGCTGACAAACGCATATAGAAAGGTCTCCGCGTGACGGTCAAGCTCACGATCCAGAACCGGCAAGCCCAGGTTTCCGTTGTGCCGTCGGCATCATCGCTCGTCATCCGGGCGCTGAAGGAGCCCCCCCGGGACCGGAAAAAGGAGAAGAACATCAAGCACAACAAATCGATTCCGTTCGACGAGATTGTCGAGATTGCACGGACAATGCGGTTTAAGTCGTTCGCCAAGGAGCTTGAGGGTACCGTCAAGGAGATCCTGGGAACTGCCAACAGCGTGGGCTGCCAGGTCGACGGCAAGTCGCCGCAGGAAATTATTGAGGCTATTGAGGCTGGCGAGCTCGATGGTACGTTTTTCTGCACTTTTGCATCTACCTGTGCCATATTGGCCGTCTCTCGCGATGTCGCCTGTGTGCGTATACACATACGCATATCTGCTAACACTACACCAGTTCCGAAGGAGTAAATTTGCGAATAAAGACAATGGTGGACGTGTATGGGTTCTTGGCATTACGATCCAGGAGTTTAGGTCTTTTTTCTTTTATTTTTGCTCTCTTTCTCGCTTCTTTTTTTACAAACAAAAAAAAAGAACGCTCCAGGTGAAGATTATGGCCCTGGGCGCGCGATCATGCATCACAGCAGAGAGACGACAGAAACCAAGAGAGGGAAGCAAACAAAGAAAAAAAGAAAAAAAGTTTTAACACTTTCGTTTGCTGCTTTTAGGTGTTTTGATATAACTTCTTACAGACTTCCGTGCTCGATCCTGTTGGATCCAGCAACGATACCTTGGGGCAAGACGAGACACGGATATTATGCTGATGAAAATCATTGCCTCAATTCTCCCGTGGTTGTTTCCCACATCTCATCAACCTTCCCTTTCTGGGGTATATTTGACGTCTCATATACGTAACTTCCCTTACCAGCCCTTTACCCCGTCCCTACTCCTGGCCTACACTCTGAGATTACCGCGCCTCCATGGTATTACTCAATTTTGGTGCTTAGGAAGATTGAACATCCCAGACCTATTACTCACCGCGACTTTCATTGTTATTTTCCCATGAAAGCTGGGGTCCATCATACAGGTCAACATCCTTTTGCTTGCACCCATCTACCAGTCCCAATGCCACCGAAAACCCCCTCCTAGGTATGGGACGCTTTCAAGGGCTATCCTCAAATTTTGTAGTGTTCTCTTGAGGCGTAGCTATAGTACGCTAAGCCCCTGCACAATCCCGTCAGATTTCTCATCAACTACGTTTTAGGTGGCGGGAGAACAAATCGAGAACTGTTTCTTCGCGCATCTATGTCTTATATTGGCAGATGCTCAAGATAGAACTCGTGAGAATGTCACCTTTATATATGAACCCGTGCTATACGAAGACGCCTATATTAGCTTATGCCCTTCCTTGCTCATCGTCACTTCTTTACACACTACCGCTGCTTGGCAAAATCAAGACACATATGTTGGCTTAACAAAGAGACAAAAATGTTGACATACCGGTATTGAGTAGCACGTGTATACAATGTAAGATACCTGCCTTTTGACACAATACACGGCGATTATATGTTATATGTTTGTTCTTGCTATCCTCACACATCCAGTGCACTTCTTAAACTAGCCGTGCTATCTGGCACCTTTGTCGGACAGACGGCAGGCTACAATTTGTGCCGGTGGTAAATGAACATTTACAATTGGATGGAGAACAACCATCCAATAGATCGAGATTCGGTAAATAAACCTCAAAAGTCTTGTTTTGCACCCCTGCACGCCCCCGTCGATCTTACATAGTATTACGGAGTACTCCGTATTATGTCTCCGTGGCGGCTCGCGCACCAGCAGCTTTACCGCTCAGTCTATTTTTCATACCAAAGTACGGAGTGCGTGAGAAATAAGCAAAACACACAGCTCATCCTCTAGACCAATCTCGGAAGGAAACCGGACTTCGTTTAAGGGTGCTGGTCGGCGATTTGACGTCTGAGCCACCACTGATACATATTCCTACCAATCTACATTGATTCTTTTTTTCTTACTGTGGATCTCCCTTCTTTATCAACAAAACGCAGTGCCCTGTCACACGTGTGGCCACGGCATCTTTCAAATCCTTCGGACTGCATCGTATGCATCTTATATCAGAGTGGCGCTGGCGCTTTGTCGACGTTTGCTGCCCCTCTTGAAAGGTGACGGCCTTCCATGGGGCCGTTGAGACACAGCCTTTTATCCAAATATGGCCTAGCTAGAGCCACTTCGTGACGGTGTCCATTTTGACAGTGGCACCCTCTCTAAAGAGAAGGCTCAGATGTCTCATCAGATAGTAGAAGAGGACGGGGGCAACCGGTTTCTGGGAGAAGAGCAAGCCTACTATGCTGCAAAGTCACACACAATCTTCGAGTCCACTTCGGAGAAGCGCAACCAATATGCACAATAAAAACTGAGGCCGTTGTACCGTACTACACCGGCTTGGCCTGTTGCGTCTGCTTGCGCTCGCATTGGCAACGTATGCAGCAGATCGAACTTCGTTGCATTCCCTATAACGAAAACTTGGCCAGCTTCGTTTCACCGCCTGCAAAGGGGCGCTTTGTTGTCCGACATTGTCTTGCCAGCTGAACGACTCGTCTGCTGCAGACGGAAGAGCATTCCACTTTCCATCACTGCAAGAGAACGCACCCCTGCCTAGGAAAAACCAGATGCAGCCACATAGCATTGGATGCTGATCCCTGCCCGACCCGGCCGCCCGCTAAACTTATGAATAGATCCGGCTCACTCGCTCTGGCTGGCATGTGAATGAGCAAAAGTTTACGGGAAGACGTGGAAGCCTCACCTGATGTGCCCTTGCCTCTCCTATCGGCTCGTGCCACCAGTATCACCTCAGACGGTAAAGGGCACCGAAAAATAAGACATCTTTACTTGGAGAATCCTACCTGTGGGGCAAAAAGAGGTGTGCCACACATCAAGCTCCGATGGGATGCACACTAATTCTTCGTACAGAAAAGGCTGACGCACCATACTGCGTTCAAGGTCAGTGTTGCCTTGGCAGCTTTCAAAACGCCTTGGAAGGGGTGGTATTGCTCTGTGCGCTAGCAAATATTATCAGACTGCTCCGTACTCCGCGCTGCACACTAAAGTCACCCGTTGGGAGACGAACGCCAGTTTGGTGGTGTGCATATGAACGGATGCAGGCTGAAGAAAGGTGTCTACACACATCCGACCATTCCCACAAAAGCTGAGCCGACCATTGTGGGTCTATTTGTGGGTCTTTTCAACTAGTAATCCTTGCCAAAAAAATAACTGCCTTAGGCTCGTCTTCTACATCTTATACTATACTAAAGGGTAGTATAAGTACTATAAAAGCGGTGTGCTTAGTAGGGCGTAGGCGTAAGGTGGAAAGATACATGCAACCTATAGCGTTTAGTTCTTAAACCTGCTTATTTAGTAGAGGCCTATATGTATATTAGTATAGCTAAAAAGTACTTATTATAATAACCTATATTTTGCTAGGTAACTAAATTTTTATACTTGTTATTTATATAGAATATAAATAAATACACTATTACTAACATAATATATATTATAAATAATGTTTAGATTTTAAATATAAACTTGTTTTTATATATATACTATATAAACATTTTATATAATATATATTAATTATATTTTTAAAATATAAAAATAACTTAAGAATTTTTTAAATATAAATATATTTTTATACTACTATTATTAGTAGTATATACTTTATTAAGAGTAGTTAAACTTAAAATATAATTTAAAACTAAAATATAAATTATATTTAGTATATATTTTATTTATATTTTTAAGTATTTAAATATAAATATAGTTTTTATATATAAATAAAAGGTTATTTATATTTTTATTATATACTTTACTTTTTATATTATAGTTTATATTTATAATAATATTAAATAATAAATAATTATAAAGCTTTATAAGTTATTACTTATTTTTATTTATTTTACTATTTAAATTTAACTTTTAACTATTATAAGAATATACTTTCTAACTAAAAAAATAATAAAAATTTATTATTTATTATTAAAGTTATATATTTTTTTAAATTATTTAAAATCTAGTATAAAAAAGATCTATTATATTCTTTTAAAATGTTTTATAAAAGAATAATACTTTAAGCTTATACTACTAATAGATAATGTATATATTATTTTATTAATATTTATTAATATTTAAATATATTTATTATTAATTTAATACTATTATAAAGCTTATATACTAGTAAACTAATAGTCTTACTTTTTTTAATAATAAATTTTACTAGTGTCTTATACTTAAGTAAATCAGCCCTAAAGTATATAACCCCTTAACTCTACTTTCGAATCACATTATTATTCTCCCGTTATCCACTAGCTTCATACCACCCTTTCAATATTTCATCACCTCCACACACCATCAGCACCCTACTTCTTACGCCAGCTCCTTTTTTATATCCTACCTAACTCTTCCCGCCAAATTCCACACACGACCCACCTCCCTTTCCACCAACCCTCACTATTCCCTTCTACCTCTATAATATCTTACTCTCCTAAAAAAACCACAACCCCTCAATTTCACTCCCTCTTAAAAGAACCTCCCCACAAGCCGGTAATATTTATTCTTAATAATAATACACCCCAACATTACTTTAAACAAAGCCCCCCCCCCAACTTTTTTCCCCCTCTTTTCCTTCTTCACCATAACACCGTTCTCCCAATCACCCATAAACCCTTTAAGGCCTACCCAACCACAAGGAGAAAACACCTTCCCCTCATTCCCTCAGCGCCCTTCCCCCCCAAAAAAGGCACACAGCCCCCCTTATCCTTCATATAACAACTCTTTTCTGTTCTCCACTACTTCTCCAAAAAAAATCCCCCCCCTCTACATTGCGCGTCTCTTTCACGGGCGCAAAAAAAATCTAATATACCTCCATCTCTCCTCCTTCTTTTCTCCCATTACACACCACCCCCCCCCCCCCAATAACAAACGCCGGCCCCTGTTTTTCCCACGCC